GGTTTGCTTTACCATATTGCCTTAATGAGCTGCTTTACTGTAGTAGACAAATGGTTACTGTAGTAAACGTCCCACAAGAGCTACGTGCTGTTTAATGGAACAAATCGATGGAAGTGAACGAGCCACTTCTTTTAATTGTCATCCAATACCTCCTCAAGCAATTATACGTCTATGCATCAACGAAGGGTCACGATACCCTTAAATAAACCAAGCATCCCCCATACCACAAGTTGGAAGTGTAATCAGAAGCAACCATTTTAAAAGGCGTTTGAATCCCTTTGTCAGGAGCAGCTTCGAGCAGCTCACTATTAGTTTTACACCAACAATGTGAAAAGCGACTTTTTTTGGGCTTTTTTATCATCGTCGATGCGTTGGGGCACTGCTGGGACACTGTTATCATGAAATTCCATTATAGCGACAGCTGTATAGCTTCGTTTGTAATGCTGTGTGTGTTTGGTATATGGTTGATGGAGGAAAGATGGATTTAACATCATCACTCGCGACTTTTTTGTCCTTGCAATACATGCGGTTGAGAATCACTACTACCATTTGTATGTCATCATATGAGCTAGAAAGCTTTAGCGAATGTAATATGGTTGTGACGATAAAGAACAAAAGCCTCTTGACACGATGATGTAAATGATCCCATCTCGTTTTCCAACCTTCGTATTTCTATTCCCCCTTTCAATCCAGAAACCAACCAAGTAATCCACATCTTGCACGTATGAGCTGATAGCACGGTACTCTAACAATTATGTTGAATTTCAGTGTTTATTCGATTGAGGTTGAAAAGAAGAATGTAAATATGGTGGTAGGTATGATTGTTATGTGTCAAGTGGATATGAAGAAGATAAGAAGCTGCATCGCCCAATGTTGAGTGAATCACATAGAGCCAACGGGCATCATTGTGCCATCGTGTTGGCTGCTGCCAACATAAGCGTACTCATCCATGATACCAAACAGCTGCTGTGTGATTTGAATCGAGTACTCCAGTAATCCATCCATGGTCATCAACTACCCTTCGTCAAAGCAATCCAATCCACCATCACCTTTAGCCGTATCCACATGCCATTACCCATCCTTCCTGCTGATGACATGCCAAGTACGTAACCTCAGCAACATTCCAAGATTCTCATCATTGCGCTTGATGGCATCCATCCATCGTAAGCATTGCAAGCCCAATACGTTGAGAGAAGGAACCTCTGTGATCGCTGCTCATCTAGCCGTTGGTCTACCTCTTGTGTGGTCATTTTCTATCGTAGCTCAACAAGGTGAAGATTGCTTGTATGGTTGATATGGTGCCATGGAAACCAAGCATCACATTCCAAATAGGCCAAGGGGAACCAACCCAATCAATATCCAATTCCTTCCATCCCATATACCAAACCAATATCCACATCCACATCCATAAGCAAGTCGTATGTATTGAAAGCAAGTTGCTACACGTAAATAAAGCTGCTTCTATATGATGGCTATCTGCTGTTCACGTAACAAGGGTTGCAAGGTAAGTTGCTGCAATAGCTTTAGACAATGGAGTAAAGTCCTCGCTAATGGCAACTGCTGTTACGTTTGTTCGCGGCAGAGGGGCGTACAAGAGAAGTGTAGTGTCAAGAAACGCTGATGTTGTAGTAGGAGGGTGTACACGCCATGGACTTGCCATTCAGTCAAAGACAATCGGATCAAGAGAGTTGTAGGATTGACATGGTGGTTGAAGCAGGGCAATCGTTCGTAGCTGGTAATTGTACTTGAATGGGGCAAGAGAAGATAAAGTGGAGGGGAAGAGCTGGAAATTAAAGTAGGTTGACCTTCCAGACACCTGTCAGACACATGCATGAACGCTGTACATCAATCCTTGATATTGAGATTGCCCAAGTGAGCAGCAAACACTTTGCGGTATAAAATGAAGGGAATAATGGAGAAATGGATGTACATGTAGTGTGATGGTGTAGGTGTTGATGCCGATGCAGGCCGAAGAAAGGTGTACACTGGGCTGAAAGGATTAAAAGTGATGAAGACGAGGTGACAATGCCGAGCTAGTATAAGGAATGAGAAAAAAGAAGGGTGAAAGAGAAAAAGTGGAAGGTGTAAAGTTGAATTAAGATCGGATCACTAACGTTAACGGGTGATGATGCCGCAACAGGAGCACTGCTCAAGCTAGTTTGGATAGCAGAAAAAGTGATGATAATTGAAGGACTAGCAGTCTTTGACTCTTCACTTCGCTTGGTTTGAGCTCCATGCTTCGCTTCATGTCAAGGTTTGTCTTTAGCAGAGGGTGCTGGCTGCTGGGGGAATCCCCAAGCCAACCAACATGCCCATTTATGCATCAGTGCTTAACGCACATTGATGGATTAATGGTTATGACCACCTTTATGATTTGATGCTCATCTTTACTTTAATTCTTTATGCTATTATCGCTTGCCTGTTGTATGTCCCTGTACCATTCTTCCTTCCCCACCTTTTAATCGTTTTAGGGAATCACTACACCACACATACCAACAACTTTTGTATATTCATCCGTCATTCGCCATGAGGGCACAATAGACTTTGTGTTTTGGTGAAAAGTATCCAATGCTAAAATAGAAAGGAGGAGTAATGACATGATGCAAATTGGGGATTATCTTGTGTTCATCCTTTTCGTGTTTCGATCCGTGTGATGGATGGCCGAATGAATTAGAATAAACAATGCAAATGCTAAAGAGAAAAATTTTCACGTTACTCGTTTCCTTGCTACAGTAAACACACTCCATTTATAGTAGTCGAGTGCTTTTACCACAGTAAAGGAGTACGTTTATGGCAACCAAAGGAAGACTGCTTTTCCTTACTGTAGCATGACGACTTTTCCTTACTGTACCGGAGTATTTTGGCAGGTGAATTGGATTTTACGCTGCGATTTAAACCAGCAACTACAGTAAGCTACAGTAAAAATCTGGCACCCCTGGAAGGGGCAATGCATAATACTTTATACACAGCTCATCATTAGCAGCTAATAGGCCATTCCTCCCATTCACCTTTGTTATCCAAACCAATGCATGTGAACGTTCCTCTGTCCAGCTCATCCTTTCCATCATTCAACTTTCTTGATCCGAGGGGATTTGACTGAAAAACGCTCAAACACAGAAGTATCATCCAAAATCAGAGAAATTAATTTGATTGATTATATGTAAACTGCTACTTGATAGGCCATTCCTCCCAGTCGCCTTTGTTGCCCAATTCCATGCATATGAACGATTGTCCTGCTCCTGCACGGCATGTCCATCCTTCAACTTTCTTGATCCGAGAGGTTTTGACCGAGTTACGCTCAAGCACAGAAGTATCATCCAAAATCAGAAGAATCAAATTGGTAAGTTATTTGTAAACCTCCCATTGATAGCCCATTCCTCCCATTTGCCTTTGTTGCCCAAAACAATGCATGTGAACGATTGTACTGCTCCAGCCCAATGCTTCCATCCTTCAACTTTCTTGATCCAAGGGGATTTGGCTGAACAACGGTCAAACAAAGAAATGCCATCTCAACCTACTTAATTTCCCACTTCTTCCACTCCCACTTTCTTGCCTCTTCTTCCCATTCGCAACTGTTACTCCATTCAAGTATACAACTACCACCTGCGAACGATTGTCCTGCTTCAACCCATCATGTCAATCCTACAACTCTCTTAATCCGATTGTCTTTGACTCAATGGCATGTCCATGGCGTGTGCATAGCCTTCTTGTCACTCAACTACAACACTCTCTCTAGCACACCCCTCTGCCGCGACCAAACGTAACAGCATTCATTGCAGCAGTTGCCATTCGTTCCATTGTCTCAATTAACGTTCTTTACTTGCAACAACTTTGCCTTGTAGTCCTTTTCACATGAACAGCAGATAGCCAGCCACTATATAGACCAGCTTTATTTACGTGTAGCAATTTGTTTCAATACATACGACTTTTGATGGATATGGATATGGATATTGGTCTGGTACATGGGATTGAAGGAATTGGGTATATGCAACGCATGGAAAAAGAGTGTAGTCATTGCCAACTTGTCCTTGATGCTATCGTCCTGGACATGAATTATCGAACTTTACAATGTTAAACGATTGCTTAAAAGAAGAGATGGGTTGATCAAGGATTGCTGCTACTGCTCATGCTTTTCAAGCAATCCAAAGCGGGGGATAGGCTTTTGCGGATATGGTCATAATAGCACTGGATAGTCTTCATATGTACATGCCATGGATCTGAGTATTACTGTAAGTAAAGGTACAGGAGGTACAAACCATTGAACGACAAACCAAAAAGTTCACAAGCGAAGCGAGCAACTTGGGCCATTGGTGACAATAACATTATAACATCATGGTAATGCAGGGGTCTCCACTGGATGATGTAGTAATAATGCAAGCTATGAATGACCGTGATGAAAGCTTGTACAACTTGAGCCCAATATCATACATAAATGAAATTGCCGTTTCATCATGGAGGAGGAGGAGGAGTAATTTAGATCCATTCATGGTCGATAGGATGGGTTGGTGTTTAAAATTGTAGTGCTTTATGCACGCTGCTTGCTGATGTTGGTTGAAAGCAAGCTATTTTAAAGGTACGGGGACCGTGCATTTACATCTCAATGCTGAGCAAGTGCTTGCTGCATTATAAATTTAGTAGGCAGCGTCGGCCGATTTATGCTTTCGACGACAGCAAATGATTCGAGGATGTCTAATAACACGCTATTCATCTCTTCAAAGGGCCGCCTATAACAGCAAGGCTCTTTTAATGTTATAGATGTTCTTTGTTGATTAGATTGAGAAGAGGCAATGAAGCTATGCTAGTGCAAAATGTGCCTGGACAAGCATTTACGACTTTTACCCCATTGGGAGGATATTTTCCTATTGGTGCATGACATACAGCAACACCCAGAAACCTTCCAAATCGGGATTGGTTTATGCAGTTGCAGTTTTTAAATGGGGTGCATTTTTCTACTCTATCCCTTTTTATCCACTCTACACATCCTTATATACACACACACAATGGCATCGGCAGTGTCAAACAACGAAAACAAAAACTATGGCGTGTTGCTGAACAAGGTCAATGATCTTCAAGTTGTGGAGATTCCTATGCCAACTCCCAAGGAAGATGAAGTACAAGTGCAAGTCAAGGCGACGGGCATCTGCGGATCTGATATCCACTTGTGGAAACATGGTGAAATTGGCATTTTTCCAGTGACTCGTCCACAGCTCTTGGGTCATGAAAGTGCTGGTATTGTCACCAACGTCGGATCCAACGTCCACGATCTACAGATTGGCGATCGTGTTGCCATTGAAGCGTAAGTCATCGACGAAGACCCCACCCCCCAATCACCTACTACTACTACTATGACAGCGGTCTGATAAAGTGTTATCATCTAGTGGCATTCCGTGCTCGGAGTGTGATCAATGCATGAGTGGACGATATCATTTATGCCCTACCGTTGTATTCAAATCGACACCACCTTATGATGGCCTGCTTGCAAAGTACATTACACATCCAGCACGTTGGGTGCACAAGATGCCAGAGGAGATTTCGTATGAAGAAGGTGCCCTACTTGAACCACTCAGCGTGGCCATTGCTGCTATTGAACGAGTGGGTGTATCATTTGGTCGATCCTTGCTTGTTACAGGTTGCGGCCCTATTGGTTTGATGGTGCTGGCTGTTGCCAAAGCAGTAGGCGTGAGCCCTGTGATCGTCACCGATGTCCAACAAAGTCGCTTGGAATATGCTGAAAAGATGGGTGCAGATTACACGTATCAAGTCAATCCTCGTTTGGCCGATGTAGATATCGCAAGAGATATCCGAGCACTCACTCCCAATGGTGAAGGCGTTGAACATGCTCTTGAATGTACTGGGATTGAATCCTCTTTTCGTGCTGCTATCATGGCCACGCGTGACGCAGGCACTTGCTGCCTTGTTGGTGTAGGCAAGAATGATCAAAGTCTACCCGTCAACAACTTTGCCATGCGTGAAGTCGATATTCGTGGCTTGTTTAGGTACCATCATACTTATCCACGTGCCATTCAACTCTTGACAAGCGGCAAATTGGATGTCAAGCACTTGATCACTCATCGATTTGAATTCATGGATGCACTCAAGGCCTTTGATACAGCTGCAGATTATTCCACGGGCGCCATCAAGGTACAAATCATCAATGGTGATTAGACACACACACACACACACACATTTATACATACATACACACACCTTTTGGCTTGTACAGAAAACCTTCTTTTTGCATCTCACCACCATCACATACACCCACACACACCATATCTTCATTTTTTCCTATTATCAAACAGAAAGAGAAAAAGATAAAAGCAGCCATAAATAGTATTATTGTTGTTTACAGTTATAGAGTTGGAGTATGGTTGTTGGTGCGTTGCAAATGAAACCGAAAGCTTATGTGATCCCACCATTGTAACGAGTGATCAAGTCCACATGTCATACGGAGTTTTGTTATTCATGCCGCTCCTAGCATTAATATCCGACGTTGTATAAAAAGCCATCCCGACGTGGATCCTGATGTACCATTTCCCACTATTCATCATGCCAACCTTCGATAGAGCTACCGTTCCTGCTTTTATCCCAAGACCCAGCACGCGTCAACGATCACGGATACCATCTTTGATAGTTCTTGTCATTTGCATTACAATGATGGCTTCGACTGTATTGGCCGTCGTGTCATCATCCACATCAGAAAGCGGGAGCACATTGAACCATCTTCGTCGTCGATCATCGGATGATGAGGATAATGATGATGGTGATGATGATGACAAGGTATCATCAGCATCATCAACGTATTCAAATCGTCTTGTGTCCAAGTATGCCAATTTGACCTATATCCAAGTGAGAGATGATGGTGCATTGCCTCGTCGTCTATTTGCTGTGGGTGATATACATGGATGCTTGGATGAATTTAATGAGTTACTCGACACCATTCAATACGATTATGAAAGTGGTGATCGGCTTATTCTTTTGGGTGATCTCGTAGCCAAGGGCCCTGCTAGCTCTGGTGTCGTACAACGTGCTCGGGAAATGAATGCATGGTGTGTTCGTGGTAATCATGATGACAAGGTCGTACGACTTGCAACCTTCCAACGCAGCAGCATCATGCATCCATCTCATAACAAAGAGTTCAAAGTGGTTCCTGAGGGCAAGGTCCATGATCCTCTTAAGCTGGATAATCATCATGTGCATATTGCCAGGTAAAAACAAGAGGGATGATTGCTCTACTTTTATTGACTCATTTTCTTTGTAAAAAGCCAGTTGATGATGAGCGATAATGATTATGGATATCTCGCCGCTTGTCCCATGATGCTTGCATTACCGGTATTGCAAAGCTTGTTTGTTCATGCTGGGTTGGACCCATCCCATCCATTGGATCAACAAGAACCATTTTTTGTCATGAATATGAGATCCCTTCAAGAAGATGGCTCACCGGCAAAACATCGTAGCGATGGTGTACGTAGTTGGACGCATGCTTGGGAGGAGATGTTGGCAAGCTCGCAGCCTACCACTGCATTCCGTAATGTATACTATGGCCATGCCGCAGCCAGTCGTCTTCAATTAGGAAATCATACATTTGGCTTGGATTCAGGATGTGTTTATGGTGGTCAATTATCTGCATTAGATGTCTTGACACATCAACTCTATCAAGTGCAATGCAAGCAGTATGCCGAACATGATTAAAAAGTGTGCTGCCCAAATAGTAACCTCATGTCATCATCCACCACGTGCCATGTCGCATGAACAACAATGTATTTAGTATATAAGGGGGCCCATCATGACCCTTATCCATAGAAACATATAAAGAGGTGAGAGCCTATTATATACATACATCGCTGCTGTAGTAGCTTGGTTGTGTAATTCATGCAGCGTTGGGTGTTCTATTGATTCTCAGCTTGCACTCCTCTCTTTCTTTTCCCTCCAACTCGAATCCCATTTTCTACCATGGACGCTCTCGATAAGACGCCTTCCAAACATGATAGACTTCCTCAACCACAAAACACCAATCACATTAGCTCGGCTCCATTCCGAGAAAAGCTCCTTTCCAATTCATCCTATCTCGCAGCAGAAATCCCACTCAAGCTTGGCCATTGGGTCTCCCATCTGTGGAATCAACAAGAGCAACAGCAATCATCGAGCGACTCGACACTATGGTTATTAGGCTGCAAGTATGCTGTGAACATGAGCACCCTGGAGAAAGATATGATGCGTGCACAAAGAGAACCCATGTTTGATACTACTACTTCTACTACTACTGGAGAAGACAACAACGACAACGACGACGACGAGGAGACGAGTGCAGAGACGGGCGATACAACAACAGCATCAGCATCATCATCAACATCACCTTCATCTTATGATATGACAATGCCACCGGATTTCTATCACGACTTGTGTTCACGGTTATGGATGACGTATCGACACAATTTCCCACCTATTCGACCTTCTGCATATACAACTGATATTGGATGGGGATGCATGTTGCGCAGTGGTCAAAGTTTATTGGCAAACACGTTACTCATTCACTGTTTGGGACGAGGTATGTGAATCTCTATCATTTGGCTACGAAAACCTTACATGGATGAATGATAGAATGGCGCCGAGAGGATAATGCAGAGCAAAACAAGGAATATCGCAAGGTAAAGCAAGATGAAAAGTAATCGAAACAAGGCTAATTTAGGATGCTTTGGCAGATTATTCAATGGTTCTTGGATGAGTTATCGCCTCGAGCTCCATTTTCCATCCATCGTATCGCACTCCTTGGCAAGCAACTAGGCAAGAGCATTGGTGAATGGTTTGGGCCCAATACAATCAGTCAAGTCATCCTGTACGTTGTCATTATCAATTGTCATCGTCGCTTGCTAATGTTGTGTACTCTAGGGCCTTGGTTTCGGATTTCCCTGCTGCTCACCTTTCAGTGTATATTGCATCGGATGCGGTGTATCGCGACGATGTGGAGGATGTCATTAGTGGAAAACGACCTCGAGGAGATTACGGCTGGTGCCAAAGTCAAGAAGCACGTGATATTTATCGGCATTACACGCCTGTTGTGCAAGAACAAGCGGGTGGTGGTGGTGGTGGAGAAGCTGTGCTTATTCTGGTAGCCATTCGTCTCGGCATTGATCAGTTACATCCTACCTATTATCCAGCACTCAAGGAATGTATGCGTTTGCCATGGTTTGTGGGTATTGCAGGAGGACGTCCCAATTCGTCGCTCTACTTTGTGGGTTTACAAGGAGATGATCTCTTTTATTTGGATCCACACTTTTCTCGACCTGCTCTAGAAACATTGCCAATGCACGACTATACCAAACAAGACTTGGATACCTATCATTGTCCCATCCCAAGGAAAATTCATATTTCTCAATTGGATCCATCCATGATGCTGGGCTTTTATTGTCGAACTCGATCCGAGCTGGATGCATTTTGTGAGCGGATAACACAGGTAAAAAAGTGTGGTTTATTGTATCGACAACACGTATACACTAACACACATTGGAAATAGATGTCCAAGATATATACACCTATTTTCACCATTGCCAAACGTGCTCCAGAGTATGATGAGGATGTTCGAAGCGAAAATGACTTTGGGATCGTGAGCGATGAAGAAGAGGAGGAGGAGGAGCATGATGCCGTTTCCGAGACATCATTGTAGTAGCCATAGCAACCGATTCGTTCATATATTGTAATACCCCATCTTTGTATTCAATCATCAATAACATGATTCTTTATGTATTATCTTTTGGTCAACATCTTATGCTGTGTGACAATGAGCATTCTGGTTGGATATCAGGTGATGTTTTAAGCGGAGAGCAGTAGGGTGACTATTGTCCTTTTGCAGAACACAGAGCAACAAGGGTCGTCGTCCTTTTTACAACACACAATGGGAGGTCCACGATTAGAAGTTGTCAAAGTCGGTTGAGGCATTAATGGCTACGTGACAAGCGACAATTGAATTGAACCATGTTATTAGTTTGGCTTTTATGTATTCTTCCCTGTGGGAGTTATGCTTTACTTTGGTGGTCCCGATTTCTTCGACAAGCATGTCAAGGGTATCAAGTTTTGGCCTGACTATGAGACTACTCACGTATGTTTTTATTATCGGAATGATGAATAAGTACTCATATTGCATATATAGAAACCCCCAACCACGAGTGATGAAGTACGAGAGACGCTAAAGACATTAAAAGAGCAACGTGAAGAACGATGGAGGAGGTATAACGAGCAGCAATCCAAATAAAAACGACATTGAACCATTTGGTTTATTCTTCAACAACACGCTATGAGGATAAAGATGGAGGTGGGGGAGGGGAGGAGAAGAAGAGAGGATCTTAGGCAGCAAGTTCTTTTGGTGTAGGGCTTTGCCAAGAATAGTTTTGATAAGGAGCCAACAATGAACGTATTTTCTCGAGGACCTGGACTTCTTGTTCGGAGGGCGTTTCAGTACCTTGTTTTCGTGCCTTGACACGTTCCAATGTATCCAATGCTCTCTTGACATCATCTGCATTTTCACATCCGATATAGGTACAATCCAAGTTGCTAGGTTCACGACCACTGAATGAATAAATGGAAGCGAGTTCTGCAATGTTGAGCCCATTCTCCTTGGCAGCTTGAGCACATGCCTTGGCAGCCTCGCGTAGATCAGCATGAGCAGGATGCCAATCGGGTGGACCAGCGTCACGGAAGAGAGCCATACCCAATGGAGATGCATTAGCGATATAGCGTACACCAGCAGCACGGAATTTCGGAACATATTCGGCCAATTTTGAATTCTGCAGCGTGTAATGGCAATACGACAAAATCACATCCAACGGCTTTCCTTTCGAGTGTTGATGTTCTGCAATCTTGAGCAATACAGGAAGAGGATATCCTATGTGGGTTTTTTTTTTGTATATATAAGTAACATGGTCGTCATCATCATTATAGTTGTAAAAGTTACCTGAACATCCAACGTATTTGATCACACCTTCATCCTACCATCCATATCCCCCAAGTTAGAAAAAGATCTCTTCATATACAAAATAAACACTCTTACCTTGAGTTGAAAAAGACTCTCGAGAGCATTACCAGATCCAACCACGTCATTGAAATCGACAAATTCGACATCATGGCAAAGCACCACGTCAATGTAATCCGTATGGAGTCGTCTCATGCTCTCCATCACACTCTCTCGTACTCGCTTGCCGCTATAATCGAAATCACGAGGCCGATAGCCGTATCGTCCAACCTTGGTTTGAATGTAATAGGATTCTCTGGGGTATTCGCTCTTCAAGGCTTCAAGAGCATCACCCAAGATGATCTCGCTGTCTCCATAATACGGCGACGTGTCAAATACATTGATACCTATAGCATAAGAGTGTGTGAGTGTGAGTGAGGTGGTAACTCATATACAACGGCTTCATTGACTCACCACCACGCAATGCAGCACGACATGCCTCTACAGGCCAGTGCGATTCAATCTTGTCATAGTTGCCTGACAATGCACCTGCACCAAAACCCAACTCGGAAGGTTTGAAATCGGTCTGACATACAGTCTAATGAGACAATGAGTATTCAACAATAAAAAAGTGTTTGAACAAGTCGTACTTGAGGAGACATGTTGATACGAACAAAAAGGCGCGAGCCTGAGAAAGCTGTTGTTGGGCGGCGGGAATGTGCCTTTAAAAGTAGTAAGCTGATCACCGTGTGTAACAGATGACTGCGCTCGGACAAGTGTGTGTCCCTTGCAACTTCCCGACGTGGGAATCATCATGTACTTGGGACGGCAAGTGTCCTGTTTGAAATGATGTTCTCTTACCAAAGCATCTTGAAAATTGCCATCTCTTCTTTGTTAGGATGATCGCCGTTGCATAGTATCAATCGCTATCTTGCTACGTTTTGCTATGATGTTGTTGTAGTACTGTATCTCCATGCTTCGTCCCTGCAACACAGGTACGATCAATGCTATGTTTTTCTCGATCCAAATGTTTATGTTTACCATATTACAGCATCGATTCGATCTTGATCATCATCCTCAAGTGTGCCAGCTCCACGTGTATATAGATTCATCAAAGCCATCAAGGTTGCATAAACATTGTACCACCCCTAACCCACATGCAGGGTTTCATTATCATACAGCTCCATTGTTTCTCGTCGTAACAAAATGTGGCTTTTGTATGTACCTTATTCAGAACGCTTATGGAATACGAAATTAATTAATAAGACACCATGCATCAAGACAATGAGATGTAGTAGAATGGGCTGGCTCTACAGTGATATATAATACAAAAGGGTTGCCGCTGATACTACTACTAGTCATATCCTGGAGGAGAAGGAGGTCCAGTGACTTGGCCTGGGACCCGATGCAGTATGTGCCTTCGAAACAAGATAGCTTCCCATATTTGACGATAGCCATGTTTGTGTTGCAGCTCATCTAATATACAGTAAGCAATGATTCGTTTACTTTGAGAATGCTTTAAGCAGTACTTACATCCGGAGACGAAATTTCCATACAAGCCATAAGCTCGTTCAATATAGCTCCTCAATGGGCCACTTACAAGCTCAAAATGAGTGCCAAGTAGGATATCACGTTTAAGATTGCCTTGGTCATCTTGGAGTACTTCATTTTGTAAAGGACCTGGCAATTCGTCCGATAAACCTATGTACCATAGATACATGATAAATCCTATTCGTACATGTAATAAGAGGAAGAGAGATCTATACAACATACCGCTTAAGAAATCGTTCCATTTCAAGAACCATTTACGCTCGATGATGTAGCAGTAATCATGGCTTTCTTGCGAAACAACAAGACGCCGTTCAATGGCTCGTCGAGCACGCTTTGCTTTATGTGCAAGGTGGTCATCTTGAGGATACGTCAATAATGCTTGTATCATCATGCGTACCAGGTATCGCTCCGTGATTGGTTTTTGAACGTTTGGGAATCCCCAGAAGCCAACCTAACGTAGATGCGTGAGCACCATGTCGAAAGAATGACTTCGTCTATGATTAGAACCCTTACCGGCTTGTTGCATGCATAACACCAAACTTCAAGAAAATGATCAGCTGAAAGTTTCAGGACATAGGGATGACCCGTTGTGTTGTAATGATCCCGAAGGTGACCTGGATATTGTTCTGGTGAGAAAAAAGCATCTCCACAGCCTATGTAAATGTAATCGTTGATAATGAGTAAAGTGGATTGTGCATGTACAATGGATCATTCCTACCAGCAAACTTGCAGTAAGGGTATAAGCATAGCCCTGATGCTTGTTGCTGTTGTTGACAGCATTTTGTAGTCAATGATTTCCAAAAAATATCCGATTTCCATAGCAACGATGTCATTAACCTTGCATCATGCAAGTGTTTGCATATATTGAAAACGTCGCCTGTAGCATAAAGATCCCACCATGTCTGCTGTGGGTCACGATAAATGATACCCAAATGTCGTGCAAAATCACGCCAAAATAGTTGATCGTGCTTGAGTTGATAGAGCTTGTGACAACAACTTAGGAATCGTTTACCAGATGATGGTGGTACAAACGTTAAAATGAGACAAAGGATTTCATTTGGCAGTTCCAAAATCATGACCATATGCGAAACAAAAAGAAGAGATCAAGTTGTTGTTGGGGGGTTGGTTTCCATTTTCCTGATGGATGATGATGATGTTTGCAAGTTTGTTTTCAAAAGAGATGGTGGAATAATACACCGAGTACATATAATTTGATTGAAGCAACAACAATTCTATTAAGCATGGTCGATGAAGATTGTGTATGTCATGCCCCCAATCAAACCGCCTATCAATGGTGCAAAAATGGGTATAAAGGAGTAATAGTTCCTAATAGAGAAGACGCCAGTGCCCCATCCAGCCACAGCTGTAAAGAGTCTGGGACCAAAATCACGAGCTGGATTCAAGGAGAAGCCTGATGTATAACCAAGACCCAAAGATAAAGTCATAAGGCCACAAGCGATAAACACACCTTGAGATTGATGGAACGGCATGTTGTTCGGATGACCGGTAACCATGATAAGCAAACACAAGAGTGCTGTGCCGACGATTTCGGAAGCCACTGCAGCACCATAGCCGACGTATAAGGGTGGATAGGTTGCAAAAATACCGGCTGTACCATGTTCACCAAGGATTTGACGATCACCACCATCAAATTCATTCAAGGCTGGATAAATGACCGAATACAAGATAGCGGCTCCCACAAAAGCTCCAAGGAATTGTGCCGTGAAATACACTGGTAGCTTTCGAGTAGGGAAACCTGAAAAGGCCCAAAACGTCAAAGTCACCGCTGGATTAATGTGAGCACCCTGAATTGTTGTTGTACACATGAATGAGGTGTATCATATTGCCCATTTCACTTTTTTGTCCTACCGAGATATGTCCAGAAACACTGATAGCGAAGAGTACAGCCAAACCTGTGATCATCATATAGGAAATTAATGTCCACCCCTGACATTACAGCTGACCACACACGAACCACTTGCCTGATCCAAATGAAGACGTCAACCAAGATCTGGGACCAATCCCCAGTGTTTGCTCAGCAGCGACACCATCCGTCAACAAGATAAGAATAAGAGTACCAATAAACTCTGCAAGGAATTCACGATTCTATTATAGGAAATTAGCCAAAGTCCATCTTTTTGTATAAAGCTTTAATGTACTTGCATTGTATCGGAAGGCTCGGAAGCGTTCCACAAAGGCACTTGAGCCATGGAGTGTTCGACTGGGTGAATTGGAAGGTGCTCCTAAATTGCAATGCATGTAGCGAATGTCAATGGGCCATGACGAATGGAGGGCGAATATAGAAAACGAGATAGTTACCTGAAGGGGTATTATAGGCTACCAAAGGTTCTCTTTCTTCATCCAATGTTGAGGATGCAGGAGAATATTGCTTTTGCCATCCAATCACGTTATCCAAAGTACAGCCACTTTGTACCATAATGATGCAGAAAAAAGGGTTGTATTCAATGCAGCATAACACGCTCTCTTTTATATCCAAAGGTCAAGTGATCCTCTCCCCGTATTGTGTGTTCCACCCCCAAACCCCTTTTTCGCAAAAAAGCAAGATCCCGGTTGGACGGCTGGCACAAAAACCTAATATGGCATACCGTGGACTGCTGTTGCTGTTGCTACTGCCGACAATGATGGGTTCATCGTCGCCTGATCAAGTGGGAGGAGGGACCCTTCGGAGAGTACCGTTACAAAGGGTTAAAGCATAAGTTTCAAAACGAGATTTTTAGTCGTGTATTACCTCCATGATAGGTTTGAAGGGGCGACATTTTTCCCAAGAGGTCCATGATAACGATGAACATCATATTGAATGCACCCATTGTCATGATAAGATCTCAGGTGATTCACCATGGTTACCCATCCTATGCACGTACACATACACAATCCCCTTTGAGTAATAGTAGAAAATCCCTTGTTTGTTTCGAGGGTCGAGAACTACACAACTTTTTCTAACAAATAAAAGGTATATTCTCACCCTGAAGTTTGACACTCAGACTGCGATCCGGGATCTACTTGATACCAATCAATGGTGCCATTGTCGTCCCCTCTGCCTTTGATCACGTGTATGATCCATTGCTACCATACGCCTTATGGGTTACATTGGCGATACATTTTAGGTATGTGCAATCTCATCTAATAGAAAGCTGCAAATGATTACTCCTTTGTGGTTTCATCCTCTCGAGATGAGACAGCTCCTCTCTTATCATGCTATTATTGGCAATAGCAATAACATCCAATTCCCCCCATAAAGTATGCATTCGTTGATAACAATGCCAATGATAAGTGTGCCTGGGAAAAACACATGCGGGTTGGTGTCATTTATGCGGACAAGCACATAATATCATGCAAAAAAGTGACATTGACAGACCATGTGATCCCTGCCTATGTACTCATCCCCCGATACAAAAAGACAATAGGATCTCAAACACCTTTATCATACATACTTTCGAAACGTGTATCAATGTACATAGTGGGTTTTTAATGCATTTGATTGGCAAGCTGTGAATGGCTCATATCCTTCATTTCAACTCTTTGGATGCCTTGTTGCTCATCATGGTCGTGTTGTTGGATAGTAATGTTGTGTGAGGTATTATCATTGTTCTTCTCGTCCGTTTCCATAGGTGCTCCCAATCCTTCTCCCTATACAAGGATGTACATGTTATTACCAAAAAGTTGCCATAGCAACGGGATAGGGATACTACTTACGTTTGTAAATGTTCTGGTTCCCCATGCTGTTACGTGAAGTGTGAAAAGAGCGTAGATCTTCATGATGGCAAAGTAATAGTTGAAAATCAACCAAAAAGGCAATACCCAGATATCTAAAGGCCGTTTTAAAAAGTGTGGGATGAGCTTGATGAATCGCGTCAATAGCAGCCATACAATATAGGACACGGCAATGTTCCAACCAGGCAAAGGAGGATTTGAGGGACCAGCATTTTTTTCTTGAAGCGAACAAAACACGCCGACAAGAATGGGACCAGCGAGCAAAGTCAATGGGTTGAAGATTTTGTCAACCATGGTGAAGGCCACATAAGGATGGCGTGTCCAGATGAAGCGTTCTGTGAATAGGGATCGGAAATCGGAACGCCAAGTATTGCGAGTCCATCGTAGCACCTGCTTTAAGAATCGCCAATTGTTTTTAAAGGTCGAATAGAGTTCAGCTTCCTTGCATACTTGAGCATAGGTATTCCATCCATGAGAACACATCCAACGCGTAAGAAACTTATCATCGCCAGAATTGAGTGGGTATTTGCCGAGCCATAAATCATTCGTAAAGCAGTACTGAAAGGCTGGGTCTTTAAGAATCAGTGTGCGATAAGCTGCTGTGCGTCCTGAGAGACAACAAATGCCACCATCAATATGCGTTGAAGCGGCAATCTCAATGTTGCGACTCGTCAATCGGAAACCAGCAAGGATCTCCCATAGCGTTTGGTGTCCATTTGGATTGACAGCATGAACCGTTTGAGACGTGCCCACACCTCCCATTTTCAAATCTTCGAAGCATGCAAGGATATATTCGAGCATTGTGGGTTTCCAAATAGCATCATCATCCGCAAAGACAAGGATCTCCGTATTGGTTGCATTGACACCGGCTACCATTTGTAAACGCTTGTTGGCCTTGGGCACGGTGAGTACGCGTATTCTAGCAGGGTCCACTTCGTTGGCCAACTCCTGTAATGGCTCTCTCATGCTGGTCTCGGTGATAATGATGATTTCTTTTGGATTGCATGCAAGCCAACTACGTGCTGCTATCTTGAATTCTTCACCAGCATCGATGGTGGGCACAATAATCGTAACGTCGTGTTCAGGCCGATAGGTGGGTTCAGCTCTCGGTCGTCGTGGCTTATAAGTCAACCATGCAATAATACGTATCAGGTACCATAGATATCGATAGAATCCAATCACACCAAGAGGAAGGAAAAAGGGAAGCAATCCCACATCATTGGTGAGATAAAGCATGGTGGTATGGTGGTGGTGATGGAAATGGTTGGCTTGGCAACAGAGGGAATAAGGGAGAAAAAAGAAGGACAAAGGGAAAATGACAGTTTAATCTAATTCTAGTTTAATTGCCTAAAAATGGTATCGCTATCATAATTGCCAAGGTGTGAATGCGTTTATTTTTGTTTTCAGGAACCGATGGTATCACCGCGTTGTTGTCGTTGTTGAACCAGCATAGATTTGATACTCCAGCAAGATCGGTAAGAACTTCCACAATGAAAACTCTGGCCAATAGCACTCGACGAATTGAATTTGACATTGGTCGGATGACTGAAAACGTAGAATCCCAATAAGTGACCAAGCTCTCTCTCTTTCCAAAGAGTAGAATCCTTCTCACTTTACCTGCCACAATAAGAAATCTGACAAGCGAATCTCTCCTGATGTCCGAATGAGTATCTCCAATGGTGGACTTGCCGACGTGAACATTTGGCTTTCAAGTGTCTCTTTGTTGATATCCCTAATTAAACTCGGTCAGCGCCTACCGTACAATAAACCTTCCATTCATCCTTCTACTTACTCTATCGACCTTTGTTTTTGCTCCACCGATCGTACGTTTTCACGTATGGCAGTCGTAATTTCATCTCGGGATGTGTATGGGCAGCAGATGTTGAATATCCGGCTAATCATAAGGATGATGAATGCCCATGTCTCTTTACGTATACTACCATTGCCCACTTACGTCTTGTGATGTTGTGTCCTTGCTTCAACTTTGCGAGTGAGTTCTGCCACATCGGGTGGAAGCAATGATCGATTGCCGCAAAAATGGATACCAATTTCATACTTGTCGACAAGCTCACTACAAAATGCAATCATCAATGTTGGCTCATGCATGTCATGCTCGTTTGTTGAAGAAGATAATGTACTTTTTGTCGCAAAAGCTGGTAAACACCTCACGAAAGAGTTGCATAAGGTAATCCACCTCATCTGCCGATCGCTTAAAGTTCTCAATGCTGAATGCATAGACTGTAACAGCTTCAATGCCCAATCGCATGCAAAAGTCAAGCACCTAAAGTGTCAACCATGAGCACCCATTGTCGACATGGCAACGTTGCCTCGTACCATTTGCAGTTGTCGAAATCCTTCGTAATGTCCAAACTTTGTGCTTTCTGCACCTGCTTTGCGAGCGAATCGTCGATTGCCGTCCAAAATGAAACCGATATGACGAGGTATCCTTCCTTTACTAAGCACCTTGATGCATACGTCTTGTAACATGTCATTCGTGCTGTCGAGGTATCGTTGAAGCGTATCCATTATGGTAAAGAAGGAGGAGGAGGAGAAAGAAAGAGGTATGTGCACCTTTTTTGTGTTCAAAAAGCCCGCACTTTAATGCCCTGATCTGACCATATCCGGCTAAAGCAATGACACCCCCCTTTTCGCATGATAATGATACTAGATTAGCACATCCTTTATGTACAGCAATGGTAGACACCCACTTTATGATCCTCGTCAAGAACATGTTTCATCATCACATGTCAATCGGAATAAACAAGGTGTCACTGAATACGCACAAACCAGTTCTGTGTGTCAACGTGGTGTGGTGGTACAACACATTCCTTCTTATGAAGGATCTCATTAGGTAACAAACCTCGAATTGGTATCCTTGTTATCAAATTAGGCTGTCAGATGCCACCAGGGGGTTTTGTATAATCGGAAGCATAGCAACGCGTATATCCAGTGGCATGCATTAAATGATTTATTGGTATAATAGGGTCATCAATCGGTATTACTGGATCATGCATCATCGTCCTTGAGATGTTTGGCAATGCGAAGTGTGATTGGATATCCTGCAAATAAAAACAATACAACGAGCACCACGGCCAATATGGTCATTGTGTTGCATACGCCACGTCGAGATGGTTTCTTTTTTGTGGTGGTGGTGGTGGCAACTATGGGAGTGGTGAGCCCGGATTGTTTGTCGGTATGTGGAAGGCTGATCATAGAAGGGGGCGTGAATATGTATTGATGCGTGGAGCTACTGCATATTTTCGAAGGTGCCGATATGATGGAATACTTTGAATCGGTATTGCACGTGCCTGTGGTAGCTCGCCATGATGCTCTTCGTACTGGAGGTGCCACCAAGGTGCGACTACTCATCCCACCACCCACGTAATACATGGGCACATCACTAGGATCGTAGTCTTCATCATCATCATCATCATCATCATCATCATCGTCACCCGTATTCAATGGTACATGAATAATACTATTATTATCTTTCTTTTCATCATAGTCGTCGTTGTTGTTGGGCGTGATGAAATTGGATAACGAATGTATAGATGGCGAACGAGGTACGCTATGACGTGCTTGTTGAGGTTGCTGTATATAATGGGTTCCTCCTCCTCTATCTCCCATGCTTGGCATAGAATGATTGTCCAACGGGTGGTATAAACATGAATCATCTAGGTGATGTTTAGCACCCTTGTCTTTTTGATTTGATTCACTTTGTGATGTGCTTTCATACCTGCTGGATGATATCCCTGCGGTAGTACTAAAGAGGGTCTTCGTGTTGTGCTACACGACGAATTTCGCCTTGTGCATTGAGCGGGTATAATCCTTGTACTGTCAGGTCTTTCAAGCGTGCTAGGAATCGTTTGCATGTGGAAAAGAAAAAGAGCAAACGAGATGATATCGATGAATCGGTCTCCTTTAAGTATGAGAATGGTAAAAGTATAAGCAGTAAGAATTTAATAATGTCACATTTGGTCTGTATTTTAGCTCTCTCAACATCTCATGGACTTGTTTCATTGTACAAAAGAAGGGTCATGTATGGTGTTCATGATGAATCCAACAATAAAACGCACACGCAAACACAAGGATAGGTGGTGGTCATCAATAGTAGTAGTAGTAGTGGTGGTGGTAGTATGCAGAATGCGAATTTACTATATCCCTTGATGTGTGGGCAAAAATGCTATCAATCAAATATGGAAAGTTATCCTAGTTTCTTGGGATTAAGTAAAGACTTTAGCTGAGCACCAAAGCCCTTTTTGCCTTCTGAGGGTGGTGATGGTGGTAAAGCGGATACATTCTCTTGTGGTTGTTGTTGTGGTGGTGGAGGCGGTTGTGATTGTGGCTGTGGCTGTGGAGGTGGGGCTGTCGTTTGTTGTTGTGGTGTTATCTTCTCCTGGGGATCTTGGGATGGTCGCGGAGTTGTGGTTATTGGTTGTGGTTGTTGTTGTTGCTGTGGTTGTGGTGGATGTTGCCCATTCCCATCATGCGTTTCAGCGGCCCGATGTACTGCAGGATTCAAACTAGACAATCGAAGAGCATCATGCAAATAGGCCGACTTGGTAGCGATCAATGCTTCATCAAAAGTAAACTATGTACACAAAATGTCAGCTGAATGATGATGGAGAATCATGCAGGAGTGACAAGAGCTCATACCCAACGTCGTTCACGTTTCTTTTTTTCAGGAAACTTTTTGACCACCTCGCTAATCTCTAATTCATATATCCAATGATGGGCTTTGATACCCTTTTTGTTGCGTTCAGCGAATACACCAATATGACGAGTGATCTTTCCTTTGACACCTGCTTCTTCCCAAGTCTCTCGTAATGCGGCGTGCTCCTGGGTTTCATCCTCTTCCCATCCTCCTTTGGGCTACATAGATAGAGTCATTGTTTTTAGTGTATACATGTCTTTAAACAAAGCCTTCATACTTACAATAACCCATGCACCAGGGTTTTTTCGGGATGACACTAAGAGAAATCGTTGATTCAGAGGATCGATCGGAAGACATCCGGCCACCTGCCGAATGTTGTGTTCGTCAACAACGTCTTTGCCGTGGCCATGACGAGCTTTTTTTGTGTATTCAAGATCTTCTGCGCTTTGTATGGGACCGGTACTCATCTCGCTTACTGTCAAAGCGGAAATACGGGAAGAAGACAAGGCTTGCCGAGCCCGGTTCTTTTGAAGAATGGAGCAGCCAATAAAAGGGCGTTTCCATGGCTCTGCTGCATATTTGCTTGGGGTCTTGGCACAACGAGAAAGATCGCCAACGTGATCGGAACCTGATATCATGAATAATGAACGGTCACCATTGCAATGAACCATCTCTTTTTAATGCTGGTTGCGTTTGTCATCAACGTTATCGTTGTTGCCATGGTAACAGGTGATGATGATGTATGGCTTCATTATCCTTCATAATTGAGTATCCCTCCCCAACACACACATGCACGCAGGGTAGAATGTATACATGTTTCTATATTTATACCAGCTTCCCTGTTACAATACATACAAGCTGCTTCGCCAGACCCCCAGATTGCTTAATCTCTGGTATCTTTCACTGCTTAGCCTCAATTTTCCACGATAAAGCTCTTTATGAGTTGTCTATAATTCTCATAAAAGCGCAGTCTTTCATGGCATCTTGTCAATAGAAGACCATTTTTTGGCTTCACAATGATTCTCTTTTATTTATATATTACGCATCCATATGTATATATCGCACATTAAAAAGAAGCCGGTGGTGAAAGGATGTCATCGTCAATGTTCACGCATTTATGGGATGGGGAGGAGGAAACCATTTTACGATTATAAAATCGGAGTTGCCTTTTTGGTCGAAACTACCAAACCAGGATCGGACTTGGTCTCCCTGGTGACATGTATACGGGAGCCATAGCAACACAAGCAGTGTCTCTTTCTTAGTTCGATATTGAAGACACCACGCGAGATGCCGATTGAAGACGAAGCTGCCCCAGTCGCCAGATCCCATCATTTCAGTGGAATTGATCCATGGGTGTATGGAGCCTTTATGCCTCTAATACGTTTGCCTTTATGCCAACCACTAGCTTGTCGAATATTTACTTTCTACTTGATTGTAAACCGAGCTAGAGCGATCGACCTTGCAAAAGCTTCCGCATGAACGAGTACGTCTATTCTTGGCGTAAGTGATCTGGTTTGCAGTAAGCAAGAGAGAGGTGTGTGGGAGCCTTTATGCCTTCTGCCGTCTGCCTTTATGCCAGCTCTCTTGGCTGAGGAGCTTCCTGAATATCGGTTACGGACACAGGAGGATTTTTCCAGCGAAAATGGCAAGTGTGAAGCAGCTATACAAGAAGCTAATGCCTTGATGTTGACGATTGAAGACGAAGCTGCCCCAGCCGCCAGATCCCATCATTTCAGTGGAATAGATCCGTGGGTGTATGGAGCCTTTATGCCTCTAATACGTTTGCCTTTATGCCAACCACTAGCTTGTCGAATATTTACTTTCTACCTGATTGTAAACCGAGCTAGAGCGATCGACCTTGCAAAAGCTTTCACATGAACGAGTACGTCTATTCTTGGCGTAAGTGATCTGGTTTGCAGTAAGCAAGAGAGAGGTGTGTGGGAGCCTTTATGCCTTCTGCCATCTGCCTTTATGCCAGCTCTCTTGGCTGTGGAGCTTCCCTGAATATCAGCTGCATCTTGGTACTACTTTTTGTATAGCTACTTGTAGATACAAAATTGCATTTCTATGACCAGTAACTGCATTGACTAGGATTTTGGTACAAGCAAGTGTATTCAAGAAGAACTATGGTATACAGCAACAAAACTTGGGACTGATTGCATCGACTAGTGACTTTATTGTTGCCCGTGACCAAATCTTCAACTTAAAGCGTCCTACCGAACGTCAAGGGCCAATTAGTATTAATTGCACCATTTATTATTCACTATGTATATACAATGATAACTCAACATGAATGCTTTTCATCATCCCGCTACGTTCAATAATGTGCTGCATCATCCAACCTTCATCCTTTTCATTTTCGCCAATCTTGTTTCCATGGCAATGTTCGCGCAAAATGCCCCAGAGGCATGGAAACGCTTTATAATATATGCTCAATAATAGTAAAGATCGCCAACAATGCTGCTGAGAGTTGTCATGGTAAAAAAAAGGAAGGGTTTATTCGCTATCCTTGCTACGATCAAGCCAACTTTAATCGGAAACCAGCTGATTCAGACTGTCCAGCAAATAAGGTACCCGCCAAGGTAGGATCGTTATCATCATCCAAGCCTGAATGGACGCCTTGTGGTGCGGACGGGCTGTATATCTTCCTCCTATCAACGTGATTTAGTATACTACCCTCATTCCATTTTCCTCCTACTACGTACTTTTCACCAGATCCTTTGGATGGCCAAGTCGGGAATAATGCAGGATCTTTGGGAGGAGGACTCTCACTAATGAAAACGGTTAGCTTTTTGCACATTTCAAACACTAGCCAGCCACATGTTTACCTGAAATAGGGATGATTGAGAGCTTGCTCGGCTGTGATACGCTGCTCAGGATCATATGTAAGTAGTTTGGACAGCAAATCTAGACCGGCTTCTGTGAGATAAGGAAATCGACTACGCAAGCTGCTATATCTATAAGGGAAGAAACGTGTAAGAAATGGGATAGAGATCCAATTCTTCCTACATACGATGATTGGTTGTTCATAGAGATGTTTTTCGCATAGGGCAGTTCCATAAATCCTGGCCAGATCTTCTCGTTGGGTGCACCCAATAATTTAAATATCTACATTCGGCCCACGTTAGAGAATCAACAAGAGGGATAATAGATCATGCGTTCTTTACCTTGTCTATTTGATCAATTTCGCTACGGCCTGATACCAGAGGTTCATTGTTGATCAGCTCAGCAAATATACATCCAATGGACCACATATCCACCGCCGTGGTATATTGTTTGGTGCCTAGCAAAAGCTCGGGTGCTCTAAAGTATGATTAGAAATGGGAAACACATATCATTTGGGATGGATCCATGTACATACCTATACCACAATGTAACGACCAGCTGAGTCATATGACCTAATGGACTACCGTACTTGCGTGCCAAGCCAAAGTCTGCCACTTTGATTTCACCTCGATTATTCAAAAGTAAATTGCTCGTTTTCAAATCACGATGGATGATCCAGTTGTCATGCAACAGAGCAACAGCAGAGAGTAATTGCAGCATCAATGTCTTGACTTCGGACTGTAGAAAAGGGGTGCGCATATCCGTCATCAATGTCTTGAGGTCGTGTTCAATGAAATCCATGACAATATACACTCTATCTAGTTTATTAGTCGACATGTCATATATATAAAAGCCGAGATATACTTACTGATCAAGATGATTCCCCATAACAATCTCCCGTACATTAACGATATTTGGATGCTTGACATTGATCAAGGTGTAGATCTCTCGTAAACTGGTCACTGGGAACCCATTCTTTTCCTTATCGAGCTTCAGCTTCTTCAGAGCCACCACGTCTCCACTATCACGGTCTCGTGCACGAAACACAATACCATACGATCCTTCCTCGATCCTGTTTAGACGCTCGAATCGATCCACACTTCGACAACCCTCAATAAATGGTCGACTTGTTGAACGACGTGGCATGGGTTTGGCTAATGCTGGTGCTGGTGCTGGTGTTGCTTTTGTTTTTGACGTGTCATGGGTGGTGACAGAAGGGGAAGCATGGCGTGATGTGTGGTGTTTCTTTTCTGTGGACGTTTTCTTGTGTCGTTTAGTGGTGGGTGTGCTGGGTGACTCTTCGTCAGATTCCCATTTGGATTTCCTTGTCGACATGGTTGTATGGGAGGAGGAGGAGGAGAGGTTGATTTGTCTCAGCACGAATTTAATGCTTGCCATGCAACGACAATTCTTTATTGGATGAATGACTATTTTCTACTTGTCAAGTTTGGTATCCTTCAATATGAGTACTAAGGGAACATGATCACTAGCACCCCATGCCTCTTGACGAATGCTACTTTCTACCACCTTGTCCATGAGATCAGGCGTCACCACAAAGTAATCCAAACGCCAGCCAATGCGTTTGACACGACATTGGAAACGATACGAGTAGTAAGTGTAATGGCCCTTCGTATCAGGATGAAAATGACGCCATGTATCAATCAAACCAGGTTGTCCATCCTCGCTGGGTGCAAGTACTTTGGAGAAATCGGTACGCTCTTCAATAGTAAAGCCTGCTGATCTGTGTAGTGCCTTTAGTCTCATATTCTTTATCTCCATACGTTATCATTTTTACCTTTCATTGGTATCAGGTCGAGCAATATCATCTCGCGTATGAGCAACATTGAGATCACTAGATATGCGTGTAAGTGACATGGGATTGTATCACGTGATGGTATCCAACTTACCCAGCCCAAATGACAGGTTTACCCTCCTTTTGCAATGATCGAATATACTTTTCCATGTACTTGTCAAACTCCATCTTCTTATCCAAATTCTTGAGTTCTGAACCAGCATTGGGGACATAGCATGCAATCAATACAAAGGCCGGGTAGAACAAGGAAATGACGCGACCCCGTGATCCATCATCAAAGTCAGGCAATCCATAAGTGACCTTTTCAGGTTCGACCTTTGAGAACACGGCAGTACCCGCTAGATAAAAATGATATCCCATGTCAATCCTTTTCACTCTTGCATCACCTAGCAACGATCCACTTACAATAGCCTTTTTTGTCATCAAATGCCCAGTACATGTGCTTGTATTGTTTTTTATCAATAACATCAGGCAAAGCTTCATGCACCTTGGTTTCTTGGATACATAGGATATCAGCATCTTCGGCCTTGACATAGTCATGGAATCCTTTCTTGACAGACGCACGTAGACCAGACACATTGTACGATGCGATCTTGACACCTCCCTCAGGAGCGTTGGAAAAGGACATTTCGGAAGGCATGGTCGTGTTGTTGGGCACTGAAGGATCGAATGGCTCCCACACCTTGGACTTTTTTTTGGTGCTAGTCTCACTGCTGCTTGATTTTCTCTTGGGTGGCATTGTAGTTGTAGTTGTATAATAGAAAAACGGAGGTAAACGACGACTGCTATTGTGGGACAAGGACACTGACACGACGCGTGAAACAATCCGGAACATGGTACGCGGAGTAATGAAGAAAGAGAGATTCTTTTTTGTCAGGCACCTTATCAATAGACTTTATGTATAATAAAGAAGCAGCTTTTCATTCATCTCACTAAAATTGCAGTGATCCCAATATCTCATATCATTAAAGTACAAGTGTTGGTGGTATGGTGCTGTCGCAGACTGCTGGAATTATCAAGTTTATCGTTTACAACGCCACCTTGAGATGGCACCTATATAGCATACTCATAATGGTTCAATCATGGCGTCAGTATGTCCGTGACCATGTGCATTGTGATACCAGGATACGGAAGCATTGACGATAGCATATGAGAAAGTGATGTATGATACCATGTAAGGAAACTTTCCTGAGTCGCTCCTTTTTGCGTAGCCATCATCTATCAGCAACCCATGGATAACGTGATGAATCGATTTTCTTGAGGCGCAGACTACCACTACTGGTGGGAAGAGTATTATAAAACGAGAGTGAATTCACCCATTGAACGGCCCATTTTATATCTTTCTTTTACTCTATTGCTGTTCACCATCATCATGTCCGCACAGCAGCAGCAGTTGACAGTCAACTTTACAGTGAACAACCATCATCCAGCAAATGTGGATGGTGGTACAAAAGCAAAGCATCCCAACAGCGACGAGCCCATTGTCAATGGATTCTATTGTCATGCATGCGATACTGAAGTAGAAACATTCTTGACCGAATCATACACTTTGGTCTGCAAGCAATGCATGTCATCCTTTATTGAAGTGGTATGCATGGAAATTGCCCATTGCTGGTAATGTAAATACTATAACTTGTCATATTATTAGATGGCTGCACCTGCACCTCCTCCAGCAGCATCTTCATCATCAGCCTCTCATTCGGATGCACAACAACGTAACAATACGAAAAGTGAAACGTCGAAAATCACTTTCCAGCATCCCATGGAAACCAAGTCGGCTGTCAATGTATCCTATACTACGCAATCAGATGATACCTTTCAAGTGCAAATATCACCTGCTATGCCCCAAGAAACGAAACCATCCTCCTCCTCCTCAGCCGCAACTGCGATACAACCTACTAGTACTACTACAGGTCAACGTCAATCCTGGTTTTCATCCTTGTTCAGTCGACGTGCGCGTAAAACGGATACACCTACAGCTGGGCGGTAATGAGATTTATACTATACATACATGCCATGTACAGCATCAAATTTATCAAAGATCTTTTCATTATTAGTGCAAGTACATTTATCACTGTTTTCGCTGGCAAGAACAAGTCGTCGCCTTACAGGTAATACTACTCAATCACCACGAGACATCATGTTCTAATCCCAGCTTGATCTTATCCCATGCAGTGGTTCGGAAAAATTTGCGGCGTCCACGACATGTTGTATGTAAAAGAAGCAGGGTGACACCATCATCATCAAGCAGTGCTGTAGACTTATCTTTTATGTAATAATAGTTGAAGAGAATGACGAAGAATGTCCCATTTGCCAAGATGAGCTGTTTGTCAAGGGCAAGGAAACGTTGCGGTTGACGTGTCGCCATGCTTTCCATCGTGAATGTATCCAAGGATGGCTCGATCGTAGCAGCACGTGCCCTTATTGTCGTCAAACTGTATCCATTGCTACGTTGCCTTGACAACATTCAACGGGGCTCAGCATTCGAGTAACCATTTAACCCCCCCCCCATCACCCGAAATACATCTATTGCTACTACCAGCTGATTAGTAATCCATTTATGTCTTGTTGTGTGTGTGTATGTAAATGCGTTAGCATTATGGGGCTGCCATTACCAGTTGACTTTATTTGATTGGAGGGGAGGTTGACCAAATCGGGCTTACTAACCACATATTTGTACATCCCGCATAAACTACGGTGTCACTTATAAATAGGGGGAGGAGGGACGCGCTTACTTTCTTTCCATTCACACACGCACAATGGACCCAACTGACCCTAGCACTTTCAACCACCAATACTTCAATGCCAATGGCCTTCGTCTTCATTACGTAGATGAGAATCAGTCAGCTACCAAGGCCTTGCTCCTTGTTCACGGTTGGCCCGACCTGTAAGTCTAATACTACTTTTGGCACTTTCTATATCAATCAACTCATATACATACATCCTCCAGTTGGCTCGGCTGGCGTGAACAAATTCCATTCCTCGCCAAGCTTGGCTATCGTGTGATTGTACCTACCATCCGAGGCTATGGCGAGAGTGTATGTTCTTTATCATCATCTGCTGCTGCGCCCATCTTGTATAGTAACCAATCTTTATGATAATAATAGGAGGGACCAGCTGAAGCTATCAAGTACACTGATAAATACCTTACTGCTGATTTGGATGCACTCTTGGATCACTTGCAAATTCCTACTGTGGCAGTACTTGGTCATGATTGGGGAGGTCTCGTTGCTTGGCGCTTTGCACAATTCTATCCTCATCGTGTGGAAGCAGGTACATATGAAATCTATCATCACATTCTTGTCATCTCACTCTCATCATCATTATGATCATGTAGTTGGATCGTTCTGCACACCTTACCTGGTCCCTAATACCGAGCCTATCACCTTGCAACAATTTGTGGAGAAGCTACCCAACTTTACTTACCAATTGTATCTTGTCTCACCCAAGGCTGAGGAAGAAATCAATGCTCATGTAAGCTTTTTTTCAGCTCATTTGACATAGTCCATTGTATCTCATTGCTATGGTGTTACATAGACCGAGGCATTTTTCAAGCGCTTCTTCCGACCCGTAGGCGAAATGAAGGAACCCATGATTGATCCCAACACCAAGACCATGGTTGAAGGACGTGCTGAAATATCCAAGAGTGACATTGTGTCTCAAAAGGTATGCATTGTGATGCTGTTTATCAATGTCGATGGATTCTTATGTGCATGATAATAACGATGATGACTACAGGTACTCGATTACTATGTATCTCAATACCGACAACGTGGTGCAGGTACTTCACTCAACCTCTACAAGCGTTTCGAATACCAGTTCGAGGATAATAAGGGTATGTATATTATAGCATTGAGGAAGAAAAGCTTGCTAAAGGATGTACATGTATATAGGTCTTAACCCTATCATTGAAAAGCCTGCTCTTATGGTTACTTCCGAAGGTGATAGAGCCCTTCCTCCTGCTATGACCCATGGTATGGAAAAGTATGTCCCCAAGGTCGAATTCCGCAATATTGAAGGTGCTGGTCATTGGGTACTTTGGGAAAAGCCAGCCGAATGCAACAAGTACCTTGAGGAATGGTTGCCCAAGGTGTACCCTGCTACTTCTGCTTAAGGAATAACGATGTATATAAAATAGCTTCCCCCCTTGTAACAATAAACCATGACGATCAAATGACAATGAGCCATCCTTTTGAGATGTTGAAATGATATTCATTGTTCCAGCGTTGTACATTCAAATCCTCTCGGATCAAGATGCTTGAATGATAGAAAAGATGAGCTGGAGTAGAGTAATCGTTCACATGCATTGGATTGGATAACGAAGATGAATGGGAGGAATGGCTTATTAGCTGTCAATGATGAGCTGTGTATAAAGTATTATGCATTAACCCTTCCAGTCCTGCAAACCGGCTGTGTTACACAAAGAGGTCCGCCTGCATGTTTGGCTCTATCAAGGTTGAGCATATAGACAATAATCAAAGACCACTTTTATATAGCATCACACTTAAAGCATAGTAAAAACATAAAGGTACTTGTAACTCAGAATTTTACAATCAAGCGTGGGGTCTTTAATAGAACAAAGTTGCTCGCCGGGGTCGAAAGCATACACTGTTCAAGTCTCATGTTCGTCATGGGCGATCCAAGATTTGGCGAATGTCGCCACCAGCCAAAAAATATTTTTGCTCGTCGTCGAAAAAAAATTCAAGAGGTCGACCCGCCGATCTAATTTGGCTGGTGGCGACATTTGCGAAATCTGGGATTGGCCACGATGAACTTCATACTTTGACACAAGATCGCTTTGACCCCGCCGAGCAACTTTGTCCTCATAAAGACCCCGCATTTGATTGTAAAGTTTAGAGTTACAGGCACCTTTATGTTTTACGTATGCTTTAAGTGTGATGCTATATGAAAGGCGGTCTTTGTTTAATGTCAGGTAGCTGAGCCTGATGGAGCAAAAGATGCAGGAGGACTTCTTTGTGTAACTCGGCTACTTTGCATGACTGGAGGGATGGAAGGATGATACTGTATACTAATGACAAGAGCCCATCCATTGCGAGCTATCAGCCATTTTTTCACAATCAGCATTGTTGCATACTCCATTGCATACGAACGATTCTCCTGCTCCAGAGGTTCATTTCTATGATTCAATTATCTTGATCCGAGTTGATTTGACTGAGATACGCTCAAACACGATTACATCAGTTGAGCAACATAGAGCATGCTGTATCTAGCTTAACTGATGTAATCGTGTTTGAGCGTATCTCAGTCAAATCAACTCTGATCAAGATAATTGAATCATAGAAATGAACCTCTGGAGCAGGAGAATCGTTCGTATGCAATGGAGTATGCAACAATGCTGATTGTGAAGAAATGGCTGATAGCTCGCAATGGATGGGCTCTTGTCATTAGTATACAGTATCATCCTTCCATCCTTCCAGTCATGCAAAGTAGCCGAGTTACACAAACACGTCCCTCTACATCTTTTGCTCTGCCAGGGTCCACCTACTTGACAATGAACAAACACATGTCTTCCCAGAATTTAACCAAATTGCCTGATAAGGAATCAGGCACACAAAATAGCCAGCATCGTCCTTCTTATGCCAACGTTACCAGTACTCATTCCTCAGCTCGCACTCATTCCCCATTGCGGGATTCGCTGAAACCAACGGCTCATGACAATGCTGTGCACTCGAATGTGTGGAAAGCCGGCGGCTCTCCTGCTTCTTGTTCCAGCTTGTTCTTTGACTTCACGTCTCGTACTGAAAATCGCGCTACGCTTTTGTGCCATCTAAATACAAGCTTCCCCAACAACTGTGGAGTACGCCTTCACTCGGATCACTCTCGCCGCATTGTTGAACTTTTTATCGATGACTCTAACGTGTACCAAAAAGCTCGTACGTCAGGTCTTGCTTTCAAGGATGGTATGCGTATCTTGCCCAGTGTGCCTTTACCAGCTGATTCTTGTCTCGTTCATCTTCGCCTAAGCAATCTTCCTTTCACCTCTCGTGATAAGCTCACCGACGGCATTTGTAAAGCTCTCTCGTCCTTTGGTGACGTTCTGGATTATGGTATTTTGCGTGATCATGACTCAAATCTGTTCATGGGTCATGGTTATGCAACATTAAACGTTTCAGATGCAAAACAATCATCCTCGCTCTCACACAAGATTTCATGGCCAAACTCCGAAGACTGGTTTTATGCAACATGGGCTGAAATGCCGCTTCATTGCCTCCATTGCCACAAATCCGGCCATTCTTTGTCTTCATGTCCTACTCATCCAAGCCGATACCGCCCCTGTTGGTCTTGTGGCCAAAATGGTCACCGTGCTGCTAAATGTCCCAATCGTCAAACTATTGTCAAGCCCATCAATGTCCCGCCAATGTCCCCATCGTCTTCTATTTCCACTGCTGCCAGCCAATCATCTGATGTATCCATGCTTAGCACTGATTATTCACCCCTTGAAGCCCACAACGACATGATTATCAGTAATCATATTACAGAATCTTCCAATGAAAAGCCATCAGCCAAGTCATCTAAAGCACCAGCATCACCTGAGTCCATCGATCGTATGGTGACGTCTTTCCCCATGTCTGACGAAGCCAAGGAAATTATTCGATCTTTACGTTCACCAAGTTTTACCACCCTTTATTTTAAGCTTCAAACCAAGGGCAAACGTTTTCCGCCATCCACCGATCCCCCCAATTCTTCGGGGAGTGTCTCTTCCATGAGACTTAATGATTCTGATTAGCTCGCTCCCACCCTCGTCTTGTCATTTTGTACTTTCCTTTGTACTTTCCTTCCCACTTTTCTTCTCAAATACGATCATTTTAGGGGTATCACTCTCCGACATACTCCCTACAATAAACCCGAGGCCAAAAGCCTCCATATAAATACTTGACAATGAACAAAGACCACTCTTCATATAGCATCACGCTTACAAACATAAAGGTGGCTGTATCTCCAAACTTTACAATGAAACGTGGGGTTTTGAATAGAGCAACGTGCTCGGCTTGGCCAACTGCACCTTGTGTGAAAGTTTCACGATCAAGCTTGCCAATCCCAGATTTCGCAATGTCGCTACCAGCCAAACTGGATCTGTGGGTCGACCTCTTCGACGACGACGACCAAAACATATTTTTTGGGCTAATTGCGACATTGAACGTGAAACTTTCACACAAGGTGCAGTTGGCCAAGCCGAGCCCATTGCTCTATTAAAAACCCCCACGTTTCATTGTGAAATCTTGAGATATGGCTGTCTATATGTTTTCACTATGCTGTAAGCGTGATGGAGTTGCTTTCTCCTGATGGATGGTGTCGGCTGCATTAACGGAAAGATGTAGAGCGGAGTGAAATGGCACGTGAGTAGCGTTTTCAAATGTGCCAGCTCGCTTTTCTAAAACAGATGGTACAGCAAGCATTGCTCAGCACGCATGTTCCCCGTATCTTTAAAATAGCTTGCTTTCAACCAACATCGATAAACAGTGAGTTGGTCAATCATCGACTGATTCTCCATCATATCGACCTTGGCAGCAATGTGAATGGATTTAATCACTCCTCGATGATGAAAAGGCAAGTTCATTTGTGTGTCTATGACATTGGGCTCAAGTCGTACAAGCTTTCATCACAACCATCCATAGCTTGCGTTGTTACTACATCATCCACCATTGGACCCCCTGAATTACCATGATGCTATTATGCTATTATTATACAATAATAAAGACAAGATGTATACGTGACAAGAACCACTATAATACGTAACGAAAATCGGGATGGCGATCACCTGCCAACTCGGCACCTCCATACTTGAAGATTTCATATTCTTTTTGTTCCTGAGTCAGCTGGTCTCGTCGTTTGTTTTCTCGAGCCAAAACAATACGTAGTGTAATATCGGCAATGCTTTGTGCGCCTAGGCAACAGAAGGCAATGGTGTTCCCACCAAAGTAGAATGGCTCATCGAAGTAGATTTGGCCACCAATGGCACCGCCCACTGTACCTATAGCAACAATCACTGCAGAGGCAAGCGCACGGCGTGTCAATCCACCACTACATAGCGTAAGGTGAGTAAAACGGATTTTGGAGCCATTCAGCCGCCTACTTACAAGTTGTTATTGAACCAGGCCACCTTGACAGGGACATTGGCATACTAGTAGTAATAGCAGCAGCAAAATTGAGTCATCAAAGCATGATCGTGTGATCCCATCCTATTGTATCTTACCACAGCAATTGTTGAGAGGCAAGCAGCAAAGTAGCGTACACCCACTTGTTCTTCAGCAATAAACATCAACAACAAGAAACCGACCATGCCCACTAGATTGATACCAATCATGTGATATGCACGATCAAAGAACCGGTCTATCATCATCCAAAGTCAATAAAACTCGATTTCGGCCCCATTTTGTTTCATGTACTTACCTGATGTATAGCCTGCAATGATGGTAAAGATAAAGGCCAAAAAGTAAGGAGGCGTAGTTAAAGCTTGAGATACCGCCTTATCCCAGGCTCCCATCCCGCTGATAATGGAAGGTAGGAAGAGGGTCACACCTTGCAAAGCGCTTGTTCCCGTGATGTAGATGAAACAATAGACGTATGTTTTATAATCCAAGAATACAGATGCAGCTCGATCCCATGACCAAGCATGATCATTAGCAGCTCCTTGATCTGTAATTCATATAAGCAATGGTTAACGCTACTATATACCAAGCACCTTTCTTCCTCTCAAATAGTACTACTTGCCTGTTGCAAGACGTTCAATTTCGAGTTTGCGTTCATCTTCGTTTAAAAACTTTGCAGTCTCTGGTGTATTTGGAAGATACCAAGCTGCTACACAGGCAGCTACTACCGATGGAGCACCTTCAATAATGAACAACCTGAATCGTATTGGGGGTGGATGAGTGGAAAGTGTTTTCATGCATAATAAATGGATCATACCACTGCCATGTGTTCAATGTGTGCGTGGGAATCATGGAGATACCATATGCAATCAAGCCACCAAATGCACCTGCAAGTGAGCTAAACGACCAAAAGTAACTCACTCGTCGGCCATATTCACCTCTTGTATACCAGATCGAGAGATAATAACTGATAAAAGCAAAAGAGGGTCAGCGTGCGTGCGTGTATGTGTAAACAATGGAGATGGTTGATACGTTACAGGACACCCGGAAAGAAGCCTATTACATCCTCGCATTAATAAGCTGCTGTTTTATGCATCAACAAGCTACATTGCCATGGTTACATACCTGCTTCAAGAATACCCAAAAACAAACGTGCGATAATAAGACCTGGAAAGTCTTTAGTTCCTGCCATTGCCATAGCAACAACGCCCCATAGACTATTATAAAGCATGTGTGTGGGTCATCTTGGTGCACTCGGGTCTCTTTCATAAGGTATAAACTTACGCTGTAATGATGGCAAGCCAATAGGATGCACGCCATCTACGCAAGATGATGTTTGCCGGCACATCAAATAACACATAGCCGAAATAGAAGATGGACAAGCACCATTGAAATTGATTCGTGGTCAAACCAAGGTCATCAATCAAGCCACCAAGTTTAGCATTGCCAATGTTGGATCTAAAAGAGTAACCGTCCTGAGTCATGGCATGTTTTTGGTTAAAAAGGTCATTTCTAGTTACCGATCCAAATAACCCAAAAAGTATAAAATACAAAGCAACGGAAGAAGGCGTAGATCAAGTTTTCTATGATGACCCACAATGAGTATCACTGTATACAAGAACCACTTTATTATATCACACTCATTACCGAACGATTCTTTTTTCGAGCGATTTGTGATCTGAGCCCTTTTCAGGATCCGTGGTAGTAGCAGCAGCTTCTTGTTCCAAGACTTCGTGATCGATAGGCGGCGGGGATGAGTGCTTGTCCTTGTCAACTTCAGCCATTGTGGTTGTGTGTGTGTGAAAGAAAAAGGGACATGGGATACAACAGGGCTTTTATATAAAAGACACATGCGGGGACATGATCCAGTTACATGTGGATGGTGAATCCTGCAGAAGGTAAAAAAAAGATCGGGCGTGAGCGAGATGTGGGGTCCGATATGGGTAAAAGGACCCTTTCATATTTCACCATATCGGGTGAGAACAAACCTTTTTATTCTGGACGTTCACACACACAATAGGTGATTTGATAAAACAATGCAGAGTGCGTTGATATACTCGTGGGAAGTGGATTATGAAAAAGAGAGATTAAACGCGACCTGCATCACGGAATAATTTTTGTGGCAAATACCCGATGCCCATGGCGTTTGGGACCCCCCTCTCAGCTATTTAATCATTGGATGTGTACCTTTTCCCCATCCCTCCCTTTTTCTCACACACATACACATACACAAGCACGCAATGAGTGAATTTTACGATGTCGTGGTCGTAGGTGGCGGGAACGCGGGTTATTCCGCAGCCATTTCAGCCAAGCAAGCGGGTGCAAGCAAGGTCCTATTGATTGAAAAATCAACCGCCGATGCTTATCCTGGTGGCAATAGTTACTTTACTGCTGGCAAGTAGGACTCCAATCCACTGCTTTGGTTATAGAATGTCATTACCTAATATATGCTCTCTCTCACTCTCTTTATAGGTGCATTCCGTACAGTGTTCCATGGATTGGATGATCTTCTTCCGATAGTGCATAATGTGGATGCTAAAACAGCAAAGTTGATTGACATGGAGCCTTATACGCGTGAGCAATTTTACAATGACGTGATGCGTGTGAGTGGTGGTCGAGCTGATGATGCACTTGCCAACACGTTGGTGGATGAAAGCCGTGATACCATTGATTGGCTCAATAAGGTGGGAATCCAATTCCAATTTTCATTCCATCGTCAAGCATACAAGGTGGATGGTCGATACAAATTCTGGGGAGGAATGGTTTTGAGTATTGTGAACGGTGGCAAGGGCTTGATGAAGAATTACCATGATGCAGCCTTGAAGCATGGTGTCATTGTACGCTATGGTACAAGCTTGACAAACATTTTGACCCACCCAAATCAATCCAAGGTGACAGGCATTCAAGTCATTACAACATCAGGTGACAAGCAAACGATCTCCACGGGTGCATTGATTTTGGCGTGTGGTGGTTTTGAAGCGAATCCTGCTATGCGTGCTCAATTCCTTGGACCCAATTGGGATTTGGCACATGTGCGAGGTACACCTTACAATACGGGTGAAGGTCTATTGATTGCCCAACGTGATTGTAATGTCAAGACGGCTGGCAGTTGGAGTTCGTGTCATGCTACCTGCTGGGATGCCAATACCCATCCTCATCAAGGCGATGTCCACTTGACCAATCAATTCACCAAAAGCGGCTATCCACTTGGTCTGATGTTGAATAGCAATGGCGTACGTTTTGTGGATGAAGGAGCTGACTTTCGAAATTACACGTATGCCTTCTTTGGAAAGGAAATCATGCGACAACCAGGAGGTATCGCTTTCCAGATTTGGGATTCCAAAATGCTGCCGTACCTGAGAGAAGAAGAATACAGCGATGATGTGGTGGAAAAGGTGGTGGCCAACTCAATTGAAGAACTTGCCGAGAAACTCGCCACGCCTACCAAAGGCTCTTGGAAAGGAACATTGTCCAGCAAAGAGCAATTGATCAAGACCATCACCGAGTACAATGAAGCTGTGCGTGCCCACCGACAGGAAAATCCAAATTGCAAATGGGATCCTTCTATCAAGGATGGATTATCCACCCAATCCTCTCGTATTCAACTTGAGTTGCCGAAAAGTAATTGGGCTCTTACGATCGATGAAGCACCTTTTGTCGCTGTCAAGATCACTACAGGTACAATGACTCATGATGATGGTGAAGCAAACATGGATGGCTGATTGCCCCCCCCCACCCCAATTAGGTATCACGTTCACTTTTGGAGGCCTCGCTGTTGATCCCAGTACGGCTGCTATGCTTGATTCCTTTGGTAACAAAATACCTAATCTTTATGGTGCTGGCGAAATAGTAGGTGGCATTGCAAGCTCAAATTATGCTGGAGGAAGGTGAGTTATTATGATCAAGGCAATAACAAGTGGACAAGAGACTTATTGGTATTATTAAACAAGTGGTTTAATGTTGGGTGCCATCCTTGGAAGGAAAGCTGGTATTTCTGCTGCAACCCAGACCTCTAAGAGTAGTAGAATGTAGACATAGAAGACATCTATTTAAACAATACATGGCTATCGTAGAACCGATTCTGATGATGGGTGTTGATAATATTGATGACATCGCCATAGAGCCATTGCAAGCTTCACCGTTGCTGACGACCTCTTTACTCCCGTAGCCACAATTTCCCTGGTATCATCTGCATCTATCATGCTGGTGATCTTGTCTGGCCATAGCTGTCGTACATCATAGGATGGTACTAGTTGATCTCCTACTCGATGATCCAATTCGCAAAATGGAAGACTAGAGGATGGATGACGCCATACAAGGATGCATTGCAGAGGTTCCTCACTTTGCCATTCTCGATCCTTCACATGTTGTAGATCCACAGTACGATTTGATAGCAGGTGTTGAAAAGCACTGATCCCCAGCTCCTGTTCTACGCGCTGTTCCATATCCTTGTCAAAATGCTGACACGCTCCCCGAAATATAGGTTGAAATCCTGTTGTCATCCAAATAAGCACATCTTGTCATAAGAGAGCATCCATCCCCATCCATACCATTCGGCTGTAACTCTTGAAGAACCTTCTTCCTTAAGTGAACATAGTACTTTGTTCCCTGATCACTGGTGTTGACTATCTCTGGAGCTGCTGATATCTTGTTGATCTTGTCATCCCTTCCCAAGCCAAACCGTAACAAGAGTGCTTTTCATAAACCTTAATTCCATCAGCTATACCACCTTTCGTTACTATGATAGCTTACCAGAAGGAAACATTTTACGGTGGTATTTGCATTGCCGTAGTGGGGAAGCAAGCATCTTTGCTACAAGGACGTCGCATTACAACTTGGTTGTTGACATATGGGTGTGGGTGGACATGATAGTACCATAGGGACTGCATTGCAATGACGGGTTGGCATTACGTTTCCGGGTTGGTTTTACGTGTTGGAAATGAGAAACAAGGCGGTTTATCCTTGAGCAAGTATTGTTGGACATGTCTGAAAAGAAAGAAAGCGTAGTACGAAAAATGAAATAGGGACCATGATGATGTCAAATAAAAAGAGAGAGAGCGAGAAAAGATAGATCTGCTATCACATTGAAATGACGTTGTTTGTCATCATCGTCGTCATCATCATCTCTTCAAGTGTGGTAGATAGGCTTTTTATTATTATAGTTGGATTGTGGAGTTCTATAAGGTGGGTGGTGGTGGGGGGGGATCCGAAATTGACCGGGTGAAGGAAGCATTATCATTTGCGAAACAAGTCAAGAGATTTGTCATTGCATGCCTTTTCCCACATTCGGTTTGTATAACAAGGTTTGATCTCAGCAGCATTTCCACCTCTCGGAAGCATCCATCGGGTAACCCCGCTCTTTTTTATATAAAGCATTGTATTTAACCACGCGCGAAACCCCACCACCTTTTCTTTTCTTTCACTCTTAAATGATCAGAGCCGCTGTGAGCACACCTTATCTCAGAGCCTGCCTCAATACTACACGTCAAACCACTAAAAGATTCGCCATGTCCAACAACGCTGTTCGTACTTTTGTCGCTGAGGCAACCATCCCCAAGGTATGTATATAAAAGTGGACGATCCTTTATCTCTTTTTTGACATATGCATTGACTCTTTTTTTTGGCAACAGCTCAAGGATTCCTCTCTTTTCCGCCATGCTGCTTATGTCAACAGCGAATGGATTACTTCTGACAAGACCTTCTCTGTTTATGGTACGTGTGTGTGAATGAATAGGCGTGGATGGGTTGTTAAACAAAACGTCATCGTCGGCATATACAGATCCTGCCACTGGTAAGGAAATTGGCAAGTTGCCCGAGATGGGTGGTGAAGATACCACCAAGGCTATCCAAGCTGCCTCTGAAGCATTCAAGTCCTGGTCCCAAACCACTGGCAAGCAACGTCATGACTTGTTGAAGAAGTGGTACGACTTGACCATGGCCAACACTGAAGATTTGGCTACCATCCTTACTTGGGAAAATGGCAAGACCTATGCTGAGGCCAAGGGTGAAATTGCTTATGGTGCAAGCTTTTTTGAATGGTTTGCTGAGGAAGCTGTTCGTTCCTATGGCAACGTGATCCCATCCCATATTCCCAGCCAACGCTTCATCACCATCAAGCAACCCGTTGGTGTCGTTGGTGTCATCACTCCTTGGAGTAAGTAGTCCTTTGGTGGAGGTGTTTCTCATAGATCAAAGTAAGCTGATGGATGTTGATAATAGACTTCCCCAATGCCATGATCACCCGTAAGGTGGGCGCTGCTCTTGCTGCTGGTTGTACTGTTGTCATCAAGCCTGGTGCTGAAACCCCTTACTCTGCCTTGGCCTTGTGTGAACTTGCCGAACGTGCTGGTATTCCAAAGGGTGTCATCAACGTCGTCACTACCCATGAAAAGGTTGCTGAAGTTGGCAAGGAATTGTGCACCAACCCCATTGTTAAGAAGATCTCTTTCACTGGTTCCGTAAGTAGCATCACATTCAATAATGAGAATAATGGGACATGATGCTCATCTCTTTTTCTTTATTATAGACCGGTGTTGGTAAGATGCTTATGGCCCAATCCTCTGGTACTATGAAGAAGATCTCCATGGAGCTTGGTGGTAACGCTCCCTTCATTGTCTTTGATGATGCTGATGTGGATGCTGCTGTTGAAGGTAAAACAAGGAAAATAGGATGGGATCATTGGATGCAAAAAGTATTCACTACTTGTTTTCGATTAGGTGTGCTTGCATGCAAGTTCCGTGGTACTGGTCAAACCTGTGTTTGCGCCAACCGTATCTATGTGCAAAAGGGTATCTATGCTCTCTTCGCCTCTAAGCTTGCTGAGAAGGTTGGCAAGTTCCGTGTGGGTCACGGTTTCAATGCCGATACCACCCATGGTCCTTTGATCAATGACAAGGCTGTTGAAAAGGTCAAGCGTCATATTGATGATGCTGTCAGCAAGGGTGGTGAATTGCTTGTTGGTGGCAAGCACGTTGGTGGCAACTTTATCGAACCTGCTGTTGTTGCCAACATGACTCAAGAAATGGCTATTGCTGGTGAAGAGACCTTCGGCCCTGTTGCTGGTCTTTTTGAATTCTCTACCGAAGAAGAGGTGCTTGAATATGCCAACAAGACCGAGTTTGGTCTTGCCAGCTATTTCTATTCCCGTGACATTGGTCGCATCTGGCGTGTGGCTGAGAAGCTTGAGGCTGGTATGGTGGGTGCCAACTCGCCCATTCTTTCAAGCTGCTACACTCCTTTCGGTGGTATCAAGGAAAGTGGTGTCGGTCGTGAGGGCTCCATGTATGGCATGGATGATTACCTTAACATCAAGTACATCAACATGGGTGGCATCTAAGCACATTCAAAATACCATCACTTTTTGTTCCCTTTTTTGCATTTATCTCGCGTTTATCCCATTCACTTACACACACACACTTCCCCTCCTACCCACAAAATATATGTATAAATAGTTCACATGCAACGCATTCTTGAAAATATACACACACAAACACAAAAAATGTTTTATGTTTACATTGCAAAGTGCTTGGGATTCATGCGTTGGCTGGTTATGGATCATGTGACATAATCCTTGTCTTGATCTACATGTCTTAACGCGAGATAGTCAAGTCATTTACACGCTACTTTGCATTTATTGAATCATCCTGGATGCTGTAGAATGGATATGCTGTGTATGGGGGATTTACTTTTGACACGTGTCCTGGTGGGCCACTTGGGATACGCCACATAATGCGGGGAGGGGAAAGAAAGAGGAGGGCGTTGTTCGAAACGTGTGCATGGTACACGTTGTTAAGGTTACTTGCTCATCTTGACATTCCACACACACCATGTTTGCCGAGTTACGACGAATGAACGCGAGGCAGGTAAGCATACATTGATACTATTCAAAAGCGAGTCGACGCACAATGGAACCTCATGTTGTTGTTACTGCCATTCAGGTTGCCTTGCAAGTGTTGAATATCCTTACCGTCATCTCTACAGCTCTCATGATTTGGAAGGCTTTGGGTCTTACCCTCAACACAGAAAGTCCTATCGTTGTCGTGCTAAGGTAACAGCACTCTCTCTAGATAGTGGTAAAAGCATGATCTAAGCATTATCTTTTAGCGGGAGTATGGAACCAGGATTTCATCGTGGAGACTTGCTTGTTCTATCCATGCCATCTCAAGACCCAGTGGATGTAAATGATATCTGTGTCTTCAAGTTACCAGGACGAGATGTACCCATTGTGCATCGTGTTATCAAGCTTCATGATGAGTAAGCCATTCAAACATAACAAAGGAGGAAGACTACACAATCACTCATGACATGATGATGATACTAGTGCTGTCACCAAGAAGCAGTACTTGCTCACCAAAGGCGATAATAACGCACGCGATGATCGTGGTCTTTATGATCCTCGTCAAATGTGGATTCATCGTGAACATGTTGTTGGAAAAGTGAAAGGGTAAGTGGGGCAAGTGTTATCATCGAACAAAGATAGTAATGACTTTTTGAATGTAGCTTTGTCCCTTATGTGGGCATGTTGACAATTATGATGAATGATTATCCATGGCTCAAATTTGCTTTACTGGGTGTTGTTGGTTTATTTGTTCTTGTACATAGAGAATAATAAACATTTTATCTATCGACGTTTCTTACTACTTGGCTCTTGTTCAAGATCTTCACTACGAGCACGCTTGGAGGAAGAGGAGGAGGAGGATCCAATCACATCACTACCACCAGGGGATGCAGGTGCAGCCACGCCTCGATTACCCACACTTAGAACAACATGGGCACTGCCGGTACGTTGTTGACGTTCAAGAAGTTTGGTAGCAAGGTTGAGTGGTGTGTCGCTACTACTCATCATGTTGAGCTTGAGTTCTTCTTCCAATTTCTGCATTCGCTTTTCAGTCTTTGCTTTGCCTGATGTTTTGCCATGGAATTTGTGAGACATGTATCTGAAAGCTTCCTTGGTATCCATTTGGTGACCGTATTCATCCACGTATTCAAGCTTGACATCAGGTCGATAATTCTCCATACGCTTTTCAAATTCACGCATTTGTTCTCGTTCTTCCATCTCCTTTTCTCGTTCTCTTTCACGTTCACGTTCTCGTTGTCGCTCTCGATCACGTATTCCTCGCGAAGATCCATCACGCTCACGTTGTCGTTGTCGTTCATATTCTCTTTCACGTTCTCGTTGTAAATCCTTTTTCTTTTGCTCAGCAATCCATTTCAGCCTATCAGCTGCTATACGATCACGCTCCACTTGTTCATCCGTAGGCTTGCTGACAATGCCTTTTTGACTCAACAATGACAACGTTGCTGCTAATCCTCGGCTGACGAGTGGTTCTTCAATAATGGCTGTGTTTTCTTCTTCCATCTTTTCTTCAGGGGCTGATGCTGATGCTGCTGGAGATGCTTCTCGTGCTTTGATCTCTTCTTGAGGTGTCGTCTTCTCTTCTTCTTCTTCTATGGGAGTTGCTTCTTTCTCTTCCACTCTACTACGTGTCTCTTGTGTTGATGTGCCATCGGTGGTGGTTTCTTTTGTTGCTCGAGCAGGTGGTTCTCGGGTAGTGAATGCTGGCGTTTCACCCAAAGCATTGACGAACTCTGTCATTTCAGAAAGTACCAGACCTTGTCCTTCATTGGCAGGTTCATTCTCTTCAGGCGTGGCTGATTCTCGTTGCTCTGCAATACTACGTGCGATATCTTCAGGTGTCATTTTCTTTGCTAATTTGGATTTCTGCTTGTTGGCTGCACGTCGTGTCCTCGATAATGCCTGTTGTAATTCATCATCATCCACAAAATTGGCATTCACATCAATCGTTTTGCGTGGTGCTGGTTCGGTTGTTGTTGTTGTTGTATCTGGTTCCTCTTTGGGTGTTGAATCGATTGAGATATCTTTGTCGGGCGTTCGCTTACGCAACTTGTCCTTTTTCTTTTTCTTCTTGGGCTTCTTGAATGAAAGATTGACTTCGTCTTGGGTATAATAATCTTTGATCTCCTGCATCTTTTCATAATCCAACGTCTGCTCCTTGAGCTTCTCGGCCACCCGCTTCTTTTTCTCCTCTTCGCTGACGACTTGAACAGCTCCATTTTGACCGATAGCGAATCCTTGAGCTTTGGCCTCCTCCTCATACTGTGGCAAAATACTCTTTTTGGCTCCTCCCAATGTGAATTCCTCATCATCATATGGATTGTAACCAGGCTTCTTCTTTTTGGCGTCCAAATTCTTTCGTAGTCGTTCACGTTCCTCAAGTTGAATATTGCTCAATTCATCGGTTTGCTCATCGTCCTCATCCAAAATGCCACGATCTTTGAGTGTGAGAATCATTTCACTGCCTTCATTGAATTCTGTCAATTCATGCGCCACCTTGAGACCGCTTAATGCTGAAGCATCGTATTCTTGGAACGTCTCATCCATTTCATCCTGTTCACGTGCTCGTCGCTTTGCAAGTTCTCTTTCTCGTTGTCGTTGTCGTGACTTTTTCACCCAATCCAACGCATCATCCGTTCCCTCCGTGGCTTCTCCAAGTCCTTTACCCTGAAGCTTTTCAAGGTGCTTTTTGCGATTCTTGGATCTAACAAAAAAAAGAACAATAAATACATTGTACGCTATCCATGCATGCTCTATACACTTACTTTTCAATACGAGCTCTAATTTCTGCTGCTTGAGCTTCTTTCTCGTCTTGCTCCTTTTTCTTTTGGTAATTGTCAAAGGCTTCTTGATCAGGATCAGCAGGTTGCTCGGCATCTTGGGCCAAAGGAGGAAGACCCAACTTTTCTCTCAACGCACTATAGACGATCTTGGTAAGTATCATAGTTTATGTATGTATCGGTGGCACTATACGTACTTTGTCTCCTCAATTGAAATGGATTCTGCCATGTTGCAAAAGAAGGAAGAACACTGGAAAAGGAAAATGAATCGACGACGCAAAAAGCACGGAGATGGAATACTGCCGCAGCTCCTTAGATTTGCTCTGGTTGGTTTGTTCAATCCCAGATGTGCGCTTGCCCAATGTTCTATACTGCTGCTTAGAAGGATACGCACCTTAGAATGAGCTCATCAGCACAAGTGCTAGATAACATGAAAATACATATGAGAGAGATATTACCACCTGCTGAACTTATTTGGGCTATCATCATTTGTCGGCTGTCGATGCATTATGAACCATCATTCCCTTTGTGATCCCATCATGCACTCATAAACAAAAAGAGATGTTGTCGCCCTTCTACCTCCATCCTTCTTCTCTTTGATTGCTTACACCTTCCAAAGCCAATTACATAACCTCATGGATTAGAGCTTATCATATGATCATTCGTTGCTATCGTCGTGGTTGCCATGGTGATATTTGAGGACTCGACCTTGATCGCAATAGTCTACAAGTGAAAGGTGCATCGTAAAATAACATTTAACCGCTACCATCATATTGCTTTTTCCTATGTCAATATGACCATTACGGTGAAGGTGACTACGTAGTAACATGGCATTTGCTATCGGTTGAACGCTTTGACCAAGCATTGTGTATGTGTGTAACACGACATATCATTGGTTCACGTTCTCGCTTGAGAGATTGACACGTCTGAATGGAAAATGCTACGGATCCAACTACTGTTGTTGCTTTCTTTCACTTTACGCTCATGCCGCGCATCGCCGCCACTGTCATTGCATTATGGACCAGTCTTACGCTTGCATTGGCCTTCTATTCCAACCGTGATGCTGTCGTGGAGCTGACGCCAGAGAACTTTGACCGAGTCGTCTTGGATACCAAGGTACATACCACCTACCTCTCTCTCCTTTAAGCTCGTTTGCAGGGATTGACTGTCATTCAGCAATTAGTTGCCGTCGAATTCTATGCACCATGGTGTGGTCATTGTCAACGGTATGTACCTCTGCAACCCAATCGTATGCATAAAGTCACTCACGTTATGATGTATAGGCTCGCTCCTGACTGGAAGAAGGCTGCCAAAAACCTCCAAGGTCTCGTGACATTGGGTGCTGTCAATTGCGACGAGGATACGAATCGTGGATTATGTGCACAGTATGAGATCAAGGGATTCCCCACCATCAAAGTATTCCAACCTGAAAAGAAACGAGATAAGCGCACTGGACAATTAGCAAAGCGTGCTCAAGGTAAGGTCGCATGATCAAATCAACATGATTACATATATAAACAAGAAAACTAGATTATCCCGGTGCTCGTGATGCTCGATCCATTATCGATTATATGCTTGCATGGCAACCATCCCAAGTCCGATTCATCAAGGCTGATTCGAGTAAAGCCAAATCCAAAAAGAGCATGACCATGGATGACTTTTTCGCCACAGAGGTATAAAGGATCAAGTGGGAGTGGGATGATAGAGCATTGAATCTTATATATACTTCTTAGAATGCTACCTTGCCAAAAGCTGTATTGTTTACTGATAGATCCACCACCTCGGCTTTGTACAAGTACTTATCAGTCGAGTATGGTGGTCGTATGTTATTAGGAGAGGTCAAGAAATCAGAGAAGGCGCTCATCAAGCAATTTGGTATCAACAAGTTCCCTACTCTTTTTATTTCTTCTCCTACGGATGGACATGTTGCATATGAAGGCAAGATTGAAAGAGCAGGCCTTATTGAGCTCATGGATCGATCGGCGCTTCCTGCCAAGGAGAAATCATCCACTCCTCAGAAATCGGAGCAGCCAAAGGACAGCGCAAAGGGTAAGCATGGAATAGGGTTGAGTGAGAAGCATGTATGCTGATGATGTTTATATATATGCAGTGAACAAGATCACTTCTGATGCCGAGTTGGATGAGTTTTGCTTAAAGACGGGCAGGATCTGTGTTATGGCTATTACCAATGATGAGGAAGAGGAAAGCACAAAGAGCATTCTCAATGATATCAACAAGACAGGCTCTTCATTGTATCGGGTGGCCTGGATACCTGACAACAAAGCATCAGCCATGATTCGCCATTTGGATCTCTCAGCCGATTTGCCAGTATTGTTCCTTGTCCATCCTTCCAAACAACTCTATAGACCCTACGTTGGTGCATGGGATGCAAAGGCTATTAGTAGTTGGTTAGAAAAGGTCGTTCGTGGAACCATCTCTCCATGGCCTTATCAAGGAAACCTCAGCTTAGAATCAGCAGATCGCATTCGTGATGAACTTTAAATAAATTATACATCGTCACATCAAGTACTATAGGTTGCTTATCATCCATTTGGGTAACGTAATGTATAGCAGTATAAGCCTTATAGCATAGGTGCATTCATTTTAACTTCATCGTGGGAGTTGAAATGTGGTGGTGGTGCATGATGATATCCGTTGCAGTTGCTGTTTGAAGATGGCGCATCAAGTTGTAATTAGATCGATGATATGACTATAGTGGTATATAGCTTAAATCGCTTGTGGTTCCACTCAACAGCGTTCCTATTGTAGCTGAATTTCCTATAATTTGGGTCGCCAATCGAATATGGCATCCCTCTTGGTTCCCACCATTGGGGATTCAAAAGAGTCAAATTCTGAGTTATTATAGGTTATGGGTCCACCATTGGAGATGCTCTTACAGCGACAACAGAGAACCACACCAAAAATCAACTCACAGTAATAATGAGGCATATGATGTATCCATAGTCCTTTCTCCACAAGATTAAAGGGTAATGTATCATTTACTGAATCTTAAAAAGTCTACTTCAATATCCACTGATTTCTTTTTATGAAACTTGTACATCATCGGGACATCGAACTACGAGAAAACAATGATTCAGTTAATGTTGTCAATGGGTTTCCCATATAAAGCATTACCTTCATTTCAGCTACAACTTCGCATTGGACTCCCCATTCCTTGGCCTTCTTCATGATATGCTACAATGATCATCGTTAACTCATGTATATTACAGCCCGTACGACAACATGAATACTTACCTCTCGCGTGGAGGTTTTATGTAATGAATACACAGCCTTATTGGCAATCTACCTTATCATGTCAACACGAGGTTTCATTTAATGAACCCACAGGACCCATGTGCCTACGTACCTCGACTGCCTTTTTCAAAAAGACCATATCAATGCCCTTATTCTTGGTACCAAATGGCGGGTTCATAATGACGGTATCCAAACGTCCCTTGAATCGATCGAAGAGTGCATTCTCTTGACCCAAATCGGTCCATACAAAGTCAATCTCGGTCTCAAACGCTTCGGCATTCTCACGTGCTATCCGTATAGCATCGGGATCAATGTCAAAGCCAACGCAGTATCTAATGTATTTGTGTGTGTAAGGAAGGATGGATATAACATAGGTGTAATAGTACACACATACCCTGCACCACGAATAAAAGACGCAATACTCAATATGCCACATCCACTACCAAAGTCACCCACTGCCTTGTCTTCGATATCGTCATAAACCGTATCGGCCGTGTAGATCATTCGTGCAGCTAAATGGGCTGTCGTGGGATATTGCTCATACTGGATCTTGGGCTTCTCTGATCGTAAAAAGCCACGATTAGAAATAAAGCGTATAGTTTAAGCGTAGTCGTGAAGGAAGGGAACCGCACCAAAGACTGCACAATCTTGAAGAATGCTTTCGAATTCCTTGAGCTTCATTGTGGGGGGGGTCGTCGGGAAAAGAGTAGGTGGATACCACTTGGGAAGACGAAGGAAAATTGACTGACAAAAATGAGGTCTGCCTTGAAATCAAATGATAGACTACATGCTACAAGCCTTACAGTATGGCTAAACAATAAACAGTGGGCTCATTGTATTGTGTTCGATATGCTGTTAGGTAGAAGGGTAGAAGTATTTATAATATCGTATCCTCATGGCAGGGAACATTTACGTTTATGTGCTATGTTTATCGATGAAGGTGCCTCTCTGAAATGAAACACTCACACAAGTTGACAGCAGATGGATGATGTATATTGCCACATTGCTGATCTCAGATCCTGACGATCATTCAATTTCTCCAAGTCTCTTCTATCAACTCATCACCATTCCCAACAAACATTTTCTCCCTCTTGTGATCACAAAAAGACCCACGCTCATCATGTACAAGAAATGTCTCCCGGTTGAATCATGCATTTGTGTATGCTGCGTCCTTTTTTCAATCACCTAACAATGAACAACAACCTCGTAGCTATTGTTGCCAACACTTTGATTATGATTGCCAGCCTAATAAAGAGACGATCATGAAAGTAGTAGGCAGAATTTAGCAGCTTGCCGTGGCTACATCAAGGTGCTAACACAAATTTTCTTAAAGAATAATGCATCATTGTATGTAAATTATTGTACGACAACAACGATCTCGAGGATGATGATGTTTATTCGAGAGTAAAGTTTTTTAAAGTTGTACCCAAAGATAATGAGAAGGTGGTATAGCAACGATCATTTATTGAGCACCAGTGTTTGCGGTGTCCTTGCCACCAGCGGACGTGGGTTTACCCTGTTTCTTGCAAATGTTCTGAGCCTTGTCAAGAATACCCTTGGCAGCTTCTGGGAGTGGGGCTGTGCCTTCAACAGCGTTTACAGCTTGTTGGGCTTGAGCTGGTTCCGTCTTGACCAATTCGCACAACTCCTTGACACCAGGGATGGAACCAGCAGCGCCACCTTGGCTAGCACCAGTTGCTGCATCACCGGCAGCCAAATTTTGGCAAAACGCAGTTGTCAATGCAACAGGGTCTTGAGCTGTTGGGCCGAGTACCTTGCAGTAGTTACCCAAAGCTTCAAGTGGATCCGTACCGGCAGGAGCTTGGCCTTGTTGAGCATGTGCAAGGCTGGCAGCAAACAAGCATCCGAGAGCGGTAGTGATGGTGAAACGCATGATTATTGTGGGGGTATATAAGAGGTTGTAGTAGCAATAGTAACCGCACACACACGCTTATATATATACGCACATCATAACCCTTGATGGATGATGATGACGGGTGTTGATGATCAGGGGCACAAAGCATACAACTTTTTTTTCACTCCTATCAACTTTGTATCTCCTTCTCCATCTTGTTTCCGCTAACACATGCTCAAGCCTGTACCTCTCCTTTTCACCATTTAAGAATTTCTTTGTGCAAAAATCAAAGTAATAGATCCAAGAACCTCCTCTTAGAACTCCCTCACGCACATAGTTATCATACTCAGGAGCACCCCTTTTAGCTACCACGAATATCCTATCTCTGTCCTTTATCCCATTGTAAAGTAGCTACCATGAATACTCGCTTTTGCTGACGTCCCCATCAAAGATGTAGGTTGGTTACAGTACTTGGCTTGTTTATGATGATGAGCTTTGCGCGTTCCCCAAAAAAAAGGGTACTGATCACTGACACCGTTTGTGCTGTCAACCGCCAGTTCTCCGAAACCTTCCCCCTTTGCCTGTACAAGGGATGCAATATAAGGAGATCAGTAATAGGTTATATACAAGTAGTGTAAAGATGAGATTTTGGTGGCTTTACGGAGGTATGATACCAAAAGAACGTGCTATTGCATCCGCTAGTCTCCGTACAGAAAAACCATGTGCATACAGGAGAGCAAGATGGTGAGGGTTTTCAAACCTATCATAGTAGCTGTACTTTTTATCATACCTGCTGGTGGATCAAAATGGGGTGGACACGATGTTGAAAATTTCAAAGAGGTAGGGAGAGGCGTCAACTAGCTGAAGAGCTGCAAGAACAAGCTGAACAACAGCCATGGTAGAGAATGACGTTCACTACCATCATAAATTATCATTCTACACCCACCCCTATTACTTAACAACATGTCCCATTGTCTTTTAGATACACAATCACATTGCGTGTTTATCGTTTATTCCTCATCGCAGTGAGGCCATTAAGTAATAATACGTGTAAAAATCCAACAAGCTGGATTAAAGACCATTTCCTGTGCCGATGTTTGAAGAGCTGGGTCCTTCGGGGTGTAGGCCGACACGTTCGCAGAATTGCTTTGAGAGCTTGAAAATATCCTGTGCAGGGTTAAAAGGTGATCCATTTCCAGGGCCGCTGCCACCACCAATTGTGTTTTCAGCAGAGGCAACAACTTTGGAGAGATCATCGGGATGACCATTGACAAAGCCGCAAAAGATTTTGGCAACATCCATGAACGTTCTCACTTTTGTGCCTTCGGTGCCACCGCCAGAAGCCATATCGCTTGGATCTTTAGGCTCTGCAGTCACTGATTGGGTAGTGAGGAAAAGACCAAGAGTGGCAATGGTAAGAGTAAAAAGACGCACCATGATTACTGTATTTGTTGAGATATGGCAGGGTACAAGGCAAAAATGGTTCTTCTTTTATAGACAACGGGTCCAGCGAGCATGCATGTAGGTGTTTGCAAGCATTGCTTGGCTTTTGGTTGACTGATGGGTGTGTGGTGCTAGGTACTAGCATCACCACCACTGCCAATACACCACCTCCTTTGGAGGGTCTTTGCTTATCACAATACTGCATGCATGCCGTGCTTGCTCTTTGAAGATGTGCCAAAATACAGAACGCCATTTTGAACACTGTACGCTGATGCATGTATCATTCCCCTGGATCTACACGCTACCTTAGCGGATATTGAGGATTCTCGTTCATCCAATCCACTGCCGACACATTCCTGCACCTACCAAAAATCAAGCGTAAAGTCATGACAGCGCAACTTGATTTGCCTTAGGTAAATCAAAAGCCTTGGGTACGTGTGCGAATGTGTGGTCAAAATGTCCTGGAAACGCTGTAAGGTTGGCGCCTTGGATGCATGAAATAGGGAGGTCGATAAATGTCAAAGGTTAGAATCATACGCTATAAGCTGGATGATCTGCAAAATGCATATGTAATAACACCAGTACCCACAAGGCTACCTTTGTTCTCGCTTCAAATACCCACAATAGCAAAAAAAGCCACGCTTGTTCACCTCGTAGCTTGCATAATAACCAAGTATACATAGGATGGAGGATCACTTGTGGCAGATAGCGGGATCGTTGCGGGAAGATCTTTGTAGTATAGCTCCTAAATAAAGGGATGCATAGAGTTACCGCTTCAACAAGGTGGGAGATGGAACATTCCTTTTTGCAATGTGATACGTCGATCCAGTCGTGGTGATTAGGGACATTGATATCGTTTTTTTTTATTCTTCATGGCACTCGGTTGAATGGCTTGATGTATCATTCCATCATCGATTCATTGGATATCTTGTTTCTCAACATGAGGGGTTTGAGAGTACTTGCCATCAGAGCTACAATGTGATGTATGGTTGGCACTTGTCCTGAATCAAGGATTCAAATCCTTCTGTATGCCATCCCTGTAAAATCAGGGTGCGCACACAAGATAACCCGGCTCTAATCTTAAAAATTTTTGCCATGATGCAGTGAAGTGTGTCAATGTCATGGCAGTAGTAAAGAAAGGTTCAAGGATTACGTTTTATTATTCAAGCCATGCCTATACATAGACCCTCTTTCTTTGCCATGCTACTTGATTACTCATAAGTGTAAGGCCATCCATCTATCAATTCGGTAAGAGTGTTGTAGATCGACATAGCAACAACCAAAATAAAACGTATACACCAGTGATCTGAAGATGAGCGATACCGAGAATTGATTCTCCTGCATGATGAGGAATCCACTACACGTACCAGTAACATGCCTGCTTTTCATTGTTGCCAGGATGATTGTGACGGGAAACCCCATGTTTCTAATGGCAACCGCCATCGATGACGCAAAGAGCAATACATTGACTTTGGACCAACTACGTGAGAGGCTGAAGGTTTTGTCACCACCAGCAGCGTGACATTTCGGTAACCAAGCAACGTTGATTTTACCTTTAAGTAAGCGTATATGATGGTCGAGAAGTCGACAAAGTGAAGTATGGATTCGAAGAGTACAAATCAATCTTTGTTAACACAAAGAAGCATTTGCTATATGACCATTCCAATGCTCAAAGGAATCTCTCCTTATGTCTTAGGTATGGACAACTCAGGAAATAAACATTCTCATTGGTGGATGATTGACCCACTGACCCAAGCGGATGATAATGAGTAGCTGATCAAGCGATGTTGTTGCTAGTCAATTTGTCACACGATAGGTAGGATGTGCATTGCTTCATGATGAGAGCGACATGATTATCCTATGAAACAAAGAAAACAGCAGCTGGATGGCAGGTAGCTAACAGGATGTTGCCTATCCGAATATGGATGTACTATATTATTTTCATTGTCCATTATGAAGCATATTTTGCTAAAAGAATGAATAAAGGTGCATGCACGTGATGTCATGCTTTGACCGGTATTGGTCAGTGCATGATATGAGATGTGCGGGGGTAAAACGGGAAATGGAAATCGAGATCCAAGTGTGGGTTGGGTGCCTATAAATACCCTCACACATACACACACACACGCACACAAGTTTGCTACTTTTGGTTGTGCCCCTGATATCTTTTATCAAAGAGAGCGGGAGAAGAGAGAGATAAAGAGATGGAGCTGATGTCATTTGTCATGTGTACATTCCCACAGAGATCAACGATGATGACCATGTAAAATATCTCGCATGTTTTCATTCGCAAATCACAATAGATGCACCCATCCAGGACATTGGAGGAGATAAATAAAGTGAGTCAGGCGGAGCGTTAATGATGATTCTCTTTATTCGTGAAACATGGATTGATATGGAGGATGTAGTTTATCATAGTGATGATGGTTATATAGTAGTAGTCTTATCAATACAGTCTAAATAAACATGGTATCCACGCTACTCTTATTGCATCTTCCCTCGGATATCACAAAAGCTTATATACAAATACTCGAGAGCACAAGCGCACATAGGCTCCGCTCTGGTTGCCAAAAAAGGGTTATGAGGATATTCGGACAGTTTGAGATAATCCATTCTCTCTTCTCTCTCACTCACTTTTAAACAAGAAAACCGTCATCGACGGGTACGCATGGCCTCCAGCATGTTGGAAGAAGATACAAAGGCGTCCCCGCCTTCACAGGCAATCAAGGTGCCTCGTCAAAAACGACTCAAGGTCAATCGAGCCTGCTACACTTGTCGAGTTAAAAAGATCAAGGTATTCGGAACACCCATTAGCCGATGCCCGCCATTCAGTTCCTAACCCTTTTATTGTTCTCTCATCTCTAGTGCGATGGATTGCAGCCTTGCATGCAAGTAAGTTTTACAATTGGGTTGGGGAAGAAACAAAGACGTGAGACTTATAGTATGATTCTAGTGCAGAGGTATGATTGGGTATGGGAGCATAAAAGAGAGGGATGGCAACGTTAACACATGGATGGCATGACAACAGCACGTCAACGGCCCTGCTCATTTGCGAAGGATGGACCAGGAGATGATGAGCCAATATTGGAGCAGCAACAACAACAGCAACAGCAGCAGCAACAACAACAACAGCATACGGCAGGAACAGATACAACTTTACATACGATTGCAGATGCTGGATCACTTGTATCTCGAGAGAATCATTCACGCAAAGAAGGCAGTGGACGACGTAGCAAGACGGTGATGACTGAGGAGCAACGAGAGCAATATCAGCGAACGAATGAAGGATTGGAAGAATTAAGTACAGCATGGCCGGGGGAAGGACGTGAAGGAAGATGGGTCGTTGATGAGCATTTGATGTATCCTCGACATTCTTGGCTTCGACAATTGGATCGAATACCTGATAATTCAATGGTGATACAGCAGCATTTGATCACTTTGTTTTTTCGTCATCGTTATCCAGTATTCCCTATCATTCCTAAGCGTCTACTTTACGAACATCTCGAACAACGAGGACCATTATGTACGCCATTACTCGTTTACGCCATTTACGCCCATGCCGCCATATTTTCAGATGAATATGCATCACAAGCCAATACCTATTATACACATGCGATCGATTTACTAGATGATTACCTCGATTACCCACGCGTCAGTACCATTGCCGCCTTATGTTTGCTAGCACTTTATGAACCAACACGAAGGGAAAAGGATGATGACGATTATCAACAAGTACGTGTCAGCCGTACGCGTGCTCAAGGCTACAGCAGTATGGCAATACGGATGTGCTTTGAATTGGGGATCCATAAGCGACATTTGGTGAACGAATTGATTGGATCATCACGCAGCGAAGGCGAGCTACACAAACGTGTCCTTTGGGGATGTTTTTGCTTGGACAAGATGACCAACGTGTGTGCAGGCAGACCATGGGCTATGCGTAGTGGTGATATTGATTTGGATATGCCTCTTTTGCAACCGGGCGATGACATGGATGAGCATGAGACACTTGAAGCTTTTGTGGCACTTATCAAATTGCTTCAAATTGCCGAGCATGCTTTACCACATCCAAATGATACCGCTGCCGTGGTGGGTCGTTCCTATGAACAAGAACAACTTGCATTCAACTTTGACAACAATTTGCTTCTATGGTTACGCTCGTTGCCTACACATCTTCAATGGACACCATTTCCGCATATGAACACAGTACCCACTACACCTCCTCCCAATGCTATTGTCGCCCATTTGCACTTGTTTTACAACCTGATCGAGTTACACCTGCTATGGCCACATTCAGCAACCAGCGAGAAGGGATTCCATCCCCGATGCACTGCTATTGCTATCAACTTGACGCAGCTTGGATGTTCATTTGCAGAGCAAACACACTTTTTATTATCGTATTCGTTTGCAGCGGATGCACTTATGGCAGCTGTACGTGTTCATGTGCTCAATTGTGGAAATGCAACATTGGCTCGACAAGCACGGTTCATGTTTCAACGCACGATGCGCACCTTGCAAAAGTTGTATTCAAGTCGTGTGATTCCTGATGTGGATGAATTTGTCACGTGCATCAAGACTGCTTTATCAACAGCAAGTACTGCCAAGCATCAATTCCACAGAGCAGCATCGGATGGAGTAACCAATACAACATCGGGTGGGGAGGTAACAGCGACAGCGGCAGCTGTTGCACGAATGAACCAAGATATGGTACACATGGCCAGTGGTTTATTGACGCCACCTGCGACTTCAGCTACGACGACAACGACTACGACATCTACGAGTGCTTCCAATACACCCAATCACCATAGCAACAGTAGCCATAGCAACCATCATCACCAATCAGCAACAGCTCCACCAGCTGCTATGCCATTTAAACCTGGTGTTGAACGAGGATTACGCATGGTACCTTCTCGAAGTCAACAGTTGTACAATCCCACGTATTTACAATCGGGTCTATTTCACACGGCTCCTCCTAGTTGGCGGTCGCAGGCGGCCGATCATACCCAGTATCATCAACAACAACAGCAATTGCAGCAACAATTACAACAGCAGCTACAGCAACAAACACCCCATCAACGAGCAGCATATGCATTGGATTTATTATCCTCAGTGGATGATTCATGGCAGAAATCAGCTGAAGCTAATATTGACCAATTCTTGTACAAGGAAGATAACAACAACAATCATCAGCAGCATCAGCATCAGCAGAGGAATGTATTCTCAAACGACTCACTGGATAATGCGTTTATGCAAAAAGAAGAGCATCATCAGCAGCAACAGGATACAAAAATGGGTGAATCAACGACAGCATCCGAGATCGAGGCATTGGTTGCACAAATACATGAACGTGAAAGTAACAAGGCGACTTGGGGTTCTGAAAACAACAACAGCAATAATGATAATGACGATATTTTGTATTCCATGTGGCAACAAGGCGATAATACCACCAACAACAATCATACACCATCGACCACCACAAGTACACCAACAACTACCACAGCCGCATCCATTCCTATTCAAAGTGGTTATATGAATATCGGTTTGGGTGTCTATGCATCAGCCCATCAGCATCATACGGACGTCATTCGCCAGCATTTTCCCAACGCATCTGATACTACTACTACTTCTACTACATCTTCTCGATCACAACAACATCATACTGTACGACCCGTCATTCTTACACATCAAGGTCATGTTGTTGTGGCCGGATTAGATCAAGATCACCACCATCATCATCTTGACAATAGACATCCACAATAGTTCTCTTTCTTTCTTTCTTTCTCTCTTTCTCTCTTCTTCTTTTTTCCTTTTCTTACTAGTTGTATATAAAAAGTCCCATGTGTTCCTCACGCATCCCAACCCTAAAGTATATCTTTGCTTTCTTTCTATGCACAATGTCGGTGATTAAAAGTGAACCCAGCAACGATTGGGGGTATTAATGCTTCTCCATCTCGAAAAAATTATACGCGTTCTCTTTCTTTCTTCCTCTCTCCCTCTCTCTTTCTTTTGAATCATTATGCCTTCTGCAAAGATTGCCCCTTCAATGCTTGCTTCTGATTTCGCCCATTTGGCAGCTGAAGCTAAGCGAGTTGTCAAGAATGGTGCCGATTGGCTTCACCTTGGTATGTTTTGGGGGTTGCTTTCTTCCTTTTTCTATTACAAATGCTAATGCACGAATATCCCTCTAGATGTCATGGATGGGTATGTAAGATGAAGGAAACGACATAAACCGTAGTTGGGAAAAAGAGCATACCACTGATGGACGATGATGACCTTGTCGCTTTATTCTATCCACAGCCACTTTGTACCAAACATTACCCTTGGAGCTCCGATCATTGCATCGCTTCGACCTCATACGGATGCCTATTTTGGTAGGTAGCGATGATATTATTGCATATGATATCACACACATGCACACAGAAATCGATAACGGATTTACAAGATTGTCATATGATGGTGGCTGATCCCGCCCGATGGATTGAGGACATTGCCAAGGCTGGTGGTCAAATGTATTGTTTCCATTTGGAGGCTACCAATGATCCATTGTCAGTCATTGAAAAGATTCACAAGGCTGGTATGCAGGCAGGTGTAGCCATCAAGCCCGATACCCCAGCAGAGGCTGTTATGGGCCCTGTTGCTGAAGCAGCTGATATGATTTTGGTCATGTCGGTGGAACCTGGTTTTGGTGGACAAAAGTTTATGCCTCAATGCATGCCCAAGGTAATAAAAGAAAGGAGGGAAGTGAGATTGATTGAGACTCACATTATAGATGTAGGTGGAGACATTGCGCAAAAAGTATCCTCACAAGGATATCGAAGTAGATGGTGGTGTATCCATGTCTACCATTGACCAATCCGCTGACGCTGGCGCCAATGTCATTGTTGCCGGTACTGGCATTTTCAAGGCCGAAGACCCAAGTGATGTCATTTCCACTTTTAGAGAAAAAGTCAATACCGCCCAACAAAAGTTTGCCGCTGCTGCCAACCAGTAATCGCAATAATATCATTATGTATAAATGTCTTTTTTGTATAACAAGTTATATAAACATGGTGGGAAACGGTCCAAGTAATGGGAATGATGACCAAAAGTAGAAAATGGCCAGAAGGAGAAAAAATGGCCAGAACATTGCTTTGCATTTGAGGGTGGTCCCTGCCTATTTGACTTTTGTGTGTATGTGTCAATCAAAGTTGCATAATAAAATCATGCATGTTGCATGGTGCGATTATGATACGCCATCCTATTCAATATCGAGTTTAACCTTTACTTGCTAATTTTTGACGATGGTAGTTAGATCAGTCAGGGGGCGGGGTTTTATTATGAGGACCCCCAAATTGGGTATCACTCACTCATGACGAAAGGGATTTGCAATGATGTGCAAGGTGACACAAGGAAGAAAAGGATCGACGCTCTTTTGTTTTTGCACACCGGAAGGAGATAACGCACAGTGTCCATGAACGTAACATGATGGGATCGTTTGTATAGATTTTCTTTATTCGCTATCTTTGACAGAATCGAAAGCAAATAGCATACATTTATGTAAAAATAGGCAGCCTGTTATCCACAAGGGGAATAGTGTGCACATAAAAAAGCGTCTGAAACATAAAGATCGGCCATAGTGTCCCGGCCATTGATGTATTGCCAAGACCAAATGCCTTGCCTCTTGTCAAAATGGGACTAACGTTGAAATAAAGCGTATTTTTAGTCTGATATAGAGTAGATCCCTCGCTCATAAACAACACATTTACCTTTCTTTTTCTCTTTTACCTTCTTCTTCTTCACATATACCAACATCCACACCTTCTTCACCCTATGCGACCGTACGTTTATCTGCTTGTGCTCCTCAGCTTGGCCACTACTGGAATCGTCTACCTGTGTCATGTCACATTCGACTCTTGGTGGAGATTGCAACGACAACGGTCATCAGCACCACCGCCGCCTACGTTTAGAGAAGATAACGATATCGAGGTGTCGCCTATAGTATCATATGACGAGTCGGATCCAAGGATAGCAAATACGTTACGAAGGATCGATGAAAAGTATTGTGGAGGCCCGTGCAGGTTTATGCTGCCGATCTTTATCATGGAGCAAGGTAAGCAAGAAGAAGCTCTCCCATTTGCTTTGTCTCCTTTAACAACACGTGCTCATAAAAAGTTGTATTCTACGCATAGAATCCAAGGCTCAAATGCATTTTCGACAATTGGCTTTCTTATCGGGCATGCTAAACCGTACCGTTGTATTACCCAATGTGGGAGGTTCACGTCTTGGTGCATGTTTGGAACATGATTTCGACTTTTATTATTCTTCCCAATGGGCTGTGGACCACGCGGATGATTTCTCTACCATTTCTATGGAAAACTTCTCTAGTTGGGTCAAGGAACGGCTGGCTGTCGGTTTCCCTGCAACGTCACAAACGTTCCATGTGCATCTAGACCTGGACCATAAGCAACTTCAAGAACCCAGCAACTGTTTTGCCGATTGGATGGATACAAGTCGACCCGATCGCCGCATTTATCTTCATGATACTGGCAATGCTCGCAGACGCAAAGGATATCAAGATGTCTTGTACAATTTCTTCTCTCAAACAATGGAAGATCCTGAAGTCTTGAGCACGTATTATGATAGAAGATATCCTTTCATTCATAATCCAGCCGCTCAAGCTCCCATCCCTTACAATGAAAGAATCACAGACTTGGTCAAGGATATGGCGCAAGAGTTATCACCTTATTGGGCTGTCCATTGGCGTACAGAGCGGGTTGAACCACCTGAAAATCTCGTGGGATGTGCAGAATCGCTTATTGACTTGGTCCACACGAATCAAGCACAACAAGAACAGCAGCAGCAGCAGCCAAGATTAGTCATGTTGACGGATTATCCACATGTATTCTCTGAGGAGGCCATCCAGCAGGCTCTGGATAATAATCCTAATGAAGAAGAAGAGGAAGGAATGAAACCAGCCAGTGCTTCTTTCCCTGAACACGCACTCACCAAATACCATCATTTGGCTTTTCAACATGTTTACAACAACATCCAAGTTCAAGTCACCAACCTTGATCAAGGCGCTGACAACGTAACACCTCCTGCCAATTGGACCGTTTTGCCTATTTCACCTAAAGTGGCTGGCCACGATAGCGGTGTTCTTGGCATCATTGACAAGCTGTTGGCCATTCATGCGGATGTATTTATTGCTGGTGAACCAGGCATTTGTGCAAGGAGAAGTAGTTTCACGGCACGTATCATTGATGAACGCATCCTTCGTCGTGGCGATGACACTAGCACCACGGATGAATTACCCAATGTTGTAGAATATTTTGGTTTGCCTCGGCAATAACACCACATCACCTTGCTTTGTATATTGAAATAAAGAAAAAACCCTGTACTATATATACTTCATCCTCGGCAACGAGTCATCTCCAAATGATGGTATCTATGTAACATTTACTGATAGCGAAGAATGTAGGTTGAAGGATTCATATTGAACAATGAGAGTTGTAAAACGCAAGACAACGAAGGAGACGACGTTGACATTTGTATACATGCATAAATGCCATCATTACCTCTGGTTGCCATGGCAGTTCTTGGTCCGGAAAAACGGTACATTTACATTCTTGGAGGTAATCGGTGCATGTTAGGCTATTGCTGCTGCGATCAGTACACTCATGGGTAACATGCATTATAGGCCAAGATGATATGGAAGATGTAATGCTGAAGCTAAATCGGCTCTATAGCCTTGATACGAAGACTTGGACATGGTATGAGCCCAACGTGCAAGGTCCAAAACCTGTAGGACGAATGTTTGGCTCTGCTGTGTTTCTTAATAATGAGAGCTATGCTGTGTTTGCTTTTGGTAACTCTAATGCCAAGTTTCATGAAATCCATGTACTCATTGCATTGGACCTTTTTTAGGGCAAGAGACATTGGGTATCTACAGCAATGATATTGATGTGCTCAAGCTTCTTCTTTTGACAATAAGGAAACCCTGAACTCTCATCAATGAAATGGGTACAGAATATCGTGACAGGCGAGGCGCACAATGCATCTGAAATTCCATCTGATAGCAGCTTTTTCGGTGGTGGGGCTATTGCTGGAATTGTCATTGCATGCATTGCTTTGCTTGCCATTCTTATACCTCTATGCTTTTTCCGCCGTTTTACCTTACAGGTCATCCGCATGATCCATTTTAGTCTCTGGAACCTAAGGTATGATGTTCACAAGGTGCTTGGCAGAGTTCCATTTCTATAACAATCCTATGCGTTGATAGAAATGATGAGCCTCGATGGTTTGAAGCATGTCGTTTGGCGCTCAAGGCGTTGTTGTTGTTTCTTTTTATGCTCAATCCCCGATTGGTCTGATCCAACGGTGGTCATTTGGTGCCTCACGTCAATCCATTTTGAAAGGCATTCAAAGTCGCTTCGTCCCATCAGGTGAAACACCAATCCCATTTGTCTCACCCGCATCGCATTACTCAAATCGAGCCCTTGAACCGGATCATGAATCACATATGGCATTAGATACAAACAACAACCAACAACCACATGCTACTACGACGACATTGATAACGAACAAAGGCGATGAATCGGCATTACCTATGTATATAGCCGATAATAATGATCAACGCATGGCCGCTCTTGAGGATTGGATACACCTCTTGGAACGAGTGTTCAGGTCATATTGCGTAGATGATGAGGTGTTTTATCTCTTGAACGAATCCGTTAGACCACCGGAAACGAAACAATGTCGCCATGGCAACAACGTATCATCGCAACAAGCTCGATTGGGTTGCTTCTTTCGTCGAACATCTCCGATGAAAAGCAACAGCCAACGTCAACGCTGGATACGAGTACCAAATGCAGCAGGTCGGCAAACGGACCTTTTGTCAACATCATCATCGATATCACCATTAGAAGAACCAGAAAGTGATACGTCAAAATCACCAACATCATAGTTCCTTCAATCGATAATACTCTTTACCGCTCAACTAGCATGCTAGCAATTCACAATGACTATTATTAACTCATGCAAATGACTGCACCATTGCCAAACATTTTTGCATGGAAAGGTCATGCTGTAATTGGGTTGCCTTCATTTCTAAATGACGTCCACCACATAGACGACCTTCTTGTATCCATATTTAATCTCATGCTTGCAGCGGCGTGATGCCCTAAAGTACAATTCCTGATCCATTTTTTATACATCATGCAATAAAAGTACAACTTTTGATCATAAAGTAGGATGATACGTAACCCATGGATACATGGATCCTGTGATTACCTGGATACAGCTGCCATTTATCTCTCCTCCGTCTCATTTGCTATAACACGTGGCCATCCCATCATGCAGCCCACCAAATGCTACCATGTTCAGCTCTAATACGGTTACACAAAATGTTGTACCTGAATTCTTCGTGTTCTAACAAAGACAAAGTGTAACTCGAGAACAAACAATGACAACCTTGCTTGCACAAAAATGGAGTTCTCAGCCATAGTTTCTCGTTACCATATTGGCAATGTTGGGCAAAACAAGTATAAAAACCGAACTTCATTCACAATCTTGCATGCTCAAAGTAACGATAAGCAAGGAAGAAGAATGTCAGAAAAGCTGCTTGATGATACTGCTGCTGGATCGGGTTCCTCGGCTGTAACCCCTGAGCACGTCAACATCAATGTGGTGGGATCCACACATAGAAAGGGAAGCGACGACCATGAATACGAGGAGCCTTTTGATATCTCATTATCCAAGTTCGACAAGGAGAATGGCGTAAAGACTATCCTCTCCCTTGTTTTCATGATGGTTTTTATGATCGGATTACCAATTGCTCTATACTTTGGCCTTCGTAACGTCCTTGGCACACTTTATGCATTACTTATTTCCGGTATCCCGCCTTTGCTGCATGTCATTATCACGTTTATTCGGCACCGTCGTCTCGATTTTCTTGGGATTCTTGTTGTTTTGGCGTTTATCCTTTCTGCAGTGATATCACTGGTCACTGGTATGTGTCTCATGATCAGCTTATCCTATTATTAAACCTCCTCTCATTACAATACAGGTGACGAACGAGCTACTTTGTTGCGTGATTCAGCGACCACTATGCTCATTGCCGTCCTTTTCATGTTGACCTTGATCCCATTTCGCACACGATGGCTTAACATCTATCCAATCACATGGACCATATTCAAAAGGGCATACTATGATACAGTCACGCCTTATCATTGGAGAAACGAAAATGGTGATCGCCATGAAATGCCATTCAGTGATTTTATATGGCTGTACATTCCAAAAGCTCGAACATATAACTACACGCTGACAGCCGCCTATTCGATTGCTTTGACGGCAGCATTTATAGCTCGTGTGATTATGATTGAAGCCTCAAACATGTCCGTTCACCAGATAGTGCTATATGGCAATGTCATTCTCGGCGTCTTCATAGCGATTGCTGCCATCGCCACTGTTTGGGCTGCTATCTTGATACAAGCATCGTGCGTGAAATGGGCTAAAGCGAATGATTACACCGAGCAATATAATAAGCATATAGCTAACTACCACGAATCAGCCAATCTTTAGCTTGTCATGATGTCACGATACTCCTCTCTTATGCCTCCATTTTTCACTTCACAAAATTTATTAAAGACTATGCAGCCCAAGAGTAACTTAAACCATGCATACACTTACCATCAAAGTTAAAGCACCGCAGTGGATAGCAGGTGCTATACCAATGCTCCGTATCGCATAAACGCAATAGATAATTGGATGCTGGATACCTAAACGCCACAATGTGGCAGCATTTGTTGCTGGGAATCAATATGAAGCCACATGCCATAATAACGTTATATCCAAAGCATTGGGTAATCGATCGTAATATGCAGTAGCTATTGTAACGCTTACCTTGGTTCTTGGCAAAAACCAACTGCTTAGCACCAGTACCCTGTTTTTCTACCAAAGGTCCTATTTTAGAGTGACCCAGCACAATGGTGTCAGCTCGCATGCTTGCCTAATAATATGCTGCTGCCGATGAGCCACAATTTATCAAATCATTGAGGTAAAGACGTGATCACGATGGTAAGTGGCTGAAGGTGAGTTGCGTCAACATCTTTTTATTGGATTGCAGAACCTTCCAAGGATCGGCACTGTACGACAACGACCACGGATCAAGCAATGCGGATCCCATCGGGAAATCCTGATCTGTAAACAATGACATGCTGAGCACCTAAATAGTAATTTCTCATTGCTCAGCCGTAGCATTTCACTTTGATCCATGACCTTGCAAGATAACGCATATAAAAGACATTAAATAACATTGATTCTTTCCCTTCCTTACCCTTTCATTTATGTCCGATCAAACCCGTTACTACCACGACGACAGTCAATCAGTGCCTTTAAAGCTTGATGATTCAATGTCAGGGTATAGAAACTCCCAACAGCTTGAAAATGTCGATATCGAAGCAAGGAACCACACACAAGACAATGACTACGAGTACGAGGAGCCATTTGACATGACTTTGTCAAAGCACAACAAGGAAAATGCAGTAAAGAATATACTTGGCTTCGTGTTCTCGCTGGTGTTCATGATCGGTTTACCACTCGGCTTATACTTTGGCCTCCGGAATGTCATTGGACAAGTATACGCACTTTTGATCTCGGGTATTCCTCCCCTGTTGCATGTCATCTATACATTTATACAACAACGACGTGTGGATTTCCTTGGTGTTTTGGTTCTTCTTGCCTTTGTGATCTCTGCAGTGATTTCTATTGTCACAGGTATGTTGTGTGTATGATAAGGATGATGCACCATGGGATACTAAACCAAATATAGGAGATGCAAGGGCAGCACTTCTCCGCGATTCGGCTGTGACCATGGTTATTGCCGCGCTATTTGCTTCCACTCTGATTCCTATTCGCACTGAACGACTTAGCATTTATCCACTCACTTGGAGCATTTCTCGTAAAATGGTCTATGATAATGTGCAGCCCTATCATTGGCGTGATCAGCATGGTATACGGCACGAGATGCCATTCAGCGACTTTTTGTGGAGTCACCTGCCTGTGGTTCGAAAAGGCAGCTATCTCTTGACCGGAGGGTATGCCATTGGCCTTACTGCTGAGTTTGTGATTCGAGTGATCATGATTGAAGCAACAACCCTTACCGTGGACCAAATCGTGCTATATGGCAATATCATTGTTATTGTCGTAGTTGTCGTCATGACCACTTTTGGCGTTTACCTATCAATTGCTATTAGAAACAAATCTTTACAATGGGCCAAGGACAACGACTATACCGCTCATTACAACTCTACTCGATCCACCACCATCTCTAGCCAGCAGCAGTAATTTATGCATCATTGTACTATATACATCATCTCCTTTTTTTGCATCTTTTAAACTTTAATAAATGACTTGCATCCTATGGCGTTGCATTCTCTTGATGCATGGCGTTCTCGAATGCTCTTTTGCAGAAGCGTATTCTCCAACACGTGATCTTTTTTCTATAGGGTGATGGTTGTCAATCGTGAATTAGCTGTTGACATTTAAGCATTGATCGTCTTGAAATTCTTTGAATGTGGTAACCATGCCTTTTTAGATACCTTGGGAGCAGATCACGCCTTCTTTGAATACCTTGGAAGCACCTCAAACATAGTAACCATGCCTTTCTTCATGGTCCCTTTAGGCATTGAAGGTACATGACAACACCTTGTGAGCTTTCAAAGATAATGTACATAGTTTTGGGCCACCTTAAAAAGTAGTCAAAGGCACTTAAAGAAGCCCTTTACTCAAAAGTAACATCGTTTTCTCGGTACGTTGAACTGAATGCCTTTAGCTTCATCCTTAGGCTTGGGCATTTTGTTACAACTTGGGTGGTTATTTCACCATGCCTATGTTCCACAACTATACTTTGAGCTGTGAGTGATCAAGTATGCTTATGGATGGTGCCCAGCAAAAAATTTCGGTGATGGTGAAACGTGATTAGGGAAACAAAGCACAATCGAATATGGCACGTAGTCAGCAAGCTAAAAGGGATCGAGCAATAAGCATGCAGACTTTATACCGAGCCTCTCTTTAATAAAGGTTTACGTAACGTGCGCGATTGGGATAGATCCTACAGCCTGTTCCCCGCAAAATGAGGACAATTGTATCGCATGTGGCACGTATGACAAGCACCAAGTTATATTAAATGCCCATCAAAAGATGCATAAGTCGTGCTTCTTGTTTCCTCATTCATTGATAATCTTTTTCCGCTCCTTTCCATCCCAACCCATTCCTTTATGAAACACTGGTCACTCATTTTTGTAGCTACAGTAGCCATTGCATCATCTAGCAATGCAGTGGTAGCATTATCGCCCCCCATTGAGCCACTCTCGTGGGATGAGGCACATGTAAAAGCCGAAAAACTCGTCAAGCAAATGTCTTTAGAGCAAATTGCTAGCATTACCAAAGGATCTGGTTTATTCACAGGTCAATGTGTTGGCAATTCAGGTGGCACCACACATCCGGATTTCCCTAGTTTATGCTTGGCTGATGGTCCCCTCGGTGTTCGTGGTTCACCTTTTTCCAGTGCATTTGCAGCAGGTATTACAGCTGCAGCATCCTTTGATAAAGACGCCATCCGACAGCGTGGGATCGACATGGGCGCAGAATTCAGGGGCAAAGGTGCCAATGTCCAATTGGGGCCATCCATGAACATTGCACGTAATGCACGTGCTGGAAGAAATTGGGAGGCTTTTGGTGAGGTAGGTATCATGAAAACTCTATCAAGAATGTATGCTTACATTCAATGCTCCAATCTCAGGATCCTTATCTCTCAGGTGTGGCAGCAGCAGAAACAATTCATGGTATCCAAAGTCAAGGCGTGGTAAGGATAATAAGTTTATAGTAGTCGTACAATAATAATGGGATTTCTCATCATTGAAAAAAAAAGATTGCAACAGCAAAACATTTCATTGGAAATGAGCAAGAAACCAACCGGAACACAGCAAGTATCAATTTTATAATCACATTCAATGATACGCAACTAACAAATGCCTTCAATAGGAGTCTTCAGTAATTGATGACAGGACCTTGCACGAAGTTTATCTATGGCCATTTGCGCGATCTGTCGAGGCGGGTGTGGGCACTGTTATGTGCTCATACAATAAGCTAAATGGAACATACGCATGCGAAAACGACTATGCGTTGAATCACATTTTGAAAAAGGAATTGGGTTTCCGTGGCTGGGTACATAGCGATTGGCTAGCCACACACTCGACCACCAAAGCTATCAATAACGGATTGGACATGACCATGTAGGTCGACTAAACACAACATGCCAATTTATCTCATTCATGTTCAATAGGCCTGGTGGTATCTTGTATTTTGGATCAGCTTTGGAAAGAGCTGTTAAGCATGGCGACATTGATTATTCAAGGGTAAACGTTGTCTAGCAATAGAAAATCACGTGTTCTGATACATAGCCTAGGCTCGTGATATGGCTCAACGCATTGTCGCTGCCTGGTACAAGGTAAGAAAAAACTCGATCACATTGCTATGCGTATTGCTGATACAAAAAGCTACCTGGTAGATGCGCCAAGATAAGGTACGGCATGCTACTTTGCTCACACAAAACAATTTGAGTCATCTACTAAGACGAGGGCACCACAGGATTACCCAGCGGTTCGAATGAATGTGAATACTGCCAGCAAGGATCCCGGAGTAAATGTGCAAGAAGATCATAAAAAGTCGATCCGTGAAATGGGTGCTGCTGCAACCGTGCTTTTGCGTAACAACAATAATGTCTTACCTCTCGATACTTCCTCCATCAAAAAGATTGCTATCATTGGGGGTGACGCTGATTCCAGGTAACATTAATGATCCCATAGTATATAAGAAAACGGGGGCTGATGATATTTTACTCCACAAGCCGTGACAACAACACATCATCTATGGTGCAAATTGGTGGTCAAGGCACATTGATCCAAGGTGGAGGTTCTGGCAGCTCCAATGTTCCTTACATTGTATCTGTAAGTACATAAGAAAATCCACTTTTTTCTTATAGCTGCATATTTAACATGAATGTGTAGCCGCTGGATGCCATTACATCGCGTGCCGACGCCTTTGACATAGACGTCGCTTCTAGTAAAAGCGACATTTTGAAGCACAAGGCTGCCGAAACTGCCAAGGATGCTGATGTTGCCATTGTATTTGCCCAATTATATGCCGAAGAGGCTTTCGATGTCACTTCGCTCAAGCTAAAAACTGATGGTTTGGTAAGCTAGCTTTAAAGATTTCATACATCGATCCACTACTCACCGCTTGCTATAGATTGAAGTTGTGGCAGATGCCAATAACAACACGATCGTCGTCATCCATTCCGGCAATGCTGTGTTGATGCCATGGGCCGATCATCCCAATATCAAGGGTATCCTGTGGGCTGGTATGCCTGGTCAAGAAACTGGAAACTCGTTAGCTGATGTCTTGTTTGGAGCTGTCAACCCCTCTGGAAGATTACCCATCACATTTGCAAAGCAAGCATCTGATTATCCTTCGGACATTTCATGGAAATTAGAGGTCAGTGCTGCATGAATCCATATAACCCACTATACTCCTTTCTCACCCGCTTCATGAACATAGTTTGAATATGATGAAAAGCTCTTGGTTGGATATCGATGGTTCGATGCAAAGGATATCAAACCACAATTCGAATTCGGTTTTGGTCTTTCATACACAACCTTTGAATACAAGGATCTCCACGTGCATGTTGAAAAGAACACCACCAGCAATGTGACAGCCAAGATGCAAATCACTAATACTGGTTCAAGAGATGGTGCTGAGGTGACCCAACTCTACCTTGCATTTCCTGAATACGTACATGAACCTCCCAAGGTGTTACGAGGATTTGAAAAAGTCTTTTTGAAAAAGGGGCATACAGCCAACGTTACGTTTGAGCTTACCAAGACCGAATTAAGTGTATGGGATGTCAAGAAGCAAAAGTGGGTTGTGCCTTCCGGTGACTACGAGGTGCTTATTGGAGCAAGCAGCCGTGATATTCGCTTGCATGAGACTTTTACTCTATAAAGTAATCTAGCCATACGTTGTTGTTGTATGTGTTTCAATATGCAATGCCAGGGGAATTTGTAGTAGTGTACCCTGTATGCATGATAATAAACGTTTCCCCATCATCAACACAACCCTCCTTTTCCATGAAATACAATATAGTAGCAAAGTTTGAGATAGACCTCGCTTAGCATGCGCTTAATTTCATCGCTGCTGCATTTGATTCATTTGATCCTTATGCAAAAAAAGGGTATGCACGAGCTCGCTTCATGGTAGGAAATGTTGACAGTTGCCCCTGGTGCGTTTCCATGGCACCACATGCCCCGTAGTCATGGCTACTCACTATCAAGTTACCAAGACATGCATGTCATGTCTATTATCGTCGTGATTTTGAATGGGAAGGTTAAGCTACAGGATGACGTAAACAATGACCAAATCGCGTGATGAACGATAGGTCTCGACATGCAGAATTACCCTATTGATCTCTTTATTGTAATCCGATAGCTATCCATTAACCCCTGCATCGACTAGAATGACCTGAAATAGACCCAATGAATGGGAGGAATACGTTGACTATCTGGGAGATAGATTCATGCCACTATGAAATTTTCCCAGGCTACTGTGAAAGGTTTCATAGCAAGCATGCTGTGATTTTATAAGATAGTAACATGCGTCATTGTTATATTGATCATAGCGGGAGTGGATGATGAATGACCTAACGAATGGTCATTTTGTGCAACCAACAAGCATGTCTCCTTTGGCTTCGTAGTGGATGAGAGACAAGATCAAAATACAGATCCCGACCACCAACCACAGAGAAAAAAAAGTTCGCGCGTTTTGTCCCTTTTTCCTTCTATCTCCCAAAAACCGACCTTACTTTCAAGATGGCTTCTGTAAGTGTCTCTTACTGTCATTTCTTTTTTTCTCGTCTTGTTTCCCAGTCAACATCTTGGTCGCCGAGACAACATGCACTGTCAGGATGCTATGGATGGCGCAGCCATCTGAAGAAGCGCGCGTCATTCTATTGCGCATTGTATAGCAGTAGCAACCCATTGTCGTCTTCGGATGGCCTTGCATGGCGTGTGTGACAAAGATGAGCGTCTTTTATTCAAGAATAGTCATACTCAAACACTTTATCCATATCATAGGAACGCGAGAATGATGTCTACATGGCCAAGTTGGCCGAGCAAGCTGAGCGCTACGACGGTAAGCATACCCATTGAATCATTCATCCATTACATTGTAGCATGAATCAACATGTATTAATCAAGGTTCATAATAGAAATGGTCCAATACACCAAGGACGTTGCTAAGGTATGACGAAAAAAAGGAATCTACAGCATCACACTTACTCACGAACATGATCGTTTCCAGATGGGCGTTGAATTGACTGTTGAAGAACGCAACTTGTTGTCCGTTGCTTACAAGAACGTGATCGGAGCTCGTCGTGCCTCGTGGCGTATCGTATCTTCCATTGAACAAAAGGAGGAGAGCAAGGGCAACAATGCTCAGGTGGAAAAGATCAAGGTTTACCGTCAAAAGATCGAGAATGAACTTAAGGACGTCTGCTCCGATATTTTGAGTGTCTTGAAGGATAACTTGATCCCTAACGCTCAAGGTGGTGAGTCCAAGGTCTTTTACTACAAGATGTAAGTAAATGGGATGATAAAAAAGTGATAGGGTTATTGACATGTTTTGATAGGATGGGTGATTACCACCGTTACTTGGCCGAGTTTTTGACTGGTGAAGCTCGCAAGGAATCCGCTACTCAAGCTCATGAAGCCTATAAGACTGCTACTGATGTGGCTCAGACCGAGTTGGCTCCTACCCATCCTATTCGTCTTGGCTTGGCTCTCAACTTTTCCGTTTTCTACTATGAGATCCTCAACTCACCTGATCGTGCCTGTCACTTGGCCAAGCAAGCCTTTGATGATGCTATTGCCGAACTTGACACCCTTTCTGAAGAGTCTTACAAGGATTCCACTCTTATCATGCAGCTGCTGAGAGACAACTTGACCCTTTGGACCTCTGATTTGCAAGGTAAATGTCAAAAAAAAAAAGGTTCAATAGGTAGATGGTTGAAACTAAAATTTCCTTTTCTTTTTAACCTTGCAGATGCTGACAACAAGGGCGAACAAAACGAGGGCGAGGCTACTGAAGAATCCAAGTAGACTTACACAAACAACCCCAATCTTCACACTCACACGCCACACACTCACTCACACTACACAAACACAAACACACTCACTCACAATGACATTACGAATATCAACATCATATACGCTCTCTTTTTCTCTCTTTTTTTCTTCCCAGCCCATTTACTCACATTTAACAATTCTTCCAACAATTTATCATTTTCTTGACAAAAAGTGCTGTGGTATCTCATTTCATGATGTTGATTCTATTCATGGTCGTTGTTCAGAGGAAATGCGCATAAACTTTCATCATTAATGGTAACAGTAAACTCCAACACTGAGCACACATATCATTTTCATCGGTAAAAGTAAATGTAAAAAAGGAATTGCGTATTATGAAAGCACAAGGATGTAAATTGGTAATGTGGGTCGTAGATGTTGACAACAAGGGCTATAAAACGAGGGCGAGGGGTTACCGAAGAATCCAAGAGACTTACAAACAGAACTAATCTTCACACTCACACGCCACACACTCACTCTATTCACACAAACACAAACACACTCACTCACAATAATATGAATATCAACAACTATATTGCTCTCTTTTCTCTCTTTTTTCTTCCCAGCCCACTATCACATTTAACAATTTTTCCAACAATTTATCATTTTCTTGACAAAAAGTGCTGTGTATTCCAGTTTGACGGCACATCTCATTCCAGTACTTCGTTCAGTTACGTATTGCTCATAAACTTTCATCATTAATGGTAACAGTAAACTCCAACACTGAGCACACATATCATTTTCATCGGTAAAAGTAAATGTAAAAAAGGAATTGCGTATTATGAAAGCACAAGGATGTAAATTGGTAATGTGGGTGGGTGGGTGGGTGGTGATATTGTTATTACTAGATACGACCGAATTGGGTTCTTCTTTTCTCGGCTCTAATGTTGCGTTGTCTTTGGAGTTGTCGAATGTGGGTCTCGCAATAGATACGACGTTCAAACATGTAGTAAACATCGGTAATGGCACATCGGCATACCTATAAAGTACACTGTTAGATGAAAAGCCATGGTGATATTGTAGAGAAGCGAGAGGACATACATTGCATCGGAAACATTCTGGATGGAACCTCCAACCTTCAATGGTCTGTGCACATGGGCCTTCAATTGGATCATCACATGTCCGGCACAAGGAGTTGTTGAGTTGATGGTAGTGTCGTTTGCAATAGGGCGCATTTTCAAAGACGTAAAAGGTATTATCAGGGAATTCTTCATGGCAAATCTAGCCAAAAAAAAAGTGAGTAAAACAAGCTACAAGACTATATATGTAGTACTTTACTTACATGACATCCAAAGCATTCAAGATGCCATTTGCCTTGCAATTTGCCATCCATGGCAGAAACAGCTTCTCGCTCAACCGGGCGATTACAGGCACGGCACATGGGTAGGAATAAGCTCTTGAAATCAGAACGGCAATACAAATGACCTTGATGTTCCTTGTATCCTGTCCTTTCGTCCAGAGGTTCATAGCAATGATAGCATTTTACATGACCAGGATGGTAGTATCTTCCCATGACCTTGATGGCATTCACATTGGAGGTGATAGGTCGGTCGCTGGTGATATTCTTTTACTTTGAGTCACATGATTACTTGAGAAGAAAAGAATATGAATATATAAATACCATCCAGAGCACACGATTCGTTTCTTGACGACATTGTAATCGCGTTCGCAATAAAGTTTGCCATTGTATTCATAACAGGGTCGAGAACGATCAAACGTAGCACGGCACATTTGGCAATTGAAGCACGTCTTGTGATAGTACTATACGGAGGAGAAGATAATATGTGTGAGATTTTCATTGATACTAGGGAGAAGGAGAAGGAGCAAAATGATACACAAAGGAGACCATTGTATATAGCCATACCTGGTTATGGTGATTGACCACATCGTCACGATAATCAAATTCATCTCCACAAGCTGCACAAGCGTCACTAGCATGGCGTGATGAAGCTGAAGGTCGTCGGTCAGTGTCGTGGATATCACTACCCAGACTGCTCATCAGGTCAGCCATCAATGTATCCAATGAACCATTGCCGCCACTAACACCACCACCAGCACTGCCGCCGTTGCCAAGTCGATCACTGCTGCCATTGCTGTACTTGTCCAAAGGAGAGTATCCTGTATATCAATGTGAGTAAATTACCTTGATGAACCCATCCCATCCCATCCCATCAATACCTCTATCATAATCATAATCATTACGTGGAGCATATGCTGTTCTAGGGGAGCCACCCATTCCTCTATAGATGGATACATCAGTATGGATTTGCTAATAAATGGTGCATAAATTTAAACTCACCTATCATTGGAAGAAGGAGGTGCAGGGCTGGTACTGTTGCTAGGATACGGTCTGGGATATTGATCGGAATACTTGAAAGTGGGAGTTTTTGGGCTGCTACGGTAATAAGGATCATCGTCGCTGCGTAGACTATCTTCACGTAAAGGTGGTGGTGGAGAAGATGAGCCGTAACCACGATATGATTGTTGTTGTTGTTGTTGATCCCTGAGAGAAGGACGTCGGCGATCTGGCGCCATTCCATAATATGGAGGTGTCACGGGTTCCGGATGATAGTTTCTGTCATATGAATGCTGACTACCTTTGGGACTTGCCAAGGGGCTTCCACTTGCTGATGAGGATGTAGGGGATTTTGATGACGGTGCCATTCGATTCATGCCTTTATCTACTAAATCCTGTTACTATTGTAACACGTTGATTAGCCTTTTTCTCGTGTTACTGGATTGATGAAACACACACACTCCAATTCCCGGTACGATACTTACATTGCAATTACTAGCATAGAGAGAGAGAATGATGATATGTACCTTGGCGTAGAGGAAGCATTGGCAAAGGTGGAACAGCAGGCATATTGGAACAAACGTGCTCGCCAAGTTTGCGGATCTGCACGTCCTCACCACAATCCGAGCATTTGACAGTAGGAAGGATTTGAGAGATGCGATCACTGGATGCCATGACCCTGCTACTCATTGTATATAAAGAGGGAAGGAAAGGAGAGGCGGGAGAGAGAGTGAGAGTGAGAGTGAGAGAGTGAGAGAAAGAGAGAAAGAGAGAGAAAGTATGTATGTGTATATGAGTGAGTGTGTGTGTGTGTGTGTGTGAAAAGAAAGAGGAAAAGAACAATTTGTGCTGCCATTTGGATACCTCATGCAAAGCAGCCTGAACAGGTAGGTGAGTAGCCCAATCATCTACGAACTTGCCACACGCGTTGAATTGTATCGGTCTTAGCTCGTGTTTCTTCCTCATCATGTCATTGAAAGCCGTCATTCTCGTTGGTGGTCCTTCCAGAGCCACTCGCTTCCGTCCTTTGTCTCTCGACGTACCAAAACCTTTATTCCCTGTCGCCGGTGCCCCCATCATCTCTCATCATTTGGCCGCTCTTACAAAAGTCGAAGGCCTTAAAGAAGTTCTTATTATCGGCTTCTTTGAAGATAATGTCTTTTCCCGCTTTGTCGATGATGCTGCAAACGAGTTCCCCAGCTTGAATATTCGGCAAGTACTCTATCTCATATCATTTTCATTCAACAACCAACTAAATGATCATCTCCAATAGCTATCTTCGCGAGTATCAAGAGTTAGGCACTGCTGGTGGTCTTTATCACTTTAGAGACGAGATCCTTCGTGGCAACCCTGAGCAGTTTTTCGTCATCAATGTTGATATCGCTTGCTCTTTCCCCTTGAATGAGATGATCGATGCTCATATGAAACATCGTGGCGTATGCACTATGCTTGGTACAAAGGTATTCTAAACATCTTCCAAATGCCCCTAATCCTATATGCTAACCAACCTCATGTTGCTAGGTACCTCGCGAGCAAGCCACCAAGTATGGTTGTTTGATTGCTAAAGCAGGCACCAATGAAGTCATGCACTATGTCGAGAAGCCTGAGACATTTATTTCAGACACTATTTCATGCGGCGTGTACTTGTTTGATACTTCAGTGTTCAACGAGATGAAGAAGGCCATTGATCGCAAAAAGGATTCCATGGAAGAAAATGATTACCTTTGGACACCTTCCGATGATCGTTTACGTCTTGAGCAAGATTTGTTGCGTCCTTTGTCCCAACAACACAAGCTCTACGTTTCCATCACCGAAAAGTTTTGGCGACAAATCAAGACAGCTGGGTAAGTAATACTGAGGGATGATGGTAGGATTGTGGGAGAGATATTAATTAGTGCATGCTAGTTCTTCGATCCCTGCCAATGCAGCTTATCTTGAACAAATGGCAAAGGATTGCCCTGAAAAGCTCGCACAACAAAAGCCGGATGGGCCCGAAATCATTGGTGCAGTTTATATTCATCCATCAGCACATGTGGATCCCACAGCCAAGGTAAGTAAACCCAAACAAAGGGCGTATCTATATGGTCACACACGTACTAATGTGTCGGGGATCGACAATTTGAAAGATTGGTCCAAACGTGTCGATCGGCCCACGTGTCACCATCGGTAAAGGTGTCCGTATCAAGGATTCCATCATCCTCGACAATGTCCAAATTGGCGTAAGTCATCCTCGTTTAAATGATATAGCACTTTTCACTCACATTGGTACAATGTAGACTGCTAGTTGTATCTTACATTCGGTCATTGGATGGAACAGCAAGATTGGTGCTTGGGCTAGAGTGGAAGGTAGCCCTGCTGGTGATCACAATATTGATATGATGAAGAACGGTGTCAAGAGCCAGAGCATTACTATTCTAGGTATGTATGCCATTTGATATCTCTATAGAGTTGCTGACTTTTTATCCCTCTACAGGCAAGGAGGTTTCCGTGATGGATGAAACTATTGTACGCAATTGTATCGTTCTTCCCCACAAGGAGCTCAAATCATCATACCATAGCGAGATCCTTATGTAAACTCCCTCACAAAAAAACATATGCATATATAAAGACTTGATCATCTTTTAAAAACACTATACCAGCGGTTCACTCTCATACCAAAATTTTGGATCTGTGATCTGTACCTTGAATCAGTCAGGGGTAAAGAAAATATACATTGTGGAACACTTGTGCAGTATCGTATACATTTTTTGCATGTGCTGCTGGGATCCATGAGTACTACACCGAGTGAAACACCACGAGTGGTCAGCCCAAGGCAAGTATCGGGATCAAAATTATTGATCACACACAAATGTTGCACAGCATGATTCTCTATGCGCATTATTGTGTTTGATTACCCCATTACTGCTACCCAATTTACATTCCATGTGCCTGCAGACTTTGATCTCCTTGCGAAGGAGAGAGACTCACATGCAATCTATCGCCTATGTTCCCACGAATACGACATGTCCAACCGAGGCGTGTACACATAAGGAGGATCTTGTGCACGCAAAAGTAGTCTCCAGCGAAGTTTGATATTGTTATTACCCATAGTCACTTTTCTTTCTCCTCTCATATCCTTATAATCAATATAGAAAAGTCCATGGATAGACGGCCTAAAAAGCGGCGCGATGGATGTATTTGAACAAGTAAAGTGTGTAGATTATTTTCTATGAGTATTGGCAGTGGGATGGGGAGTAGTGAGTCCTCTATGCTTTGGCTTGCAATCGCCGGATCTCTTCGGGGCTGAATTTTAACATCATTGTTAATACAGGGATCAATTGTGCCTAGATCACAAAAAAGTAAGCTCATGTCAATGAAGGTCCTTGAACACATACTTACGCGTGTTGGCTTATTCTCAAGGAATTTTAGTATAACATTTCTAAGGTATTCAAGATTGATCTCGTCTTCTTTGGTCTTGACGGCTGGTGCAGGAGCAGGTGATGATGGTTCAGCAGGACTACTGCTTCTAGAAGCTTGCTGTTGTTGTTGCTGCTGCTGCTGCTGCTGTTGTAGCTGCTGCTGTGATTCGGCTAACACATTCTTTGAAAGCTTGCGTACTTCGTCTTTGAGAGTCTATGGTCAATAGCATTAGCACACAAGCCTAGATGTTTCTTTGATCCTCTGCCGCAATACATGCCTTGTTCAATGTCTTCAAATGTCCTTCACGCACCCGTAGAGATTCCAGCTCTTTATCATGGGTATTCTTGGCCTGTTCGAGGTTCTGGACCTTTTCCTCGAGCTTTTTCTATATCAAAGTAAGATTCATGGATCAATGTGGGCACTTGAACACGTGATGAAGGATGATACTACCATTGCATCTTGTGCATCATCTCGATCTTGTACGCTCTTTTCCAAATCAGCTTCCAAATCATCAATGCGTTCCAGTAATGCTTCCTTGTCTCCTTCCAATACTTGAAGTCCTTTGGTCTTGACATTCAAATCATCACGTACAGCGTTGAGTTCATCATTGAGAGACTTGATTTGCTGATTCAATTCCTCAACCTTTGAATGTGCTGAATCACCATTGGCTTTGGCGCTCTGTAACTGCGACTTGCAATCATCCAACTCTGTTGCCCACTTTTCCTTCTCCTTGGTAAATCGTTTCTTGTTGTCATCCAATTCCCTTCTCAATTCCTCAACCATGCTTTGATATTCTTCCATTGCTGTCATACGCTCATTGACTTCCTTCAGCTGTCGCTCACTCTCGGTCAACCGATGTTGTAAAGACTCTGCCAAGTTTTGTGAGCTCTCGAATTCGGCCTGCTTGATTTGTAATTCATCGAACATCTTGTTCTTGGCATCCACAGCTTCTTTACGTTCCTTGCGTAGAATTGTCATTTCGGATTCATTCGAGTGTAATCTCCCATTCAGCTTATTGACATCATCCTCCAGCTGGCTCACGTTGGTCTCCAATCGTTTGATGTTCTCTTTGAGTGTGTCGTTGGATGATTCTGCTGTAGAAAGCTGCTCTCGAATGGTATTCATCTCCTCAACCGCATCTGCTTTTTCCTTTTCCAATTTCAAAATCTGCTTCTTGGTCTTGCTCAATACATTGACGTACTTTTTTGACTTGTCTTCCAATTCGCTTTGTGACGCACGCAATGTATCGACTTGTTTACGTGCAGTATCCAATTCCATATCACGCTCGTGTAGCATATCTTTGGCGACTTTGACTGATTCCTCTTTATCCTTCAACTTTTGTTCCAATGATTGAATGGTGTCACGCGCTTCGTTTAATTGTTGTTGATGGTCAACGGTGGATGCAGCTGCCTGATCAAGTTGACTAAGACGTTCTGAATGCTCGGCAATGAGTTGATCCATCTTTGCTGTCAATTTATCCTTCTCCTCTTGCAAGATACGCTCATGCTCGGTTGTCCATTTCTTCTTCTCATCTTCCAAAGTATGCTCGTGTTGGCTGATCAATTTCTCTTTCTCCTCCTGCAAGATACGCTCATGCTCGGTTGTCCATTTCTTCTTCTCATCCTCCAAAGTATGCTCGTGTTGGCTGATCAATTTCTCTTTCTCCTCCTGCAAGATACGCTCATGCTCGGTGGTTGCCTCTTTGATCGATGCTTCCAAAGTATCCACTTTGCTCTGCAATGCTGCCACCTGATCCGGCTGTTGTTGACTGGTTGTAGCATCAGCGAGTGCTCGTTCAGCTTCGTCAGCTTTCTTCATAAAGTGCAACAAGCTCTTTTTGGACTCTTCCTTCTCCAACAACAATTCTTCGACTTGGTTCTTGAGTGATGCCACTTGCTTTGTCCCATTCTCCTGTTGACCGGATTGCTGTACTGCATCATTGTACTTTTGTGTCCATTCGTCTCGTTCTTCTGTCAAGGTCCTGATCTTTTCCACAAGTCCTCGCATGACACCTCGCTCCTTTTCCATTTTCTGTTCCCTCGACTGGATCGCTTCATTGAGCTCGTCTTTAAGACGTGCAATCTCTTCTTCTGAACTCTTGTCCGCCATGGAAGACACCACTGAAGGAAATGAGAAATGCACTTGAGAGAGAGAGAAGGATAAAAAGGCGGTTAAAGCTATATATCGACCCTCCGACTAAAACGCTTGTTGCTTTGTTGTACATACATGTCAGACGCTATTATCACATGTCACCTGTAATGTGATCTCTCAACACCTTATACCCGTCCATAAATAATCATGTCATCATTGTTCAAGGTCCCTTAGTATACTGGTCGCTACGTGGAATAGTTTCAAATAAGCCGTTCATTGCCATAAAGATATACATTACTACTACTTTATTATCTTAGTTACATCCATGCATGATATCCATCCATACGATTGTCATATGCTTCTGTAGTAATAGAACCTTGATTCTAACGCCTACAAGCATCTGGTTGCTGCTGAATTTCTTGATTTTGCTGAGTTGCTAGGATACCAGGTTACCAGCCTAAAGATACAAAATTATACCTTTGACCCCTCCTTCCTCGATTTACCGCTAATACACCGCCATCGCCATCTTAATAAACCATGTTTCAAATGTCATTTTGCATACTCTGAGCTGCTTATATTGACATTTTATGCTAATTTCCGTTTTCGGCAGCCTTTCCTTTATGTAGCATCCCTCCAATCATAAAAACAAGCAAAGGGGATGTAGCTCAAATGGTAGAGCGCTCGCTTAGCATGCGAGAGGTACCGCGATCGATGCGCGGCTTCTCCATTCCACATCATCTTGTAATCGATTGATCCAATACAGGATCATTCGATTCGATCTTTTGTTTTTCGTGGATCAAAAATCACGTGATTTACCTTTTTTTTGTTCGTGTAATATATTTTATTATGTTTTTGGATTTAGGATGCACACAAGGAAGTACCGGACGATTTGATGATGTTTATTCATATGTGTATGAATGGATATTTAGATGATAGGATAGGGTCAAAGCAGCATATGCAAAAAGTGCTTTGGAATCGAATTTTTTATCTCATTGTCGATGCTCTTTTATCCGGCTGGTAGGCTAATGGCTTGAAAGTAGTGGGGTCAGTTATCTTTATCATAATGCTTGTATATGACATATAGACGTGTATATGAGATAATGATGTAAAGGCATTATTTGATATACGATGTGTGACTACTACTACGTACGTTGTTATGATTGCTGCAGGATCACATTATAAATGTCGTGGTGGTTAGCATCGATTAATGGTAATAAACCATCTGTATTGTATTGACAAAACATCAGCCCTACATGGTCTAATCATATTAACAGTTTACAGCCTTTGTTTCAAGAAACAATGAATCAATCGCGGTCTTCCTTTTCACAGCATTTAGAAGTGAGCATACTTCTACAATACTGCCTAATTCTTCCTATGATACAATACACCGAATGCCTACACACGGCGAGGTCCAACTCAGGAAGAAGGGAGGTCTCTTACACTATAGAAGTATAGGCATGGTAGGCAATGCAATGTCGTATTCGTTAAGGTAACTTATTATTTCAACGTCATTTACAAGAAAAGGGCTGGGGATAAGAATGCATCAGTTTATGGGAGATACATCGATTGGGAAGTTCTATCCTTTGGGTGTGTATTGTGGCAAAGGTCAATGGATGGACGTGTGGTGGAGAACTATATCCATGGCGTGCCAAAATATGCGGCTGGATGGTGATGGTTGTGCTTGGTTTGTATGCCACACAAGGAATGATGATTGTTGCTGCCATGCAACATTGAATCCCCCAAGCGTTCAGGATGCCAGCATCATGCATAATGGAAATAAAAGGAATGATCCTCACGTATAGCAAAAAGGTGTATAGCATTTTACATTCTACATCCAACATCAGCAATTGCCTTACTACCACATCCCCAGGCATTCGTCTTTTTTACTCATCCCAGGCCGAAGCATCCTCTTTTGTTGCATGCTCGGTGTTGTCCTTGGCAAAAAAAAAAGTCCTTCTCTTTGCATACATGTACCAATCACCCTTCCACCAATAAGAAGATGGACCACCTGTACTAATATCTCAAGATTACACAATCGAACATGGCATGGTTAGTATTACAGAAATGGTCAGCGCATCCAAAAGCATCTTGTAATGCTAAAATCCTCTCAGGCTTGACGTCAACGGTCATTCTCTGCTGCTGTCAACTAGAATAAAATCATCCTGGGGCGACCTTCTGGCGAGACAAGACACTTGATTTTACGTCTCACGCTTCATACAATTTTAAACAAGTTACTTTCGGGTGCAGTGATCATTTTTGACTTATTATCCATACCATGGTCAACTTGAAAAAGTGCCATACGTGCTATCATAGGCGGGTCTTACTATAGGCGTAAAGGGGTAAATATCCATCATGCACTCTCCATCAATAGGATCGACCCTTCAACTCGGCTAGTTACACAAAGAGGTCCTTCTGCATCTTTGGCTTTGATATGAATGAGACGATTGACAATGAGCACAGACCGCTTTTCATATAGCATCAAGCTTAAAACATAGCAAAACATAGAGGTGCAGTACCAGCCAATTGATCTACATCTACTTTTGTATGCTTCACCATTCATGCTGTGCAACTTGCTTGACGTATTTCTAAGGTCCTAGGATTCAAGAGTGTTCAACTCTCTCGCCTTCTTGAAAAAGTCCATAACAAAGGGTCCATTGTCATTAGGTGGCACGAAGACCAAAATTAGTATTGGTGTACTAGGGACACTCTTAACAAAGATGAAAAATGAAAGCAACGTTTATTTCTCCTTGAAATGACTGGTTCTTTCTTCAAATACATCTTGTTCCTCATTGTATTTCCATACTCGTAGTTCGTTGCCATATGGTTTAGGACGAATCTCAAATAGGCTAAAAAAAGAGCACGCATGTCAGCCATCAAGTACATGTATGCTGGCAAGATAACTCACGTATGCATAGGTATATCCATATGTGGCATCTGTTCCCTTGATCTATCAAGTAGGTATCCCATTAAAATACGCATAACGACCCGATGTGTAATGATCAAACAAGATTCGCTCATGCGTTCCAACTCGATAATCATGGACTGTGTTCGATGAATGACGTCTGTATCGGGATGTAATGGTTAATGATAAATCCGCAATCCACATACTTTGAAACTTGCCAAGGTATGATTCTCCACCAATGCCTGGGTAACGGTAATAGAGTTTGTTGGCGCGTCTGGCAGAAAATTCTCCTGGGTATTTTTCTTGAATCTCGTCATAGGTCATTCCTTCACAAACCTATATCATTGTAATGAATAAAGGAAGATTACATAACCATTGGCATCATACCGCTGCATTGATTTCATTCAAGAAACGAATATGCTTGATATCGTACTCGTCAGGATCGAACCACGTCGCTGTCTGCATAGCACGTTTCAGCATACTTGTCCAAACTGTAAACTGCTGCTGGTTGGAAATTGTCTTTTTCCTGAATAAAGGAGGTTCATCATCCAATGGCTCTAACCCGTTTGATGCCCAGTACTCTTCTTGTTCTTCTTGCTGTTTGACCGAGTCAAGTGCAAAAGCAATTCGTTGCTCTTTGATAAATCTAGCCAGTGCTTTGGAATACTTTCTACCTCGTGGCGAGAGCTACAACAAATGCGTATAAGTATTGTAGCACGTCCTATAGCCTTACATGAATACTCACGGGAGCGTCACCACCAATGCGTCCAACAACGTTGTCTTCGCTTTGTCCATGTCGTGTCAAAAAGATTTGACGGTCTAACAAGAAAAAATTGCATTATTACAACAGCCAATACCATTAGTTATTAGTCATCTCTCTCACCTGCCAGGTTAAAATTCATAAGGTAAAAGACGCATTGACCCGACAAGTATCCTGATATGTTGTAAGCGACCACTTTCTTCCCCACGTTCATCAGCTTGCAGTATTGAATGTCGTGCTTTTCCTCCCATTCACCAACAGGCTGGTATGCTCTTTCATAGTTGCTGACACGTGACTTGAAATCGGCCAATGCCTCAGCAGCTGGCTTGTCTCGATAATCAGGACCCAATAATTTCAGGCGAAAGTTCCTTTCCAAGATCTATTCCACACTACAGTGAGCATTAGAGTCATTATCCGACGTTCAATGATTACCTTTTTATCCGTGCATAAAGATTCTAATAGCAGGACTTTGATTTGCGGGTATTCTTGTAATCGATTCAATAACAGGAACCTATTATCATAGTACGGCGATGGTTAGTATGCAAAATGATCTATGCCTAGTCCCTATACATTTACCTTCGTTCAATTGTGGAATTGGTAGCATCATGAATAGCGACACGACCACCTTCGCTTAACCAGTTGATTAAGTGATCCAGAACCTCAAGTGCCAAATTATCTCGAATCCGTTTAGCCTCCTCATTCCCGGGATCGAAGAAGCCTGCCGATTGTTCATGCTGCTGAGATTCTTGGTTCACACGGCGAAGATCACCCACATTGAACACCTTTCATGCGATGAGTCATTCACATCCAACAATGGCAACTGCATTTCATTGTACTCTACCTTAGTCTCATATTGAAGCCAATTCAGGTATCGCCGTAGCTTTTTCACAATGTAACTCTTGCCTCGAGCAGGAAGACCCACTAGATGAAGTAGCAAGTTTAGTTTTCCACCTTCATTCACTCCACTTTTTCTTTTTCTTACCCATGATGATGACCAATTTGCTATCTGAATGCGGCTCTCTACTAGTTTCTTTCTCACAAACATCAATATAATCACATGTTTTTTTTCTTCCAGGTCGAGAACATACTTGGTGTTACAATGCTTTGAACCGCTCCTGGGACGTCGAAACCATGTGCTCTTATATGCTCTGGCCTTGCCGAAAGGTAGCAATTGTCATTGGTAGGCGATGAGAATGCGACCCATTCGTCTATTGACGACGACTGTGGCTGGCTATCAGGGTTGAGTGTTTCGGACCAACGGGTGCTTTCCGAATGCGAACTTGTAGGAGTACAACAAGGTGACAAAGGGACAATGGCGGGCGCTGTCGTTGGTGCTGAGGACGATTCGTTACGGTTGCTGGGGGATTCTTGTTGTTGCATTTGCATAAATCAGTGCACCACTCTCGCCGAGACTCTGTCAGTGTAAGTGTGTGTATGTGTGGGTGGGTGAAAACGGGAAAAAGAAGGATTGGTTTTCCAACCCGCTGGTTACCGCGTGCTCAATGCCACAACACAAGGATTGATGTAGCTATTTCTCCGCTTGATCATCTCATGCATTACCATCATCATTCATGTCATCATCAATGTTAACAAAACGCATGTCGGTTCTATTACCAACGGTGTAACACTCACGTACGCATTTTGATGCAGTAATCTTCCGCTGATTGCCAACCCCTGAAATTCTATTACCATTGTTGTCATCAGCAATAGCACAGAGAGCTGTATTATGGAATAAACTCGTGATTATTACTGAAGACATGATGGCAAGGTGTATTTACACGTGGTGGTACGTGCGTCTTTATAATAACTTGCCAAGGAAATGAAAGCTATACACGTGATTTTCGCTTAGAGCATGGTAACAAATGACATGCAACAATATCGTATCATAAAGTTATAAAGTTAATTGATCAGAGAAATAGTGGTGATATCATCATACCTTGCCATCCGGAATAAAGAAAATGAACGCATTACCACTTGAATGCTTTGTTCTGATGGTCCATTGCTAATACTACACTAAGGAGGAGGAACGCACATAATCATGACCGCAAAGCATCATAGGTGGCTACTCACCAGGATTATAGCTCTTGTCTCGTGTACATGATATACCAGAGAGTTGCATTCGAGAATATCTTTGTGTCTCACGACTTTGGCGGAGGATGCTATCACGCGGTGTTCGAGATTTGGATTATCACATTCACAACAACGGCAATGATAACGACAACAAGATTCAAAAGGAAGCCTCCAAGATCCCATTCTCTTCAACTTGTGTGTTTTTGATATTTGCGACGAGGAGATTGACGACTGCTGACGAGTACGAGTACGAGTATGAATGATGAAGGACGACGCCTACGACGATGGTGGTGGCAATATGGACATAAAGCATTGTTTATTTATTACACGCTTGGACTTTGCTAGCTTGTGGATTACATACTATTGCTTCGAAGATAGAATAATAAAGGTGGATCCGGTTATCGGTCATGCAAGAAGTATATGGCTTTTGTGATACAATAAGGAGGAGTGGGATAACCTTGAGAAGAGCAAAAGTGAAGTGATCCCTCCATTGAGTTTCAGGATGAGTGACCTGTCATTGGATTAGTTACTGGTGGGTTCACATATACAAATTGGTTTATGCAGCTCGTCCTTCTCCTACATGCAAAGGTGATACATACCTTGACACACCTTCATTATCGGATGCTGTTTACTTACGTACCTTCACAAAAGGCAATCATCATCATCATCCATTTGTGCATCGATCTATTTGTGTAACCACCACGTACCATTTCATTCAGCTGTCTTGATCTTTCCGTTCATGCAGTCGACACCATCCATCAGGAGAAAGCAACTCCTAGTATATCACCAAGCACAACACCATTTCTATTTGCACGATATCACGCAGCATAATGAATAGCTACATCGTGAATAAACTACGTGGATGTATACCATGCAACAAAACAAGATGGGAATGGAAGAGGATGACGTGATGAAGCGATTGTGAATATGGAAAATGTCAAGCTGGTAATGGTTGGAGATGGCTCACCAAACGTGTAGCGCGAGATGCAGCATGGTTGATGGATCAACTCTATATCAGTAGCGGAGGAATCCACATCCGCATCATTGGCCCCAAGATGCGTCGGCTTAGCATATTAGGTTTGTGCTGCGCTACACATACGGCAATCCTGCTTCAGCTTCTCTTTAGATGACCCATAGTGACATGGATGTAATAGAAGATATGCTTTATTACTATAGCAGTCAACAGCATAATAAACCGATCCTAATTTGGGACATTTATTATCTACCCTGAAAATGGTGACCGTGTGGTGGTGGTGGTAGTTGCACAAGCCGTTGTCATGTGAGGCTGATGGTAGTCATGCATGTATAGCAACGCTTATGGGCTTGTTGGTTCAACTTGGCGTTATTCCCTTTTACCAACCATGACCAATGTGTGGAGCGATGTCACCGAGCAGCCAATCCCTGTCATCAAGTCAGGCACATGGGCCAATGTTATTGCCGATTCGTCACGCCGTCTCCAACAATGTGTACAAGAGCAACTCACTCACATTGACAACCGTGCAAGAGCCTTGGCAACCAGCGGTAACTTTGAAGCGGCCTTAAACGATGTTGCTATGATACGACAACTGGCTCCTTCTTCGTCAGTGGGCTATTTGTGTGCTGGTCACGTGTATTCACTGCAAGGACGACAAAAGGCAGCGATTGATATTTATGATCAAGGACTGGCTGCTGTTCCATTATCGGATCCCTCTCATCAACGACTTGTCGAAGCACGATCGATGGCTCAGGAACGAGATAGCACAAGGATCGATTTCATCAAGGAGTTCCCTATCGACATCATTGAGAACATTGCACCAAGGATATTGGCTGAAGAGATAGCACCCAGTGAAATACGACGATATCTTGGCGTGTCACGTATATGGCGAGAAAGATTATTGATGTGCATACGAGAACTGCACATCGAAAGCACGCACAAGGATGAACTTGCCCATGACGATGATTTACTTGAACAGGTTGCACACCATTGTACAACCCTTACTCTTCACAGCAATACTACGGGCTTCCCTCGACTCATGTCAAAAACACAGCTTCCTTCATTACAGACTTTAATCGCATATGAGTAAGTACATATTCTCTATTCATCATCCTATCCAGTAGCATCCATTCATTGATGGTGTTTATGTGCATAGTCCACGTGGTGCTGATGACGATGACGACGATGACTTTAATCCTGGTATCGCTGCACTTGTATCGGTGGGATCAACCTTGACACACTTGGAAATCAAGACATCCGCATACGGTGTTCGGCTTGGTGAAATTCTCCGCAGCTGCCCGAACCTAGTGCATTTGGAGGCGTGGAATGTGGATACTGATATGGTTAACGGACCTGAATGCCATCCCACTCTCAAGAGACTGCTATTTTGGGTGGATCACGACGAATCGGATATCCATGACATTGCCAAGCGATTACCTGGATTGGAACTATTTGCGACGAGTCGTTTTCATGACACCAAAGACCTTAAAATTCTCCACGACAATTGTCCAAGTCTCAAAGTCGTTGGATGCAATGATGATGGTCTCTCCTTTGGATATGCACCCAAGACCACCACAACCACAACCACGGCCCAAAGCCATGATGATCAGCAGGATTGTTTTGGTGTGCGTATATTTTTCATTGAATGTAATTACAGGGGTATTTACTCTATGGACCTCAAGGACATCATGGATTTTATGAGACGCAACAGCCACACTTTGCAACAGGTGTGGTTTCACGACATTGATTTGGTTGGGGGCGATACACCCATCCTTAACCGTGCAATTCAGGTTGCTGATGATGTCTTCAAGTCACTGACAACTTTCACCTGTCGTATATACGGCCAAGTTGATATTCTTTTCACAAGATGGATCGCACGAGAATCTCCCCATTTAAAGGAACTCAAATTAATGAGGGATTGCGATCGCTCTCAGGATCCAACTGACTCGAGTGCATTATTCGATGATCTGATTGGCCGTTGCGAACTTGAATCTGTCATTTTTGAATTGTATGGAGATCCTACCACGGATATGGGAAGCGTTGAACGATTTATTCAATACCATAGCACCTTTGATTCCCAATTGCATACATTAACCCTTCCCAAGCACACACGACTTTCCAAGGATGCATTGCATGCACTGTCAAAGTTGCCACAACTTGAGAAATTGAGCATCAGCTGGCCTTTTTTGATGAAGGAGGAAGAGGATCAAGGGGATGAAAAGTGTTCTCATTTTGTTGATAAGTTGAATCGATTGAAGCATTTGGGAATATGGAGCGATGAGGTTGTCCCTGACGACGTCTTTGTACAGTTAGCTAAGCTCAACATCACTTCACTCAAGTTAAACTTTTTGTCCTTCAAGCCAATCGTTTTATTAAGCCTGCTGCAATGCCCAAATTTACAAGAGCTATTTGTTTGGCATTCCCTTTTTGAAGATAGACCACTCATTGACGAGATTAAAAACATGTTAAAAAACAAAATAGAGAAAGTAGACATTAATAAACGTTACGGCGGGTATACGTGGTACTACTGGTACTTTTTGATATGGATGATGATGATGGGGGTGGGTGGAAAAACTATTGTACCTAATGCATTGGAGATGTTGGGTATGGCTATCTTCGTTTGTTTTGTTTTTCTATCTTGCATATGTTTCAAAGTCAAAATGCATTGGGCCATTGCAAAGTGGCGGTTGACAACTGTCATCAATGCTTCGATTATAGCATCCTTCAAGTCCGCTCGGTCGTTCCGTGATGATCCCCGTGTCCTTTGTCTTTTACCAATACCATGGCCAACGTGTGGAGCGATGTCACCGAGCAACCGATCCCCGTCATCAAGTCAGGCACTTGCGCCAATGTCATTGCCGATTCGACACGTCGTCTTCAGCAATGCGTACAAGACCAACTCACACACCTTGACAACCGTGCAAGAGCCTTGGCAACCAGCGGCAACTTTGAAGCAGCATTGAAAGATGTTGCTAGGATACGACAACTGGTTCCTTCTTCAGTAATGGGATACTTGTGTGGTGGTCACGTGTATTCACTTCAAGGACGACAAAAGGCAGCGATTGATATCTATGATCAAGGGCTGGTTGCTGTTTCATCATCGGATCCATCTCATCAACAACTTGTGGAAGCACGATCGATGGCTCATCAACGTGATAGCACAAGAATCGATTTTATTAAGGAGCTCCCTTTGGATATCATTATGAATATTGCACCAAGGATCTTGTCCGAGGAGAAGGTGGCACCAAGTGAAATCCGAGCATACCTTGACGTGTCACGTGTATGGCGAGAAAAGCTCTTGATGTGCATACGAGAATTGCATGTATTAAGCACAATCAACGACAGCCATCTGGATGCTGATGGTCTTCCGGGTCTAATTGCCACTTATTGTACAACCCTTACGCTTGAAAGTCGAGTTACTTGCTTACGCGATTTCATATCGGATGCACGGTTCCCTTTATTAAAGGCTTTGACCATTAATCAGTAAGTGTGGTATGATACGTAGTATACCTCTCTATCCTAATGCTGACTTATTTCTTAGGGTACGGGACTCTGCTGGTGACGACTATGATGATTACGATGAAGATGATGAATATGGCAGTGGCTATCTCCGGGACATCATTGCGTCTTTTCGATCTACAGCAACACTGACCCAATTGAAGATCTTTGCGTATGAGTCTTGCTACATCCCCTTTGCCGATATTCTCAGCAACTGCCCAAGCCTTGTTGATTTGGAAGCTACCTGTATCGATTCGGACATGTCTACTGCACCCGCAAGCTGCCCCAATTTGAAATCATTGTCGTTTATGCTGAATGAGGATCAACACTTTGATATGAATGATATCACCAAACGACTCCCTGGATTGGAAAGACTTGTAGCATCGCCTTTTCAGTATGCGAAAGATTTTGGGATCATTAAAATGCTAAGCTGTTATTGCCTATCGACATCCCACGTCGTGTTATTGAATCATTTATGGTCATCTACTCATTAGCAGGATGATGTAATTACCATTCGTTCTATTTTCGCTCATTGGATGTAGTGTTTGTTGAATGATGGGGGAATGTGTGAAGATGGCGTAAAAGATAGTAGATGCCATCCACGATGACTAAAATGACATTTCCTTCTTCCCAAAGAAAGGCACCTTCCGTGGTAGGTCGTCAAAGCAAAGGTTCAAGCGGGTCATGCATCATCCAATACTCATCACAGATGCCCGCTCATCTAATAGTCAATAGGAGTACAAGCATATCAAACGTGACAAAGTTTATTGACAAATGAGTATATAAAAACCCAAAGGGACATCTTGCGTGTATACATAATCTTTTTACATCAAGTGTTAGGCTTAGTTGCTGATGCAGTACCAACGATGGCCAGAGTCACAACCACCGACAGGGTTCTTGGGAGGGCAGTATTGGTCGCTTTGGACACAGTGGGAACCAGCAGGGCAAGAGGCCTCACAGCCTGCCTTTGGGAGACAGGGGCAAACAGAAGCTTGAGCGGCTTGAGCAAAGAAGAGAGCGGCAACGAAAGCAACAATGGAGACCTTCATGATTCTTGTGTGTTGTTGCAAATAATCCATCCCACAATGCCTGGTATTTATATTTTATGAATGAATGCTGCTATAGACGCCGAGGGTGATACTAACAAGAGTTATCATCATCTTGCCATTCTCCCCCCAACTTGCTGGAATTTCGGAAGGATCCTTGGTGCACCTACATGAACGGGAGGGATTTTCATGCAAACTACTACAGCTAGAAAAATCATATGAGGGAGTTCTGCTAAAGCACTGTGATTACGGTTTGCAAAGCCCCTTTGTGTAAGGATGCGTCAAAAGTCAGCGGGATAGTGGTGGTAATGGTATTGGTGTTGTCCGCCCCAGCCATGTCATTGTCATGCATGTCAACTCACCTTGGCTTGATAATAAAACTATCTTACTTTGTTCAATGACCGAGAAACCATAGTAAGACATGCAAATAGGGGATCAAGCAAAACATCAAGAAGCTATGAGCTTTATAATTCGGCGATCACCAGCCCAATCAATACAAGAGATATGTCATTACGAACCCTGACATGTTGATGCATCCAGCAACAATGGTGTCACAATACAACTTGCATTGTTCAACAACCAAGCCCTTCTATATAAACTAATACTATCAAGGAAGGTGCTTGCTTTGTGGTGCACTGCATCATAATCGCTCTTGATATCATTTACATATGCAATGTGTCGTGGTATGCGATATGTCATACATAAAAGCCTTCCCTCAGAGGCAAAGGAGAAGGGAAGTATACACAAGGGTGACCATGCTTCAACAGCTATAGCATCTGGTTCATTATCGTAAAAGCCATGGAAGGAATGGGCGGCTCTTTTGTCGCCCCGATAAAAGGTGATCGAGCGTCGTACAGAATAAACCCTGTCAATTTAAAGACAGCGTTATGCAGCATTTTTCATCGACGTTTCCTTGCGCAACCTGACGCGATTATACTCAGATAACATTTCGGACATGCAAAATACCCAAGCTCTATTCGCTTTATGGAAAAGTCTCCTTTGGTGTACTGGTTACAGTGATCACGATTCCCAGTCTAAACTTTGATAATGCGCATTATGATTTTACAGTACGCGCGGCTAAGCCGATAAAGACACAAGCCCTTTACTAGCCGTTATTGGCACACTAACTTGGATACATAATCTTCGGATGGAGACCGCGTATGGAAGTAGCGGCGCCCTCTAATGGGAGAAGCCAAGCCATACAATAGCAGCAGCAGCCATAATGCCTTTTACAGGAAGGTGTTGAAAACAAAGCGGCATCATCAAAGCGAGCAAATCACTTTTTGGGCAATGCTTCCCAGGTTTCTTATTGTTTGCATGTGTCACTCGCGCAAATCAATGAAGCAATCCTATATTGACGCACGAAAAATAGGACCCTCTACGTAGTGTACTACTACATGTACTCATGCAAGGTAGTGTTTTCAAACTTGAAAATTGAGATAGCTTTATTATCGTGATGACGACACAAGGGGCTTCAAGAGGAATAGCATAATGACAATATCAATCGGAAAGACGTCCATATGCTTTGAATTTCTAGTTACTGATGCAGTACCAACGATGGTCAGCATCACAACCACCAGCGGGGTTTTGAGGAGGGCAGTAGCTATCACTCTGAACACAATGGGATCCAGCAGGACAAGCAGCTTCACAGCCAGCCTTGGGAAGACAAGAGCAAATGGATGCTTGGGTAGCTTGAGCAAAGAAAAGAGCAGCGGCGAATGCGACAATGGAGACCTTCATGATTCTTGTGTTGATGTAGATACTTGGCTGCACACATAATAATACCTCGTCGTATTTATACTTTTGATGTCGGTATCAATATCGCATCGGTTAATGGGTGGATGTAAACCAAAAGCCGGAAGGATTTGCTGCATGACATTTGGGTTGGTGGAAAATTTGCCGTTTAAGGGCAATTGACCCACCATTAGTAGTGCAAGATAGAGGATAGCAAGCACAATGATAATGTCATGATCCACGATCATCATGTGAGAGGCTTTTTAGAAGTAGGATCTCAGGGACATGTAACTACACTTTACACAGCCACGCTGTGTAATTAAACGCCAAACCAATATTGAATGCATGACACCTTTTAACATGTTGATAGATGATCCTGCTCCCAAGTCGTCATACTGGAAAAGATTATTGATGGTTTGCTATCATGTATCAGTACAATGATCATGCGCTCATTGTTCACAGGTATTGACTGCTAAAAGGATACCAATTACAAGCTAATCAATCCGACGACGTATCGACACATTGTGTAGTGCCAAGAAAAATGACAATTAGCATTGTTAGACAGCTAAGCCTTGTAATCAAAGCTAGGGCTCCAAGGATAGGTTATAAGACCCGCACACAAGGCAATGTCATTTATCCGTAAAATAGCATGTCACAAAGTAAAATTAGCATCTCATATGTGAAAAGGCCTGTGCGCTTGATGTAGCAGCAAGATAGGGCTTAACGCAAGCCTATTTGGAAGAGAGCTGTGTCCGTGAATGCAGCTATCTCCCTGAAAATGAGTGTCGGAGAAAGGAAAAGAAGTGGCCAAAGTATCATTTAAACAATACCACCATTCCTTTGTCCAAGTATTCAATGATGTAGCAAGGTTTTCGACATATACGGGATGCTCACCGCATTACATGACTGCCATTTTTCAGTCGAATACTGCTAGCAGTATGTCAAAGTCAATCGAAAATCAATACATCTAGCTCACGACCCTTCTTCCCATCAAGCAACTCTCATAGATACAAAACGCAATCAAGTTTATTTGACATTTGGAACATGTAAATCCGTTTTCAGTGAAGCTGGTTGGTTGAGTGATGTTTACTGCTTGGTGCATCGATAGGCTTGACCATCATTGCAGCCAATGCTTGCGTTACAGCCGGGTTGTTCAACACACTTCCATCCAGGAGTGCTACATTCCTTGTCGCAGGTATCCTTCGGTAGACATGTGCAGCCGCTGGCTTGGGCAACTTGGGAGAAAACGAGACCAGCGACGACAGCGAGAATAAGAGTAGGTTTCATAATGATAATGGTGATATTGTTCGATGCATCTCGTTTGGCAGTTGCTTATATAGCTTTTTTCGCAGTGTACCGCGTGTATGTTTATGGATGAAAACATCATTTACACCTTATCATGATAGCATCCCAATGTCTTAAACATGCGTATTTGGTAAAAAGCTGCATGTATAGTAGTGTGCAGCGTATCTCGTGACGATGGAGTGTGGTACATGGCTCGGCACACACAATGGGAGATACAGACATTTACGTGGACATACATGTGGTAATTTAGTACACAAGATCCAGTATTACAGTGTATGTCGTGTGCTTGCGTACTTTGTGCTTGTCATTCTCCCCCTATTTTGTGTCTGGCAGCTGTCGTAGTAGCTCCCAAATACATGGCAGAGAGATAACATTCAAGGTAGGGGTCATTGTTTTCCATCATAGAGTTTACATCGATGTAAATAAGGAATGCAAGGTACTAACATGTACCATACATCCTTTTGTAATGAATATGGGTTAACTCAAAAATAGCCAACACTTTCACACACTGCGTCTCTCGGTAGACATGTCAAAATGGTGCAACCTGATAACGTAGTGGATTATAATAATGACAAGCCCCTTTGTGTAAAATGGTGCTGTGAGAAATACGATCACTTGTGTAGCAGAGATTCCTACGTCGAATTGAGATAAATAGATAAACAGGGAAATTCTATGCCCAAAAAGAAAAAACCATGATGGGTGTTTGGACTCCTCTATAACGCTGGGGTTAAATCGTAAAGAGAAGTGGTTGCAACAAGGCAAAGCCTCGCCATTGTACAACATCCAATGCTTTCATGTACGTCGTGCATGTATGTTGCTGGCTAGGATGGACCCAAATCATCGATTCGTATGGCGATATTGTCATCGTCTATGCGCTTTAAGACCAATTTCAGACTGATTTAGAAACAGCACGCTGATACCATTGACATCGCATATAGTGAAAGAGGCAATGGGAACATGATGCTATTGCTCTAAAACACTTCACATTTGCAGCTAACATGAAAGACCCATCCTTGATAGACTAGTTGCAAAATCAAAATGGTTGATGCAGGTATTAAGGTTGCGTATCTATACGTGCAACATGGTGCACACTGACAACATTTATCACTAGACATGGTCTACCGGCTGACTGGTGTGGTGGGTTGTGCTGGAATGAGCCTTTTCGACTTGCGAGCCCATTGGATGAACATGTATAATCGCTAAACTTGGTATGCAGTAACAGAATCACTTTGCCAGAAAACTTAAGGAAATCTCTTTTAAAGCAAACGATCCTTGACTAAAGCAAATAGTTATAGCTATCTGCCCGCTAATCATCCTTCATGTACGCATCAGGAGTATCATTTTAAAACTCATCCATAGTGAACGAGAATCGTTATGCCAAACTTTGATAATAGTTTTATTGCTACGACGTACTAAATGGCGTAGGGGAAATGAGCCACAGGAAAGGTTTAAACCTCAAAGTCTGGTCTAACACAGGTCCATCTATCTTGTTCATTAGGGACCTTGCTGGGTGGGCACCACTTGTTATTGATGATACACTTCCAATCCTCAGGGCAGACATCCTTGCATTTTTGTTGAGTTGAGCAGCCATTATCATTGCCTACCGCTTGGATTGTTTGGGCAAGTGCAAAAAGACCAATGGTAGATACGATGATAGAACCGGTCTTCATGATAATGAGGGCGAAAGGATGATGATGATAATGAGGGCAAGATGAGCGAAAAGACCCGACTTATTTATATTTAACACCCCCATCAACTTGGAGTGGATTGTGTAATCCGTACGTCTACTCGATAAGCTGGCTCGAATGTATCATCATGCCTAAAAGAAACTCGTTGGCAATCTTAAAAAGTCGATTGTTGACCAAAACATACATGGCTTAGAAGACACATACACACATCTCTGGTCTAATAGAATGGTTCTAGTGCCATGGGTATGGCAGCACAACATCCGTTGTACAGGAGTTGGGCTTCCAAAGTCTTACCAGAGGAGAGATTTCTGCCATAAACAAGTGTGAACAGGCGCCTAGAATCCCAAAGATTTGGCGTATAGCGATGTATTTGGGATTTTTATCCTTTCGTAAAACAGGTATTATGGATTGGTCAACGTGGGTTCAGGGATTCTATGATCGAATTCATGTTCAAGAAACATAATGTACGTCTCCCAACAAATAACTTGATTTGTAACAATGGTGAGATAATTCCATGCATCAAGGACTATGTAATATTCAGTCATCATACGCTGACAACAAAGCCATAACGGGAACACGTGCTGGTAGATGCCAAAGGCATGTTGTTGTAGTTATACGTCATGAGAATGTTAGCAAAGAAATTTTGAGATACAATGACAAGTAGATTATGTATACGTTGTAAGATGTCGCATGTTTATTGCAAACTATCTCGGGTATATGTGGTATGTTAGCTATTACAGAGCCCATCGGTCAAGGGATGAGAGCGCTGCCCAAAAAAAAAAGTCCCCCCCAAACAAGTAAGCTGCTTCATACTTTGGGACCACTGCGAGCCTTTGGAGTACGGTCTGTGCGTTATATCTGCATATCATGTCAATGGGTAGGTAGACCACGAACGAAATAGAAATAGCACCAAAGTAATCCCGCATTGCCTTGAGGAGAACAACTTGTAACCTTCTTCACTTTTGCTGACCGATTTGTGGTGTCTAGTAATTGGATAATGTTGAAGCACGTGATCGTGGACCACCCGTTATCGCTGCTGGAAAAGGTTGTGGATTGATATGATCGGTGCCGTAGCCAACGAGATCGTCTCCTAGACAACCCTTGTCGCGTTCAATACCAATGGTAGACCAATCGGAACCATAATGATGCCCTGGGTAAACCACCACTCGATCATCCAATTGCCCCAAAGTGTATCGTAATGTTTGCTCCATAGCACGACGATCACCACCTTCAAGATCGGTACGACCACAAAATCCACATAATAGAGTATCGCCTGCAATCAATCGACAATCATTGACAAGAAGAGCTTGTGATCCTGGCGTATGGCCTGGTGTTGGTATGAAGCGAATATGAGTTTTGCTGCCGATATCCAAGGTTTCTGTAGCTGCCGCCATAGTAGCCGCCAAACGATTTGCCGGGATAGTTGGGTTGGCTTGTCGAATGTAATGGATATCTTCTGGATGAACATAGGCCTTGATGTGAGGAAGTCGTTTGAGTAGTGTGGCGAGTCCATTGATTTTGATTGGTAAAGTGTCATAAGGCGGAGGCGGCGATCCACCCACGTGGTCAAAATGATAATGTGTCACGACAGATGCCACAATGTCATATCCATATTCTTCCACAATCCGGAAAATGCCATCAATATCCCAGCACTATAAAAAAGATTGTGAGTCTCCTTGAAGGTCTAGTTACCAATGGAAGATTATACTTACTGCATCCACTACCACGCATTGTTTGGTTGCTTTATCAGCCACGATGTAAATGATATTGCGCATCACCTCGGCAAACTCATAGATACGATTCTGGATAGGCTTATGGAAGCTGCGTTGCGTTGCAATGTCACGTCCTGGCATCACTTGGATGATATCGATTCCCATAGTATCATTATCCTTTTCTAGTAAAGCCCTTGCAATCCGTGCACTGATCTCGCCATTCTCAGGGTCCTAATCCATACAAGCTTTAGCGCTCATAATCTTCCACTTATTGTATCCCCTGATCCATACTCACCCTTTCCAACGCTTGTTTGTAATAGTAAATGGCATTATCAAATTGTCGTAACTTCATCAAAGCTTCAGCATGTCGATAATATCCCTAAGAGTGGTCATGAGTCAATCGTATTCAGTAGTGTACTTTACGCGTTTTACTACCTTTGCCCAAGACGACCGTAACTCTATTGCTCGCCCAGCATCATCCCTTGCCGCATGATATTGTCTCATATGTAGATAGCTTGCACTGCGATTACAATAGACAAGAGCGCCAAATGCTTGTTGGTTTGCATCCGTCAAGGCCAACTGCTGGATCACTTTGGTGTATTCGGTGATAGCTTCGTGGTACTGATGGCGCTCAAACCATTCGTTGGCACGACAAGTTAACTTGTAGCACTTGTCATTGGGTGCTGGAGGAGGGGAATCGAGTGGAATGTCCATGCAACACCAAAACGATCGGAAGACACAAGCAACAAATGCACACAGTAAAAAAGGAGCACTGATATATGCCTCAATCAGGAAATCCCCCATGCAGTCTTTTGTGTAACCCAAATTGCACGAGGAGCATCCCATTGCGTTCTATATCAGTTGGCGGCTGCTATGTATCAAACCCAATGGTTACATTTATTGACAACATTATACGCTCATGATGCCATGTCATCAATCGAGGACTACAGTGATTTTAGCGACCGGATCATCGATCTTATTTATGGATTAACACCAAGGCACAACATGTGTGATGATGTTGGTAGATGTACCTTGATGAGCAACACTGCACCACATGATCAGGCTATTGTCCTATGATGCTTCCATTACATACATAAGTCATCAGAGTCTTTCATTGCAATAAATGCTATTTTCTACATTGAAATCTCAAACTTGAAGGATGATAGACGGATCAAGATCCATCAAATCAACTTGGGAAGCGGGAATATGAGTCTTCGTTTTCCTAGTGGGCATCTCTGTGCACTCGATCTATCGATGACGTGAGGCTATGTAGAAGTTGTTATCCAAAGACTTATGTGGGGCATGGTTTAAGACTTATAGGCCGATGAAAACCAAAAATGCCCCTGACCACATGGCTATTGCTATCCAGATCTTTGGGAGAAGGTACCCAGTCTCGCATCACCGCGCCCGTAACAGAGTAGGGGTTTTGTTATATCTTTTGTTACCTGAATGCAATAGGGATGCCTTTTTCATTCACTTTTATACAATGAAAGACTGCTTTTGCCTTGTTCTAGTTATGGTAACTGCTACGTTATCCGCATCAGCAATCGAATATAAAGGACCACGACAGCAACAGCAATCGGCCGTATGCGAAGATCAAGTAATAGAGCAAGATTGCCAACAGTATGTTGACAGCTGTCGCTGGCACAAGGCTCCCGATACCAATGACTGTAAGTCGTCTTTGATCCAAGTGGTATTGAAAACGGGTTTTAATTGTACAAGTAGTTACATGCATATCATTGAGCAAGCTTTACAAAGGAGCGTAAGCATGTAGCCTTGGTATATATCCAACCGCCAGAGCAGGCTACTGTATTCTCAAACCACTGCAGTCAAACACCATGATGACTCGTTGATAGTATCCAAATGGAAGTAGCTGATCAATAAAACGACTCAAAGTTTCCTCCTTACGCCGTACGCCATGTGTAAGAGCTCACATAAATGCGCCCCCTACTTACAACGGATCACTGATTGGCAATAGTGATTATGTATAAATGTTCTTTCAGGACTACTATCTTGACTTGTGGATCATCATCATCCTTTTCAAAATGAATTACTTCTCTCACTTGTAACCCTTGGCTTGCTCGCCAGCGTCACTGTATCCCAACAAGGTGGAAAGGCGGCAGAGTCGGGAACCAATGTCCAATGCAAGAAAGAACCAAGCTGCGTATGGTTGGAAATTTATGGTAAGAAAGCATGTAAAAAAGCTCTTATTGATAAAGATAACATTGACCATACTCTTAGCATCCAAATACGAGTGTGTGGACATGGACGAAGCCGAGTTTTGGTTCATGGAGATGTTAGGTTAGACATCAAGATACAGGATGGTATCCAATAGCTACCAATAAAACCTTACACTAAGGTCCACAAATGATTGCTGGGGAAAGTGATTATGCAAGAAAGTTATCTTGGTCGAGTAGAGACACACATTTTACAGCGTAGCATAGCTCAATAATGAAAACTACTTTTCTTGAGGCACGTCTCTATATTTTATCATTCTAAAACGAAAAACATGCATAGCTGATCTCTAAGATTCCTCAAGCTGTCGCTCATATAGGGCCGACGATTGCGTCTTTATTATGATCTACTAGAGTAATGAAGGTGTCAATGGGAAACGTATGCTGCTAAGGAGCCGATGCCAGGCATGGACTTGCATGGGTCTTGAACTTGCATGGTTACACAACATCCCCGGCTGCGTACCCGACTTCCCTTTCTTTGAATGCAGACAAGTCCTCAGTATTCGACGCCCCAAAGCCCCCCACAATGGCGCATCCGCCACGTTCGTTGACGCAAGATTATGTTTTTCGAGTATACGAGTCGTCCTCATCACAAAAGCTGTACCCTATGGAAGCAGCAATGTGCCCAGTTGTCATGATGGTCAGCCATGAAGGGTTTCAATGGAATGACGAGCTATTTGTTAGTCCATACCGCCGTTGCCATGGTGTTGGCACCACGCGTACTTTAAAAAGCTCTGATCGTATCCAACGAGAAGATAAAGTAGCATCAACAACATCATGTATTCATCACCCTGCTCCTTCTTCACGACACAATCAACAACAGCAAAGCGACGACGATGTTATTGATATCCAATTGACAGAATCAGAATGTAATATTTGGCCATAATAAAAGCTGTTCTTGCTATATCAGAAGTGGGATGTCATGACGATGATGGCGTTTTTGGTACCAAAGAGATCATTGCATATTGGGCGTAATGCCTTTGCTCACAAAAAGGATGCATAAACGGGCTTGTTTCATGCTGCTATAAATGGCCTAACCTGGTTTTATACGAACATCAGCAGGTTTTTCACACACACGCACATAGTACACATCTTTTTCTCTTTTTCCATCAAAAATGAGTTATCGTCCTGGATCTCCTTCTTATCGCCCTGGCTCACCAGGAGGTCGTCGTCCCATGTCTTCGTCTTCGACACACACCAGAGTGGAGGAAGAGCTTCATGAAATGGCCGGCATTGATTATGACAAGGTATATAAGGAGCTTCACGTAATAAAACGCCTTCATTTTGCTTATACTTAACATAGGTCACCATCAAACATAATCCATCAGTGCCTGTGTTGTATGAAGAAGCTCTTACGCATGAAGTTGGTACTGTTATTTCCTCCGCGGGTGCCTTGTGTTCGTACTCTGGCAAAAAGACAGGCCGTAGCCCCAAGGACAAGCGTATCGTTGAAGAGGATGATTCTGGCAAAGACATTTGGGTAAGTGTATCCCACAGCTTTGTTTATATTTACCACGCATACTTATGTGTTAATTAATAGTGGGGTCCCGTGAACACCAAAATGAGTGAACGCGTGTTCTTGATTAATCGTGAGCGTGCCATTGATTACCTCAACACCCATCCTCGCCTATACGTGTTTGATGGTTTTGCTGGTTGGGATCCCAAGTACCGTAAAAAAGTGCGTGTGATTGCATCTCGCGCCTATCACATTTTGTTCATGCGTAACATGTTGATCCGACCTACCGATGAGGAACTTGAAAACTTTGGTACACCTGATTTTACGATTTTCAATGCTGGCGAGTTCCCAGGTAAGTAGATTGCATCATTGGTGAGTGTGTGAGTGTGTGGGATACTAATGTACTCTTTTAGCCAATCGCTATACCACCGGTATGACGTCGACTACATCTGTGTCGGTCAACTTTAAGCGTCATGAAATGGTCATTCTGGGCACTGAATATGCTGGCGAAATGAAAAAAGGGGCAAGTCTATGGGCCGTTATTGTACCACATAAACAACACTCGCTAATACACACACACACACACAAAATAGATCTTTACAGTGATGCATTACTTGATGCCTAAGGCAGGTGTCTTGTCATTGCACTCATCGGCTAACGAGGGTCCTGACGGCGATGTATCCTTGTTCTTTGGCTTGTCGGGTAAAAAAGAGTTACTACGGGCGCCTTTGTTTATAGTAGGTCACTAAACAATCATGCAAAAGGTACCGGCAAGACGACATTGAGTGCAGACCCCAAACGACGTCTTATTGGTGATGACGAACATTGCTGGAGTGACAATGGCATTTTCAATATTGAAGGTGGATGCTATGCAAAGTGCATTGACTTGTCAGCTGAAAAGGAGCCCGAAATCTACAACGCTATTCGCTTTGGTTCGGTGTTGGAGAACGTGGTACTCAATGAAGAATCCCGTGTCGTTGATTACTCTGATGACTTTTTGACTGAAAACACACGTTGTGCTTATCCCATTGGTATGTATTATCCATATGTTTTGCTATCATGGTTGTCTTTATTGACATTTTCACTACCACAGATTATATCCCCAATGCCAAGATTCCATGTATGGGTGGCCATCCTAAGAATATCATCTTGTTGACATGCGATGCATTTGGTGTGTTGCCTTTGGTGGCCAAACTTACCCCTGATCAAGTCATGTATCATTTTATCTCTGGCTACACGACCAAGGTGGCAGGAACCGAAGATGGTATCAGTGAACCCACACCCACTTTCTCAGCATGCTTTGGTGCTCCTTTCCTTGTACTTCATCCTCAAAAGTATGCCACCATGTTGGCCGACAAGATGCACAAGCATGAAGCAAATGCATGGCTCATCAATACTGGTTGGACTGGTGGTCGTGCTGGTGATGTTAAGAGATGCCCCCTCAAGTACACTCGTGCCATCTTGGATAGCATCCACAATGGTTCTTTGGCTGCTGGCGAGTTTGAAAACTATGAAGTATTTAACATTGCCATTCCCAAGCATGTCGAAGGTGTTCCTCCTGAAATGTTGCACCCACGCAAGTCTTGGAAGGGATCTGCGGATGAGTTTGACAAATCTTTGAAGAAGGTGGCTTCCATGTTCCAAGAAAACTTCCAAGAGTACAAGGCTGAAGCTACTGCTGAAACTTGCAATGCAGGCCCATCGGTGTAGTAAAAAGTTCAAAAGACAATTATGTTGAAAATTGTTAAGCGGTATCAATATACAATGTGTATGCGTGAGGAGTGAGTATGTGTATACATGCGATAATTATATGTGTTGAAGGAAGTGGAAATGGGGAATGTAGGGGAAGGAAAATGAGGGAAAGTGTAGGTCTATCCTATTGAGGAGGGATGCCAAGAGCCGTGAGGGTATTGCCCACCATGATAAGACTACCAGTAGTTAGTACTTGGACATGCTTGGATGGTTCCTTTTGCGAATAATCAACAATCCACTCCATGGCATCTTCAATCGAAGGGACCACGTGCACGCGTTCAGGCTCAAATGTGTCCATACGTTCCTTCCATGCTTCAGCGAGCGTCTTTTGCATTGCTACAGCATCTTCCTGTGAAACGGTCTTATTGTTGCTATCTGTAATTAAAAGTTAAACCTCTTGTCTTTATATCTGGATCCACATGTTTGATTTTTTACCTGCTGTATAGCCCTTACGGAAAGTCATGTTGGTAGTAAAGACCACGTGATCAAATTGGACATTGGGATGGACACGAATGATTTCATCCAAAAGGTGGGGGCCATCACGACCATTGGTGCAGTTGAATACGAGCACACGCGACATGTCTTTTTGGTTGTTTTCTTCCTGAACGACATCCTTGAACCAATCCGCACATACTCGTAGAGATTCGGCAGTGTGTGCTCCATCAAGGTACCACATGATGCGATTCGCCTTCTCCTTGTACTTTGTATCTTGACCTGCAAGACGTTGACCACGACCCGGCCATACCACCTTTTCAAGGCCTGCACGGAATTCTTTGGGTACTGGCTCAGACAATTCCACGTTGCGGCATTTTTTCAACCATGTACGGCATAATTCGATAGCTGTCAATGCATTGTACTGCTGATGTACACCAGCCAAGCCAACCTTGACATCCTTTAAGCGATCAATTTCATTCGCATGAAGGAATTGTAAGGGTGCATCCTTTTCTTTGGCGCGTTCTTCAATGACCTTCATGGCTTCAGGTGCTTGTTCAAATGCAACAGCAGGCACATGAGGCTAATCATACCATATTGAGTTAAATGTTCCATATATGTATATAATAAAATACGCTTACCTTGATGATACCAGCCTTATGCCATGCAATTTTGTCAATTGTATCTCCCAACACGCTGACATGATCCAATCCCAATGCTGTGATACCACATACGACAGGTTTTTCAATGACGTTGGTAGAGTCATATTCACCACCGACACCCACTTCCAGTACCACGACATCGACATTCTCTTGAAGGAAAGCGTGGAAAGCCAACAAAGTCAAAAAGCGAAAGTAGGTGGGCTTGTCGGGATGTTCACGTGTAGCTCGTAACAAATCGCGTGCATCTTCGGATTCATTCAACGCCAATGCCTCGGGTTTGGTGTTTTCAAGTCGTTCCCATACATCTTGAGCATACTTTGCAAACTTGTCCTCGCTCAATGGCTCGCCGTTGATACGAACACGTTCGCGCATAGCAACCAGGTGGGGCGAAGTGAATAAACCTGTTCTGATAGGTTGCGTGGTAGGAAAATGTCGCAGGATGGATTGAGTCAATGCCGAAGTAGAACCTTTGCCCTTGGTGCCCGTAACATGGATAATGTTAAGCTTATCAAAATCCTGCGGCTTTATATGGGATCATTACATGAGTCAAACATGCTCTTTTCGCGTCTCCTTTTCCTTCCTTCGTTTACCTCATAACCAATGCGTTTCAAGTAACCACGCATTTCGGGAAGGCTACGATCGTTCATACGTGGTCCAGCTTTCCGCAACATGTCAAGCACAGACGCATTGGTCTGAAGAGAAATGATCTTGTTGACAGCTTCCTACATTAAACAGTTAGAGTGCATTCCAATACAATAAAGAGACAGAGTATCTACCTTATAAGTGAAGGCCATGGAAGAACAAGTGCGGACGAGACGAATAGGAGAAGAAGAGGTTATGATAGAAGAGATAAGCATTGAATAAGTTGTAATAACCGCACGAGCGGGAGACAACTTTCAACCAATTCCATTTGAAAATCTCTTTTGTCGGTGATCTGTTCAAGCAAATGCAAGCATTTTATTGGTGGATGGCGTTTATACACAAAAAGAAAAAAGAGATTTTGTTACATGTACATTAGAGGTTATGAGATAGTCAAGCCTTGTTGGAAAGAGCAGTGATACCAGGCAATTCCTTGCCCTCCAACAATTCAAGGGAAGCACCACCACCAGTAGAGATGTGGCTAATCTTGCCTTCAGCACCCCACTTGAGAGCAGCAGTAGCAGTATCACCACCACCCACAATAGTAGTAGCACCCTTTTGAGTAGCTTCAATGACAGCATTCAAAGCAGACTTGGTACCATTGGCGAACTTTTCAATCTCAAAGACACCAGTAGGTCCGTTCCAGAGAATGGTCTTGGAAGCAAGGATTTCGTTACGGAAGATCTCGTTGGACTTCTCATCACAGTCAAGACCAAGCCAACCATCAGGGATACCACTCTCATCAGTAGCATGGCCAACTTCAGCATCCTCACCAAACTTGTTACCAGTAACATAGTCGACAGGGAACACAAGCTTGACATTCTTAGCCTTGGCAGCGTCAACGAGATCCTTGACAAGCTTGGAACCAGCCTCATCAAAGAGAGAGTTGCCAATCTTGACGTTCTCAAGGGTCTTCTTGAAAGTGAAGGCCATGGCACCAGTGATGATCAAAGCATTGACCTTATCAAGCATGTTTTCGATCAACTTGATCTTATCAGAGACCTTGGAACTAGTATACATATCGTATTTAGAATGTAATCCTCTCAACCCATCAACCTGTCATTGAAACACTTACCCGCCAAGGATAGCCAAAAATGGACGTTCGGGGTGTTCCAAAACCTTTGCAAAGTACTCGAGTTCCTTTTGCATAAGGAAACCAGCAGCGCGTTGAGGCAAGTCAACACCGACCATGGAGGAGTGAGCACGATGAGCAGTACCAAAAGCATCATTGACATAGACATCAGCAAGCTTGGTCAAGCTTTCACGGAACTTCTTGACTTGCTCAGGGTCAGCCTTGACCTTGTTACCGTTCTCGTCCTTGCGCGAACCCTCCTCTTCAATATGGAAACGCAAGTTTTCAAGCAAAATGACTTCACCATCCTTGGGGTTTTGGCAGTGCTTTTCAACTTCCTCACCAACACAATCGGAAAGGAAAGTGACAGGCTTGCCAAGGAGCTTCTCGACTTCCTTGGCGACAGGGGCAAGCGAAGACTTGGCTTGGACTTGGCCGTTAGGACGACCCAAGTGAGACATCAAGACAACAGACTTGGCACCTTGTTCAAGGGCATACTTGACAGTAGGAAGAGCTTGAACGATACGGTTGTTGTTAGTGATGGTGCCTTCCTTCAAAGGAACGTTAAAGTCGACACTATAAAAGACGCGTTTATGAGTATGAATACGCGTGTATATGTATTTTCGATTATATCATGTACCGAATGAGGACACGCTTGTCCTTGAGTTCAAGGTCACGGATGGAAAGCTTGCTGGATAACGACATGATGGGATGCGGGAAAGAACAGGAAAGAAAGGAATGACCGTGACAACGGTATTTTTTATATAGCGCATGCACCACATGATGATGTTGATTTCCCAAATATTTCCCCCGCCGTTTCTCCCCCCAAAATTCTTGTCCTCGGAACAGGTCATCCTTTCTTCCATGCACACATACACATACACACAACACTCATAATATCATGCCATCCATATTTACATGTATACACAAAAATCATTGAATGTTACTCTTCTCAATCATTGCACATTAACTCTCCATAATAGGACGCATATATACACCTATCGGATAACACGATAACGATGCTGATTCATGTTGAAATTTTCATATGCTTTCAAAGCTATCCCCGGAACCGCCGCCGACCATGCAATCCCGATCTTCTCCATACGTCTTTTTACATGCGGGGAAGAAGAAATAGAATCGTTGCAAGTGTTTCGAGGTTTGTTGTTGTTCTTCTTCCCAGTGTGTTTTGCCCCCCTCCCCCCAACAAAAAGAGGGACGCGGTAAGATCTCGATAGATAACAGCGGATAGCCAAAATTGGACAAGAGAGCGTTTGTTGTTCATGCTGATGATCTCTTTTGATCTTCATCTTTGAAAAGGTGCCTCACATGGGTTGAAGCACTGATGATGTTCCCGCCACCAGCCACCTGAAGCAGCAGTAGCACACCACACATACATGTCGTTTACGTAAAAGGAGGTGCTACCAAAAGCGTGAGGTTTATTTGTTTCAATCATCATTTTGATCGTCCCTTGCAAGGGCTTTATCTCGCCATTTAATCATCTTCATCTAGATACACGCTTGTGGACGTTCAATGGTTGACATGCATTTATTATGAGGCTTCACTGGTTTGCACTACCTTGGATAATAATCGATCTACGATGCTTTTGTCCAAATCACCCCACTCTACTTCCCATCGTTCACCATCCTCAAAATTCTCCAATTCGGCCCATCCATCAAATAAACGGCGTCGATTCAATGGCACCTTGCGTCCTGATGCAGTAGTAATCGATAGGATCTTTTTCGTCCGGAAAGTGGCAATCACATGAATCTTGTGGGCAAGACTAGCGCCTGTCTCATTGGGAGCAATGTCAATCCATACACGATGTTCCTCATTAATCGATTGCACCGTGATTTGGCGCTTCTCTTTGTTGGCTACATCATTGAATGAGTATTAGTAAAGAAGGAAAATCAAGGATGTATTGCTCCCTATTTACCAAAAAGACCGATATTTTTCTTTTGTTTGTTGGATGGTGGTGCTGGTTGTTGTTGTTGTTGTGGTTGTTGTTGCGTAGCAGCAGGCGGCGATGGTGCAGGTTTGGCAGCCGTTGTATTCATTTCAGTTATACTACCAACACGATCTATCAAAGCGTGAATAAATCGGAATAGGAAAAAACAAGCAAACAAATGCCCTTACTGGGTAACGTCTGTGCACCTGATGATGGTGTTTTTGTGACGGACGGAGGAGGCATGGATCGTCTATGAGAATAAGATGATAATGACGCTGATGATGATGATGGCGGTGGTGGTAATGATTCAACGAATGAAGATTGCCGTCTCTGGGGTAATGCTGGTGATGGTCTAGGAGGATGATGAGGATAATGATGTGGTTGCTGTGGGAGTTGTGATGGCGGCGGTTGCACATGCGGAGGATAACGAGGTTGTTGCACAATGGGTGGTGGGACTACAAATCCACCAACAAATGGCTGTTGTTGTTGTTGTTGATTGCTGTTATTACTACCTGGTGTTGGTATGGGTGAAGTCATCATACGATAATCCTGTGGAGAAGCCACCATTTGATGCTGTTGCTGTTGTTGTTGTGATGGGAAATAGCTGTTGTTGCCATGTTGATGATACGAAGATGATGATGGTTTTGGGGTATAAGCAGGTGTCATTGGTGGTTCAATGATGGATGCACAGGTGGATTGTCGATGTTCAATAATTGAATCTGAACAAGTCTTTTCCATTCTACTCGAGGGTCGTCCACTGCTCACTTTCCAATCACTGCTCGTGACAACTGATATTCGTCGTGATCGCTGAGAGTCATGAATGCTGCTGCTGCTGGAATAATGAGAAGATGATATCATCGATGCTCTGTTGCTGTTGTTGCTATGATAAACCTGGTTCATGTTAAGAGGAGGTGGACGCACACTATGTGCACTCTATGGTCGAGAGAGATGACTGACATTAGCCACCATAATAGTTTTGACTCTGCTGTGACATGTTTTTACCATTGACGGTGGATACTGTTCAGGGATCGGTGCGGCACCAATGAAGGCTATAGTCAATGTCAGCATGCAAGGGTGCCATTGGAGACCTATGACAAGTCACTTACAAGCATTGTTGGGTGGGTGAGAAGAGAGCGATTGCTGGAATGACGACGGGTGCATAAAGAGTGAGAGAAAACGAGAGAAGAACCCCCTCTTAAGAGTGACTCCAGTACACCTTAAAATTGGACTCAGTCAATTAGCAAGGTAGTAGTAAGAAGCTTGGCAAAGGAGCACGCGCGTATGGGTGTGTGTATATATAAACCATGGAGAATCACCTGCTTCGTACTGCTACAATGATGGTGACACCACCTTTTTTTTGACGCCATCCATCTACCCAGTAAGCGTGAGACATTGTATCTTTTCCCTTAGTCTCGGATATGCCAAGACAAATCCTGTGCATGATAATAGTTACAATAGGGTGATGGTGATTTGACATGCACGCATGCAACTCGCCAAGCATCTACTTGGAAATCAAGAACCACCTCGTTCCTCAAGATACGGTGACAAACGCGATGCTGCACACCCTGCATAATGCTCACGCATCACACATCACCATTGCATAGAAAAATCTGCCATTCGATCACATGTCGAATTTACACATGGCTGAGGAAGATAGCCTGTCTTGGCAATCAAAATAGACAATAAACATCAAATCTTCTGGAGGACCCTAAAGCCATATATTGCATCATGATCTGGCTAGAAATGTACGATTCGAATATTGAAGGGTGTTTATTATTTAAAGAACTTCATTTACATTGGGATGAGAGGTTTGGGAACATAAGGTTCCTCAAGATACTTGATTTCCTCTTCAGTTAATTTCACCTTGAGAGAAGCAATGGCGTCGTGAAGATGAGCTTCCTTGCTGATACCAACAATGGGAGCAGTGACATAAGGCTTGCTAAGCAACCAAGCAAGGGAAACCTGCAAAAAGGCAATCCATGAGTTTTCCATAATCTCCCAATGTACCACTTTAAATCTTGTACCTGTGCAGAGCTGACACCCTTCTTTTCAGCAATCTCGCCCACGCGTTCAACAATCATGTTGTCAGCATCAAGCATGCGATTCATGCCTTGGAATACATCATTCTCGGAACGTTCGGTCTTGGTCTTTCTGCCAGCGAGTTTTCCCATAGCAAGGGGTGACCATGGAATACCACCAATACCAGCATCCAATGAGTAGGGGATCACTTCGCGTTCTTCTTCACGATACACCAAGTTGTAAAGGTTTTGCATGCTAACAAACTTGGTCCATCCATTCTTTTCGGCAATGTTGTTGGCCTTTTGGAATTCCCAGGCATGCATTGAGCTGGCACCAATATAGCGAACCTTGCCAGATTTGACCAAGTCATGTAATGCTTCCATAGTCTCTTCAATAGGAGTATTCTAGACGTATAACAATATGAGTTTTGTTATCCCGCACATGTATCAATTGATGAGTTATTACCTGATCGAAGCGGTGAATCTGATAAAGATCGATGTAGTCTACATCAAGACGTTTGAGAGAAGCATCACATGCATCGAAAATATGCTTGCGGGAAAGGCCAAAGCGGTTGACGAGTTGAGGATCCTTGCTCATAGCTTCTGGAGACAAGTTGACAGGGGTACTTCCTTCGAGCACCGGGAAGCACACCTTGGTGGCAACGACAATGCGATCACGTGGCATGTTGAATTGCTTGATAGCCTTGCCAAGAATCTCCTCGCTTCGACCGTTGGAGTATACGTCGGCAGTGTCGAAAAAGTTGATTCCAGCATCATAGGCTTTCTTAATCATAGCAAGTGACTCTTCAATGTTCAAGGCCCAACCATTCCAATTCTTGTCACCATATGACATGAAACCCAAACAAATGCGGGAGACCTTTTTTTTTTTACGTAAAGCAATCGTCAGTATGTTTGGGTTGGTATGCGATTCTATATTCAACTTACGCGAAGACCAGTCTTGCCCAAACGAGCATATTCCATAGCGGTGGCGTCGTTATTGTTGTTGTTGCTCATGATGATGATATGTACGAAAAAGTGTTATGGTATGTTGTAAGTCGAACGGTGATCCTACCCTATGCCCACTTTATATACCAACCCTTGGGAATCCAGGCAGGGTACGTAACTTCTTTTCCAAACTAGGGTCTGAGTCGTCAGCGTATACCTTTTCAAGGATAATAATGAACCTAGTGCGATCTCCTTGTTCGATCGAAGGCAGTCTGTACATTAGATTCACCCCCCCTTACTACGTTTTCGGAAACTGGATGCGTAATCATTCACTTATCCTAGGCCAATGATGAATGAACATCACTCTTTGCAAGGATATGGCAGCAAGAGTAACACATTTGCTCAATGGCCCGACTTTGCCGAATCCCAGCCATCCACTCACAATACCTTTAACACCCCTTTGCTTTTCCTCTTCAGCTGAAAATGTATCCTACACATTGTATTGTCCTATAATTACATATATTCGTCGAAACATGTCTAGCTTAATATACATGCGCCACCTGTCAAACAGCCGATCAAATCAAATATGGGGTATCATGTGCATTACCGAAAACCTGGTATCGTTTTGGTGACGCGTAGCCTTCCATTTTTGGTAGTGAAGCGAATCGCTCTCAAAGATCACCTAAGCTACCTGAAGCGGTATTGTGGATTCGGAAACATGTAGTAGAGTCTCCCTCAACTTTTGTATCACCAAACGCAAAGCACATACCACCACCTTTTCATGAGATTGTCAACCGGAGAAGATGGCGTTTCAATAGAGTAGCTAGAACTAATAAAGCAAGCACAGGTATTTTGAAGTTGAAAGCAATGCATGGTAATAGTTTATTACGTGGTTAAATGTTATGACAGGTTTCTTTTCTCTCTTCCAAATCAAGGCAGAATGCCCCTTTGTATCTAATGTATCAAACAACAAAGGAATCTAATCCAAGCCCACAAACATTGAACGGCTCCGGGCCATCTTGTCGGAAAATGATACGGATTGCCCGTATTGAGTCAACATCTTGTCCACATTCAAGACCAATACGCAACCGTGGTGGGACATGGTGCCAACCGGACGTAGACTTGGTTTTACACGTGACCTACAACCAAGCAATAAAGTTAAAACATGGCTCATTCTTCATTGGATGGCATGTAGCTTACCCATTCATTGCCGTCTTTGGACACCTCTACACCAAACAAGCCCTCTGCATGCTGAATATCATTACATGTATAGATTTGCAATAATTCCGGCCGTATGTCTCCCATTAATATCAAGCCAAAGTAGTCGCCCCTTTTGGGTTCTACAATGGAGCTTGTGTTAGCATGTGGACGCAGCGACGAATCCGCCTATTCCCAGCTTACTTTCAAAGGTATTCCAGCAAGTATTAGGATCCTGATCGACAGCCATATGATACGCATGTTCAGCAAAGAATTCGTGGGTGGGTATGTTGCCAATGGTGTCGTATGTCTTTTCCCAATCAGGGATACTGGTCACTTCAGTGCGATTGAATGTCAGGTTACTTGGATCCGGGATAAAGTCCATGTTGGTGATAAACATGCATCGATCATTGGTGCACGATGCTCTAATAAAGGGTATGTTAATTGAAGTATGATTCATGTTTTGTATCGTAATTTACCTCACATCACGTTCATCCAATGTTGGTACTTCCTCTGATCGTTCGAAAAAGTCTTTGGGTGCATCTGATAAATCCGCTTCCAGCGTGCGTTGCATACGTCGTGCAGCTTGTAACTATGGATACACTGTTAGCAGAGGTTTAAAAGGTACACTTCCTTTCCTACTTACGATATTTGAGTATACACGAGATGACCATTCTGTTGATGGTTGTTGGGTGATTGTTGATTCATCCAAAGCAGTAGAAGCAGCAGAGTGGATAGGATTTTCAAGAATCCAGGGATACTGGTTTGTCCATAATGCAAAGTATATATCTGCCAATCGGATCCTGTCCTTGCCAAGCGACGATTTACCCATCTTTGTCAAGAACGTCTGCGCTTCGGTCCTTGGTAAAAATGTGCCATATTGAAGATCGACATAACCTGAATGCATCGAGACCTCTAACAAACAAAGTGTGCATTAGTTGATTGTCGTTTACCAAGCAATCTCCATGTTCATACCAGAGTTACGGAAGCGTCGCCGAACTTGATCCAGATAAAGAGTAGGTGGAGAATGAGCGTGAATCAAGGTTGGGAATCGAATCATGTTCAAGTATAAGGTGTCCATATTCGGATTGATCCATGTATCATCTTGCATGAAGCATGTGTCAAACGATGCCATTGCGCATGTGGTGAACCTCGCAAAGCTTCCAAGATGCTCGTTCTTTTCATCAAAGATTTCAATGTTGATATGTGATGCCTTATTGATATCCAATGCAAGTTGCTATCAGAATTCAAAGGGGCGGGGGGTTTGAGTATACATGGATGCTAGATCTCGCACACATACATACCTCCACTGTTAGCTTTTGCCTTGTCATCGGATTATGGATATAAATCTCGCGAATGAATGGATATCGTAACAAATGATGCACGACACGCACAACCTTGTCTGGATCTTGTGATATGCGATAGATGACAGCTGTCACTGCTTTCAAATCGCTATTACGACTGAGGGCGTCTGTCATAAACATGCCAGGTGTAAACGCACTCTGTTGTTGTTCATTGTCATTGTCGAGTGTGGTAGGCCAAACAGGCAAGTCAATGCGATAGGATGTTGGCTCACGTTGCGAATCAGAGCCTTGCGAATCGGCAGAACGGGAACTGTTGCTGGTGGTTGAGCCGAGGAAAAGAAAGATAAGAATGCCGATACTGATCAAGGCAAGTCGTTTCCGATGATGGAGAAGCCAAGATGTAACATTGGGAGCAGGCGAATTGTCATGGTGTCGTCGTCGGAAAAGAGGAAGCTGTTTACTGCTATTGTTCATGGTGCTTGTATCAATGGCCCACCCATATGTGTAAAGAAAAGGTATAGATCCCCTTCTCCTCTGCTCTAAGCTAATTCTCTTCCCAAATCCTTGTGCAACCAAGTCATGATGAATTAAGTTTAGGGTGATTGGGTATTGGGTATGGAGGATAGATACACGGGTCTATTGCATGATTCAAACTCGGAACATTCCTCTACAATAAAGTGTAGTCTTTGATAATGTATTTCTAATGGCTATGATTCATATTGTTATAGTGGGGCACGACATCCAGGTTCAAGATCTTTGTAGGACCTACTGATGTCACCTACAAAAAATCACCTCTTAAGCAAGCAAGTGGATTTATTAGTGTTGATTTTCCATCACTTCGACTCCGTACTCCAGAATGCTTGACCACCTTATCAATCATGATAGCACTTCCCACGCCCACTCTTATATAAACAAGGCTGTTGTCACCAACACCGTCATTCGCCCTTTCTTTCTACTAGTACTCATATCGTCATTAAGGGCTTTTCGTAAGTCTCAAGGGGAGTCTTTTTTATGTGATTCCAGAAATGAGGGTACCCATGTATCCATTTATGTAGCTCACTTCATTGCTTTACGTTGTGTTCCTTCATGAATCCTTTGAGGCTCCTTTGTAGGTGACAAAGGTACATGCCATATCACACTAGAAAGAAATCGTCAAGGTCGCCAAGATGTCATTCTATCATGGTTACGCGGAGGACATTTCGCCAAAAACATCGGATTTGCTAAAGTGAAGCGTATCGAAGAGCGAGCAAATAGCTCAAAGTTTAGCAAGTCAGCAGTTGAAAACAGGGAAGCAAAGGCATGTATTTCAATCCAGTCAGTCGGTAAGTAATGAACAAAGCACAATGGGATGCTTTTAAATGGTTTATAATACTGACTATTATATCTCTGTAGGCCGAACAAGCACTTTCTACATGACAAAACTTGTTGCGGATTATCTCTATGTGATCATTGAAATCGGAACTGTAATTACACCATCCTCGTTGGAGAACTTGACGCCTTACTTGATGGAATTAGGAACAATCAAGAATGTACTTTAAGACTTATTGTGTTGGTGGTGACGCGCGAGACGAGGAAAATCAAAAATTCAAATCGCACAATACTACTACAAGGTTGACATTGATCGAGGCCATCAGTCACTAGACACCGCTATGCATCCTAAAGCTAGCCATCAATCATTTTTCTTGTTACATACTTCATGTCGCTATTGCATGTCCAGTTCGTCTACAATAAACTATTTCAAGATATCTCTTACAACTGTGGCTTGCTGATTTACTGTATTATCTATTATCCTATTCAAGTGGGGCATGACATCCAGGTCCAAGATCTATGTATGAGCCAAGGCAGTGTAAGAACATTATAAAACTAAACAAGAAACAATGTATGTCTACTTGCGTGGGTTTCCCATTGGGTCGTTGATGAGGTTCCAAAAACAAGCCTTGTCTTTTCCACACTCTTCTTCTTCGATATGAGATGCTGCACAACATGCTTCGGTATTCATGAAATCCTTATTCGAGGTACAATCCACAACACCACGGTGTTCTTTATGATCCGCTCCCTTTTGGCTGGTCGCACTTGCAGCATTGAACAGCGTTAGAAACACAAGGAATGAACATATTACTGGTGACTGGTTGGCCATCATTGTGTTCGTTGTTTAAAGAAGAGGTAACGGCAAAAGAAAAAAAAGGGGAGAAGATGAAATTTGAGGGAGCTTGTTTTAGCCTCCATCAACAGTAACGTAAGGGGTATCCATGCAGGGGTGTCCACCTTCACTGCTTTTCACTTTTCATTCATCTTCAAGTATGTTGAGAACGAAGCACAGCTGACGCAAGAGATGATAAGTTATGAGCGCACAAAGCGTATAGCCACCATTGCCCCTGCTGAGGTTACAGTAACTGGTAATCTCAATGTCCACAAAGTCGTACTATCATCAACTTGAGATACGTATATACAAATGTTTATTAGGTAGGTTGTAAAAGGGATGGAATATTAAGCAATATATACAATCCAATAATGGTAAGAGATGAAACGAGAATGTAGAATTAAGGCGAGAGGATGAGAGCAGATACAGCAGCAACAACCTTTTCAGGGAACTGACGACTGGTCATGCGATCAAGAACCGAGCGTGCCTTGTTGACCATGCCATTATCAACATATGCACGGACCATTGCTTCATAAGTGCTTGGTTCACGTATCACAAGACTTCCTTTTCGAACTTGATCCTCACTATCTGCCATGCTGTCGAAAAGCCGTTCAGCCTTGTGCACCAATCCTTTTTCACCGTATCCACGTAGCAGCAAGTTCTCAATGTAAGGCGACGAGCTCTTGCTGATGCGACGACTCATTTGGGCATATAAGATTTCGGCACGCTCCAATTGGTCATTGGTGATGAGTGCGTCAAGCATAGCCTGGTATACAGCCTCCATTCCTTCCTCGTTGTTCTTGCGTGTATGCATCACTTGATCAAACACCTTTTGAGCATTCTTGATATCCTTGAGCACTGTGCCATATGCATAAATGAGGGTTGCATAATGAGTGGGCTGCGAATGGATGCCATCGTCCTTGTACATGCTTGTGAGTAAGTCCTGCGCCATATCCATGCGATGTGGAGCCAACATGGCATATGCTTCCATAAGCAGCTTGTAAGTGTGTACGGATGGATGAATCTTGTGCTTGCGTAATTGCTGGAAATAATACAACGCACGATCCCGGTTGGGTTGCTGGCGAACATAAAACTGGATCATGTTGTTGAATGGCCCAATACGTAGCTGACCACAATGCTCCACCATGTCATCAAAGAAGCGACAAGCATGAGACTCGGATCCAGCTCGCACAGCAGCAGCAATGACGGCACCATAGGTGATCGTGTTAGGCGTCAACCCGAACAATTGTTGCATCTCGCCAAATAGTCGAAGCACCACCTCAAGCTTGCGAGCCTTGGCCAACTTTGAAATAACGACATTGTAAAAGAACGTGGTAGGTTTGACATGATGTCGCTTGGCTTCTTCATAGATAGTCAATGCATCGGTAGCTTCATCCACTGTATTGGTGGTCTTGGCAGCACCCACCAGAAGGCTAGCGTACGCGTTGCTGTCAGGGTATTGACCCATGCGCTTGATGTTGTCATAGTAACGCTTGGCACGGACCATATCGCCTTGCTGTGCATATCCAATAAGCATACTGTTGGTAGCCATGTATACACCACGCTCATCGCCATGCTTGTTGTATATATCAATGCACGTGTCATAAAGATACTGTGCCAACTGGAGTTGTCCTTGCTTGCCAGCCAAAGCAATAGCATCACGAATAGGCTCAGGGGTAGGTACTTGGCCAACATCCACCAGCTCGTCCACCATACACTTGACATTCTGCACTGAGACTCCACGAGTCAACGCACGAAGAAGTTGACGAGCCAAGTCGCAACATGCTGATCGCCATGTCCTTTGAGCCGAGTCGTCCGATAAGCATGCCAATACCCGTGAAGACAAGTCGCCATTGACATTGGCAATGATACCCTTGCTGCCTTGTTGTTGACGATGCACCAATGCCACAATCCAATCAGCAAACGCCTTGTCACCTTGAAGCACCAAAAGAGCAGCCTCGCATAGCAAATGGAATTCCTTGGATGATAAACAAGAAGGGATGTCTTGCTGATAACTGGCCAAAAGAGGCGACGCCAATGCACGTGTCAAACCCACATCAGATGACGTCAAGCCATGCACCACAGCCACTGCAGTCGACCATGATGGAGTATGATGAGTGAGCACGTCAATGGACATATCATAAAGACGTGGACAAGCCTTGGTCAAAGAACGGGCCGACATGTGGTTTATCACGTGATGCAATGCGTCAAATGCACGACTCCACTGTTGACGCTTGCAAAAGTAATACACAAGCTGTTGGGCAAGGACTGGATCAGGTTCCAAATGAGCCTCATGCATATCCCGTTGCACCACGACACTGAATGCTCGATCACCATCACCATGCTTGAGACAAAGTACTGCATAATTGGCCAGATTTCCATATGCCTTGCTAACGTCATGCTGCTTAATCAAGGCTTCATACACAGCTGTTGCTTGATCAAACTCATTTTGGTGACAGTATGCTGATAAGATGGGACCCAAAGAACTGGCATCGGTGGTTGCCATGGTATCCACAAATCGTTTCGCTTGATCCAGTTGGCCATGGCTACAGTAGTATCGAATGACGGCATTGTTGCTTGGCAAGGTCACATGCATATGTTGTTGAATCAAGTCGATTGCCAAATCCACCTCGTCACACTTCAAGTAGGCATCCACCATGGCTCCATAAACAAGCTGACATTGACCATCGTATTCGTGAAATAGTGTGCGTGCTGCTGCAAGATCGCCAGCGCGGCCCAATGCATTGATCAAAGCCTGATATGTGGCGTGGTGATTTCCATGGATGTGCTGCATATGCCGGTAAACGAACATGACGGCATCCGTGCTATCATTGTGGTGCGAGAGAGCACGTAGCAACGCTGTAAAGGTATCGGGATCAATCGCTTCGGGTCCATGGATGGCTACTGCTGTGCAAAAAAGCTCGAATGCTCGGCTGTGATTACGCTCCTGCTCCAACTGCGCCATATCATTCTCGAGTTCCTCAATCACGGGCTTCAAGAAACCGTCATCATCAAATTCAGCTGCTCTTGTTGCTTGACGCTTGAGCATGGCCAATGTCTTGTGTACTTCACCATCGCGTTTGCATAAGGCTTGCACCATGGTGGAGAATGTAACAGCACTCGCTTGTACATTGGCGATACTCATGTCCTGGTATACTATAGTACGTGGCGTAAGTATATAAATATCGGTATGATGAAGATGTTTTGCTTACATACCTTGAAGCATAGATGATAATGGAGAACCTTCACGACGGTACAATACATGTGCTTCAAGTACAAGATGATAGCATTTTTCAGACATCATGGTGTTTTGTTGCTGTTGCTGTTGTTCGAGAATAGAGGAATATTCATTCATGATAGCCTTAAGCTGACCCTGTTGCTTGGCAGCTGCAAGCCGTTCATATGCGCTGTTGTTTTCGTCTTCATCAAGAAGTTGCGGTGTATTGAGAGGAGAAGGCGGAGGTGTTGGAAGATCAGCAGGTGTATGGTGTGTAGGAGATGAGGTTGCCTTGGTCAAAAGGTCTTCAGATGAACGGCGTTGACGTCGTGATGATGAGGATGATGATGAGGAGGAGGATGAACGTGTATGGTGATGGCTGTTACGACGGTAGTTGCTTTTAGTGGCGTTGCGAGGCATAATGTAATGATGAGAAGGGTGAAAGATGATATAAAGTAAAGGGAAGTTGATCATTATCATAATCGACGATGCCTAGCTTTATATATCAGCAGATGGCAATTGATGGCATCTTGACTTTGAGGATTTGCGTGTATCGCCGGCAATGATGGTGTTGTTTTATCTGATGGACGTAGTGGATAGATAGGGTATTGAGAAGATAAGCCAATCACGGCTTGGCCCTAAATCAGATCGGTTATCAGATTTCAACTACTGATTCCAGTCCGCTCTTTAAGCCCCTCCCCCAAATTTACAAATTGGGTCGCTTTTCTTACTCCAATGTTCCTGCGTGCGCATAGGCATGAATATTTATCAGATCGGCTCACGAAACAGCATGAATCCAAGCATGTGCATGTAACACACATACAAAGGGAACATACAAACAGCAAATTTATTTGTAATCGCTATGTTTCAACCACAACCCCATCCATGAGCATCCTTATAACATCAAGTATCTTTATTGAAGCTACCATCTTACGCTTTTAAGCGATCCAAGTGATTATCAAATGCATGCTAAGTGGATTAAAAACCGTTTTGCTAATCGATCCAGTTACACGATCTTCAATAATTGACTCCAGATCTGATAATCAAGTCGCCTGATTTGAGAACATGATCCACACTATCTGGTTACTCAGAGAGGTCTTAGTTTTGGTATTCATGCGAGGTGTGTGTAGTTGATGATATTAATACCAGCACATAGCATACTCCTTGTGTCACCCCTCATTCATTCTTTTTTCCTTGCTAATTACAAAGAGATATTGTATCATGTCCGCATCGAAAACTATCGCCACCCCATATATCCAATTCCCAAATAATGCGACCAACAAATGCAAAACAAAGCCGTTGAGGATGCATAAAAACAATGTAATACAAGATGAATGAAAATGTGTCTATAAAGAAAGTATTTAGGCTCTTCGTTTGAGCAAGCAATAATCTCCCCATGCGAGGCCGCGTGCGCCTGGGACGAAAAATGCACGAGAAAGGCGGTTGGAGTTGGCTGTATCCAAAATTGGTTCGCAGTCAAGGATTTCCCAATTCTTCTCGTCTTGGATAAATCGTGGTTCACGTGGCGACCAGGGTCGCAAAGGAAAGTCAGCATCGACCAAGTAATCGCATTGATCAATATCAACCTATCAACACAAAGATCGTCAATAAAATACTGTATACTGACATTGCCTTTTCTTGCTTACGTAAATCGAAGGATCTTCCTTGTTGTAGCTGTTGAATCCAGGTTGGATGGTACGTGCACCCTTAAAGGCGAATTGACGAGCACGATAAGACAATTGTTTTCCATCTTCTTCATAATCAGCCGTCTCAAAATCAGGCAAGAAATGCTTTGGGAGCATGCCTTCAAAATCGCTCTTGATGTATCGCAAACGCACGTCGTTGGGTAAAAAGTAGCTGCTTGGGAAACGATGCCACTCCTTGCCAACACACAAATTGATATCACCGACAGATGCATCGTAAGGGTAGTTTTCTTGGAGATAATTGAGATTGACAAGCTGATCAGGAGCACGTTCCTTCCACAAGGCACTATACACACGCTGGGGGGCACGGTAGCGGGTAGCCAAAGCAGCAATGCGTGATACTGAGATGAGAGCGTACACGGCCAGAATTGCTAAAGACACATATCGCACCAATGCAGCTCGTACCATGATCTAATCAAATCTGATCAGCTCATGTAAAATCCTTTTTTCATCCAATACTTACGCTTGCACCAAGACGACGAGCACCACGGCTTGCCCAACCACGGAACAAAAAGATTGAAATGGAAGCGTTAAGGGCAATGAAAGGATAAGCGACATACAAAAAGCGTTCTTCCTTGTGTGGTTGCAGAGTGAAGATGGTGAACCAAATGTAAAAGGGTAGTAGCTTGATTGCCAATAGAATGTAAGGCCATGCAGCATCCAACTTGCTGGTTCCCGGAAGACGTTCACGGTCAACATAAGCAGCAATTAACTAAAACGCATGGTAAGTTGATATCCTTTTCCACGACTCAATGAATGAGTTACTTACGGCAAATGGAGCGGATGCAAGAGCGAGCAAAAAGAGAATGTTGAAGTTGAGGAAGCCATTGAGGATATAATAGTACCAAGGCTCAGTACCAAAAATATCGGGGCCTTGACCCACACCACCAAAGACATTATAAAGCACAATGTTGAGCGGCACGAACATGAGGCGGCGATAGAACAAGTAATCAACCAACACAATTGGCACCGAGATACCAACAGCACACATAACCATCGTCTTTACGAGACGTAAAACACGTTGCATGCGCCAATTTTTGGGTCGTACCATGGGTGTAGGGCGACCTTGAGCATCGACAGTGCCATCTTGACCATAAACAACCAATTCTTCGATCACAAAAGGAACACCAACTACTGCGCTAAAAGGCCAACCCACCAAAGCGGCGATACCAAAACACATGACAGCATGGGATACACGTTTGTTGTTGGCTTGAACAGGTGGACGTAAAGTGTATGAGAAGGCGAGGAAAGTCATCAACATGGCAAATGAAGAGGGTAAAAAGGCTTGTAATAGAATTCATCATTAATACTCTTCTTGTTGACATGTTACGCCATTTTCCTTACCGGTAGAAGCATTAAACATGCCGGCACTGAAAAAGAGAGCAACAAAGACATAGCGGCCCACATGGGGGTTGATCTCCTCAGTGACTGTACGATAGAAACGTGCTTCGACATAGGCTGATGCTGCAGCAAATGCCAAACGGATCAAATAAAACATTTGCATCTAATCCCCAACTGTCAGTTTTTATCCTATGCATTATCCAATTGCCATCCTTACCTTGTGTGTTGCTACCATACTAGCTATCCATCCAGCCACAGCATGTACCATGACATAAGCCCAGCTACGAATACCGAACTCTGGAGAGTATTCCCAAGTCTGCATACCCGTGCCATGATGGATATAGTGCATAGGTTCCCAGTAGTTGTAGACCTCATCGCAATCTTGAATAACACCAAACAGTGCCGATGTACAGCGTGCAATCAATAGCAAACGGAAAGCCGAGTTGAGCGAAAATGTAAAGGTGCCAGCTTCAGTCAGCAAATCGCGAGCAGCTCTACCATAATAGTCATACCATTCGTTCAATAAAAGACCCCATCACAAGTACAGTGATCAAATTTACCTTGGACCGTTGACTTTGGGTCGGTTAGCAGCAGCAGCAGCAGCAGCAGCAGCTTCTTGTTTCTTGGCAGCCTTGTTGGCCTTTTTGTTTGACCTTGAACGCAATTGCTCCTGGTTGGAGGGCATAGCGTTGGGTTTATTGGATAACAAAAGAGTGCAAAAGAGGGAAAAACACAACCACGCGTATGAATATGGGATACGGCGGAATGGAATCAAGGCATTAACACCGATGGATGATGATGCCACGCGCGTTGTGCGGGGTGATGGATCCTAAAATGCCTCATTTAACAAGCTTTTTCCCGAGACACTATTGGACAAACGATGAAACACACGAGGCAATTCAATAGCTTTTGAAAATTGCAGCATATGGATTCATAGAAATTGATACAAGGACATACGATATTTCTGGTTATCTGTTTTGGGATAGTCAATACGCTTAAAGACATCTACTACTATTGCATATTTCGAAGATTGATAATTGCAGCACTAATCCTCTTAAAATTGAATCCCTTTCATCATGTGTTGGCGTCATTGTTAATAAATGTCGACCCAGATGCGTTGAAAACTTCCAATGATTGAATTTTGCGTAATGATGGGACTAAGTCTAGTATTGGAACGCTGCTAAAGTCTAAAGTGCGGCTTCCCTAAAAAGATGGGCGGTGTATTGGCATTGATAACTATCAACGCTCGGTGGGACGTGCTATATGTTTATAGGATGGGGTCCACAAGGAAACATCAATCATGATGACTCAATTTTGATACGACTGCTATTATGCATAACGTTGGTGAGATGCTTGGGATTACGCTTATCCGCTCCCAAGGAACATGGGATATCATTTCCTTATACGGAGATCCGGAGGGCCACTTGCTATTGGCTAGCTTAGTCATCCCGCGTAGATTTATAAAGTACGTAACAGTGAAGCTCTTTCTTTCTTTCTTGTACTGAACACACGCACATACTCACATACTCACTCACAATACATCAAGATGGCACAGCGATTCATCCCCTATTCCGTTGCTATGGTGACGCCTTTCACCAAATCGGGCACTTTGGATTTGGCAGCAGTTCCTGCTGTTGTCAAGTACTACATGGATCAAAATATCCCTGGCTTGCTTGTGAGCGGAACAACTGGTGAACAACACTGCATGACCATTGCTGAACGCAAGCAATTGTATAATGCTGTGGCCACTACAGCTGCTGGCAAGGTTCAATTATACGCTGGTGTTGCAGCTTTCAAAACGGAGGATGCCAAGGAATTAGCACAAGCAGCAAGAGATGCGGGATTTAATGGCATCATGCTTGGTTTCCCACCATATCGGATCCCATCGCAACAAGAAGCCGAGCAGTATGTGGCACAAGTAGCGGCAACGGTCAAAGAAGTACCGATCTTTTTGTACAACAACCCTCGTCGAAACGGCTTCAATGTTGAACCAGAAACCTTTGTGCGTATCGCAAAATCAGTGGATAATGTGTTTGGCCAAAAGGAAGCTGGCTACCCTGAAAATGTCAACAAGATGAAGACTGCTTTGAATGGTGATATTGCAAAATACAGCTTCCTTTCTGGTGACGATGCAGGTTTTGTCGATGCATACATTAACAAGGGATATACAAACATTACATCAATCGCAGGCAATGTCTATCCAAGTCAATTTAATAGCATTGTCGACCATTTGCTCAAGAAGGAGAATGATCAAGCCAAGCAGGTCATGGATAGCATTGCCCCTGGTATTGCTTTGCTTGGTAAGGCTGGCATGATTCAAAGCATCAAGTACATTTTACGCAAGAAAGGTGTACCTGTTGGATATTGCCCACCTCCTATTATGGATGTCAATGAGGAAACAAAGCAAGCATTAGATAAGATTTTCTTTTAATACATCCCACGATATCTATCATCTGTATAAACAAACAACATTTTAAGCTTGAAATCCCTGTACAATTGCAGTAAGAGTAATACAAATGAGATAGTCTATAAGTAAACTTGATATAACCATGCAACAACAAGATATGGTATGCCTATCTAGAGCGATTTGATCATAATATGATCCGTGTCCAACTTGTTTCCAACTTTGAAAGTATGAGCACCGACTTTGCGGAAACCTTGTTTTTCATAAAACTTGATAGCATTTGGGTTGTGTTCCCATACGCCGAGCCACATGGTCTTTTTACCCATCTTGTTGGCCGTAGCGATACATTCTGCCAATAGCTTCTTGCCCACACCCTTGCCTGCACATCGCTTATCGACATAAATGCGCTGCAACTCGATAGCATCTGGATCGCCTACAAAGTCGTAAACATCCTTGTTTTGACGTAGTTGGCAAAATGCTACAGGTTGGTTATCCTGATCGAATGCCATGTAGGTTGTGATAGTGGGGTCATTTAATTCCTTGGTTTGAATTTCAGGCTTGTAGGCTGAATCTAGGTACGACTGAAGATCGTCAGGAGGATTGTCTTCGGCAAACGTATCTGCAAACAAACGAGCACCCAATTTAGAAAGGGTCTCAGCATAGGAAGCATCAGGGATTACGATTTTGATATCCATGGTGTGTGAGAAAGAAGGGGATAAAGTCGGTAATAGAGATCTGCACAGGTTACAAACCTTTCAAATTCTGAATTCATTCCGCGGCTTTGTTTGACATGTTTACATAAGCCATACCGGATCAATTGATCCGATCCTGGCAATAATCCTAATAAGGCAACACTTGCCTTGTAAGTTACGATCACGTCCATACCGCAGCATTGACATCCTATCATCCCCACATTGACCGTCATCTCATTGGGTAAGTATGTTTCATGGGGATGACACCTATAGCATATTTTAACAAAGGTACCAATGAATCTACCTGAATAGCGAACAAGGTCTTTATAGTATAAAAGGTAATCTATGCTAACAAGAACTAAAGTATCCCTGTGCTAATTTACGAATGGCGTTCTCGTACATGTTTGGCGCATGATCGGTAAACATGGTTCGTGAAAAGACAATTTCAGAAAAACGTGTCTGCACATCATCACATCGTTCAAAGATGACTTGGTGAGCCCTTTTGTGTTTTCTTTTTGACCCTCTGCGCCCTTGTTGTTGCTGCTGTTGATGATGATGATGATGATGATGATGATGATGTAATTGCGGTGTTGATTCGACGAGGTAAACGGTGCTGGGAGGATACAACTTGTCAGCTCGCATGTCAGCTCGCATCGTTTTAATGAGCGCCCAAAACCATTGTTCATGATGTTCTCGATCCTCCTCATCCTCCTTTTTGCCGCTGTATCGACCAATGATGCGTGATAAAATGTCGTCAGCCACTGAACTCTCTTGTGATAAGCTGACGGCAACGTTTTTGAAATCTCTTAATAAGCCAAGACTGAGACTGGGGACAATGTCGTATCCATGGACCACACTGGTGACTAGACCACGTCCACAATAATCGCTCAACTCATGTGACATGACGCTAGGTGGGCCGTACGTGTAGCAATGAATAGGTCTACCTTCTGGCAATCCACTTGCACTGGATGTGACAAAGGGAACTGGATCACGTGCCAATGCCAAGGCTGCACCTGGATGATGGGCTTGATGTGGCTGTCGCTGCTCACTCCAAAGTACGCTGAGTAAACTAGCAACACCTGCACCGAGGGAGTGTCCACATAAAACCAAACCATAACTTGGATGAAGCGTTAACCCACGCAAGACAGCGTCGTACACTTTGCCGCGTTGATGAGCCAATACTTGGGCAGCTTCGAGCATACCACCATGTGCCATATACGTGCGACCATGATGATCAAATTCGGCGTATTCACACATCAAATCGGTAAGCACATCTCCCAATCCAAGGGTCCCTCGACACGTAAGCACCACAGCTTGAGCTGCATGGTCCACCGTTACATAATGAACAAGAGCATGTAATTTTGGATGATTGATCAAAGTCCCTTGATCCGCATAACTGGAAAGCAAAATGTCATCGACAGAGACGCCTGTATGATGAGCGAATGCATGATGATTGGCATGATGTTGTGCTGAATGTGGCAATTCTGAAGGAATATCACCAATACGTAAGATGCGCATAAACGATTCGCCATAAGCTGCACTTGCATAGCGTGAAAATCGTTCAATGTTGCGTAACAGATGATCACGTGGAAAGTTGCGTGGATCCGGCTCACTTTCGAGAGGCGAACGAGGTTTGCGTTTCTTATGACGATTGGAAGGAAGTGATGGTGAACGCACAAGGGTACGTTGACGACGTTCAACAGGTTGAGATGGTTGTTGACGATGCAAAAGCGACGTATTGATGCGTTTGTTGTTGGATGACGAAGAAGGTTGTTGTTGTAAAGTAGAAGTGGATGGAGAAGAAGGAGCTGTTGTGAAAGTTGTTGTGGTTGTAAATGTTTGTGACATGCTTGACATGCTCGTGATTGAATTGGATCTTCCTCGACGCCCCGAGATAGAAGTATGCGATTCAATGGCTACAGATGATGAATGACTAGGTTGTAAATAAAAGGATCCATTGGTAGTGGATTGATGCTGGGGTAAACTGGGTACAGGCGGTGGAGGAGATGATGATGATGATGCTGTTGCTTGCTTCTTGAGTGCTTCAGCTCCTTTTTGAAATAGGCTGGTGACACTTTTTCTTCTCGATGCCTTAAGCTTCAATCTGCCCCATGATGATTTGCGTTTGATGGTCTTGTCGTCATCTTCCACTGCTGGTGTTGATGGTAATGGTTTGCTGGATGCAGCAGGTACTGAGTATTGTGCTGCAGTCGATCTTAAGGTGGTGGATGTGCTTTCAGTCATTGTAATATCATTATCATCGATACTATCCACATCATCGATCATATCAATGCTGCCATGGCGTACAAGTCGTCGACTGCTATTATCATGAAAGGTCTGCCGTTCGACTTTTTTGCGCGAAAACGTCTTCGAGACAGCCGAGAGCATGATTTTCAGGCCACGTGATGGCTTTTGTTTCAACTTTGAGAGTGCATTGTTGGTGGTGGTGGTGGTGGTGGTGGTGTTGTTTTCATCTTCGTCTTGTTCTACTGGATGTTCGATCCATGCACCCGGTAGTGTAGTTTGCTGCTGTTCAATGACGGCCATGAATGATTCTCTATCTTCTTCATCTGTATTGACAACGACATATTTGGCACGAGGGCGTGATCCATCAGCTGCAATGGGTTGAATACGGGTCGTCTGAGTAGTCATTCGTTGTGTGGTAGTGGTGATTTCATACATGGGATATTGCTGCCAACTCTCTCGTTGCTCTTCCAATGCAAGCGATAATGAGCTATCATTCTCAGGTTGCTGTTGTTGAAGGAGTTCTTCCAGCTCATGAATGATATCCGTCGATGGTTGTTCGTGATCATCTCCTGCACATATCATCCGAGTGCCTTGACCATCCTCATCCTCATCCTCTTCATCATCCACCACAAGACCTTTCCACATAAGCGTCATTTTCATCATCTCATGCATCGTCCTCTTGTGTGTCACATTCTGCAGCACTGCAAATGCCGTCATAGCCTTCGTGAGTCCTCCCAAGATCGCCATCTTGCCCTCCTTGGCCAACTCGAACTCGGGATCCTGCATCAACTCTCCATGCACAAGCGTGACAATGGCTGAAATCGCCCGCGATGTTTCATTCGACCCGAATATCCCATCAATCACTTGCACGGATTCCTCAGCTGCCTACCCACATTATGAGAAGGGAGATGACTATCAAGTGGGGTGATTTACCTTGAGACCAGTTTGGATGGTATTGGAAGTAAACTGAAGGCCGGAAAGAGCAAATAACTCTGCCAGTGTGAAGGTATGATGGATTAGATACACACCAAGACTCGTGTACTTGTCCAAGACTTGAAGAAAGCCACCTCTATAGTTGATCTTGCATGTCAGGCAATAAATCGTTATATATCTCGCTTCATACCATACCTTTCAGCGTCGATCATATCGTCGTCATCTTTGGGATACGTTAATGCATGGACCTTTTTGGCAGTGGATATGGCACTGATTAACGCTTGTCTTGACAGCCCGAATGAAAATACGGTACTGTATTTTGCAGCCTCGAATAAGGCTTCCATAAACAAGGCGGAACATCGTAGGGATAATCGAGTTGCTAAGGATACGGCGGTAATAAAGTTTGCAATATTGCTTGGAAGCAATGTGCTGGTGGTGGTAGTGATGTATGTTGCTGGGTTGTATGCGACCACTTTGGAAGAATCATCCTCCGCTGGTGTATTTTGTTGGGTGTCAGGCACCACCATGAAGAGAAAATAAGGAAAGGAAAGGAAAGGAAAGAGAATCAATATGTGCCCGTGTGTGCGTGTGCGCGTGGAAGAGAAGGGTCCTGTTAGCCCCATCCAACACACAAACAATAAACACACATGAGAGAAAGAGAGGGTTCATGGTTGCACATACGAGCATGTGATAACGATACAGCAATTGAACTTTCAGGCACAGTTCATTTGATGATTACATTACTAACAGCTAGGTATCACAAATCATCTCACTTTTGATAGTTCAATGCTAAATGCTTTTACTGTACAAATCTGACCCAGCCAGGGGATGCACAATGAATGGTCTATATAATAAAATTGGGTTGGCGTCTATGGAATTTTGATGTACAACAACATGGGATCTATCTCTATCTTTATCTATGCTTGTCTAAAGTATGAAGGGTACATCGTTGTTACGTGCTGCTTTTCTAGCACGAGCTTGATATCGTCGTGTACGCGCAGCTGTTGCAGCCGCCACCGCTGCTGGCAGAATGACTACTGACAAGGCCACTTGATGCTGTTGCTCTTGAGAGGAGGGCACCATAGGCTCTTCATCGCTGCTGCTGATCTCATCGTCATCTTCTTCTTCCTCAAACGACGCTTCGCTGAAACTGTCGTCATCATAAAAGGTATCAAAGTGACTAGTAACGGGGGTCAACAGCGTGTTCTCGGAAATAGTGCTTTGTGAACGTGCACATGATGATATTGTTGTTGTTGGATGATAGATGGGCTCTTCGAAAAAGATGGGGTGTTCCTTATGATGATGGGGTGTAAACAATCGCGATAAGCGCTCTTTGATTGTTAACCGCTCTACTGCAATGATACGAGGTTCTTGACGGCTGCAATAGTATTGAAAAGACATGTTGTAGGTGATGATTGGGTGTGTGTTTTGATTAAACTATTGGTGATGATAGAAGAAACGAATAGCATGGTCAGACCTTTTATATGTAAAACATATGGGGATTGATCCCACCAGGGGTTGGGGGAAGGCAGCAGAGAAAAAGAGAAAGAGAAAGTGGCAGGGGCGATCATCCATAACATAGAAGGTGCGTGTTAATGGTCTTGGCCATTTATTCAAGGGGGGCAAATACATGCATGCATATAAGGCATACGCAAAATCACCATGTAGGGTAACAAGGTGCTTATTGCGGCTGCTGTTCATTGTTCCTTTCCGTGCCTATTATTTTATCTTCTCCTGAAGCCAAATCGCGGGGAAGCACCCATAAATAGCATACAGCACGGCCTCAGCATTTCCTTTGGGACAACGTCGCGTATGTATTCTAATGCTGCTAAACATGCTGCTTTTCATAACCTTCCACGTAGCCAAGGACAGAAAAAAATGTGATCTCCATCATCTACATCACGCATCCCCCCTTATTTTGCTGAACATCGAGAGAGAAGGATGCTGCTACATGTATGAATTCCATTGTCTTTCTTCATCATTTATGTATGAGTCAAGCTAAGGGCATGACTTCTTCTTACGATACTGTAAATATCGGATGCTGATTATAGGCTGCTATGTAGATCAACTACAAACATGTAAAGGCAAAAGTGGCCGTGCGTAGCCATTTGGATAAAGAAACAACTACTTTTGGAAACATCCCGGTTATGCCGTTCATGCCGAGAAAACCGAGAGCATCCATACATTATCCCGGGTTTCCTTACAAAGTAAACTACACACATTTCCTTCCCCCCTTGAACCCCTTGGGATCTCCCATCGCATTCATCCCCGCCTACTTTTGGTTAAAGGATTCAAGCATATTCACCAAATGAGTGTCGCCCATACAATCAGTGCACTAATTTGGACCATGATCCGTGGTGGAATTTGTCTCTATATACATACAATGGGCAATAAGTGATTTGGATGTCAGAAATAACCATGATGCCCGTAACACATTGAAAGATGGCAGTCATTGTCAAATACAAATCACAGTGGGAGAAACTTTGATGTTTGAATTTAGACGCGAAGATTTAGTACTTAGAATGGTCTTGTTGCCCTGAGTCTGTTATTGCTACCTGTCGGGTATACTATGTCACAGTGTGCTCCTTTTCATTTCTTTCCGCTGATGCGCTTTCTTTATGCTTAGCTGCACTATAGCTTTTGGTATTCCATTCTATCACTTTTTGACTTGCTGCTGGTCTTATTATAATAAAGCACGTATCGCATCACATAGACACTGTAATACAAAAAAAAGGGGAACAATGAGAATCTATGGCTGACCACAAATATTAGTAGACGCACGAGCTCTGTTTTATAGGGCCGGAAAAAAGGTATCTTTGTAAAGGATACTACGTATGAGGCGTTTGACGGTGTTGCGAGTAATCAATGCGCGCCATGGCCGAGTGATATAGCATACTACCTCAGACTGAAAGTTGCCAACATGGTGCATTTAGCAATATCCGCAAAGCACAAGCTCGTTATAAGCGAAATCGATTAATTTATAGAGAGGTGGATAGCAGTCAATCGTCATTTTAGTGAAGGGTAGCTACAACTACTTTTATTACTTGAGCGCCACCATGTGTATAAAGAGAACAATAGAGCTCCGTCACCCATTCAAATTATGTATTGCGCCTAGCCCATTTTGCATGGTCAGAGATCAAAGGGAACGTACTTACAATAGCTCCGCAGTAGGGCTGTTGCCATGGCTACACGAATATCTCCATATCTGAATAAGGCTGAATACCTCGAGGCTGATCACTTTTACCTGCTTCTTTTTCCATGTCAAGCCCTTTAATGAACAATAGCAGTCGCTCTTCGTCATGGTCGAGTTTGAAAACGACGACAGTCAACCTCGATGAACGACAACTGTTTGACGACATGCACGCTGCACGCCATGCACTCGATCTGTTTTTGAATTCTCGCATTGTTGAAGCTGAAGCTATATTACGACCCGAGTTGTGCAAAACATCCATGTACTATTCGCTCGGCAAAGCTGTCTTGTTGGCGCTCAAGAGCATGATGACTTTTCAAGCGGCAGATTTTGGGGAAGCCATTGTTGCATTAAAACAAACAGTGCAGTTGGCTAATACGGTTATCAGCAAGAGCCAATCAGCTGAAAGCAATGGTTGGTTCCTTGATGGATTGACATCTTGGATCAAGGGTGGATTGACAGTGGAACGACTAGAAAATATGAAACCGATTGCTCGGCATGCTGTAAGTGTTTACATGTTATGGCTGTCATCTTGAATGGGTGCTAATTCATTTTGGGTATCATTGCAGGAGTTAATTCAAGCTGAAGCACATTTGCTCAAAGCCATGCTATGCATTGTCCACGATGAGAGTCTCATGTCTTTTTTGCGTGAAGGTCTCAACATTCGTCAGAGCTACATTGCCTACACCGTACTGGAGTCATTTATTCAACAAACGAAGATGCCCCTTGATCCACATTTTACATCAGGCGTCTGCTTTGGTATTGGCTCCTTTAAGCTCATGCTATCATTGCTGCCCAAGACTGTTTTACGTCTTGTCGAGTTTATCGGATTCTCGGGTGATCGCACACAAGGAATGAAGTTGCTTGAATCCAATGGAGGATGGGACGACTACAAAAGGACTGGGAATGAACCTAGACTTCAGGGTCCGGATGAAGGATTACGCCGACAATTTTCGGACATGATGCTGATCAACTACCACCTGGTCATTGCTAAATTGGTACCTGTGTCAGATGCTGATGAACCTCTCGCTTCTGCCGTTCTTGATTACAACCTTAAGTTATATCCGAATGGCGTCATCTTTTTATTCTTTCTCGGCCGTAAACTGTTTTGCGAGACAAAACTTGATGAAGCGGATGAAGCGTACACTCGAGCTATCAACACACAAAAGGATTGGATACAATTACAGCATATTGGTTACTGGGAACGTGGATGCATCAGCATGGTTCGTGGCGACTGGAAATTAGCGGTGGATATATATGGCATTTTGCACAAGGAGAGCAATTGGTCCAAGGCAGTGTACATGTATTTCAAAGGCGTCGCACTATTCATGCTTGCACAAAGCGAATCAGATGGAAGCAAACGTAAGGATTTGATCTCTCAGGCACATGACATCATGGAAAGGGTTCCTGAATCAAGACAAAAAATCGCTGGCAAATCAATCCCACTTGAGGTAGAATAGACTTTTGATATCGTGAGGGGGTGTTTGGCGTATACATCAAGCTAATGTGATAATTCATGCTAGAAATTCGTTGCGCGGAAAGCACGCAAGTTCGTTGATCAAGCCAACTATCTTTTGTTCCCTGATCTCGAAGTATTGAATGCATTTGGTATTAGCGACTATATCCCTATTCCCTTACTACGAGCCAACATCCATCGAATCGACCAAGAATTGAACAATGCTCCTCATGCTTCTGCCGACGATGTGTGTCTTGCCTATTATCTTCGCAGTGTTATGGCTCGACGGCTTTACATTCGGTCCTCTGATAATCAACATGAACAACAACAGATGCGGGAGATTCATCATCAATCCATAACAAACGTATACAAACAAGCGCAAGACATTGTCCTGGACCATTATGTTTATTACTTCAGCCGCTATGAGGAAGCTCGAATGATGATTTTAGATGGGGACTATGATGGTGCTGAAGCTAGTATCAACGTGATTCTCAAGGCCAATGAGAAAGGACAATACAATATAGGGAAAGGAGCCAAAGCAAAGAGTAAATACAGCTTGGAGAACAGCCTACTATTTAGGTGCCACAACTGCCAAACTGAAATCCAGACATTGCGTGCATCTGCCACCAAGCTCATAAACAGCGAACATTCTACCACTAGTAGCGACTCGTTTGCATCCGCAACATCTTCATGATAGATAAAGAAACCCATATTTTATTATTATTAATTGGAAAAAAAAGTCAATCATTGCTGGGTTGAGATTGCTTGTGGATAGCAGATAGAATGTCTCGTCTTGAAAACCCTGCCTTTTTCATAACTTGGATCAATTCAATCTGTGTTTGCATTTCTGCCACTCTGCTAGAACGATACTTTCTTTCCTCGACATACAGCCTTCTTTTTTCCGCCAATTGGATTGTTTTCATCATATGATGCATACGCCGACTTTTTCGACGCAGCAGCTTAATAACCCTTTGCATCTCTGACAATGATTTCATGGAATCGTTGTGATCGTCATCCTGTTGACGTTGTTCATTTCTGTGATCCATTTCTTGTCGAGGTGGTCTCGATGATGTCGTAGGTGCAGAATGTGGAGACGATGATGGCGAGGTGGTTTTTGGGACACATTCACCTTCTTGGTTATGAAGGCGAGTGGATGATGATTCAGTGATGGAGAATGTTGGATCACCAGAAGAAATCGATGTAGTTGTCGTTGGTGAATCGTCCGACGAAATCGACATGGCTGATGATGCTCGTTGTAGAGGAGGGGACTTTAGTGGATTATGTCGCTGTTGTTGTTGACCAGTATCCTCATTACTTGGTGTTCTTGCTGTTGCTTGCTTTCCCTCTTGATCTCGTATCTCCATCATCCCTCGCTTTAAACAGGCGACGAAACCATGATAATTTGGAAAAACCTCGACGATGTCTACTTATGAACCCCAGCCACTCTCAGTGCCACAGCTACAACACTACAACTTATATATCACATACCATCCTCAGTAGCTCCTTCTTGCTGCATACGTTGCCCTAGTTTCAGTAGCTGGTTCCACCTTTGAATACGCTTATATGTAGCTTCAGAACTACGTGCCGGACTGCTTGTCCTGTTGACATAGCTACGAATGTCTGCAATGAAGTCCATCATTCTCTCGGCCTTGATATTGCCATTCCAGTAACGAATAAAACGAGCAGCATTCCCAGGCTCTTGGAGCCAATTCAAAATGGCATCGTCGCCGCTCGTCCCACCATCTGGCTGATCAGACGTTGTCCAAGATCGAAGAGACCGCTCCGTGGCCATTGTTCAGTGTTCAATTGTAGACAAGGTTGTGGTTGTGGAAGGTTGCGTGATAGGAAGCCACGTAACAATACTTTGCAGCTGTGCTTGTATGTAGACTTCATCTGTTTACCTTTCCATGTTACACATGTTGCCCTTCAATACAATCAACGTTGCATCAACATCCTCTCTTTTATGCTTGCCTCTCGTGAATTATGAAATTTGATGTTATGGAATCCAACACAGGTGTCAAAAAACATCACATGCACCTGCTTTATAGTTTGGGCCATTATGTAGTATATCAGCTAGTGATAGTATCCATAGGAACCACTATTAGCTTCAGCTGTTACCCCATTACCATCCAATAAACGATCAACGTTCAACAATTACCATAGGGTTATGTATATGTTTCTGTGCCCTTTGAATAATGCTGTCGTAGGGATATGTTTGCTATCTACGTGATGATGGTTTGATGTATTGATCTTTTACGTGTAGTAGCTACCATGACGACAAAGATGTGCGTTTATTGGTTGTTAAGAGGACAAAGAAGATATCCACAATAAGCGCCGCTACTTCTCTTTGTCTTACTTGCTGGAACAGTAGATTTCTTTGTATGCGGCATATAGTAGTAGCCATCGGGAGTATACATGATTCGATAATTAGCTGTTGTTTGCGTGTGGGTGTGCACTATTCATTCCTTAATACCCGCTCCCAAAAAAAAGGGAAATGGAGAGTCCAGTCGTAATCAATCAGGTAAAAAATATTGTTCATCTCGATAAATGAAATGATAAATCAGTCCAGAACTTGCAGACGGAAAACGAAGCTGGGTTGTTTGATACCTTTAAATAGCTTAAGACATCCATTCACCCAAGATCACTTTTTCTCCTTGTTCTTTCCTTTCTTCACACATCCTGGAGATGTCTTTGCGACCTACAATCCTTTTCCCTCTATTTTTGTTTTTCATCCTACTATGTGCTTCATTTGCCAGTGCATATACAGCAGATGAGACAATCGAAGAATTACATCGACTTTTTAAACGTGAAGACAAGCTGCCTTATGATTCGCTACCCAGCGACAAATGCAACGTTCCCACCGTGTGCTCCAATATCCAATCACCAGTGAACTGCCGTTGTAGCGATATGCTAACAGTATGCCAAAACAACAATGGCCAATACTGCTGGGGTTCGCAGCTGCTTAATCAAACGACCGGATGTCCAGCCGTACCTGAATCGTGCAGTGCACAATTCAATGGTACTGCAAATTGCCTTTGTAACGGCGATACCGTTTTGTGTGTTGACGGCTATAATCATTACTGCTATGGAAATTATCAAGGGTCTTCGGCTGCTCCTGGTAGCTCAGCTGCTAGCAGCGCATCCGTGTCTCTCGATACTATCCCAACCACAGTATCCTCCTTGTCGGGCAGTGGTGGTGATGCCAATCAATCCAACAACCCATCATCTGATTCTGGCGCACAATCACCTACTTCCTCATCTTTGGCTGCCTGGACTTTGCTAGCCCTTACTGGATCCACCGCTTATTTTGTTACTCTCTAGACACGTACACCCCTGCTGCATATCCACATACAACACATATGGCTGCAATAGCTGATTACTCTTCATTCCTTACCTTGACATTTCCCATGCAATATTATAAACTATACATATATAAACGTACATTGATGTAATGGATGTAACAACAATTAGCGTAATCATTTGCCAAATAAGGTTTGGTGTGTGGCAGAAGGATGGCTCACCTATGCTCTGGAATCTCGTTTCACCATCCCATTGGGCTAGAACCTGCATTGAGAACTCGAGACCAAAGATATCATAAACCTACCCTCTTGCCTTCCCAGCTCGGCTATTCTTCCATGCTACTATTGTGTAGAAATAAATTGTTACAATAAACTTGGTACCAATATGAATACTTTTACATAGCTTGTAGAGAAATGGCACTATTAGAGTATTAGTATACCTCGCAATGTGTGAAAAAAAGAGTCCCCAACAGGATCTCATTGATGCTGCAATGTCTCTTTTAGGCAATTCTCAATCTTAATTCTAGTGTCGGGTATATAGTATGCCAATAGAGACGGATGCAACATGATGTGGGTGGTGATGGTCATATGCGTACGTATGTAAAAGTCCCCTTGTACTTGCATTGTTATTGTGGTGGCATCCTCTCAGGCCTTTTGGCTAAGATCAAATGTTATTGTGGTGGACACGTAAAGAAGATAAAGACAAGGGACAATAAAGAAGTACAGTGAGGCTATGAACTACCGATTTATTATGTGTATGGGTGTCCTTATATACAAGTTACGAAGAATGAGAATGGGAATGAGAATGAATGGTATGTACAGATGTTGTGATTATTATGTCGGGACCAGCCCTTTGTATGATGCATGAATGTCACAAGGATAACGCATTTCACGCAATTACTTGCACATTACTCCATTTTGCCTCACCTCTTGAACATTGGTTGGTGTTGGCCATGACACACGATTGCTTTGACCTTGCCACTACTCGAAAGCCGTTAAATCACCACCATGGGAGTTGGGAGTGGTTCTCCTTGCTGCCATCGGAACTTCCTGTATTACCCAACGGTCTTGGATTTGCCATGTTCTCGTGATCCGATCATTCTCGCTGCTTACCGGACACACATACCAGTATTAAGAGCAGGCTGACAACATGGTAAGTCACCTTTATAATAATGGGGATGTGCATTAGGCGTACAAGTGATCACCTGCTCTAATTTGGCCGATGGATGTATGCATAAACAACCTTGCACTAGGCTCTTCAGATTTAATCCTGGTATATGCGCCCCATCACTTTATCAGCTCATGCATCAATTTATCAATGCATCATCCCCAACACACATAAATAAAGGATGTTGTCGCCGCCCATCATACTCGCACACATCTCTTTCCTCTGCCATACTTCTTTGATTGCGTACAAGGTCAAATTTCCAAGGTTTGTGTGTATCCCATTGCTTGCAAGCTTTGTGAAGAAGCTCTGATCTTTGTGGTCTTTCGTAGTGCTTCTTTGTATTGTGACCGCCATTATGATATTGTATTCTTGTAACGAGGTAAAGCCTGATCATGTTGCTTGATGAGTCACTACTCATACACGCTCCTTGGGAAGCCGTTAAATCACCGCCATGGGAGTTGGGGGTGGGGTTCTTCTGCTGCCATCGGAACTCGCTTGGTCGAGGTTGAATATTTTATGCACTTTTCCTGTGTTACCCAACGGTCTTGGATTTGCCATGTCCTCGTGATCATCCGATCATTCTCGCTGCTTACCGAAACACCCATACCAATACTAAGAGTAGGTTGACAACATGGGAAGTCACCTTTATAATAATATGTGGCTGCGAGCGTTCCCAAGTAAAGAAGACCGTCATGAGTTACTCACTAAAAATGCCACACAAATGCCTGACATTGATCCTGAGCTCAAACGTTACCTTGACTCATACGTGGACAAGGTACTTTTCCTTTTGCAGTGGTGATTGTATGGAAGGGCTCACAATAGTGATAGAATACGTTCGATGAGATCCTCGATCATTGTAGAAGCACTCATTATCACCCAGTCAACAAATGATCTGCACTGGGCGCAGAACACTATGGAAGCTTCTTTACTACTTCATGCTTTTCCTGGCAAATATTTCCCTATCACTGACCAAAGTGAATCCGATGTTTTGAAGAATTTGTGGCTATTCATCGATAAAGCGTTCGATGACACAGCAATTAACACCCGGAGGTATGTTGTTTTCTTCTCAGTGGACTATCGTATCTAACCTGTGATGCAACTAGTGGTGAAATCGAGAGTTCAGCATCATCAAATCGTCGCAACTTAGGTCTGCCTCGTGGTCACCGAAAGTTACATGGACATAGGGCTGACCTACTGCTAAAATGCACGGCTGGGGAGTTGGGCGCTGCGAGGCTGGTCGACAAGACGAAGGATACCAAGGCGCCAAAGAACGACGTGAAGCAGAGTTACATAAAAGCTTAAGGATACGTTGTGCGCTCTCTTCAAATCATCTCCAAAGGCAACTGGCCTAATAATACCTGCATTTATCATAACAGGTTAGTGGCATTTAGTTGTGCTTTTTTATAACTTAATCTCTCTTTCACGTATTTTACAGGCACATAACTCACGCTTCTCTTAATGGATCGTCCATCGCCTTACATATGCAAGACGACGAGATGCAGATCAATGTTTTATCCGAGCTCTTTAGACTCATTTGCAGCTGATATGGGATCATTGATATCACTCATCAATCAAGCCAAACACATCGTAAAGGACAATCACAATGCCGTCATGCGCAAAGAAGTGGTGGGGGCTATTGTTGATGACTCATTTCTCGACGACTCAAACGTAAAGTTATTACCATGCCCGAGATCCCCGATCAAATCAAACAAACGGCAACGGTTACTTTGATAGCCAACTTTGCAACTCTGCAGGTCTTTATCTCTTTCTGTCTCTACCGTGTATCTTCGTTCACCTATATCGCTATTGGTACTTTGCTTCTCAAATTGGCAAGAAATTGGCTTAAGTCTCGCTGCTTACAGTAAATCACATCCTTACATTCCTATGTACATTTTATTGACATTACACATGATATAAATACATTGATAGTCAAGCACGCATATCCCTCTTTTGCATCCCTGCATATATACTGCTTTCAGCCTTTTGGTGATTCTAAGTGGCTCCAATTGCTCGCTTCGCTTGTAAGTATCGAATAGTTTACCACTACGATTGGAGGATCGCTTGGGTCTACGTATATGCTTTTATGCTGTAGTTAGCAGCCCGGTCACTCGCTTCGCTCGCACAATAAACATGGCTTTTTTGGCAATCACGTCACTTGTAACCCTTTGGTATCCATATATTATATTATGTTTATGATGGATAACTCTGGGAACAGTCATCTATAATGATGAAACTGGTTTGTAAGTCAGTAGCAAAGCCTAACTCTGATAGCCTGCCATGTGAGTCGAGTAAAGAATATACAGGGGGAGCTATCCAAATATACATACACTGTGGTCACTAATACTGGGAATATACACAATAAGCGTATCGTACCCGAAAAGGGACAAAGAAGCTCGAAATACGGTGAGAGTCAATACGATGATGATACACTGCAGAATCACAAAAGGGAAAAGGATAGCTGTATAAATGACACAAGAAAAGCAATAAGGTACAACGTATATATTATTACAATCGAGATACATGGAAAAGTACAAAAGAGCGTCGTTTCAAATACTATAGAAATGTGTATAAATCCTACTGCAGGGATGTACCACCATTTCATCAAACTTGAACAAGTTTACTTCATTCTTGATTTCATCCACGTATTCCTGCGTAAGACGCATGCAGGAGGACTGTGGATCGGGTGATCGATCGTATTCGTAGGAGGCATAGGTATCTTGTACAAGCACCATCTTGTTGTATCTAACCTTTTTCTTTTGGAAGACAACTTGTTGCCGGTTGGTGCTATTGGCAGAGACCACAGAGATACCAGATGTAGTGGATGGGCAACCTTCACAAGGCGGTGGTGATGATCGGTTGTTGTTGTGTTTATGTGCTAAGATATAATGACGGATCTTGTTCTTGATACGTCGCATCGTACCACCACTGGTACCTCTGGATAATAATGCGTCGCCATCATCATCACTATCATCCTTGGTAGTCGAAAGATAATCAACACTAGCAGCGTGTAATTGATGTTGCTGTTGGATTTGTTGATTGCTGGATAGTAATGATTCTGGTGCCCCTTTCTTGAGAATACCTTTGGCAGGTATCATTGGCTTGGTGGAAGCAAATGAGGCTGCTGTGCATCGTTGAGTAATGGCACAAGGAAGTGATGGTGGCGGCGGTGGAGGAAGAGCCCGGGAAATAAAAAATGGTCTGCTGCTATCCATTGCTTCTTGTTGGCGATATACGTCATCCGGTGACATCCGTACAGATCCATAATGTGGTTGTTGATGATACTTTGGTTTCCCTGTTGATGCAGAGGCTAAAAATGTGGATGATGTAGTACGTTCGCGTCGCGGTTTCCTTTGTAGCCGATTGAAAGAGGACCGAGAAGGTAGTGATATCTCGTTAGCCACAAGCTCATCCAAATCGCTATCATCGTCCTGGGATGATTGATCCAAAGTAATATCACTGTAGTAAACATCATCAGGCATGGCCGTTACATCATCGATGCCTGAATCGTGATATGACTTCTTTTCTACCATGGGATGCTCATACTGGGAATATGTCTTCAATAAATAACGTGTTGCTAGAGCTGATGAAAAAAACTTACCGCAAAGATAGAGAAAGAAGAGTGATCCCGAGTTTGGCATGCAACAGGTGCTGGCATAGTACCGCTATCGCAAAATGGTTGATTTCACTATCAAGCATAGATGTCTTATATATATCTTGACGAGTGTTAAAGGAGGCCGAATTGTCTCGTAGACACACGCTTGTTGCAGAGGGGAGAATACTTGATATACAACTTGGCATATGTATAAGGGAGGCAAGGTAGTGAGGAGAGATCTACACGATCTTCTTTTTTCACACACACAACGCATTGAATGACAGCTATTACCCAGTAACCGTACCCACCTCGAGGATGTCATGGAATTTGGAGCAAGTGCTTTGTTTAATGCATGTGCTATATTTACGCAGCAAGGAGTTAAGGGATGCCTGGTTAGAAGAGAAGGATATACAAACGATCTCCTCTGATGACATGGCTGCAAGGTCCAGGTTCTTTACCCTGTTGAATAAGTTTCAAGAATAATAATGCATTGGGGAGTTATCTATCTCCTTTGCACTCCTGCTCAGCTCTTCTCCTTTACCGGACCGATAGGATGAAAAGGTAACATGGTATACGTTTACTCCTGTTTTATGTGGATCCTTCCTTTGTACATCCGGCATCATGCTCTCGTTCCGAACCATCATACACACTTGATAGGACATTTATTGATTAGATGACATGTCTATTCTAACATCAACAACAAAAAAAAAATGAAACGAGAGTGGATGAAACACAGCATGATAGAAGAAAACCCAGTCGCACAAATCCACTTTTTTTCCCCACTTCCTTCACCGGCTGCGTCTTGCAAGAATATGGTCAAGCTCTGTGTACTATGTTCCAAGAATAGGGCCATGATCAAGCGCCCAAAAACTGGCCAGCAGATTTGTCAGGAATGCTTCTTTTATGTCTTTGAGACCGAGATTCATAACACGATCGTCGATGCCAATCTTTTTCAACGTGGCGAACGAGTGGCGATCGGTGCCAGTGGTGGCAAAGGTGAGAAACCAAGATCGACACCTAGCACGTTGTTGGAACTAACGCTTTGTAGATTCGACTGTGCTTGCTCATGTGCTCAAGGTTTTGAACGAACGATATGATTATGGGGTGGAACTTTTCTTGCTGTCAGTTGACGAAGGCATTACCGGATATCGGGACGACTCACTCGAGACCGTCAAACGTAACCAGCAACAGTACGATCTACCACTTAAGATTGTGTCGTATTCGGATCTATATGGTTGGAGCATGGATGAGATCGTCAAAGAAGTTGGACGCAAGAACAATTGTACATTTTGTGGTGTATTTCGACGTCAAGCCTTGGATCGTGGATCAGTCATGTTGGGTGTAGATCATATTGTCACCGGTCATAATGCTGATGATATTGCAGAGACCATTCTGATGAATAGTAAGTAGACATACGACATACATTATATGTGATATCATATGCTTATGCTTGCCAAGTTTTCAGAGGCGATATTGCTCGGCTAGGACGATGTACTGAGATTGTGACTCAAGGGGAGAGCAATATTCGAAGATCCAAACCCTTCAAGTACACTTATGAAAAGGAGATTGTCATGTACGCTTATTTCAAGAAGCTCGACTATTTTTCAACCGAGTGTATCTATTCGCCAGATGCTTATCGTGGACATGCAAGAACGTTCTTGAAAGATCTCGAATCAATTCGACCAAGTGCTATCATTGGTATGAATAACATTGATCAACAATGTACACATGTAAGCTGACTTGGATTTTTTTTAGATATTATCCATTCAGGAGAAGCCTTCCAAATCAAGTCTGATGTCAAAATGCCTACACAAAAGACTTGCCAGCGTTGTGGTTACATGTCTTCGAATGATATATGCAAAGCATGCGTCTTGTTGGAAGGTCTGAATCGTGGTTTGCCACAATTGGGCATTGGTAAAGGCACACGTGTAGTAAGTCGATCGTATTATCATGATTGGCTTTTCGTTAACAGCTATTTTCATAGCGACGGATGCAGGCGTCCGTGACAGCTGATCAAGCAGCGCCAGCTCGCAAAACCGTTCAACACTTTTCAGAGATCCAACGAGATACTTCCATCCCGCAAGTGATCAAGCCACGTGATCCAGCAATGGTCAATACACCACCACCCCGAGTACCCACCCATATCCTAAACGATGATTCTCCAACCAAAAAGGACTTGACTTGGTAAAATCTAATAATAAAAGTAACATGATTCTTAGGAATCACTTGTAACTAGATATTCATGGTGGATTGGAACTGTAAAACAACTTTTTTTTTCTTTACTTTTTGCATATAAACTACTATCTACAGGACCATAGAGATAGAGAAGGGGGGAACAAAGGACAGGCAGGGACATAGATGGTAGCACAAGGGCTGCATAAATCACAAAAGATACAAAATGATAAATAACAAGGAGAGTGGATAAAAGAATGGTATACACGTGGAACGGGGTGGGGACAAGAGCTATTTAAAAAGAGGGTAACACGCTTGGGAAATGACGAAAAGGCAAGGGATTCATACAATACAATACGGAAGTTTCAGGTACGAACAAAGAGTGAAAGGGAATATGTAGATAGGTACGTGTGTATGCGTGTATATGTGTATGTGGCTGCAATAAAAAAAAGAGGGGAATTGACAAGGCAACAGGTTATGTACAAAACAAAAAAGATGGCAAATAGAAATTGGAAAATACAAGTTAGGTTTTTTGAGCAAAGGGTCGACGACAACGTTCAATAATGGCTGAGAAAAAGAGAGGTTAATTCATTACAACAGCTATGTCACTATCATAATTACTTACATCGGCATTTTCTCTGGGCGTATTGGGTATCCACACATTCATGGATCATCAGGCCATCGTGTGCTCTCACATTGACATTTATGTCAGGAAGGCTGGCTAAAAATTCAAAGGAACGCCAGAGGCCAAGCGCTGCAGCATAATGAAGTGCTGTCCACCCTACATGGTACATGATGTTCATTGTTAATAAGGTTCATAACTGAACACAGCGAGTGTTTTACCGTCACTATCTTGATGATTCACATCCACATGGTCGGCGAGGTAGTGGACCAAATGTTCATGGCCTCGCATTAATGCAACCTGCAACAGCGAGCGATTTCGGATTCCACCAACGCCAGCGATTCGATCTTGACTATCACAATAGTGCTTAAGCTCTTGAAGATCCCCACGGATACATGCATCAATCAGTGTTACATGTGGGTCAAAGCGGACTTGCTTTATCACGGGTTGCTTGATGGGGTTGGCAGGAAAACAAGATGGGCGAATTTCTGGTAAATGTACTTCATCAATAGGTGTCGACACAGGGGATGGTGCTGGTGACCAAGGATGACCAGCAATGGGAGAAGGAGGTGGTGTCCAACAATGATCGTCTTTTCCTTCTGTAGACGACAACGAAGAGAATGATGATGACGATGTGGAGCTCGAAAATGTCATGGGAACAAACTTTGACTCTGTGGTTGCAGATGTGGGGTTGGGTGGTGGTGTCACTGTTTTTTGTTGCTGCTGAAAGTACTCAGTTTGCACAGCGGCTACCACTGTTGGCGATGGGGTTGCTCCATATGCCAAGAAGCCTCTTTTCTCCGTTGCCTTTTTCAACAACATGGAAGGTCGACCAGTGGTACCAGTAGGCGTAGGCGGAGGCGAAGGAAGAGTAGAAGTAGCAGCTTTTGCCGTGTTTATGGGTGCTGTTGTCACTGTAGGCACAGATGCTCTTGTTGAACGCTTATTAGTAGGGGTTAAGAGTGCTAAGACAGATGGCGAAGAACAACAATCTTGAGGGCTTATCGACCTAGCATTCTTCCGATTGAGCATGGCTGCACCACTGTTGTCCATATCGAGCAAAAGTCGCACCAGTCGGGGCAAGTTCCAGAAACACGCCAGATGTAGTGTGGTGTTGCCTTGGCCCCAGATATGATTGACAAATTGATGGCACTCCATACTTGTGGCATGCTCACGCAGAAAGCTGAGAATCATCATAGCCATTTGGCCATTATTGTTGTTGTTCTTATCGGCATCGATCAAAGCAAGTTGCACTGCATTCAAGTCTGTGGCTGACTTGCCAAACTTGCGCACGGCCTCCGGACGTACTTGGCGGGGGAATTGCACAACACGCGACTTTTGCGAGGGTGAATACAATGCTGGATCATTGGCAATACGAGATGTCAGCAAAACGCGCACAAGAATATCTGTGGGTGTCCGTTTGCAGAGCCGTAAAAACTCGTCCTTGGCATCGGTCTGGATGATGGTTTGCAATGTACGCCAAAGGCGGTGTGGTGAGTTACAGCTGGTTGAGTTGCATTGCCCATTTGCTGTATGAATATGTGGGGCCGTGCTCGTCTTGAGCGTGGTCGTCATCATAGTCCTCTAACAGATATATACAGAATGTGTTTTGATATCGACCTTTGCGTTGAGTCGTAATAGATATGAACAAGAAATCAAAAAGTAGTGGAAAAATAAGTTAACGTTTGCGTGTGTGCGTGTGTGTGTGTGTGTGAATAAAGTAAAAGAAAGAAAGTAAACGATCCTCAGGACAATAAAATCTTTTTAGTTATTTGCATACACAATGGACGACTAATCCACCAAAGAAAATGCGCGCTACTAAACCAACACGGACACAGCAGTGGACATGTGGTCTCCCCGAATAAACCTCGAGCTCGTTGTCTCTCATCCTTTCCATCGTAAAAGGTTGAAACACCGACAGCAGATCAAGCAAAACATGTAACCTTGCGTAGTATGATTAGCCATCTTGCAACCTCTTTTTTTGTTTTATCGGCATGCAATGGCTGTCATTCTATACCCTCTATCGTACAGCAATGTGTGGATGTGTGGTATGTGCACGCTGTGTTGCAATCGTTTTCTTCTCAGAGCGGATGCACGGAGAACATGGATGTTCCGGGTTCCGGTGATGAGGTACGCAAACTGTGCAACAACAAATATGAGAACGAACTTGGACATTCCGCTTTCTGATTTTTTTTCTCAAGCAACACAGTATTCTCGAATCGCACATGGCCCTTTCACCATCCATGTCTAGCATAGCTTATGATAAGCATAACCATTCCTCTGACCTGGCTATGTACATTTAGGTGAATGAGTAGGTAGTAAACGCTGGGAAGTTGGTGATGGTAGTACGAGTAATGTTAGTCGATCGTGTTGTGTGCATGCGACCTTGTTTGTCCCAAGGGATACAAGGTGACTACTGACCCTCCTCTTCTCCCCAAAGTTTCTACTCGAACGTTTATCGTGCGTTTAAGAACAGCATGAAAGTAGGAAAGGAGTCGAGACAACAGCAAAGAAAAACGGCTGTTTGTATTTCATTTTGTTTACTGGGCCCGTGACACCCAACTTGTCAATAGAGTTACTCTTTGTTGATGGTAAAAACTGATTTGAGAAAGTGAGGTGCAATAATAGAACATCACCACCGCATTATACCTCTCTATGCTACAATCATCAACATCGTGCTTACAGCATATCATCACGAGCAGTCTGCAGGATAGCAATCGGCATCCATCAGTGAAAGGTAGTATGCAACAAAAAGCGGAGATAAAAACTGCATACACCATGCAATGATGATTTGCAATCTGTTGTAGCCAAACCTTAATGGAAGTCTTCGCAGACGGCAATATCCGCTCATATTCTGATAACGTCTTGGAGAGAGGACAATATTGTTGAAGTATATAGCATCCAATCCACGCCGTAAACGCCAAGTCATTTAAACCAGAATGCCAATTGCTCAGCACCGTGTACCAGCATTATTACACATAATGCTGGCAAATGATAACAGGGCCGGCCGTATGCCAGACTGCAGTAATTGTCCATCACTGTGATACTCAGAAGCGATATACAGGGATAGCCTTGCATATCAGCGGATGGATATGGAGCGAACTTGTACATTTCACGTTGATACAGGGTATACATAGGTTAGCCAATCTTCAATAACAAAAGCACACTTGATAGCAATCTCTTTTAGATGGCAAGTATGTCATATCTTTTGACGCTGGTGTAACATGAACTCCACTTGATATACCCTTTTGGCAGAATCATGCATCATAAAATGACGCACGGACATATAATGACACATGAAACGATGCATATGTGACAGGAGAGAGTGCCATAATACAGCTGATTGGAATGACGGCGTATACTGAAGGACACTTTTTCATCTCTGCATATCAAGCGAAAAGCTCGCTATGATGCACGATCTGCAAGGCTTCTTCAGATGCATTTGCTCATGGATAAGGGATCGCAGTTAGCACGGTCATACCACGTCAAGCGTTGCTATATGCCATTACCCGACATAGATAAAGACATCCCAGCTCATGAAGATAAGGCCATGATTCAATAAGAAAGAAGTATAGGTGCTAGCTTGCATGGATTTTATTCATAAAAGAGCATGCTTTTAGCTGAATTCAAAAAAAAGTAGGTAATTCTTTTCCCCTCTGTTCTACCACTGACGCTTTAAGACAAGATTCTTTTTGCCTATAGTAGGTAACATAACCAAAGCTATACAGCACGTGGGCAACATAATACATGCACAGTGATTAGCCCATCAATAAGCAACAATGGACATTAGCATTAAGAAAAACGGAGTAATAAACTATTGAACAAGAAATGGACATCAAGCCAAACAATGTAAAGAAAAAGTATGAATTATATAACAGTACTAGATTTAACAACAAAGAGACGGAGGACATGGTCGTGAAATCAATCAAGGGAAAGTGTTCGATCGCCTTGGTGCTCAGCAAAAGCTGCTTCGCCTTTATCGCGTAATAAGTGGGATTTCAGACCCTTATTGAAGTTGGACCAACAGATTGCACCATTGATGATGGTTAATACGATCAAAGCTAAGGATACGCTTGCTAATGAAATACCCCGTAAGAAAAGCCGTCATTCAAGCAAACCAAAATTCATTGAACTTACCAAAGAAGGTCAAAAAGTTCTTGATGTTCTTGTACTTGTCGGCAGGTTGATCAGGATCAAAAATGCGGTAGATCTTGAAAATAAAGTAGGCACAGCCAGCTGCGAGACCCACAAAGAAGATTGATACCATCCATTTTGACTCATGGCGCACCTATGGCAAGTATGTCAGGTAAAAGGACAGGGCTGGTCGTGATGAAAATTACTTACTGCGTATACAGCCAGGAATAGGAAAAGACATGTCAGTGGTAAAGCCACAATCGTCAGCGGAAATTCATAATCGTTGTTTTTGAGAACCAGAACAAGGTACTGAATTGAGTATCCCAAGAAGAAGAACATGTCAATCTTGAGGATAGTGAGCAGGATCTGATACCATCGATACATGTCTGTATGTAAATATGGGTGAGTTTATCTTCTCTTGCCCTTTGTCAATGAGCTTACTTCTTATTTCGGGATCGGCTCCAATCTTTTTATAAATACGCCAGCTATGATGGATCTAAATTAGCATACACACATTGAGTCCTCAATCCATGTAATACTTGCCCGAATTCCTGGTACAGTCGAGCACCGAGGTAAAGGTAAATAAGCTCGCATATTCCAATAACGACCACATTCGCAATGAGGAGTTTGGTTATCAATGTCCGCAAATAATCAAGGACATCCGAATCCGGAATATCATGGCCAATACCAGGATGATCTGCAAGATCATTAAGTGCCTCCGATATCTGTTGGAATTGAAAACCACCATACAGCAGACAGCAAAGGTTCAAAAGGATAAATGCAATGATTTGAATGGTGTTTTGCATGCGTACCTAATTTCATCCCGTCCCGCCTACGTTAGTTTTATCATGACCCCTGAAATCTTGTCATTTACTTACTGCATCCCATGCTATCCCTACTTGATAAACTTGACATATAATAAAGATGATCAAATAGACTGGTATCCCTTGACCGAGAGCTTTGTTTGCACTATCACATGCACATAATCAATATGACTACTACGGTCGTTTAGTGCGCACGCACACACTTACTGATTCTGTACGAATTTAGCAAAGACTACAGACTCGAGAGCAATCACCACTGCTGCTTCAAATAAAGTTGCAAGGACGAGTATAAGCGAATAGCGTGATCCTGACCAGAACTGGTGGGGGAAAAAGTGGTTTCAGATTCGTTTGTTTCTGTTGCTTTGTTGTCATTGGGAGTCTAATCGCTTACATGCCACCTTGTCCGTTGTTGCTCGGGTGAATAGTCACTTGCTTTTCGTGAAGGTGGTTCTGAATCAAATGCAAAGCTTTCTGTTGACATGGAAACGGTGTTGTGGTGGTGGTTCGGCGAGAGAGGGAGAAAATAGTGGACGAAGGGTAACCGGACTAAACATCAAAGTGCGATATTTCTCTGCGTGCCAATTCCTCGTGCCATTTAGTTGAACAGAGAAGAAAATCATTTCCCTTTCGTACGCGTCACTAAGTACTTTTCTTTGTAAATACTGTTACTACGGTTTTCTCAGCACAACAGAAAGGATTCTTTTTCAAGCGTTTCTTTGTCGGATGTAAAAGATTGTAATATGCTGCTCTTTGTCATTTTACTGCTAGGATCCTCGTGTAAAAGTTGCACGTTCATCTTTCTTCGCTGCCTTTTGAACTCTTGTCAGGATGATAGCTATCATGAACACCACAGTAAACCATATTGTTCACTACTCGGTCTCTTATTGAATGCCTGAAAGGAAGAAAGAGTCTGAAAGATGAGCAGCTACTACTAGTGGTGTAGTTGTAATGGAAAGAAAAAACTCAGTTCCCTCACCTCCATTCGAATGACATTAGCTAAAATATCGAGTGTCTTGTAAAAGTTTGACGAGCAGATAACATAGCAAAAAGAATTCGGGTATAACAATGGAAGAGGCAATCCTACCATCAATGATTATTCGATAGTCAATCGTTTTCAATCTACTCTTTTAGGGATGCCAAGGCCACGGATCACGTGAATGAGTTACCAGCCAATCAACCTTCCGCCTTCGGACATACTCATGTCACCTACAAAAAAATCACCTTTTCAAGTGGCAGGTGGGTTTATCTGCTGTGATTTTCCATCGCTCAGGACTCCTTGACGCTTGATCACTTTATCAGTTCGATCAATATACGCATTTGCCTACAATGATGTAGTCCAAGACATAGCTGCTATTAATGCAAAATCGCATGTATCATGGTTACAACCCCAGTCGCGCCCGCGTTAAGTGTGATGAATCGGGGTTTGCGAACACAGACTTCAAGATGCCACGCTCTCTCACACACACTCTCTCTTCCACTTCTTTTTAAAAGCGTGTTTGATCGCCATGTCACATCAACAGCAACCACCACAACCGCCCAATTCCAACGATAAATACACTGCAGCACCACAGCAATCAGGTTCTGCTGGCGAATCGTCAAACATGATTCAACAACACCACGCGCAATCTGCTGCCGCCGCTGCCATGGCTGCTGCTGCTGCTGCTGCTGCTGCTGCCCAAGGCACAGCTCCTGGTGCCCATCCTGTCTTTGATCTCGCAAAGTTCTGGCAAGAACAACTTCATGTCGCTGAATCGTTCGAATCTGATTTTAAGAACCACCCACTACCCTTGGCACGCATTAAGAAAGTTATGAAAACGGATCAGGACGTCAAGGTAAGGATAAGGGCTAACTTAGTAAAGTGAATTATACTAACAAGGAAGGATTTTGTTGTCATGTAGATGATCAGTGCTGAGGTATGCAAAGAATATACACACCATGTATCGTGTTGATGCTGATGTTATGTACGTCATTAGGCGCCTATTTTATTTGCCAAAGGATGTGAGATCTTCATTACTGAGCTGACAAAACGCGCATGGTAAGGATGGAAGAGGATATGAAGGAGAGGATGATGGTAGACTGATATGTGTATAGGGTGCATGCAGAGGAGAATAAGCGTCGTACATTGCAACGTTCTGATATTGCAACCGCTATCTCGAAAACCGACATGTGCGATTTCTTGATTGATATTGTTCCACGTGAGGAAGCTGCAAAGGTAATCTCTTGTATAGCTGGGAGATGTTTGGGGAACTAATGCATGTTAAACTATGCTATAGTCAAGCTCAGCTGTTTATGATCAAAACGCCTATCAATACTACCAGAGTGCAAATGTACCTCAATATACATCAGCTCAGGTAACCATCGAGATGAGGATGGAGCACCAGAAATCTAACATAACATTGGTTTTATATAGCAAATTGATCCTGCCGCATATTATCCACAGCTATCTCAAGTAAATGACAAGGATTTAATATAAGTGAAACATAGCTACTAACAAATACAATTCAAAATAGTTGACACCTGAACAAATGCAACAGTACCAGCTTCAGCTTCAACAATTTGCTGCACAGCAACATCCTTATGCTCAACAAATGCAGTCTAGGCAAAATGCACCTGGCCAATCTGCACCCGGTTCTTCAGCCCAGCCTGGTCAACCATCGAATTCGGACGCTACAAAATCAGAGTCTCAACAGCAATAGTAGCATTGATCCCCCAACCTCTCTCAAATCCAGTTTCCTTCATTGTTATGTAGAATCAATATTGATCGAAGCGGACTAGCCAACATTCTATTTTTCCTTTTACTATAAAAAACTTTTACAACAAATGCGAACACCAAGAGTGGTAACGCAGGTTTGGGATGAAATTATGCAAGGCAATCTAGATAAGGTCGGCAACGTTCATGGGCATTTCCTCAATCTGGGTGTTGTAGAATTGTTCAATATCCTAGAATAGAAAGAATTTGAGTAAATAAACCACGCGACCACATCTTTCTAATATTATACTCACTCTCATCATGCGGACATCCTCGTTGGTAACGAAGTTGATGGAGACACCCTTACGACCGAAACGACCACCACGACCGATTCTGTGAATGTAGTTCTCACGGTTGGAGGGAAGATCATAGCTATGAAAAAAATTAGTATCTCTACACATGAGTATATATGTAAAGCAAACTTACTTGATAACCAAGGAGACTTGCTGAACATCGATACCACGAGCCAACAAATCAGTAGTAATGAGGACACGGGAAGAACCAGAACGGAATTCCTTCATGATAACATCACGTTGCTCTTGGTCCATATCACCATGCATGGCAGAAACAGTGAACTCACGGGCATGAAGCTTGTCAGTAAGCCAGTCGACCTTTCTACGGGTGTTACAGAAAATAACAGCTTGGGTGATGGTGACGGTCTCATACAAATCGCAGAGGGTATCGAGCTTCCATTCTTCCTTGTCGACAGCAATATAGAACTGCTTGATACCTTCAAGGGTCAATTCATCACGCTTGACAAGAATGCGTACAGGCTCACGCATGAATTTGGTAGTGACTTCAAGCACATCGGATGGCATGGTGGCTGACAAGAGAACAACTTGGGTGCTACCAGGCAAGAGTTGGAAGACATCATAGATTTGATCCTTGAAACCACGAGACAACATTTCATCAGCTTCGTCAAGGACGAACATCTTGATCGCTTCAGGGTTGAATGCGCGACGATTGTGGATCATATCGAACACACGACCAGGTGTACCAACGACAATGTGACAACCAGCTTGGAGCTTTGCAATATCTTCACGAACGTTGGTACCACCAATGCAGGCATGGCATTCAACACCCATAAAGTCACCAAGAGCAAGCACAACCTTTTGGATCTGAAGGGCCAATTCACGAGTAGGAGCCAAGATCAAGGCCTGAGTTTCCTTCTTGGAAGTGTCGATCGATTGCAAGATAGAGATAGAGAAGGTAGCAGTTTTACCGGTACCGGACTGGGCTTGAGCAATCACATCGTGACCCTTGATAACAGGCATAATGGCACGTTGTTGAATGGCAGAGGGACGCTCGAAACTATTCATAACAACGATGAGATAATACCCACATACAAGGCTTACTATGACTTACCCGTAAGCATATACACCACGAAGGAGCTCGGTCTTGAGGTTCATGTTGTCAAAGTTGTCAACAACCTCCTCCCAGTTGGACTATAACAATTACAATAATAGTAAGTACTTGGAAGCTAGTAGGCTTGTATACGCTCTTACCTCGATTTCGTGATCAGTGACTTCTTGCAAAGGTTCGTTGCTATCAAAGCCCAAGATTAGTACGACCAACTCTAAATATGCAAGATCTCCTCTCTTTGTAGAAGCTTCCTTATTCTTCTCCCCAGTGTAATCCACCCATGTGGCCCAAAGCTTACCTCATGTTGGCTACGTCAAAATAATAAGAGGGCAAGCACTGGTTTGGGCTTGGAGAGCACAGAAAAATCTTTTGGGGACAAGAGTCACAACGCGGAGGATGCCACCTATCCAATCACGCCGTCGGGACTTTGACTACCTTTACGTTACATGATTTTCCAGGTTGGCGTTGGAGCGGTTTATGGACATAAGTAATGTCACCTACGAAAAGCCGTGATTTAAGCTGCAGGTGGATTTATCAGTTCGACCAATCCTGACAACAATTCCCACGCCCATTCACATATAAAACAAGGCTGTTGTCACCAACATTATCATACGCCCTTTCTTTCTACTTGTATGCATGCCATCATCAATGACCGTTGGTAAGTCTTAAAGATAGTCTTTATGTGATTTCCAAAATGAGGGTATTCGTGTATTCATCTTCCTTTTTGTTTCCATCTATTATGTAGCTCGCTTCATTGCTTTACCACTCGATGTGCTTATTGGTGCCTTATGACATTTGGCTGCTGTGTTCCTTAGGTTCACCCTTTGTTGTAGGTTAAACCATCATTTATACAGTGATCCTCATCGTTTATGTATTGATAATAAGGATCCCTTATACATTGTAGGCAAAATGCAGCCCCTGTCTGATGGCAACCAGGGACTCCTTTGTTGGTGACATAAGTACATGCAAGGAAACATCAACAATCTCTCGATCGGATGGGTAATGTGCTGCAGAACAACACTTCTGAGCAGTTGTTAATCCTTGAATCCTTATTTAAAGTTATACTCTCCCTGGTTCAGAAGGACCGTCAATGAAGATTAATATGCTTCCACATCCATCTTGCACCCTGCTCTAACTTTGTTCCCAAGGCAACGTAATGGTAGAAGACGTAAGACCGTTATTTATTGAAAGTGGTGGGTACTATAACACATCCTAGTATTGATCTAGAAATAACGGAGGAGAGGGTAGAATCAAATGGTCTTGACAAGGCATCTTTACCGTTCAACTTTAATGACGATGAACCAAATGAAGATGAACATCCCTGGAAACGATCTACGAGTCTTTAGTGAAATGGATGCTGCCTGTCGTAAGTAGTTTTACTTTATGTGTTTCATACTTGCTCACATGCATTGTACACTCTCAGGCGGTCACTGCAGCGCATTTCTTTGGAATTATTGAAGGAATTTGACAATAGCACTCTTTCAGAAGTGTGTGCCTTAAGGTAGCGTATGATATGTTTTGATTTCTGTTTTCCGTGTTCTGCTTAAAATGTGATTTTACTGACAACAATGATAGGTCGCTTTGTGCTTTGATAGAAATGTGCTCAGGCAGGCGTACAAGTGACATTAATACATACCATGTATCCCCAAATTCGTGCAGCTGCGCACCGCCACAATTCCGGCCAGTTGGGTCAAGCGACACCAAATGATCAAAGTGTTCGAATTAATTGCAACTCTTCATGTAAGCACCTTGGATATGCCCTCAAAATATGTATGCTAATATCATATTAACATGCAGTCCTCAGTTCTTGAGCAGGCCAATATTACTGAGCAACTTGAATCTGAAGTTAATGGTGCGATCGAAGTTGAGGATCATGACACTGTATTTCATAAACTGTAATATGACCATCACACCCACCCACAGCAATAGCAGCAGTACCCTTCCTCGCCATATCTATCTCATCACAATGAAAATTTAGCAAAATTTTACTTGTATTACATATGATCCACAAAGACGATTGACAGCCAGTGAGGCGCTGGTACATCTACTTTTTGACGACCTGAGGAATACAGACACGAAACCTTCCACAGGACGTGATTATCTCCTTTGCTTGATTTCATGGCTGAAGGTAATGGAAACAAGGTATGCGTGTGAGTGAGTTTCGTCCATGAATAATGACCCGGTTTTGATAGAATTACCCATTCGACCGGATCTGATACATAAATTGGTTCTTCTCCGTTGTCATTCCTCTACATTGTCATGATGAATTACTGTATCGAGGCACACACACTCTCCCCTATCCCCTTATTTAGTCTAGAAGCTGATTTTTGTATGATAGTATCATGCGTGGACCATGCTACCGCGTGAATTTAACAACTTGCAACATTTGATGAGTAATTTCGATCCGCCATCGAAAGTCAATGGTGGGGATGATAGTGTTGTGATGAAGTTTGTCTGCTATTGCCAAATTTGTCAGAGAGATTAATATTGCAACGAAGGTGTCCGTTGACACATTAAGATGTTTATTACTAAGCTATTGTAATGTAATTGCCGCTTTTTATGATCCAGAAGATAAAACATTGTATCACCGTCCGAGTCTTTTTTCATGATGTACTGGTCCATTCATGACGAACAATGCACTAAAGCAGCAAGCATTCAGCCAAGGTGAACGTCAAAGATTGTTTAAACGCAAAATGGAAATTGGTGTTACGCCAAAGTGAAAAGACCAAGCGCCATGATAGGTATAATTTAGTTCGGGATGAGTGAGTGGCGCCTGGAGGAAAAAAGAAGTGCGGTCACGCATTGGTGGAACACCGTTGAGGATTCCTTGCAGGGTGTTTTTCGCTTTTGTACTCTTTCATTCCCAAACATGCTGTCTACTCTTCGTAATGCTGCTGTCGCTTCAGTCCGTCAATCGACTGCTGTGTCTTTGAGAGGCATGAGCTATCCTCTGCGCCGTACATATGCGAGCGAGAATAACAATAATGGTGATAACAAAGAAGCGGAAAAAGCCGACACAGCCAACAAGGATGAGCAACCCGCAGAAAAAGAAACTGAGGATACCAGCAAACTTCTCGCTGAAAAAGAAAAGAAAATTGCCGAACTTCAAGTAGGTGTAGAATATCATAGATACGAATCTAGATGACTCATAATGGCGAGTAGGATGCATATATCCGATGCTTGGCTGACCAAGAGAATCTTCGAGAACGTACACGCAAGGAGATTGCAGCAGCACATGAATTTGCTATCCAAAAGTTCGCAAAGGATTTATTGGATACAGTAGATGTTTTGGGTATGGCCTTGTCATCTGTCCCCACCGATTTGCGCTCCAAGGAGACCGCTGTAGCTTCCGAGATTGCCAAGGATACCGCTAAGCTTGCTGACCAACTATCGAACTTGTACACTGGTGTCTCCATGACAGAGGTTGAGCTGCTAAAGACTCTCAAACGTCATGGTGTCGAACAAGATAATCCTGAGGGTCAAGCATTCGATCCCAACAAACATCAAGCTTTGTTTCAAACTGCTATTCCTGACAAGGAGGCTGGCACTGTATTTGTCGTCCAAAAGATGGGCTACACTCTCAAAGGCCGAGTGTTGCGTCCTGCTCAAGTTGGCGTTGTGGCCGAGTCTCAGTAGTAGTACTAGTAGTAGTAGACATGTAATTTGCTTCTTCTGTATATATCGAATTCATCATCTCCCCTCTTCTCTCTTCTCACTGATACGCTATAGAAAATCCACTCTAGACAAAAACAATGTTTACCATTATGCTTGAGATTCTATACATGCTGTTTTTGTGTTTGTATGGCAAAGCTCAATGCCTGATATTGGGTCTGCTGAGATACATCAGCAAATCAGCAGCCATCAGTTCCCATCGGCATTGTTGTTAACCTTTTACCTACGTCGACCGACTATGGAATGCCATTATTGCCAGACCATCCAACGCAAACTTTACTGTCAAAACTGCTTGCAAGAAAAGTATGTCATTTCGACCAGAATACAACTCATTGCATATACTCACAGCTAAGGTATAGGCTTCATAATCATGTCGTTGAACTGACACCATTGACTACCGATCGAGCCAACCTCGTTTCCCAAGCCAACGACTATGTATCAACAACATCCCATATACGTGGCTTGCTTCAGGAAAAAAACAAAAGGATCACAATTATCAAAGAAGCTACCAGTGAATGTAGACGTATCAATGAAGAATGCAGTCAAGGTAAGTAGTGCATATGCACGTGTGTATGTGTACATTAGGCTGACCTTCATGTATTGAATATAGCACGACTACGTATTCAACAATTACGTGCAGAGATTCAGCAGCGGCGCAACAAGATGGCAATGATTGAAAAGAGCCACTCGGAAACAGAAATGACTGATTATGCCAAGGATATCCAGCAAACCAAGAGAAAGTGGTACCGTGTGCACAAGATGACTGTATCCGCACGACGAGTATTGGTGCATGAGATTGTTTCACTTTTTGAGTTCAAGCCTGGTGTCGTTGAGGATCGTTCAGTCGAAGCAGAACGCGGTCAACACAATGCTCCATCTATATCTCCAACAGCGATGGCAACCTCTCTACCATTTGCCCCTATCAAAGACAAAAGCCAACACTCCGAAGACTTGTACATTTGTGGAGTCACTTTACCAGCAAGAACGATTGATGTATCAAGTAAAGTACTTTTTTTCTTCATACAATTTACATGGTGGTACTAATCACATCTGATAGAATATTCAAAGGAAGAGTTGAATGCATCTATCGGACTCTTGATTCATATACTCGGTTTAATAGTGCGATATTTGGGCATCAAACTCCCCAATCCCATATTCTATAAATCAGTGCATCCATACGTAAGATACAACTCTGAGAAGCAGCGACATTCCACGTATGTATATCATTTGCCATCGATAATATAACTCAGGTTCCTGACTTGACACAATAGCAAGATACCATTGTTCTTAGATGATAAGAACTTTCGCCGATTCACTATTGGCATGGCCATGCTCAATTACAACATTGCTTATCTTTGCTATACCCAAGGCGTGGAGATCCCATTATCACAAGTCACCAATGCATTACAAGCGCTTATGGAGTGTTGTCGCTCACCTCGCATTGGGATGTAAGTGACATATTCAACCCCAGAAGAATAACCCTAACGATATCTTCCACGTAGACGATCACATGTTACGATCTACCAAGGCATACCCAGTATCAACGACTTCCCACTTGAATTCCATCAGGTACTTCGGATGACAGCACTTCGGTATCGCAGTGGATTATCAAGTGAATTAAGCAAGGAGCTCGTGTTTTATGATCTTTTGAACAATGGAGGTTTCGATTCAACAGGCAAAATGGGATTGGCTGATGATTGGTACTTTTATGACGGTCTTTTGGATAACGATGAAGAGGATGACATTCAAGATGATGAAGTGGTCGAAGATCAGGTCGATGAATCTACAAGTGAGCGTTGGAATCTGGTGGATGTGATGCCATCGTTTGGACGACCCAATGGTGAAAGCGAAAGTATCTTCCAGTTTGGCGCCACAATGATTGGTATGATGGAATCGCTAGGGGGACGTACAGTCATGGGCAGTATCGCTGGAACAACTTCTGAACCCAATGCATCGGCTTCTCCTTCCTCTTCACAATACCCATCACCACAACGAAGTCAAGATTATCATCCAAAACATGGTGTAAAAAGATATATGTAATTCTCATAACATGTTAAATATCCCGTGTTAAATGAATACATGTTTACCAATAAGCTGTAACTTTTGGATATTATGGAAATTGATCGTACTTTACAATGGAAAGGGGTTTCTAGATGAATAATGGTGTCTAAACAGGGTAACAAGGCGCACAGCAATCATTCTTCCGTTTCCAATGCCCTATCTAATTCCTCTTTCTCCCCTGGTTTTAAGACAAATTCAGATCCACCCAACATTCGTCGTAGCCGTCTCGTCTGTACTGGAACTATTTCATGCAGTCTATCGGAAAACTCTTTAAACTAGACACATGCATATTAACAAACGCTGCATACATATACACTACAATGTATCTGCACTTACATTACCCACATCAAGCCACCATCCCACTGCGAGTGACAAAGCACCAGCCCCCGTCAACGCCAACAACGTTCCGTATCCAAGTGCTTTGAAGGCAAAGAATCTCGCTTGTCGCTTGGATACTGCATATTCTTCCGGCGTCATTGAGGGTGGTATCGGTTGCTGATTTACTGCTCGTTGTGGTTGAAGTTGTGGCGAAACGGTAGATTGTTGTAATGATGGATAAGGGGTTGTAGCAATAGTATTGTTCATGGAGGCTGATGCCGCTTCTTTCGCTTGTTTGCGTTTAGTATGCCAGACTGCCCCTCCCAGTCCTGCGACAAAAGCTGCTGCTGCTCCTGCAAGAAGACCTCGTGTTTCTAGCTTGTTGGGTTCGCTCTGATCTTTGGTAGACATTTGGAGTTTTTGATATGAGGTTGAATAACGGAAGACAGAAGGTTCAGGTGGCTTACTAAGGACTAGAGTTGCACCATGTCAAATGCACCATATTTTATTCAAACCGCGATAGCGTACCACCAGGTGGTGCTTGATTGCTGATATCAATGAATTGGATCGTCACCGCTGCTTGTATTCGAGTACGCAGGCATACACGCATACCATCACTAAGAGTAGTCTGGCAACGACAAGTCTCTTTTCTACCGGGCATGCGCTTAAGAGTACCGCGTACTACTATCAACCACAACCTTGTTCTTATTTTTTTGTTGATATGACCTTCTCCGTTAGCACTGAAATGCTTTTTCGTATCTAATACCCGTCTGCCTTGAATATTCGCGTTCATCATAGACACAGGTTATCATCATCGCTCGCATAGACGATTAAATATGGGGACCATGGTTGAATTACGTTTGGAATGGTTCTATTTACTTTACCTACAACCCCTCTTTGCCTATGATGGGTGAGCTGTGGCGCTGCAGCTCATTCGACTTTGTATTCTAAGACGCTTGACCACTGTGTCACTTCAATCCGTCACGGCTTCCTGTAGGAAACAATTCCCACGCTTAAGCACATATAAACAAGCCTGTCGACGCTGGATCACTCTTCGGTCTGATTTTCTAATATGCTTGATCACTTTATCAGTCTAAATCCTTTTTTTTCTTGCACCGACACATTACTCGGTTGTTGAAGATGTATCAGCTCCATCATCTTCGACCCATATAGTGGTATTCTAGATCGAATAGTAAAAGACCGCCATTTCATTTAAAAATGATACATAAGTTACATGTGTTTTTTATTTGGGCGATAGATCCCTGACCTGTTGCCACATGTGTTCATTGCCATGATGAGATATTCACAAGATTATGCTGTATTTGCAAATCATAAGGTATGTATGTACATGACGGGACATTAAAATAACTACTAAGGTATTTCACGGTTCTTCATCTCCTATCTCATCATCATCAAATGGATCTTCTCGCAGAACATCATCCTTGGTTACGTATACTTCATTGATGCCTTGGCTTACAATTTGTTTCATCCAATATGGGATCGGTGGCTCAATAAGACCGTGAATCAACATTCGTTTTATGCCGTCCATGACGTTCGTACCATAAAAAGAAAGGTCTACCCGTAAATTCTTCTCGTTCTCGGATTTGTCAGCGGCGTCCTCTGGTACGGTGAACATGGGAGGCTTTTTCAACTACAAATGAACAACTTGTATGTCAGGTCATCTTCCTTTTTTTGATGTGTGTTAAGTGAAAGTCGTCAACGGAAGTCCTTACATGAATATCCAATCTGCGTATCCCTTCAACTACCTGAGGACCGAAGGTATCGCTTGCATCATCCTCCCGACTTTCGATAAGCTGTCTGTTGATTGGTATAATACGCCTCTTTTGCTCGCGTGATTTCACATATTCTTCTCGTTGCGGGCGTTTCAAAGTCTTATGTGAATAATCAAGTGGGTTGGAATCGACCTGATCAAGACGAAACCGACTGAATGCTCCCAGTGATTCTTTGTTGTGTAGCAATTCAGAGAGATGGTGTATACTTTTGCTCGATATGTTGTGAAACTTTAGCGACTTGGCTTGGAATGTTTTCAAAAGAGCTTCCTCAATGAATAGAGCCACCGTCTTGTTCAAGGCACCACGTACGGCAAGATATGGTGTATCAGGAAATCGTAGATAATAAGCGGTCATTTTTGGCATGGGGTATTGTCTATCATGGCGATTCTCAAATAACATAATCCTTATCCAATCTGCAGGTTCCTTTGGATCAGGCATGGTCATCACATGCTACACATAAACCAGTTTGTTAATATACTCAAATACCTTATCCCATCCGTATCTTACAGCTTTGAAATACTCAGAAAGTGCTTCTTGGATTCGGTTTCTGGCTGTTTTTGCATCAAGGGTCTTCAAGAGTCGTCCAGGATTATCCGAATCTGGATATGTTGTTAATGACAGCGTACAAACATACATATATAAAGGTTACTGTTGCCTACTAACCATCCTTTAACTCAATCAGTCTCCAGGATACTGTGGATGCTCGCTTGGATAACGCGCTTTTAAGGTCAATGTGAGCAAGTTGATATGCAGTAAGACCTTCAGGCTGTCATAGAGAGTGTATTAGAGCTTGAGACAGCATACATTAACCCTTCATACCCAGTCAACCCATAATCGCTCAGTGATCCTCTGTTTGCTTTGATTCCCTAGGAAACCATTGGCATCCCAGTTTTGCGTGGTCGGGCGTAGTTCTTCTTGTTGGTACCATTGCTTAATACAATCTATTATGTCGTCTTTCGATGCTTGACGAATAATGGTCTCAACACGTTCACTGTAGCTTATACGGTATAAATCAGCTTCGCTCAGGAACATTGTTCATTCACGTAGTGAGGGAAGAAGGCTTTTCCATTGTTGGCCCGCCAGTGCCGCTTGTATTTGAACACCGCTTTAGCCCTCCCTTGCACAGCCATGTACAGTATTCGATGGTGATGGTTGTATATGTTTGATAGATTGCACAAATAATGGTGGTTACTGCAATTGAGTAACGTTTAAAGAATTATACTTCTTATATGTTGTATGGCATCGGACATACTTGTGGTTACATTTGTAGGCAAAACACAACCTCAATATGATGGGGACTTTGGGACTCCTTTGCAGGTGACATAAGTACATGGAAGGTGGATGCTGCGCGGAACTCACTCGCAGACTGGAAGGTAAACCACTGTTCATTTTTAATACATGTCAATATTAGCATGCTGACTCTTGGAAAAAGGGGATCAAGTCAACGATCTGAAGCAACAAGTTCCACTGGACCACCAGTGTCTCTAACATGTAAATGTAAGGGCCACATGCATTAAGAAAAAGATAAAGCTTTGTTAATGATTTGTGTTTAATATTATACATATGAAGCGTACGAACGACGATGATAGCTCGGTGCAATCATCGTGGAGGAGTGCCGAAGCGCACAAACGGCGAAAGCTCCTTAGTATGTATACGAGCTTCAGCTATGGCGGTACATAGGGGTCGGCACAAGATCTCGAAGGCCTGAAGCGGCTTTGGTACTTGACATCGACCTAATGTCTTTGTCAGAGCAAGCGAACAGCAGCAGCCTATTTCGCTAGATTATTTTTTTGTGTAAAAAGTGTAGACTTTATTGATCAGAAAAGGGAGTAGGAGGTACAAAGGATGAATACAGTAAATCAGATTGAAGAGTGTCTAAGACAGTTGCGGTTATCCATGCTTGGTCGTCGATCCTGCATCTCCAATGATGCTGCCATAGCACTGCCACAATACAGCCCAGACGACGTAAAACATTGTCACACAAAGGGCGATTGCGCCTTGACAAGAAAGTGGTGAGAGCTTGCCAGACTAGGTCCTGGGTGGGAAAGATAGGATCCAGCTGCAAATATTGTAAAGCTGCCCGCCAAAATGGTCGTTTAGTGGAACAGCTCACAAACATGTGCTTGATATCCTCCTCCTCAATCTTGCACAGAGGGCAAACAGAGTCGTCAACATGTTGAAGTTGAAAGCGGTGGCGTTTTTGTTGTGTTGCTATACAATGTTGTAGAAGTCTCCACCAAGGGGTCAAAGCTTTGTGCGGTAGTGATAAACGCCAAAAGCGCCGCCAAAAAGACTGAGGGTAGGTGAGGCTGCGTGGTACTGATTCAGTAGGCCTTGATGTATCATCGTTGATGTGTTGCCAATAAGGGTGCCAATACAGACGTAGCTCAGAGAGTGAGAGGTAAGGCACGTTACGGCGTTTGGTTGGCGAAAAATGAAATTCCCAATGCGTCAAAGTGGGAAGTGTATAAAAGACGGGCTGATAGGTGATCATATCAGGTGGAGAGGTGTGAGTCGGAAAGTGGAGTCGAAGTTGCGTTGAATCATGGCCTTTGACAGAGATGATGCATGGTGCCAATGTAGGGTCAAAACTGGAGCGAATCTGTCGTATTGCCTTTCTTGATGGTGCCGTTGGTGAAAAGAATAGTTGTTGTTGTCGTAAGTCCCAATGAACAAGGTCTGAGAGGAGATGTTGTAGACTCAGCGTTTTTGGTGGTGATCCTGATGTTGGAAACTTGAAAAAACGGAGCGGCACATCGAGAAACCATCTTGCAGACCAGCTGCTTGAAGGTGTTAATTGCGGAAGGCGACAGAGGACTTTCCCAAGGTGAGCCATGTGTGGAGCCAATTTGAGGCACTGATGGACTTGACTTGGAAAAAGAAACCATGGTAATAAAGATGAATGACCAGTAAGCAGTTGATAGTATCTCACTATCCATGGCGTTATGAAATCAGATGGGCGTGGAGAATCACACATACGTTGGAGGTATATGAGATGCAAAGCTTGACTTTGGTCAATTATATCGACCACTCCAACCCCTCCGTATCTACGTGGTAGACACAAAGTAGCCCAGGCGGGTTTAGGCCAAAAAGGTGCTATGAAAGATAGCACTATCGATTTCATGTCAAGTAACCACTCATGCGGCATTGGTGTGACCCGTAGAACATGCCACAATCGAGACAGAAGTAGTGAGTTAGCCACAGTGCTAGCACCCCGTAAAGATAGACGACGTTCCTTCAAGATGTTGGCATGACGAAGTAACTTAAGCTTGAGAGAATCCAAGAACGAGGCGAGTTGATTCGCTGTGTGGTATAATGGGTACCCCAAATAGCGTACAGCGTCTGTGCTTGTGGCGTCGTGCCATTGTGCTCCATATGTTTGCGCAATTGGTTGCCAATCCGTGTGTGCTGTGCCAGATAGAGACATCAAGATGGTTTTACTCAAATTGACTTTGGCATTGGAGGCAGCTCCATATCGTTGTAACAGGTCCATAAGGATAGGCCATTCTCCCGTATGTGATAAGAAAACTTCCAAATCATCCGCATAACTAAGAAGTTTGATCGCTGGTGGTGCTGGCAAGATATTGCGTAGTGGATGAGGTGTGGCTCTGGTTGATGAGCGAGATGGAATTGAAGCAAGAGAGACACCAGATAGTGGACTAGCCAATATAGATCGCAAAAGTGGTTCGAAAACAATGTTGAAAAGCAAAGGGGAGAGAGGATCGCCTTGTCTTAACCCCCTGCTTTGTGTAAATGGCTTACCGAGATGACCATTGATACTCACATGTACTTGGGTGTTGAAAAACAAGCAAGACAGGCTTTGGATGATACTCGGCGGAAAGCCGAAATGCGCCATAACTCTGCGTAAATACTCCGGATGTACACGGTCATAAGCCTTTTCTTGATCGAGAAAGACTGCCACTGTGGGATCCATTTTGCATGCCGTGCTTTGGTTGTGCATTATGACTTGATTAATCCATCCATTATCCGAGATCAAACGGTGTGGCATAAAGCCCGTTTGGTATGGATTGATAAGTTTTGGTAATACTTGGTTGAAACGATTGGCCAGCAGTTTTGTGAATAGCTTTGCATCCGTGTTAATTAGAGAGAGTGGGCGCCAGTTGCGTAGTAGCTCAGGATCTCCTTTCTTAAAAAGAAGAACCATGCGTGTGTGAGACCATGATGGTGGAAAGATACCTTCCATAGCTTGGCGAATGATAGTGAGCAACAGATGGCGGAGACGGGGTGAGCGAGGTACGAGATGTTTGTAGACTTCGAAAGGAATGCCATCAAGACCAGGGCTTTTGCCAGCTGGTGCGTGATCCACAAGGTCTAAGATGTCTTCGGGATGTGGCAGTGCGATAAGCTCCTTCGAGTCTTCAGCTGAGAGTGTAACCGTGGATGGAATGTTTTGCAGCAAAGAATCCATGGCCGATAAATCAACATCCTCAGGTGTATATAGTTGGCTATAGAACTTGCGTGTCTCCTTGATTATATCATGGATATCCGTGAGTACCCCATCAAAATCAGAACCCTTCAAAGCTGTAATAGTATGTTGGGCCTGTCGTTCTCTGATCACCCGAAAGAAATACTTATTGTTCCTTTCCCCCTGTTCATGCCAACGTGTTGCCGAGCGAAGCATCGTTTGTCGAGTGTCATGCTGAATCAAAGTGTCGATCTGTTGTTCAATTGTGGCCAAATCTTTGTTCGTTGGGTTGACCAGGAGTTGTTGTCGTTCGGCTTGCAGTTTAGCAATACGAGTGCGTCTATGTGCTGTTGAACCACGTGATTGTCGCTGTGCTGTGTATTTGAGAAGCCTCTTCAAAGATTCCCATTGCTCTTGAGGAGTAACATCGGGTGTCGAGTCGATAGTTTCAAAGAAGCTTGCCACATTATGATCCAGAAGAGTGACAAATTTCTCATCATACAGCATAGATGGGTTGAACCTCCAGCTACCACGGCCAAAGTCTTGTCGTACTGGCAGTAGGTCGATGGTCAGCAAACAATGGTCCGTCAATGACGTAGGAAGAAAATGTTGATTTGCATTGGTTACTCGAGTCATCATGGAATGGTGGCCAAAAATATAGTCGATCGTGGAGCGAGAGTCACCCCTTTGAAAAGTAGGTGGTAACCCTGCTGGCATGCAATTATCGAAATGTGTGCGGATCCAGTCATACCAAGGCTGTATGGCTGGTGAGCCGGTGACTGTAGGATCGTGCAAGTGGAGGTTGAAATCCCCAAGCAAGAACCAGGGACCACCATCTACCTCTTGAATGAAAGGTAACGAGAGGAAGGATCGTAGAAAATCTGGACGAGCTGTGCGTGTAGCTGGAATATAGGTGTTGATAATATTGCATACAAGATGTTGTTGTGGATCCAAGACCGATGCGACAATAATTCGCTCGTCCATGGAAACAATGGCATTTGCCAGTGTGAGATCTTGACGTAGACATACAATCGCTGCATGTTTGGTGATGATTGATGAGCGATTTGGAAACATGGAAGTAGTAAAGGAGTGGACTTGTTCCTCAGTGATATGAGGATGTGAAAAATTAGTGGCGGTTTCTTGGAGACAGAGAATATCGAGGTCGTGTGAAGTACGTAGGTCATAAATAAAGGAGCGTTGAGTGGTTGGTGTATGCTCTTTGAAAATGCTGCGAGCATTTAAAGAGCCAATGCGTATAGGTCTATTAATCATTGACCCTTACGGGCGATGTCGCTAGTAGGTGGTGGTGATGGTACCACCGGATCCAACTCCAAATCGAAATTTTGGCCTACACGAGGGCTCATGCTCGGTTGCTTATTCTTGAGAATCGAACGTTTGCCCGTGGAGGTTCTTGTGGCGGTAACCAAATGCACCTCCTCCGCAGGTTCTTCCTCATCCAGCTTCATCCTTGTTGCCTTATCATATGGTGCATGTTTCGATGAGTTGATGCTAAACTCAGGGTCCACATCATCCAGTCTACTCTTCTTAGGAACTTCGTCCATCTCAATATCTTCATCCTCCTTCTCTACTTCCTCGTCTATCGTAGCTTCGGTGTCTGAGAGATCATCATTAACACCCTTTTGATCTTCTGTATCTGAAATCACAGGCTCAGAGGTTGCCTTTGTTGTCTGATCCACATCCTTGACTGGACGTTGTGTTTCTTGTTCAGTCTTCTGAGACTTAGCTTGCTCATATAGATCGATAGCTTGTGTGTCTGTCACTTTTGCTTTACAGAACTTTCGTGTGTGGCCTGCTACACCACATTCGAAACACACACGCCGAGCCAACTCTGGACAATTGTTACGAATGTGCCCAGCTTGTCTGCAATAATAACACACCGGTGCAGCGCCTTTGAAAGAGGCTGGTGCGAACGTATCCCAGGTCTCCAAATAAAGCATGCGTTGTAAAGGCTGTGCTTCATGATGCTCTCCTTTTGAGTCTTCATATCCCTCACTGGGATCAATCGTCACAGTGAGTTGACCTTCGAAATATCCATCATACAGAATACGGCGGATCTGGTAAACCTTGCCATAATAGCGGAGTGATGAAAGCAAACCATCTCGGATGGCTTGGTCACTGTCGATGTGGAGTAGGCTGAGCTGTACTCGAATCAAAGGGTTTTCTGAGCCAGATACAGTGGGAGATGCTTTGTAAATGACCTCATTCACAGTGATACCCTCCTCAATGGCCTTCGTGGCATGGTCTGGGTTGACGAATTTTGCTTCGATCAGCATATCTCGGCGAGAACGGACATCATATGCGCTAATATGTCGAAAACCCTGCACTTCGCCGATTTGCGATTCAATCTCAGCATAAGCCTTACTGCGTCGTTCAAAGGCAAGGTGAGGCAAAGAAAACAGAACAGATTGAGGAGTCAAAGCTTGCTTGACAAGGGCTGCGGCTTTGCGAGAGAGCTGTTGCCGAGTGAATTCTGAATGCTCATACAAAATGTCAGATGTCATGGTGCCATCGCGAGGTGCTCGTGAAGGTGTGATGACCTTCATTCCGGCACCTTTGGCCACGACTTGGCTCCATTGCAAGGTGCCAGTGGTGGTCATGTCGAAATTGGAGATTGGAGGATTTGCTGATGAGCTCGAGTGTCGAGATCGTCGATCGTCGAGATCGCAATGAGATGTCAAAAATAAGGTGTTGTCAAAATTTGCTCTTTGTGTAACGTAAACAATACACGGAAGAGCCCTCATTTCGCTAGATTATGCAAATAGTTGTCATCAATCATGGTGAACAATAAGACATTCGTTTTCCTTTGTGCTTATATATGTTGGTCTATCTATTACATATCAAATGTATAAATGCTAAGTTTGCAAAGCTCACGCCGCACCCACTTCCATTTCCATACCAGCAAGGTACGAAATCTCGTCCCGCGAGAAATTATGCCGACCCACACCGCCTAGCTTAATCACACCTGCAGTGGCCGTACAGAAAAAGATGCCTCTAAGCCATAACTTTACAATGGAGCACGGGGCTCTTATTAGAACAAAGTTGTCCGGCGTGGCTGGAAGTAGCTAGTGAGTAAGTTTCAGGTTCGTGGTGGGCAATCAGGGATTTAGCGAATGTCGCCATCAGCCAAAAAAAAATTTTTTTTGGTCGTCGAAAAAAAAGTGATGGAGTGGAGCTGGATGGGGGAATTTTGGGATCGTCGCTGTCGAGGTTGATGTTTACATACAAGAACGTTTCGAGCACGACCAGCAAGTTTTCTCATGACCGGCCACGATTGATGGTTTTGGTGAACTCTATGTTTCTCGCTTTAAGTGGTTCCATGGTCACCTTTATCTTTTTTTTTGTATAAAATGGTCACCTTTATCGACGCACTCAGTCAAATATACCGGCAAAATATAGAGCCGTCTTTGTTACACGAGGCCCCAGACCAAATAAAAAATTGTTTGCATGTCCCCAAACTCAAAAATATTTGCAGCCTCAAAAATTTTGAAGATGGTGGTCGGCTTGATATAGGGGTACAAAACGTCCGGTGGGTAGGGTACAATACGACCGGTGGGTAAAAGTACAATACGTCGGTGGGTTAACCCACCGGCGTTATGTGCGAACTGGGCTGAGCACAAATCGTCACCCGATGGCTGAATATTTAGACGGTTTTCGAGCCTAAAAGGATGCATTAGGAACATTAAGTTCCATTTTTATTAAATACAGCAATATTTAGGGTTAATATGTACACAAGAGCTTCCCTTCTATGGAAATAATGCAATAATGTGAGTCAAAGGAATCCACAAGAGACCTCCTTTCTAGAGTTTAATATCACGTTTAGCGCTCAAAGGTTCCCAAGAAGTAATATATATGAATTTAATAACATCTTGAGGTCACTTCCACTCATTTGATAACGTTTTGGTAGTTTCAAAGAAAGGATTTATTTACAAATAACTGTTTAATGCTGCAAAGCCGACGTAATGTAGGAAATTAGCAATATTAAAAATACTCTTGCCCCGTTGTAGATATCACCGTTGTTAAAGTAAATGAAAAAGATTAGTAAATCGGATACAATACATTGGTTGATTAATTTTTTTTTTTTTGTATTTAAGTGTTGACTTTATTAATCAGAAGGTACAAAAGATTGATATAGAATGTCGGATTTTAGAGTATTGAAAGCGGTGGCACTGATCCAAGGCTCATCATCAATAATGCAACGCCAATGATGTCTCCAGAGTACCGCCAGGATGCAGCCCAAACGAATTAGTACCGAGGGTGGGAGTGGTGAACCATTGGTGGATCGAAGTTGAGTGAAAGCATGCCAGAGGGAATCTTGAGAAGGAAGGAGGCCAAGTAATTGGTAATGTTGTAAAGCGTCTAACCAGAACGGGCGTTTCCTGGGACAATCAACAATCATGTGATATAATGTTTCTGGAGCAGCTTGACAGATGGGACATTCCGTGCTTGGATACTTGCTTGGTTCCCAGCGATGAAGTTTGGTGCGATAGGCAACGCTATCATGAAGGATGCGCCACCAGACCGTGATACTCTTGTTGGGTAGAGAAAGATGCCAGAATTGACGCCAAATAGCAGTAGAAAAACATAAAGAGAAAGGATGAACGATTTCGGGTGGACGTGGTTGTTGAAACATTGCCTTCCAGTTAGGATGCCATATACGTCGTATTTGACCCAGAGAGAGAGCAGGAATATCGCAACGTTTGGATGATGTGATTTGTTGATTCCAATGGGTAAGTGATGGCATCAAGGATGTTGGTGGGGAGTATGGCTGAGGTGGTGGCGTTAGAAGGAGTGTGCGATATAATTTGATGGTGACATGGTTGTTGAGTTGGATTGTAGCAAAAGCATAATCAAGGCGATTCTCATGTAGTTTGTTGACCATCGTGGTAAGGCTTGGGCGGAGTCGATGTGCATGGAATATAAAACAATGTTTGCGAGGATGCCAGCTGACAATATCAGAAAGTAGATAACGGCTTGATAACTTGGGTTTATCCTTTTCTTGTGGTAGGATATTTTGTAGAGGTAGATCAAGGAGCCAACGACCAGACCACTCTGGTGAGATATCCAGTGACGGTAAGCGAGCGATGAGCTTATTCAGGTGAGCCATGTTGTCATCTTTGGCAAGATACTTGGTGAAGCTGGATGGAAAGAGGAACCATGGTAAAAGGGAGGCGTGACCAGTGAGAACTTGGTAATATTTGATGATCCAGGGAGAGAGAAAATCAGAAGAGCGATGGGGGATACATAAGCGTTGGACATATATGAAGTGAAGTGCGAGGCTTTGATCCTCAATATCAATGAGGCCAATACCACCAAAGCGACGAGGTAGGCATAGTGTCGTCCAGGCGGGAGCCGGCCAGAACGGTAAGACAAACTTCTGCACAATAGACTTTACCTCCTTTAACCAAGATTCAGGGGCTGGGATTACCCGGAGAACATGCCATAACCGTGACAAGAGTAGAGAGTTGGCCACCAGACTTGAACCGCGAATCGAAAGATTTCTAGCCTTGAGTATATTGGCATGCCGTGCAATCTTAACCTTGATACCATCCAAAAAGTTCAAAAGTTGTGTCTGTGTATGATACAACGGATAGCCCAAATAACGCACTGCATCTAAGGAGGAGGCATCGTGCCATTGGGCACCATAATCACTGGCCTGAGTCCTCCATGTAGAATTAGCCTGCCCGGAAAGGGGCATGACCACCGTCTTGCTCAAGTTTACTCTTGCGTTTGAAGCTTGCCCATATTGATTGAGTATATCCAGCAGTATTGGCCATTCGTTTGGACATGACAAGAAAACTTCAAGATCGTCAGCATAGCTTAAGAGTTTCACTGGTGATGGCTGGCTCATAAAAGATGCACTAATACAGTCCAGCTGTTGGGTGCTATCCCAAGTAGTATCCGGATCATGCACCATCGTAGGGCTTGGCTGGTCTCGTCGTGTGGTGATTGGTGATAGAGAAACACCTGTCAACGGACTTGACAAAATCGTACGAAGTAGCGGTTCAAAAGCGAGGTTAAAAAGCAAAGGAGACAAAGGATCCCCTTGTCTCAAACCTCGACCTTGTTCAAAAGGCGCTCCAAGCCATCCATTGATACTTATGTGTATTTGAGTGTTGAAAAACAAATGCGATAGAGTCGAGACAAAGGCATCAGGAAAACCAAAGTGGATCAGTGTTCGTCGTAAGTATTCAGGATGAACCCTGTCGTAAGCCTTTTCCTGGTCTAGGAGCACTGCTACCTGGTCCTTGGATGTATTGGATTGGCGGGAATTATGCATAAGTATTTGATTCAACCAACCATTATCGGATATCAGCCGATGTGGCATAAAACCCGTTTGGTATGGATTGATCAGGCGTGGTAGTACAGCATTGACCCTATTGGCAAGCATCTTGGTGAACAATTTGGCATCTGTATTGATCAAGGACAAAGGTCGCCAATTTGCAAGCAACTCCGGATCGCCTTTCTTGTATAGTAGCACCATACGTGTAGAGCACCAAGTTTGAGGAAAGACACCATGGCATGCATCCTGTATAATCGTCAGCAGAAGAGAGCGGAAGCGCATTGACCGACCAGCCAGGTGTTTATATACTTCAAAAGGTATGCCATCGAGACCAGGGCTTTTTCCTGATGGTGAGTGATCCAAAATATCCATCACTTCTCCTGTATGTGGGGTGGCCATTAATTGAGTTCGATCCGCTGTATCCAATTTGACATTGGGTGGAATATTGGACAGTAATCCATCCACAGCCGTAGTGTTGATCTCTTCAGGTGTATACAAGTGTTGATAGAAAGACCGAGCTTCCTTGATGATTTCTTGCGTATTGAATAACACCTCTCCTGTGGTAGTGGATTTCAAAGACTGTATCGTTTGTTGAGCTTGCCGTGTTTTGATTACTTGATAGAAGTACTTGTTATTGCGTTCACCATTCTCGTGCCAGCGAGTGGCAGAACGTAACATAGCATGTTGCGTATTTTCTTTGATGAGCGAGTCGATGTTGTTTTCAAGTACTGCTAATCCAGGTGATGATGGTATAGTAAGGGCCTGTTGGCGCGCCTCCTGGAGTTTGGTCAATTGCTTTTTGCGACGTGATGTTGAACCCCGAGAGAATTGCTGTGCTGTACATTTCAATACTATTTTCAATGATTCCCATTGGGCTTGTGGTGAGGAGGAGCCTTCAGGTGCTGTAAGCTCATTGAAAGGATCAAAGAATAGATTGATGGTCTCATCCAGCAGTTTGACGAAAGTGTCATTGGTTAGCAGAGTGGGGTTAAACCTCCAAGTACCACGGCCTTGATCTTGTCTTGGAGGCAAGAGATCCACAGCCAAAAGGCTATGGTCTGTCCAATCTGGTGGCATATAGTGTAAAGTCGCTTGGGCCAAACGAGTGGCAATTGAATGATGACCAAAGATGTAGTCAATGGTAGATCGGGAATCACCCCGTGTGAAAGTTGACGATCCCTGAGGAAAGCAATTATCAAAGTGCGTCATGATCCATTCATACCATGGTTTGACAGCGGGTTTTTGAATCACTGTCCTGGTGTGTAGGTTCATGTTGAAATCCCCTAAAAGCACCCAAGGATCAGCATTCACCTCACTCACAAAGGGTAATGACAGAAAAGTGCACAAGAAATCTTGACGAACTTTCTGGTCAGCCGGGGCATAAACATTGATGACACGACAGACCGTGTGATGATGCTGATCTTTAACAGATGCAACAGCAACACGTTCATCCATAGAAACCAGAGTTGACTCCAGAGAAAGAGAAGGCCGTAGGCAAATGATGGCAACATGCTTGGTGATGACTGATGAGCAATTTGGAAACATGAAACGAGTAAATTGGTCGAGCTGGGAGGTGGTGAGGTGATCATGATGAGTAAGTGTCGAGGTTTCTTGAAGGCAAAGGATGTCGAGGTCGAGTGAAGATGATTTGAGGTGGTGTATAAAGGAACGACGGGTTGATGTTTTTGACTCTTTGAAAATGCTACGTGCATTTAAAGAGCCTATTCGCATGGGTCTTACTATCATTGTGCCCTACGGGCGGATGATGATAGTTTGTTGGTGGGTTTTGGAACCACTGGTTTCATTATAGCGGCTTGAGATATCTTCATGGTGTCATTATGAAACGACTTTGGTCGTTTCACTAGTGTTCGTTTGATCATTTCTGATTTGGCCCTGGTGGTTTCTTTCACCGTGGATATACTGAGCATTTCCTTCGGATCGTCCACTTTCATGTTGATGGCCTTATCATAAGGGGCATGTTTTGAAGCCAGGATAGAGGTATTGGGATCCCGAACCTCTGTCGTCGACTCCACTTGTTCCTCCTCGGTAACGTCCATATCCCGTTCAAAGTCTTGTTCCTCCGATGCGTCTTGATCCTCCACGCTAGTCTTAGCCTCTTCCATGGCCGTATCATTCACGGTGTCTTCTTGAGACGAATTCTCAATCGCTTCATCAGTACATGAGTCTTGGAGGTATCGATCCAGAAGCTCAGTTTCCGACTCAGTCCCTGCGGGTTGAGGTTGAGGCACCTTAATCTTACAGAAACGTTTGGTGTGCCCAGTTTCTCCACATCCAAAGCAACGGCGTTTGGCTAATTCAGGACATGTACTGCGGATATGTCCTGCTTGACGGCAATAATAACAGATGGGTGCAGCTCCCTTGAAGGAAGCTGGTGCAAAGAGATCCCATTTCTCTAAATACAACATGCGTTGTAATGGTTGACTATCTTGTATTTCGCCCTTTTCATCTTCGTAACCGTGGCTGGGGTCCAAAGTAATCGTGAGTTGTCCCTCAAAGTAGCCATTGCAAAGGATTTGTCGAATTTGATAGACTTTGCCATAAAATCGTAAGGATGAAAGCAGTCCATCTTTGAGTTCATCGCCTGTTGCCATATGCAAAAGGTTTAATTGAACCCGAATCAATGGTTTCTCAACACCTTGGACAGAAGGAGATGCTTTATGCACAATACCATCCACAGTGATTCCATTATTGATGGCAAGTTTAGCGTGATCAGGGGATTGAAATTTGGCTTCAATTAGTAGGTCGCCTCGTGCATGCGTGCTATATAGACTCAGCGGGCGGACAGCAGCTAAAGGTCCAATATCCTTGGCAATGGCATCATAAGCCTCAGTGCGATGAGTGAAGGTCGTTGGTGGGAAAGAGAACAAAACGGAATTGGGTGTAAGAGCTTGGCGTACAATTGCGGCAGCCTTTCTTGCCAATTGCTGATCTTGGTAATCTGGGTGTTCGTACAAGGTCTCGGATGAGAGAGTGGATTGTGCATCGAGATTGCGAGCTCGTGTGAGGACCTTTAGTCCGGCCCCTTTAGCAGCGACCTGACTCCAATTCATAGAATCAGAGTTGGTCATGTTGAGATTTTGCTGATCTCGGATCGCGATGTCGAAATGTTCGAGTGGTTGGTTGTTGCTTCAATGTTTACTCTTTGTGTAACGTAAAAATACACGAAAGAGCCTCACATTGGTTGATTAACCCATCATCTTTAGGTATTCTTTACACCGGGAAAATACTTTACCCACCGAGCGTTTTGTGCTTTTTACTCACCAGACGTTTTGTACCCCCTATTTCAATTTTTTCCATCCCAGCTACTATTTCTACAGGTCCACAAGTTCGCCTGACCCTGGCATGCACTAACATTTACCCGGGTTTTTTGTATATGTATCGTTGGCGTTATACGAAGGCAACGACTCAATGTCTTGGGCTCTTTGCATCCTTTTCTTCCACGTGATCATTGCACTGTTGTTACCAGTTACCATAATTTCTCGCAAGGCGAGGAGACTAAGAGATCACATCCTCACAACTACATGACTTGACTTGCCTCTGACCGCTGTGATGCCTTACTCAAAGTTGTCCTCAAGGACTGTTTTTATAATTGTAAACAAATTTCAGGTCACATTGGTTTGTAGCTTGTCAAGAAACAGAGAAAAAATTCGCTCGTGTAGGGTAAAAGGGACATGTTTCATATCTTCTCTGATCATCTTGGGTCACTAACCAAAGTTGTAGAACAAGTGCAGTTTTATAGTTGAGTTTTCAATTTGAAGGGTGGTTAACATGTAGAATGCTGAGAAATGAGTAACAGAAGATCATATGAGAGTGATCACATCTTCACGTGCTCAAGAGTCAAGAGGTACAGGACTTGAGACTTGACTTGCCTCTGACGACTGTGACGTCTTAATGAAATGTGGTCACAGTGACTGATTTTATAGTAGTAAACAAATTTCCAGGTGCGGTCAACTTGTGACTTGTGGAGAAACAAGAAAAAATTCGCTCGTGTAGGGCAAGGGACATGTTTGATATCCTTTCTGATCACCTTGGGCTACTAACCAAAGTTGTAGAACAAGGGCGGGTTTATAATCAAGTTTTCAATTTAAAGCTAGATTGACATGTAGGATGCTGAGATAATACCAATAGAAGTTTATATGCAAGAGATCACGTGCTCAAGAAGTATAGAACTTAACTTGGCTCTGATGACTGTGACGTCTTAATAAAACGTGGTCACAGTGACTGATTTTATAGTCGTAAACAAATTTCCAGGTGCGGTCAACTTGTGACTTGTGGAGAAATGAAGAAAAAATTCGCTCGTGTGGGGCAAGGGACATGTTTGATATCCTCTCTGATCACCTTGGGCTACTAACCAAAGTTGTAGAATAAGGGTGCTTTTCTAGTTGAGTTTTCAATTTGAAGGTACATTGACATGTAGAATGCTGAGAAAATATTAACAGCAAATCATATACAAGTGATCGGATGGTCATAAAGACCATACTAGGTTTGGCTCTGACCTCTCCGACATAGTGATTAGTGAAGTAGTATAGTCGGCCATGTTTCGCTATCGTTAGCACGTTCCCGATCCGAACTTTTCCCCTCTGACGCTCTGAATCCCTTACGATGGAGCCAAGTTGTGGTATGTGGTGCAATAAATTTTCGAAATCAGCTCTGATTGGCTCGGCGTTCTAATGAAATGTGCGAGTTCTGGTTATAGGGATGATGATATTGACAATCCATGTACTGTTATAGATTTGTTTTTGTGATGACAATTGACTCGTTGTTGGGAATTATGATGAGCTGATAGATTGTTGGAGCCACCTTTCACAGAACCTGGGCATGTGTCCATGCATAATCAGGATCTGCGATAAACAAGGTGACAACAACGGGGTTACGTAAAGGAGCAATGTCTGGGTGTCACTGTAGGTTACTGAAAGAAACGTATCATGATAATTACTAAGCATTAGTCCAGCATCTCTTACATTCTGACAAAGACTTGCATAGTGGGGAAGTCATCAGAGGAGATCGCGTATGTATAGACGCATACACAGTGGGTGTGTTTGGTTTTATTGGATTGTACGAATTCATGCAACATAATTTAAAATTCTTCTTCGGCCTCCACCCGTGAAGCAGATTGGCGGAGCACTTTGACGGTGGCTACACATAATTCGGTCAGTGTGAGGGTTGATCATAGTTATGTGTCATCTAGCAGATTGAAAGACGGCTTACATTGATTAATCTCTGCTTTTGTACGCATTACTCCTTCCTTGTCTGTAAAGTCGTTGTAGCGAAGCGATCCCTCAACATACACCAGGTCCCTATATAAGCGTTTTCTAATGTGACCCTGGTCTTCATTTACGTGCTATGCACACAAGAGTTTTACCCTTTTTTCACTTTTTCAGGAATCCAATCCGCACCACGCCACGATGAGATACGATGCCATTGTGTACGCTTGATCAGATTGCCTGTAGCAAATTACTTAGCATAGTGTCACCAATCGTAAATAGTGACAGACGTCACCTTCTTTATCTGGCCGCGTCTCGGATGTTGCCACAGTGTAGTTGATAACACGTCGTCCGTCACCAATATCGGTGACACTAGGATCTGCACCAACACGGCCAATGAGTTGGACTTTGTTCACTATAAGAGTACTGATTTAGTATGATCCTGTATTACTGTTAAGGTGTGCCTTACAATCAAGACGTGTTGCGCTGCTGGAAAATGGCTTAGGGATATAAAGTTTCGTTAATCTCAGAATGACAATACGCATACAAGAAGTACCCTAATGAGGCGCGAAGAAAGGTGCAAGGATTTGAGAACGTTTGACATGATGCAAGAATGGCGGCTGACGCGTTAGAAAGAAACAAAAGCAATTCGTAAGGCTGGGCGGTGTATCTATAGAAATGTAGCCAATCGGATGCCGTATTCACACCCCCTTCCAGTTGCTTCGATAGGCAGCCTGCTCAAAGCGAAATGTTGCATGACAAAAGCTGTGGGTTACAAAATATAAGGAGGTTCATCTGTACTGAAGATGTTGAGAAGAAGCTGATATAAAATGAGAGGTGTGCCTTCCATTAACCAGACCGATTAAGCTACATTCGCATTAATATTAATACATACTAGGTGCAGAGAGAGCGGGCAGCAAGGTCGACCAACGTAAAATTCTTAATACGCTGGGCTAACTGCGTCAAGTTTATAGCTAGCATCAGTATGATTACTGCATATACAAATGGTATTGGATGTTTACTCGATCAATTGTTATTGCGTTTCTACGTTTACACTCTGCTTCTATATTTACATTCCTACAACATATTACAGAGTATCGGGAATGATAGTGTATCGCAGGTTGTCTACGATGTTAAGCGATGAGACGTACTGGGCGATATTACTTTTCGCTCGCCCACCTAGATATTGCCAGTATCAATTGTTCTGGATTCACAAAAGTCCTTGACTTACCTTACGGCACGATGACACTATGTTATTGGCGCTGATGGTGAAACGGATTTGTTCCTACAATCTGCCCGCATAAACCGATAAAGTGTTAGTTTACCTCTTGTTGAAAGAAGCTTGCATGAACATCTGAAACACAATAGGGTATTCTTATCTTCCTTGTTCTTCTTCCAGTATGAGTGTTCTGTCAACACAAGATATATCCTCCCCTTTGGCTGTGATAGACATGGGATCGAACGGCATTCGCTTTGGCATTGTTAGTGAACTTGCCCGACATTTGCCTGTGACATATGAAGAGCGCGCACCCATCTCATTATTTGATGCCCAAGGAGAAGAGCGTATCATCCCAGAAGATACTATCGAACAGGTGCTTGTCAGTTTTCGCCGATTCCAAAAAATCTGTGAGGAAGCGAATGTGGAGCAGCCTAATAACGTCAAGGTGATTGCGACCGAAGCAACGAGATTGGCAGGCAACGCCCAGGAGTTTCTCAGTCGGATTTACGAAACAACAGGATGGACAGTATATTTGTTGTCGAAGGAAGAAGAAGCAATGATATCAGCAGCCGGAATTGTTGGTAATAAGGAATATAGTTACGTGCTGTGGGTTGTAGCTAATGATGATGTAAACGCTAGGAACCTTTTACAAAGTGGATGGTTTAACAATGGATCTTGGCGGGGGTTCCTTTGAGTTCAGTTACGTGGCATCGAGCAACTCTAGTGTGCAAGAACAGCATGATAGTGAGAGGAACAACATCAAGGTATCGGATACACCAGTGTCACTACCATATGGTGCAGCTGCATTGAAACGAAGGTTGGCGCAATGCACATGTCAGGCCGAACGTCAAGCGCTCCATGATGATATAGTGATTCAAGTACGAGAAGCGGTGAAGCAAATAGGGATTCCAGAGCATTTGCGAAGTGAAAACCAAGGATATACTATCTATATGAGTGGAGGTGGATTCCGAGCACTGGGATACTTGTCAATGGCAAGAAAAAAAGAGTTTTATCCACTGCCAATAATTAGTGGTTATAGCATTAATGGCAATGAGCTCAAGGAGATCGCCAAGCGAAATAAGCACAAAAAGCCTGACAAGGCAGTTAAGCAATTGCGTGGATTTCGTATTTCCAAGCGTCGCGCAGCAATGATCCCAGCCGTGTGTTTCCTTGTTTCGGCACTTGTTCAAGTGATTCCTGTGCGTCAGGTCTTTTTTAGCGAAGGAGGGGTGCGTCAAGGCTTATGTTATACATTGTTATCAAAGGAAGAGCAGCAAAGGGACCCTCTGCTTTCAAGTGTCCAGGCATACGTTAAACAGGCTGAAGCATCATCTACCGATCGAGCTCTATCAAATGAAGAATTTGATGCTATATGGAATCTACTCAAGAGCGCAGTACCTGGCTGTTATCTCGATCCAGGGCATCCCCTCCAACTACATCGTCTACTGCCAGCTGCGATTCATTTATCTAACATAACATCCCATTATCCTAAAGACACACGTGCGTTTGTGGCGTTTCATATGCCCCTCGCGAGTGGTTCATTAGCTAACGTGCCTGGCATCTCTCACATTGAGCGTGTAATTCTTGCACTGCTGCTTGCATATCGTCAAGGCGGACAAGTACCGGATCCAACTTTTAGAACAGCTCAGCACATGGTGGGATCCCGAGGTACTGCCGTTTGCCGCTTTTTGGGCCGTCTTCTTGAACTTTTGTTTTTGATCTCACCGCTATCTCCAGGCAGTGGAGTAATCGAAAGTGGAATACAATTCTCTACAGAATGTACAAGCAATAATAGTGCATCTTGTACTCATGATGATAGTAACAACAAGTTTTACCCCAACACACATCTCAGGATCCATCTCCAACCCAGCACACATGACTGCCCAATGGTCGAGGCTCCTTCTGTTCTATCCATCATTGAAGGAATGGAGCAACGTATCAACCCAAAATTCGATATGGATGAAGAACAGCGTGCTACGCTTACAAATCTCTTTTCGGTCTCTGTCGTTCGTCTGCCATGAAACATTCCCCAAGATCTTCATTAATATGTTATTGAGCCCTACCTGCCTGATCCATGATACGTGAACTTGTTAGTCAAACAAAAGTTTTCTCGCTTAGCTTGCCTGTAAATCTCATATATACACTGCTCTGCCTAACTGGCATTGAGAATAAAGCCTCAGGGTAATACAACATGAGCGATTTCAAGTAGTACTATGTACCAATGTATAAGTAGTTGTGCGACTGACCAATTTGTTTATCTCATTGTAGGGATAATTTAACGTGATGGGATAAATGCTGATCAAACAATGCTAGTCTCTGTCACATGAGGAAAGCTCACCGTGAACTGGTATATTGTAACAGTAATGATCAACTTGGTTCGGGAGAAAATGAGGTATATCTTTGTCTTGCAAACTCCGAAGATAAACCTGAATTAACCATCGGTTTCGTTCCTGAATACAACTTTCATTTATGTCAGTCTTCACAGTGTTTCGTCGCAGTTTATTGCAACGTCCTGTTGCGATCCAACGTTGGAAGTCATTCCACAGTACAGCTCATGTTTTGGCTCCCAAGGTGATTGCTACGCGTGTTTTGCCACAACAATCACAAGCACGTCTCCTCTCCGAAAACTTCGACTTGACACAATGGCAACAAGATTGTCTCATGCCCCGCGAAGAACTCTTGAAAAAAGTTAAAGGTGAGGCTATCATATGAGATCTTAGAGAAGATGAGATAATTGACTGATGATCAACAGGCGCGGAGGGGTTGCTCTGTGTTCTCGGTGATAAGATTGACAAGGAAGTCTTTGAAGCTGCTGGTATGTGGGGTACTTGACGAATAGATGAACCTATCTAACTGATAGTAGGACCGAGCTTGAAAGTGGTGACTACAATGAGCGTGGGTTACGACCACATTGACCTTGAAGCCGCTAAAGCTCACAACGTCAAGATTGGATATACTCCCGATGTGTTGACCGATGCTACTGCAGACTTAACGGTTCTCTTAACTTTAGCAGCAGCACGGCGGATGAAAGAAGTAAATTTGACGTTTGTATCAAAATCAACAATGATTAAATTTCAAATGTATCTCTTGCATATAGGGCATGCGTGCTGCTGAAACAGGCGAGGTATGTATCCAAGACATTTTGTTCCAAGTACAGGGGATTGATAGCGATTTAGTGGCGTGAATGGCGGCCAAACTGGCTCTGCGGATATCAATTCGCAAACAAGACTCTAGGTGTTGTCGGTATGGGAAGAATTGGTCAAGCAGTCGCAGAGCGTCTCCAAGCTTTCGGTGTGAGCAGAGTGCTTTACTGGGGTCGCAAGGAAAAACCAGAATTACAAGGAAAAGCCGAATTCTCTTCATTTGACAGACTCTTGGCCGAGTCAGATTACGTCGTAGCATGTTGTGCGTTGACTCCTGAGACCGCCGAAATGTTTGATTATGATGCTTTCAGCAAGATGAAAAAGACAGCCGTAAGTCTGCTACATTTCGATCCTGATACAAGTTGTTCTCTAAATAATTGGTCTAGATCTTTGCCAACTCTGCTCGTGGCGGCGTAGTCAAGCAAGATGACCTTGGTATAAACAAGAAAGCCCGGTATGACTCCCATATATTAACATAATGTCATAGTACGTGCTCTTCAGGACAATGTAATTGCAGGAGCGGGTTTGGATGTTACTACACCAGAACCACTTGATACGGATCATCCGCTTTTTAAGCTTGCCAATTGTGTGATCTTGCCCCACATCGGTAAGTAGACGAGGCATAGAGGTAGTGGCAGTAGTGCTTACACAAAGACATTCAGGGAGCGCCACAATCGAGGCTCGCGAGGTGATGGGTGATATCTGTGTGGATAACATTCTCCAAGGACTGAAGAAGGAGCAGCTACGATGCGAGCTCAAGTTCTAATGTCCCCAACTTATTCCACTAGGGGCACGGGACTTTTTCCCTAGGCCATATTCTACCACGTATCCATTTTTCACATTCGCTATGTTTTAGGGGTATGGACTTTAGTACGTTGTTCAAGCTAGATACATTAATTGAAGCGTATTGATGTTACTCTATAAATGTTCCTCGTTCAACTGATATAAATAATCAGAGTTTATGCTAACACCTAACAACGGCAGTAGATCATTAGACAAACACAGTGTAACCGGTAGCCTGCTAGTTGGGTGCAGAGAACTCGACTTTTGATTGGCTGGGAGGTTGTAATAGGCCCAATAGTTGAAGGGGCTATGCAACGGTAGATTCTCCACGATATCCTTTTGTTCCTTGAGACTTTCAACGATAACACTACCCAAGATCAACTTCCAGCAGAATTCAAAGCTTGATCCACTTGTAAATTTTTTGTCACTGTGAGTACTGGTGAATATCTTTATGTAGTTTCAACACTGAAAAGAAAATTGGTTCATCAGGCTAACATACACCGTCATCCTATTCGATCGGGTGATTCTGTAACTGCTTTATTCAGCACTTGTATTCCAAAACCATTGCTGAAACTTATATTCCATAAACCGGGGTTCGCTTTTTCATAATGTCCAGCACTACCACGACGACGCCAGGGAGCAAGCACGAGCAGCGACCAGCAGCTGTGCCTCTGGTATCCTCGCTTCATCAACGTACAGCTCCTGGACGCAACTCGTTTGCAGCTACCGACGTCATTGCTGCTCACCGTATCAAATCTGAGCTTACTTGGTATCAACTTGTACATGCCGAAATAATAGGTATGAAGGAAAGAGCTTGAAAGAGGGAATGTACATTATCTCTATGTGTATACTCATTGCGCACGGACCCGTTCCTAGCTGTGACAAGTGCTATGCGGAAAAACGCTCGGTGGTCTGGGATGAACGTGAATGGTCTTAATATGGGAGGACTTGGCATGAGCATGGGCTTGCGTAAAGGACATGGTGGCAACAGTGAACTGCATTCCCGTAACCAAGTGAGTGCGCGGTCAATTGCCAAGATATCAGACAAATTGATTTACTCTTGTACTTTCATCAAAGGAGAATCCATTAATGGGTGGATTTGCCAGTTTGAGAGAGTATTTAAATACTGTTCAAGGTAACGTGGATGCAGATGATGGATTAATAGTGCGAGAAAAATTAATAAGGTTCATAATATGTAGAAGTTGAGGATCTCGATGCTTTGCTGCTGTTGAATCCATTTCTGGAAGTCATTCGATCTGGCAACACAACTGGTCCGATTGCAGGTACAGCTCTTGGGAGCATTGAAAAATTCTTACACTATGGCATTGTTGGTAAGTATATCGGATGATAGTAAACCAAACACATCCATGTAATGTTGTGTTATTGTTTCGGGCAGGTCTTCGCAATCCAAGTATCGCCTTTGCTATGAATGCACTCTCATCAGCTGCCACCCACTGCAAGTTTGAAGCTTCCGATGCTGCCTCTGACGAACTCGTTCTTTTGCGTATGCTGCAGGTTCTGGAAATGGCATTGACAAGCGAAAGCGGCCAGGTGCTTAGCGATGAAGCCGTATGTGAAATGATGGAAACAGGACTCAGCATGTGCTGTCAAATGCGTTTGAGTGGTAATGGCATGGAGATATACTTCCATTTGATAATGGCATGGTGTAAACGACAAAGAATGATGATAATTGCTTACACAAACGATATATGATAGAAATGCTTCGCAGGTCAGCAGAACATGTTATGATCAATATGGTGATTGCTATTTTTGAAAGGTCAGTATGTCATGTGAATCGACACGACGTGATGGATGCCTGGCTAACGGACTGTGACACAACATAGATTAAAAACACTGGAAGACGAATGGGTGTACATTGATTCGCCAACTTGTCGTTCAGAAAACATCGACGCTGCCAGCAAAGATATCAATAAAGGTGCCCCGCATATGAGCACACCAAGGCAGTCTTCATCACCGACACTTTCTACAGAACAGCAACCATCATCAACCACGGTTAACAAAGAGTCAATTGACGTGGAAAACGACCTTGCTGAAGGAAACACTGATACTACGGAAGGAGCAGCATCGAAGCAGAAAGAGGAGCACGAGGATGAAGAAGAGAAAGAAAATAATGAAATTATAGGTATTGCATATATGCACAAGTGGATTATCCATTTTGCTTACTCTTAAAGATAGAACCTGCACCTTTGCGTCCATACGGTCTCCCTGCTATTCGAGAGCTACTACGGGTTTTGATATCTCTACTTAATCCGCATGAACATAAGCACACGGATTCAATGCGTCTGATGGCATTAAGCATTCTCAACGTCGCATTCGAAGTGGGAGGGAAGAGCATTAGTCGTTTCGAGATACTCAGGAACCTGGTGGCAGATGATTTTTGCAAATATTTGTTTCAGGTATGGAATGAACGAACACATAAAAAACAGCATATGGCTGACTTGTGATTACGTGTTAATAAGTTGGCGAAAACGGAATCCACGCAATTATTGAGCCTGACACTTCGAGTTATTTACACTGTCATGGATACCATGCGGCCGTATCTCAAGCTGCAACAAGAACTCTTCCTTTTCTTTTTGATTGAGCGATTATCTCCAGCTAGCGGGGTGGGTAGCAGAGCAATGGTGATCGACATGGATGACGAAGGCAATATATCATTGGTTCACTCTTCTGGAAAAGATGGCAATGATGTAAAAACGAGCACCGGTCATGTCGATGTACGCAGCGGATCACCTAATATCTATGGGAAATCCAACAAGAATCAGAGTATTGACCGCAACACATCTCCAGAAGTGCGCGAATTACTTCTTGAATGTCTGCTCCAGTGCTCTCGAATCCCGACGTTTATGGTAGATCTTTGGTATAACTATGATTGTGACCTTTCATGCGGGGACTTATTTGAAGAAGCTATCCAATTCCTAAGCAAGGTATTTTATCAAATCGTTCAATGCTGATGCCTAAGTATGTTCCATTGTTAACGGTCTTTTACGTCATAGAATTCATTCCCTGATCCAAATGGGTATCCAGCTTTTGATTCTCATTTTCTATGCCTCGATACACTGTTGATGTTTATCGATCAGATGGTTGAGCGGACAAATACAGATGTAACGTAGACATTCATACCGAGTCGATAGTTCTGGTCGCTAATCAAGGGTTTCTAGATCAATACTGGTTCCATCCCAAAGGTGTGTTGTATACCCTTTGTGAACGTACATGTATATGTGTGCTGACGTATTCTTAGTCTTTTATAGACCCAGAAGAACTTATGACACGAAAGGCAAGAAAGCGATTAATCTTGAAGGGTGCATCTCTGTTCAATGAAAGCCCCAAAAAGGGAATTCAATTTCTTTTGGGCAAGTATTGGGTGTAAGAGACTAATGGTGGCGTTCTACCAATAACTTACAACACCTTACAGAAAATGGCATTGTTGTGCCCGATGAAGATGGTGATGTGAATGTCAGCCTTGCTCGTTTCTTGGGTACAACCCAGCAGCTCAACAAGAAGAGTCTTGGCGAATATCTTGGAAGACCGGAAAATCTATCACTGCTGCAAGTGTTTATGCGACAATTCGAATTTTCAGGAGTACGCTATCACTGCTGAAGCTGTGGATGCAAATACATTGTCATGATGCTTACTAATTATCCAATATAGAAACGGATGGATGAGTCACTTCGAATTGTGCTGGAGACCTTCCGCCTACCTGGTGAATCACAACAAATCATGCGAGTAGCCGATACATTTGCAGAAGTGTTTTTTGAGACCAACCCGGTGGAGATAGCAAATTCGGAAGCTGCACAGGTTCTCGCATATTCTATCATCTTGCTCAATACAGATCAGCATAATCCTCAAGTCAGGGTAAGTAGAATTACGCTGCTTAATGGTTTTGAACATTAAAACGTGAACATGGAAACAGAAACGTATGACCCTGGACGATTACATGCGAAACCTACGAGGCGTCAATGGCGGTAATGATTTTTCAAAGGATTATTTGGTAAGCAAATCGAAAGTTTTTTTGGAGAATCTATTATATTGATCAGGGTGGTATGTTGCTTCGTAGAGAGCTATATATGAGACCATTCGACATGATGAAATTGTTATGCCGGAAGAGCACGAAGGACGACTTGGATTCAACTACGCCTGGAAGCAACTTCTTCATCGCGCAGATTCCTGCGGATCGTTTGTTGTTTGTGATACAACCGCGTACGACAAGGATTTATTCCGATTAGCATGGAAACCTGCATTGGCTGCGATTGCTTATGGTTCGTGTGACAATTTAGAGAGATGTCTCGTCGACATATCGCCTAATGGCATATATCATGTAGCATTCGATACTGCCCAAGATGACAGTACGCTTCAAAAGGCCATCTCAGGATTTCATCAATGTGCTATGCTTTCTGCTCATTTCCAATTACACGACGTGTTTGATGCGATTGTTATTAATCTTGCTAGCATGACTGGCTTGATCGAAAAGACGAACAGCCGAAACTCGGTCCCTGATCCCATTGTAGATGTTGCAGGTCAAAAGTATGTAGTCAGCGACTTAGCAATACGATTCGGTCGTAACTACAAAGGGCAATTAGCCGCTGTGGTCGCATTTGCAGTTGTAACACGGCATGGCAATTCGATGCGAAAAGGCTGGAAGAAGGCAAGTTCGGAGAAACGGTGGTAAAGTGCTGATAACAAGCTAATTAAATTGTCACAGATACTCGAGATTATTCGCAACTTATTTGTCAATTCATTGCTGCCCGGCTCCATGCTTCAAGTAGAAGACTTTTTATCAGGCACTACGAGTATCCCGTTAAAACCAAAGACACCTGCACCTGCCAAGCAGCAAAATAGGCGGGACGGATCGCTATTGTCGACCTTATCATCTTATTTGCTTTCACCATATGCGAATGATGAGGGATACAGGGCCGATCCAAGCGAAGAAGAAGTCGAAAGTACAATGTGTGCAGTTGACTGCGTTACAGCATGTAAACTGGAGGAGCTTTTCGGAGATATGAGGTACAGGAAATTCATTGCTATGGTGAATTGGCCGTTTCCTTATATATGGTATCTGTAGCTCATTGGATAATGATACCCTTGTGTCCCTTATGACTGCTATGCAGGACGTGGGGTACAACACGGAAGAAGTTGAATCGCCAGAGGGAAGTACCCCATATAACCCAGTTACTGTGCTCTTTTTAGAGTTCATAGTCAGCATTGCTATTCGAAACGGTGACAGGATTCAGCTACTTTGGTAAGTTTCATAAATGGGTATGACAGAGGATCATAGTTATCATTAACACGGCATTATAGGCCATACGCTGTAGATTACATATTTAGTGTGCTCAAGCACGCTGATAAGCAGAGTGTGCTGGTGGTTGAACGGACAGTGGTCGCACTTCTAAGGCTCTGTATCTCCTTTTCAGCAAAGGTAAGCTTATTGCATTCATCAATCATGGGCTCATCGGATAACACCTACTGAACTAATGAGCGACGTAGGACGAAATGCAAGATAGCATTTTACAGTGTTTGAAGGTGCTTCGCGATTTCCCGCCTGCTGTAACGCAAGCTGTGGGTGAGCAGATGATGGCTGGCATTTATAGTTTGTCAAATGCCAATTCTGAGAATCTCAAGTAAGTTCAGTTTTCTTTTATCAAGCCAGTATTTTCTCACCGTTGAAACTATAGCAAATCCGAATTCGTTGAAACCATTTTGGAAATCAAGCAGAAGGTGGCTAGCGCAATGTAGAGTTGATCACACTTCCCATCTGCCACGTTTAATATCACAATCTTATCCCTATGATGTCAAATATACGTAAAATTATCACTCGTGGAGTCTTACCACGCTATTTCGCCGTACTGATACAATCTCATGACAAGGATACATTTTGATTCCTCTCTCACGTGCTAAAAATAGATGCGATCCTTGATATCCCACGAAACTTACTCACATCCTTGGTTAAAATGTATGAGTCAATGACTGGTCTATATCGACAAATGCTACCTTCTACGCTATTTGTTATTGATCAAATGCATTCAGCAGGGTGATCATCTATGATCACAAGGTATAATTAAATAGTAGAAAAGTCATAAAGCAGCCTGTATATCGGTGGGTTTATTCGTCTGGCAACGATGACTCATATAATTTGCTTGCACAAGGGCCGCGACACCAGCCATGGCATTTTGCGCGGCAATAGGTACGGCATGAAATATTATGCATACGGCCCCAACAGCAGTCGTAATCGCAGGGGTGCTCGACCATGGTAGTAGTAGTAATAGACTCTTTCATAAAAATGTTCAACATCTCCCCGGTAGTAGTCTTCATAGAGAGCAGAATAACGGCAGTGGAGATAATCAGAAGAGTGATTGATCGCATCTTGGTAAAGCTTGCAGAGGTTAATATCGAGAAGAAAGCAAAGGTAACGGGAATCAACACCTGATGTTGGCGTTTGCTTGTTTCCACTTGGCGTCACATGAATCCCGATTTGGCTCATGAGGAATATTGGGTTTTTCTTAAATATTGCGCTTGGTTTTTTACATCGTTGCCTGTCACAGATTTCCTTTTTGCGTTGGGGGAAATATTAGTCTTGCCAGCAGCTGTTTCTTCATGCTTCTGTGGATGGATCTAATCTATTCATCCACCTACGCCATTAATCTCTCTTGAGCCCACTTAAAATTCGAGACACACGTAATAGGAAATGTCAAAGTAGAATGTTTATGGAGGTACGTATCAATAGACAGACTCTACAGGCACAGATTTTTTGAAGGATGCAAACAGCTTGTCCTGATCAAGATTTTTACCAATGAGGACGATTTTGCTCTTAACATGCGCGGCTGCACTGTCTTCTTGGATAAAACCTTCTTGGATATCGTAAAGGTCCTGGACGCCTTGAATGACCAATCGCTTACCCTTTTCTGCTGTATTCTTGGGTGGCTGGATAATGCCCTTGAGACGCAACACAGTGACTTCATCGTCGTTATTCTCCAATCCAGGCCACTGCTTCTCCCATAAAAGGGTTTGGATCCATGTCTCCAATTCATCAATCGTATCCAACTGGTCATCAAAGTGAATGCAAATGGTTTGTACTCCCTATAGTTGACGAACATTAGCAATAGCTTATTCCGCCACGATAAAGGACGAGAATGGGTGATAAGACTCACATGGCTAAGGTGATGTGCGTGCCCTGAGCTGAGGTGCTCTATCTTCTCCGTTTGTCGTGCTAATGACTCTGCATCGTGTACATCATATGCTTGAATATCAAGAACAAAATCAATGGGAATCCTTGACCGCTCGGTTTCCAATAGATCAGCTGCTGAGTTGATGCCTTGAATATCTTGTCGAATCAGCTCCATTTCGTTTTCATTGACTAAGTCCTTCTTGTTAATGATGATGCGGTCTGCAATCGCCACTTGTCTATGACGTATTCGTCAATTCTTATTCATCTCATGCCGTATCTCAATGCTTTACTTGGCTGCTTCATTGACTAGCGTGTTATCTTTTTCTTCACCAAGATACTAAGCAATGTTTCCTTTGAATGTTAGTATATCCATGCTGCTGAAGCGGCACTTTTGCTGCATATATATTCACCTCTCGGATATGTTTGGCATCGACAAGTGCCACAATGCCGTCTAGGTATAACTCACTTCCGAGCCCGTCATCAAGCCAAAACATAGATGCGATTGGACCAGGATCAGCCAGACCACTAATATACAATCGTTAGTTAATATTGGCGGTATGATCTTGGGAATTTTGACTCTCGTACCTGGTTTCTAGTAAGATATAGTCAAATTTACCCCTCTTTTCCATCAAGTTCTCAATAGCCTTTACACCAATATCTCTGAAGGATGTAGTTACCAGCACAGAGTTAGGTACACAATATACACAATCATTAATGTATTGACTTACTTGACAGAGCAGCAAAGACATCCATTGCGCAGTTCTAGCCATTCCTCGTATAATGTGCCTTCTTGGTTGATGGACAACGATTTTTCAATGTCACTACCTTGAACCATTGTCAACAATGTATCTTAACCTGCGGGGATATTGATGATACCGACTCTCGCCAAACTCGTTCAGGATAACAGCAATCTTTTTTTGATGCTTTTCTGTGAGAATATAGTTGAGTAGAGTCGTTTTGCCACTACCAAGGAATCCTGATAATCCATTGCATTATGTTGGATAAGTGATATTCAGGCGACGGCTTTACACAGTTTACCTGTTACGATTGTAACTGGAATCTTGCGTGGGGACTCTTCAGTCGCAGGTGCAGTTGTGAATGAGGGAGCTGATATTTGAGATATTCTATACTTGCAATATTCAAGTGTGAATAGTTGCGAGGTATATGAAAGAAAGGATTAAGTTTACTCGTCAGCAGGGATTAGCTCTGGGATCTCGTCGTGATCTGTCATTGTTGGGAAAGGGAAAGCAAAGCTGAGTGGATGTATGAGGCAAGCTTTAGGCGCGTACTCCGCATAGCATGTAACATGAGCCAAGCCGAGATTTTAGCCATAAGACACTAGATTTATAATCTTTCAGTGTGGCTGTGGCTGGTAGGGGACGTTGGCATGTGTACTATGTTTATTGTTTCTTGATGAAAGTACCATCGGCTTTTCTTTTCGAAACGAACACTCACACAGACATCCTAGAAACAATGTCTTATTTCGTGCAGGAATTTGGCAAGCACAGCAAATGATTAAGCTGATGGATTGGTGGGTCTCCTTCATCAGTAGTGATACATTTTAAAAGCCTGCTAAGGTGTGATTGAACGTTTATATGCATAAAAATCAGGGTCTGAGACAAAAAAAGGCAACATGGCAATATCCATCGTCAAACAATGTCCTCCATCTGATATCACAAATCACTTTATTCGAGCCAAATAAAACTTTGTTCGAGGATGTATGTGTGAGTGTTCGCTTTAGGAAGAAAAATCGATGGCGCCTTCATTGATAAACATAGTGCACATGTAAATGTTCCCCCCATGGGGGTGTTATGATTCCAGTTGAGGTGATACAGGCATAAGACGTTATTCAGAAGCGGTAGCTAGCTTTTCTTTGCCATATTTCAGAGCCTAACCATGACGTTTTCTCGTACGGAGGCAGCCATGGAAGATGCCTTTGTCGAATGGGTAGACTAACATCATCGCTTCACCAAAATAACGCTGTCCTTAACGCATCGTTTTTCAGATCAATACTTTCGACACAAAGTTGAATCCTATCGATACGGTTGTCGAGTTAGCCGATGGCGTCGTGTTTTCCAAAGTGCTCATTGCCATGTATATTATTTTCTTTTGGCTTCTTGCTATGTTTTCTGACAAGTATCTTTATATAGCGATCCAAAGTGGTTTAAGCAGCTTAGTAGCACGCTGGAAGCCGCTGCCATGTCAACCGTTACTGACGACAGGGACGAGAGTGGAACTTGGGTGTTCCGCCTGAACAACCAAAAAAAGATCCATCGATTGATCACGCGATATTTTGACGAGGTTTTGGGTCAAGACCCTGAGCAGCTACCGCCGATTGATCTAAATGCTATCGCTAAAGAAGCAAAACACTATGATCTATTGCTTATGTGCCAATTGATTGTTGCTATTGCTGTGCAATCTGATAATAATCGAGCCTACATTGATATGATCCAAAGCCTATCGCAGAAGAGCCAGCACAGCTTGATGCTATCGATAGAAGAGGTAAGTTCATCGGGAGGAAAACAGGCAGTGGAAGGCTAAAGGTAGGGGTTTCCGCAGGTCATGCATCATTTTGATGGTGATACGGATGTCGCTGCCAATCCACGATACTCAGAGTCTTCAAGTGTGGGATCTCGAGGATATTTTATGGACAGGTCTGTGTTGCATACCAAATAATACAGAAATACCGACGTGGATTATGAATAGTGACATTCCATACCGTTACCAAGCCGAGTTTGATCGTTTGATTTCTGAAAGAAAACATTTTGAAAGCTCTCATGGACAATTACTAGTCGACTATGAAGAATTAAAAGAGCGTCTTGTAAGTAAATTTGGAGCGTGATTAACTCAGAGTATTAAATGAGGATTACTTATGCATAGAATGACCTACTGTCCGAGAAAAAGGAGATGGAGGCGAGATTGAGAGATATGGAAGATGCAATTGCTCAGAGCAGTACTACTGGCAAAGCGGACTTTGTAATGCGCACTGAAATCGAACATCTCAAGCAGGACTTGTAAGAGATTCCAGTGGAATTGCTGTTAGCATAAGGGAACATTGACCATGAGTTAATAGGGAGAGATGCGAAGAGCAGAAGCTGGAAACGGAAAATACGTTAGAAAAGCAACGCTTGTCAGTGAATGAGTTACGACGCAAGGTAGTTATCTGATACCCTAAAAAATGAGCATGTGTATAAAAATGTGAGGTTTAACCATACATTGCTCAACAGGTGGATGAACTGACGATTAAGGCTGACGAGGCTGAAGCATTGAGATCAGAATTGGAAGAGTATCGGGAAGCAGTGGAGCGTATGGCAACCATGGAGATCGCCCTTCAAAAATATGAACGAGACGCACAAGAAAGAGTAGATTTGGAAGATCAAATCAAGGTATGTTGTCTCGATTTCATAGTAATCTTTGGTATCACATTAAGCTGTGGATATAAATTACCGCGCCTTCTTATGTACCAAAATAGGCCCTGGAACAGCAAAACACTGATCTTTTAAAGCGAAGTCAAGAGGCCGAGGACGAATACCGCAAACTCTTACGTTTCAAAACCATTATGGGTTCATTCGAAGAGCAGGTACAGCAATTGGCATCAAGTAACCGCGAGCTTCTTGAAGAGAAGGGTCGATTGGAAGATGAACTCCATAAGTTAAACGAGACTTGCACATACCTGGAGGAAGACCGTGACCGAAATGTAGAACATGTGCAATTATTGGAAGAGCAAATTAAAGAGCTCGAGTTAGGTGGTGGTAAGTATAAGTATCGTAGGAAATCAACAGGAGCTGAATGCTAAGAAGAATGTATTGCTAGGTACGTCTATCGAAAAAGCGATAAACCATCGTGCCAGCGTTGTTATCGACGAGACGATAGAAGCAGATATGGAAGAAAATATGAAAAAAGCTAACATCACTGAGCTGTACGTATAATACTCCCTAATGGTGTATAAGAGATTTACTTAGTATTGGGGTTTAGTCGCCTGAATATCCAACGACTGAAAAACCAGATCAAAGAGATGGAGAAAAGGGAGGCGGCTTCGTCAACAACAAACAATGGCCAACATGCTGAAAATGAGATTAATGACACTGAATCCTCCAAGACAGGGTTGGAAAAGGTGATGTTTTATTATATAGTGCACTTTTATATACCTCGTTTGCATTGACAATATTTAATAGGAATACATGTCTATCGTGGCAGAGCGTGATCAATTGCGCAAGGAGCTTGAGCAAATTCGAAAGGGTATCCCAGATTCACTGCTGAACCAAGCGCAGACCATCATGGCATTTCGATCTCGAATGCTGGACCTGGAAAAAGAATCAAGCTATCTCAAGGAGAGTACCATCAACTTGGAAGCAGCTGTGCTTCAGGGAACTAGCAACATTGCCAAGGATGTTGCCTCGTTACAAAACTATGAGAAAGAACACAGTAGGATTCAGGACCGTCTCAACAGACTGGAGGATATCACCAAGATGCAGCTCCATGATATCAACCGTATGCTGGTCGAAGCCAACTACTTGCATGGGATTAACGACGGGACTGTAAAAGATAGGCCTCAACTTACAATGTATGTTTTGCTTACGCGAATTTCATATGGACTAAAAGGTGAGCTAATGAGCATTGCAGCCAAGAACTGGAAACTATCAAGGAACAAAATGCCAGTCTTCAGATATGTGTACTGAATTTGCAAGAAGAGATCAACGAGAGCCAAGGCAGGATCCGCAAGGTTCGTGACGTAAGTATCTCCCTACCTGTATGTGGTTGTGTGCAGATAACTTAGGATCATTCCTCCTAGTTGATCAAGCTTTATTCACAGCTTCTGGAAGAAATGACTACGCGCTTTGGTGGTATCAATCAATCAGAAGATCAACCAACTTTGTTGAATCGCACACCGCGCACTAAAGAGGAGGAGCACGATCTGCTCAAGGTATGGGTGGTATTAGAACAAATCTTTAGAATTACAAGTTAATCTTTTCGCATGGCTTCATAGAAACAAATTCATGATGTTCGAGCGCAATCAAGAAGGGAGCAACAGCTGATTATTTCAGCGTGGTACGATCTTGCCCGTCGTAACCATCGTGAGGCTGCCAGCTTGTCTCTACGATCTACACCATCCTCCTGGCTTGGCCAGCAGCGGAAAATACTGGATAACCAGCTACGAAAGCGCCTATGTTGAACATATAGCTTTACGTCGGTACCTTTTAGATCGCTCTTCTTCATTCTACCAATACTATGCCAGCATGTTTTTTATAGTTGTGCCCCTATATTAAAGTCGTTAGGTGATATATCTTTATCAGGATGTGTCTAATTAAAGTCATTGGATGTGTCGCTATCAGGATTCGAAGGACAATACCGACAATAAATAACAATAGGAGAGGCATTGCAAACAGCTTCGAATAAATAAATAATGTCGCTGATTGATGCAAAAGTCTCTTATGACTTATGGGTGTGCCACACCAGCGACAAGCAACAATGCTACGTGTCATTTTGGTGCTATCAAAGTTTATTCGTCGCTCAAAACATTCGTTGTCAAGTGTCGCTCCCTCCATTTGGAGATGCTTTTGGGTCCAAAATACAACCGCGCAGCTTTGAGTGGTTGTTGCTCATAGGCATCTGGTAACGAACGAAGGGGATGGCTACCCGGATTTGAGTGTTTGTGATTCAGGGGCCTTAATCGTTTCGTTTTTCTTGTAGTCTTTGATGATGATGGATCGAACTGATAAAGTGGTCAAAGCACCTCTTGAGTACGGAGTCGAAGTGATGGTTTTCTTGAATCCATTTTAGTTACTGCGAATTTTGTACGACTCTAGTGAGTTACCCATTTACCCAATTTAATGATCCATTAAGCTAAAGGACGCTTTTTTTGAGGATGATGGGATGCTGTCACCCATTCATGATGATTGTCATTCCATGTTGGTTGTCCTTCACTTTTGCATGGATGAGAGTAGGATGACCCAAAATCACATTTCCCAAATGGTGGCATTTTAAGAAAGTGTAGCTTTTATTCTCCCGCCATCTATTAATCCGTTTAGGGTATACGTTGTCATGCAGTGTAAGAGGAATCGGACTGACGGCGAAGGTGAACAGGTTACACATGTTGTTGACAGGTTACACAAACAGATGGTGATGATAATCTTGGGCAATGTTAGTTCTTCATACACAAGCTATCGATTGATGAGAAAGCTATCCATGATGGCAGAGACAATTACTTTATACACGCATACCATATTTGAGTATTTACACGTCCACATTTGATGCAGGATTACACATTGGATGTTCCAAGTTCAGGAGTTTGGCTGCATAAAACCAAGGCTGGTGTCACTTTTGCCAGAGATACATAACGAGGGACTAGTAGTTGATCCATACTGATCGAGGTATACAGGTGTGCATATTCACAAGAGGAACCGTGGGGAGCTGGGTGGCTATATCAAGGACGACGAGAGGAACCAAAAAAAGTCCAACCCACCTTTCTCCACTCCCATTTACAAAAGCAAGGTGAGACACTCTCCATTAACGAACTACAGCGCATTAACTCCTGTCATGCTCTTTAATGCAAGACCTAGATGGGTGAACCGGTGGTCAATGGCGTCCCTTTCAACTACAACATGCACGCGCGCAATCTACCCATGTTTCAAACTTCCAATCCCGTACAACAGGTACGGTCAAACGCTGCAGCGCTTTTACTGTTCAGGTTTGACATTGTGGTGCTGAAGCTCGTGTGTAGATTGCTGTTCTCTCGTTTACAAGATCTAATGGAGGCGTCGCGTGTATTCATTCCCAAGTTGTCCACAACAACACTTCTTTACACTGCCTCTTTTGGGTATGTTGGCAAGAAAATGCGTTTAGATTGGTTTTCCTTGGTATCTCACATTGTGTTCATGGTAGATCGACTTGTTGGATGATGGTACCTGTGGACAGTAACAAGATATTGATCTCAAAGCAAGAACGCTGTACGTTGGTTCAATGGTATGTATGGTGTTGGATCTACAATGCAGGACCACTTAATTAACGAGCCTTACAACGAAACAGCAGCAGCACATACTGGATCGGATGAATACAAGGTTATTTGCAAGCATCAATGGAATGGTATTGGGAACACCTCAAGGTAAAGTGATCATTTTAGGATTTGTCACCTTCAAGTGCACTGATGAAAGAAATAGGCTCTCGTTCGGCGATTACTATTATCACATCAGCACGTCAAAGGATGGAGTGTACTGTCTTAAGGGGGAAGGCCATGTTGTGGTACGCGGATATTACGTTGGGCTCACGGTGCGACTTCAGTTTAAAAATGCACCCTCTGACCTTTCGTGGAGAACAAAGTATATGCTTCCCATCATTGCACTGCTATACTTTACTCGACTTGAAGACGATGGGTTGTCTTCTTGGCAACATGGCTGGACCCACGGCTAGTGGTTGTCAAAGTCGGCTGGGGAGGGGCTTCATGTCATCGTTAAAACCGGTGTTTTGACGCCACGTTCCTACGGGAGGCTAGAAGGCAGTGCGGATACTACATTCCTTGGCAGTGCGCTATTATTATTGCTATTATTGCTGGAGGCAAGATTCATTGGTATGTATAGCATTGGATTTACAATACAAGTGCTCTGAATTAACGAGCTTTTACAATGGAATAGCAGCGGCATCATGATATGGATGGCATGGAGATATGGATGGCATGGAGATACGGCTCTTATTTGGAGGAAGGATGTTATTGTGAAATACCACAAGGTAAGAGTATCCATTATGGGATGTGTCGCATGCAAATGCACTTACGATGGAAGATGTGCAACGACAGGATCAAGAAGGCTTTTCCTTGGCTATATCACTTGGCACGTCAAGGATGTTATTGTACTGTGTGCTGTATTGGGGAGACCATGTTGCCTTTACCACCTCGTGTGGAAACATGTGCTCACGGTGCTATGGCAAGTCCAATTTAAATACGCATCCTCTGTTCGCAGTTGCAACATGCGGATCCACGGCTCAGGTAGTGTCAAAGTCGGCTGGTGAAGGGCTCATGACATATGGGTCACTGTTAAATCTGGTGTTTTGGCGCTATGCTTCCTTCGGGAAGGGGCTAGTAGGCAGTACAGGTACCTTGGCATTCTTTGGCATTGCGGCTTTCTTATTACTATGATTTCTGGTTGCACCCTGAATTGAGAGATTCAAGTACGTATCGTTCCAATGTCTTTGAGATGGAAGTATTCTTGCTGAGAGTGCGTCTTTCTAGATGGATCATCTTACATTGAAGTCCCCAGGATTACAGCTATCACTGCTAAGTGTTGTTTTACATGTTTGGAGGATTGTTTACGGTGCATCTATTATAGGTGAACCATGTTAGGATCAAGCAGCATCGTCTTTGGCATCTTTCGGTATCAGCAGGCCTTACTACATCGTTCGATAGTCCTCGTTACCAAGTATTAAAAAATTTCTTTTGTGAATCTGCAACAACTTCTATTGTCTTATGGCTCTGGTTGTCAAGTACTACTTCAGTGCTCTGGAAAATCAGCTATCTGCAAGTCGTCTCTTTATGGATGGATCTTTGAGCAATGTTTGTTATCGGTGCCATGGCGGATATCATTCCTCAAGTACCTGTACGGATACCTTTGGGCATATCATCGTGTGTGCTATTTCATCAAGACCGGATTTATTTGTTGCAGTGCATGATGTGTCTCTCATGACGCCTACCCAAGAAGGTCGCTTGATGGCAGCAACTACTGATATGGCGGATGTTTATTTGCTATGGGTAGAACGGGATGGTGCCTTACTCTTTTGTGTAAAGCATCGTTGGCAGCTATGATTCATATGCGACAGTGTGGTCAGCCCTATCATGGCCCTATCAATTGCATTTGAGGATTACTACCTTAGCCGTTGGAAGTCAGACTGTCACTCGGTGTCCTTGTGGTAGATATGGGATCATGTACTGCTTTTTGCTCTTATGGGTCGGCCTCTGTGGGCCTGGGATGCTATTTTGTCCTTTTATCAGACCGAACATGTTGGCTCGAGCAGCACCTTTATTAGAAGATGTCATAGAAGACGCAATGACATCCCCCGTTATCCGGTGTGGTGCACCGTAGGGGTGAGGATGACGGCAAAGCCTTCGCGTGGCCATCCTTGTCAGTACATGGGTTTCCATGGAAGCTAATTTGCCACCTTATTATGTATTCATTACGAGACGTCATCACTAACTACATTCTAGTAGCTATCTTGTGACAAACCTAATAGCCTATATCATGATGCAGAAACTTAGTTCACGAAAAGTGATATCGTTGAATAAAGACTTCCTTTCAATCAATAAATGTTTAAGGTTACTCTTGAAAGTGACGATATGAATGGATATCTTCATTCCTCGACACCGTTGCGTGAGTGATCAACATACACCAAGATTGTGGAGGAGTTGTTCATTGTTCACATGCCGTTTAAATGGTTCATGCAGGCAAGAACAATCAAATCATGTGGACCGCAAGCAAGCTATAAAATGCCTCTTTTCAACATTGGTGTTTGCTACACACAACAGCATGATCGATCTCCATGTCAACGAACAACCAGTATCGTTCGCCAAACTATCATTGCAAATACAACAACAACAATGTTGCTTTATAATGCAAAATCATCATTCCTTGCTCAAATTGGATCAATCCGCCATTCGCGATGCATCGTCTTGTAGCCAGCAATCAATGCATTCTTTTGCTGTATACCAAGGCCACGATGATATGGCAGAAGCACGTTGCTTTACAATGCAAAATCATCATACCTCGCTCAAATCGGATCTATTCGTCATTCGCCATGCACCACGTTGTAGCCCCCAATCAACGCAGCTTTCTGCTATATATACCAAGATCACGTAGATATTGCAGTAGCAGACAATAACGTCATTTTTCATTGTAAAATCATCATACTTCGCTGAAATCGGATCCATTAGCCATTCGTAATGAACCACGTAGTAGCCAGCCATTCAAGCAGTCGTTTTGCTATATAACAAGATCATGTTCATATGGCAGTAGTGGGCAATAATGCTACTATACAATATAAAATCATCATACTTCGCTGAAATCGGATCCATCCGCCATTCGCAATGGTCCATGTTGTAGCCCGCAATTCAAGCAGTCTTTTGCTGTATAACAAGGTCACATTCATATGGCAACAGCAGGCACCAATGTTGCTTTTCAATGCAAAAACATCACACCACACTCAAATCAGATGTATTCGCCATTTGCAATGCGCCACGTTATAGCCCCCGATTCAAGCAGTCTTTTGCTATATACCAAGGTCATGTTCATATGGCAGGAGTGGGCAATAATGCTACTCTACAATATAAAATCATCATACTTTGCTCAAATCGGATCTATTCACCTTTAGCAATGTACCACGTTGTAGCCCCCAATCAACGCAGCCTTGTGCTGTACAACAAGGTCACGTAGATATGGCAACAGCAGGCAAGTATGTTACTTTTCATTGTAAAATCATCATACTGCGCTCAAGTCGGATGTATTCGACATTCGCAATGTATCACATTGTAGCCAGCAATTAAGGCAGTCTTTTGGCGTATACCAATGTCTCGATGATATGGCAGTAGCGGGCACCAATGTTGCTTTACAATGCAAAATCATCATACCTTGCGCAAATTGAATCTAGTCGTCGTTCGCAATGCACCATCATCGTAGCCAGCAATCAATGCAGTCTTTTGCCGTATAACAAGGTCACGTTTATATGGCAGTAGGAGGCAATAACGTTACTTTCAATGAAAAAACATCATACGTCGCTCAAATTGGATCTATTCGACTTTCGCAATGCATCACAATGTAGCCCGCAATCCAAGAAGTCTTTGGCTGTATACCAAGGTTACGTTGATATGGCTGTAGCAGGCAATAATATTACTTTTAAAATCATCATACTTCGCCCAAATCGGATCTATTCACCTTTCATAATGTACTACGTTGTAGCCACCAATCAACATAGCCTTTTGGCTATATAAGAAGGTCACGTTGATATGACAGTAGCAGGCAATAATGTTACTTTTCCTTATAAAATCATCATACTTCGTTCCAGTCGGATCTATTCACCATTCGCAATGCACCACGTTGTAGCCCCGAATCAACGAAGCTTTCTGCTATATAACAAGGTCACGTTGATATGGCAGTAGCAGACAATAATGTTACTTTTCATTGTAAAAGCATCATACGTCGCTCAAATTGGATCTATTCGCCATTCGCAATGCACCACCATCGTAGCTAGTAATCGACGCAGTCTTTTGCTGAATACCAATGGCACGATGATATGGCAGTAGCAGGCACCAATGCTGCTTTTCGATGCAAAATCATGTTACTTCGCTCAAATCGGATTTTTTTCACCATTCGCGATGCATCGCATTGTAGCCAGCAATCAACGCAGTCTTTCGCTGAATACCAATGACACGATGATATGGCAACAGCAGGCACCAATGTTGCTTTTCAATGCAAAATCATGATACTTCGCCCAAATCAGATCTATTCGCCATTCACAATGCACCACGTTGTAGCCAGCAATCAACGTAGTCTTTTGGCGTATACCAAGGTCACGATGATATTGTATAAGCAGGCACCAATGTTGATTTACAATGCAAAATCATCATACCACCCTCAAATCAGATCAATTTGCCATTCGCAATGCACCACCATCGTAGCTAGTAATCGACGCAGTCTTTTGGCGTATACCAAGGTCACGTTGATATGGCAATAGCAGGCACCGACGTTGCTTTACAATGCAAAATCATCATACCTCGCTCAAATTGGATCCATTTTTGCCATTTCGCAATGCATCACATTGTAGCCCGCAATTCAAGCAGTCTTTCTCATCAGCGCTGCGTGGGTGATCAACATGTACCAAGGTTGTGGATGAGCTGTTTATTGTTCATGCCGTTTACATGGTTCATGCAGACAAGAACAATCAAATCATGTGGACCACAAACAAGCTATTAAAGGCCTCTTTTCAACATTGGTGTTTGCTACACACAACAGCATGATCGATCTCCATGTCAACGAACAACCAGTATCGTTCAACAATTTAGCATTACAAATACAAGCTATGTATCCGTCATTGCTAATGTCAAAAAGATACGGGGCAGGAGAGCGTGTGTACTACTATAAGCAGCATACTAAAGAATGGCATCAATGGATATAGTTTATAGCAGCATCATTCCACAAGGTGTAAGTGCACTCCACAACAATGCATTCTATACGACATTCGAGCTCCACCAAGGCATGAACAATAACAAGGCGTCGATGTTAAGGGTGGCAGCCATGATGGATATTCGTCATAAGTCTGGACATCAAGATCATCGCAACGTCGCATCACAAACTATCAGCACATCCTTGAGCCATGTATACGTATCCATTTTGGACCTCTGCCATAATTCTACGATGGTAAGAACAAAGGGCTAGATGTAAATGAAACCGGATGCTGGTAACTCTCTTTCAAAAGGATATTTTTGGGGGATATTTCCAACAGCGTTACGCATAAAATTGCAACAGCGTCGTATTGGTGATTAGCCATCTACTTTTTCATCAACCAATTTCAAAGGGCAACGATGGATGGCCTATCATCGGCGAGCATGATCATACTTCATATGTGCATGGAAAACAGGCACCAGGTACATCGGGAATACACTTCTTTTTCTGCACCCGCTATTGTCGATCAGGATAGCTTGGCGCAGCAAAACAGCCCACAGTCGACTTTCTACGGGCAATTCATTCTATATAAATTCACTACAACGAACTCTAGCCAGGTAAGAGCAAATATTATGCATAGACTACAATAATGGTGTTAATGAGTACGTTGAAAAGACATCCCAATGGCCGGCGATATCATTATGAGTTTGTCAAGGATCAACTATACGGATATTCAAACGACTGGATATGTAGTATAGTGTACTTGAAGAAGTAAAGGCATACCATGTAAGTCAACGTATATGATGTCGATTTAAAAAAGTGTTCTTATCTGGTTCAAAATGCAGTATGTTACTGGATTCCTTGCAATGTATGCGTGCTTTGGCTTGATACAACAACAGAAGCTGCAGAATGAGATGGATGGAAAGCTCGACAATGCAGTGTAGCGATGCATACACCACCAACACTCATTGTATTCAATCAACCACTATACAGCATACAAGCAAGTTTGGAGACACTTTGATGGAGAGTATCGACAACATGCTGTGGATGAGAACATTGCATTGATCATATCTTTGTTGATGGAATGCACAAGGGGCCCACAATACGCGGGTGTGCACAATGCTCTGGTATCATTTGCTTCGATTAATGGTGATTACGATATATGGAAGGACAAAGGTAAAATTTGGAGGTCGATGGAGGTCTTCAAGAGGTTAACAAGAGGTCTGAAGAGGTGTGAGGAGGTGTGAGGATGTCTGAAGAGGTTTACAAGAGGTCTGAAGAGGTCTACAAGAGGTCTGCTGATGTTTGCTGAGGTCTGTATGTGATCCGAATAGGTCTGAAGAGGTTTACAAGAGGTCTACAAGAAGTCTGCAGAGGTCTGTATGTGATCCGAAGAGGTCTGAAGAGGTTTACAAGAGGTCTGAAGAGGTCTACAAGGGGTCTGCTGAAGTCTGCTGAGGACTGTATAAGACCCGAAGAGGTCCACGGAAATCTTCAAGAGGTCTTCAAGACGTCTGCATGAGGTTTGAAGAGGTCTACGGAGGTCTTCACGAGGCTTACAAGAGGTCTGCATGACAGCATGAGGTTTACAAGAGGTTTACAAGAAGTTTGAAGAGGTCTGTCTGGTGAATAGGGATAAAAAATAAAGTAATAAAGCAGCACAAAATATGAGTCTATCGTATATGGATGATTCAATTTGGGATGATTGTAAACGACGACATCGTGACGATGAAGATGATGATCTCGATAAAGAGAATCAATGACTTGATGAAGTGGATGCTCTCTATCGATGTTCGGATGATGAAGAAGGTGAATGTTGATTTGTGGACGACGATCGAGTCACTGCTGCTGCTCCCTACGATGGCGTTGGATTCGCTGCGTCTTTTGCTGATAATGCATCATTTAGGGCTGCAGCATTCATTGACCTTTGT